GAAGATAAGCCTAGCGATAAGGCTATAGATAAGTTAGATAAAGAGCCTAATAAGGAGTCTAGCGAGGATAGCGGCGGAGCGACTAAGTCTAAGGACCTAGATAAACTTAGTAAGTTTAAACGTTAGTATAAGACTACAGCGAAGAAACAGAAGCTTAATAAGCAAAAGATGTAGAAGGCAAAGGCTAAAGGTAAGCGTATCTATCGGAAACAGACTACTAAGCAAGAGGCTAATAAGAAGGCCGCTATCTCTGCCTTTAAGCCGCTATAAGAGACACTCGCTAACTTTATATCTATCTCCGAAGCTAGGGCTTCTACGCCGCTACTACGAGTAAAGGACCTATTAGAGATTGTTTATAAGCGGTTATTTAATCCGGAAGTCTTAAAAGAGTAGCTATTTACGCTAAAGAATACGATAGCGAAGGAGGTTAGAAAGGTTAATTATCGTGCTAATATCGCCGTATCGATAGTAAGGCCGGAGAGGTAGGCCGATTTCGAGGCATTCTTCTAGGAGCTTTATTAGGAGGTTAGTAGCGCTCCTAAACTATAAGGATAGTATCTAGATACACCTAATTATAGCTAACCGTCGCTATATAGTCCTATGCCGAATAGAGGCTATCTATAGAGCTAGAGATAGGTTATTGTTATTAGAAGAATAGATTTAGTTAGAATAACTAAGGTCGAATTTAGCTTCTTCCGAGACCGAGTCTAATTTATCGACTTTAGCGTACGAGGAGGAAAGATATTATATATTAATAACTGCGGTATTTAAATTGATTGGACTTTATTAGCATTCGATAGTATATTAATAAATTGCACGTAACTAGCCTTTATATAAACGCAATTCTCGAACTCTTTACCTCCTATATACCCCGCTAAGACCGCATAGTCGTAACGTTAATTGTATATACGACTGCCTATCTAGGATTTCGAGACTAATACGAGAGAGATTGTAGTATACTACTAATAGCTAAACAAGGGAAGAAACACTCGAATCCCTACTAAAATCGCGCTTCTATTCCTAACTAAACACCTCCGCGTATACCGCGACCTCCGCTACTACTACGCTCTACGTATATAGAGCCTCTCCTACTCTAGATACTCGAGATAGTCTTGCTATATATCTTCCGCCAATTCATTACGAAACCTAACTATATCTTTATCCTTAATAGCGCCTTAGATAGCGTTACTCGCCTTGTCTCGATTACCTATTATACTACTCTTATTAATAGTAAGCTATAGCTCGGATTTAAGAGGTTAAGCGCTATAGCTAAGGATAAAGTTGTAAAGGACAAAGTAGGCTATAATAATACGCTTTTAGTCGATAAGCTCGTATCCTTAGTAAGGACCTTACGTAACGATAGTAAAGCGCTTCTTAATAATACCGAAGATCCTCTTAATATAGTTACGAAGCTACGCGTAGCGTAGATTAAACAACTCCTCCTTCGTCTTAGGCCTTCGCTATACGGTATACTATTCTCGTAGGTAATATCGTATCGCCTAGTATAGAACAAGAAGGCGCTTATCGAGCGACGAGTATCTACTATCCGCTAGATAATATCGATCTTCTAGCACCGAGAATCTACTCTTAAAGGCGCGTCTAAGGACCGTACTATTATTCGCAGAGCCTTCGTAACCGACTAAAGCATACTAGAACCTACAATTAAAGTTATACGCCGCTATTACATTCTACGCGATAAAGTTCTTCCTATAGCGCTACGCGCTCTATTCTTAGTATAGTATTTAAGCGTAGATATAGGTACCGTTAAGCGCGCCTATCGCACTTCTAAAGTATTTAAACTTATCTTCCTTTAGCTTCTCGTAGACCTCGTCCTTATTAGGTAACTTTATATACTTATCGGCTATCCGATAGAGCGCTTTGCTAACCTTCTCGATAATTAAATAGAAGGTATTAAACGAGTGCTAATACTAATTGCGTAGCTGCCGTACCGATAGGTTATAGGCTACGAAGTCTAAGAATATTACTACCTATTTATCGATATCTACCTTAATAGCGCCGTACTTATCTAAATCGCCGCTCTCTTCTAGCTCTTCGATTAGCGACCGTAGCACCGGCTATCTAAGGCGCGTCGTACTATAGTATACGTCTTCCGGTCTATATAGACACTTATACGTCTCCTTCCTGCCTTTATCGCGCTCTATTAAAGTCTCGACTTTACTAGAAGGTCGGTACTAGCGCCTCTAAGTCGTAGGTCGGAAGAAGGGTAGAACGGTAGTAAGAGATATACTAGTAAGGGCAATAACGACTACGGCGACTCGAGCGGCTTCTATTATAGTATAGCAATAGCAAGGGAAAATAAAATATAGTATAATAAGAGATCTATAAGGCTAAGAGATAGATATTTCTGTAGCGGCTATTTAGGGGCTAAAAGCTCCTTACGAGGAGGTAGGCAGGTTATTCGCATACAACTGCTAGAATAAGCAATTCCGATCACCTACAACACGATAACCTACAATCTGGTTAATGGTATAGAAAGCGAAGTAAACGGCTGACAATAACCTATAGGTTGTAGGTTATAGGCGATAACCTGCCTTAGATAACCCGACAAACTGCACAAGTATACGGGGCCTCAAGGCCACGGGGCCGCGGACAGCCAGCCAGCTGAGGCATGAAGCATGAAGCACGAAGCATTGGGGTATGGCATGGCATGGCAAGGCAGGCGAGGCATTGGCGTGCGAGCAAGCAGTGCAGTGCAGTGCCAAAATGTGATGTCTCACGAGTGCCTGGCTCGGCTCGGACAGGCGCAGCGGTGCTGCCGACGGCGACGGGGGCCGGGAGCAGAGATGACGGATGCTCAGGAGTCAAAGAAAGTTGCAGCGCACGAAGCAGACTAGAGCACGTCGACCGCACGACGGGCAGGCGCTACCGCAATAATCGAGCGCTGCGCTGCGGCGGCGTCTATGCTGTGCTGTTCCGCGTGCATCGTGCACGACAGATGGGCATGGATGCGTGTCGTCCGTAAACTCTGCTCTTGCCAGCCAAGGCCAAGGCGCAACAGGCGCACCAGGCTAGCAAGCAGGCAAGCAAGCAAGCCGCCGAAGTGGAGTCCCTGATCGCGTTTTGTCTTTCACCTCCTTCTCTCTCACGTCTGTCTCTCCTTCGCACCCATTTGCAATGGAGCCTTGAGCAGCAGGGAGCTGTATTTGCCAGAGAACTCCCTTCGGCAGACTACTTCGACCCCCTCTCAGCTCCTGATCCTTGCAACCACACGGCCTCTCCTTGCCGACTCGTCAACGGTATCGTGACCATTGCAGAGTCTGCTACAGTGGACTGTGCGTGGTCTGCCTCGACACCAGCACCCTCATCCTCCTCATCCTCGTCCTCGTCCGCACCTTCATCCTCGTCCCGTCAAAACGTCGACCTCTCCTCTTCGTTGATCGTAGAGCTCCTCGACGCCGACTCCTCCCTGTCACCATCATCCATCTCCGCCATCCGAAGCCAACGACTACTGCTCTCGTGCTCGACGACTAACTCCTGGGACGTCTGCCTGCTGTCCAAAGGTAAGCAATTCCATGTCGGAAAGCAGTCTAGAAAGAGGCCGTCCCGCTGGGGGAAGCAGGAAGGAGCGGTGGTTGTGCCTGCCTCTGGAGCCCCCTGCCATTTTCAGGGCAGCTGCAAAAGCACTTGCACCTACCCCATCAGCAGACGTATTGCAGGCTATCCGACACACGAATCGAAAGATCACTGCCATCCACACGTATCAGCGGGATCAAATTTCGAAGCCTCCCGAGGGAACGAACCTGCTTGACTGGTAAGAGCCAGAGCACTGCTGCACACCTGGTCCAAGTTCAATGCCTACAGCAATTGAACACATGCACCAACTACAATGCCAATGGCATTTCAATTCCATGCCAGAGCTGTGAATGCTAGCCAGCTCTTGTACCATCTCACAGGCCTGGTAACAGTTTGGCATTTCTACGGCCTGTGCCAAGCACGACGTTGAGCAATGTACATGATCTGAATGGCCATCTCTTCGCCGTCACGCATCGAGATCAGCATCGACAGCCCTGCTTTTGTGCTTCGACTCGAAGGGCGGGAACGTTGGGACCACGGAGTGGTGGTCACTGCTTAATTCCAGCCAGAGATTGGGCTCCAGACACCTACCAGGAATGCAACGACCGAGATACCTTCCAACTGGCACCTCGCTCTGCACCAGCACTAGCAAATCCTCTCGCTGATGGAAACGTGACGGGAAGCATCTTTTGAAAGTCCTTCCGCTAATACTTCTGTGATAGTCTTGCCTTGGTGATTGTGTTCCACGCATCACCTTTTCTGCCGGCTTTGCTCCAACTCGCTCGAGAATCTTTCTCCAGCGAGGAGTAAATTGGTGAGGTATGTTCACATTATTTGCTTGAAAGTCAATACTCGGGAGGACGCACGGAATTGCGCCCTTGCCTCATCGTACATTGCAACGACTAAACATTCCCCAGATTCTTCACGATCCACCAGCGGAGGCGTTAGCTCGTTCTCTGCAAACCTCGACCAAGGACAATTCCACTGGATATTTATCCAATCGGCAAGTGCACCGTGGCTCGCAAGGAGACGATTTGAGCGCACCCACCGTGTGCACGCTCACCACCCTCGACCGTTCTAGTACAGACTGTAATCTAATTCTCCAGGTATGCATTCATTCGTCGCGAATGGCATTGGCTCACGCGAGTGACTGACACGCCTCAGGCACCATTCGCCAATTGTCTATAACACTGTTCGGCCGTCGTCGAAAGATCTCTGTTCTAGACTGTTCATTCCTTTGGTTCTACAATACCAACTAATTACGATCTTTCACGACGATCCCAGAAACAGGGACCCACACTCTTTAATCGGTTCAGCCATTGAACATCCGCTCTTTTGCATCCTGGCACCTACAGTGTGCCTCTCCGACCTTCGACACCTTTTCACGAATTGTCTATCCTGGAGACGTGACACTTCGTAACCATACCATCAACAGCGCAAGAATGGCCTATCTACCGCAGCTTCCCCAACAGGTTCAGCCTCTTCCTGGTCCTCGCAATTTCCCAGCCTTTGGGTACTGCGACTCCTACTTCGTCGAGAATCACGACGACGATGAGGGCATTTACGCTAGAGCAGCAGCCGAGCGGGAGCGTTCACGTAACGTTGCTAAGCTGAGGCAGAAAGCTTTAGGCGAGGAGATCTCGCGAGTCACCGCCGAGGAGTACCAAGAAGACATTCTCGACCACATGGAGCACATGGAGGCCGAAACAATGCCTGACCTTCAGTCAATCGAGATCCAAACCGAGATCCAGTGGTTCATGCGACCTTACCTGTTGGACTTCCTCCTCGAAGCCCACCATGCCTTCCAGCTCCTACCAGAGACGCTCCATCTCGCCGTCAACCTTCTCGATCGATACTGCTCCAGACGGGTGGTGTATAAGCGACACTATCAGCTCGTTGGCTGTGCAGCCCTCCTCATAGCAGCAAAGTACGGTGACCGAAAGGAACGCGTCCCAACCATCCGCGAACTCAAGTCCATGTGTTGTTCACTCTACGAAGACGACATGTTTACCCAGATGGAGTGGCATGTTCTTCAAACTCTCAACTGGGTCATTGGCCATCCTACGGTAACCAGCTTCTTGCAATTAGCTTTGACGGAAGTCGCCTTTGACCCGGAGCTCGAGCACATGTCGTGGTACATTTCTGAGCTTGCGCTCTACCACAAGGAATTCATCTCGGTGCGCCCGTCGGTCATGGCACGCTCATGCCTCGCCTTGTCCCGATGCATTCTTGGACGTCAACAGCCGCGCTACGACGATTGGTCGGCACGATACGATCCTCAGGTTGTGTTGAATCTCTCAAACCATCTCGCCCATCCTTCGCAAGCTTTGTTGCGAAAGTATGCATCGCCGCACCTATCATCGGTGTCCACGACCATCGACATGTTCTTGAAGCACCAAGCAATGTTGGCTCAGCGTGTCGTACAAACTCCCGTCAACGACCTTCCGCTGATGGAAGTTGATACACAGCCCCCAGCCAACACGTACCTCACACCGCAAACTCCTCAAAAGCCTACATACGTACCAAGTGGTAACCTCGGCATGCTCACCCCTCCCATCACGCCCGACAAGGACCAGCTGGTAGCAAACAACTTCAGCACTACCCAAGGTGTGTTGCCACGCGTCGCTCAATGCACGCCGACCCCACCGCCTAGTAACGACTATGGGCCCCAGCATCACATGAGCTACCCAGTTCCTCAGTCATATGGTGGCCATCCGAACTTCAACCCTTGAGAGATCGTACAGCTCTGCACTGTACCTACCTCGCCGTCTGGCTAGACCGATCATCAATCGTCCGGTCAGCAGCAAGTCCAAAGACATCATGGCGCTGCCAACAGTGCCAACAAAGCGTCCTTGGGCCTGCTCCTCCAAGCACGGTCATTTCACACCCGGCTTGTCGAGGACCGTACGAGTCGCCTTCGGGCGTATTGTAACAACACTGTACGACGTGATAGCATTCAGCACAGCATTGCAAGCGAGCGAGCGTTGCATTAGAGGCATTTTTTTTTCATTTGTGTGTACTAGCTCAGCCGCATACAGGCGGGCCGGCCGGCATGTGTATGGGTATGGCGAGGACGGCACCTCGAAAAAATTGATTTGACCCGGAACAAGACTGCGAGGATTAGGAAAGGATCGGAAGGAAAGAAGAAAGAAGAAAGAAGAAAGGAGAAAGAAACTGGTCGTTCGCACAGACCAAGATGGGAATGTGTTTTGCTTATCATCACAGAAGCGTTGCTACCTCTGTCATGTTTTTTTTGAGCTGCAGCGACAGATACCCCCTGTTTATAAATAACAACTGTTGCCATGTTCACAACCGGAATTGTGCCTCAAAATTGCTCGCTTCTTTCAGTGCTCGAGCACTCAGCACTGATAACCTTCAGTGGAGACCGTTGCCGCTCTGACAACACAACTCAACGATGCACCGACGCTCACCGCATCACTCTTCTCGGTCGTGATGCCGGGTAGGGATGACTAAAGGCAGTACGCTGTGGCATAATGATGAGCGGACACAAGGGATGATATGCAGTGTTTCCAGCATGTTGGCAGTCTGCATTGTGGAACTGCGACTGCTGCCCTAGAATCAGCTCGCGGAAGCGGGCCATTTTCATGATCGGCTTGTGTGGACTGTATCGTCTGCAGAAGCAACGCGTAATAGTATGCCGATGTGCGTTAGGGACTGATGTGCTTTGGGTGTGACGATCATCGATGGTATGTCAAGAGTCCTGATGTTGACGACTTCTTACCGCATTTTCACGCATTGACGTCTGGTTTGGTACAGTCACCTAAGGTCATTCCGTCTATCCGCTATCCGCTACATGTCGTTGGGTCACGTTGTCGCTTTGGCTTGGGGAGGTTGGGAGGGAAGTGGGAAGTCGAGTCGCCAGGTTCTTGGCTTGATCGGAGCTCGGACCGATCCTTGCTCTCCCCTTACCGACCGAGCTCCAAAATTTCGCCAACTTCACAGGCGCAAAACGTGAGCTTCGCGTAGTAAATAATCACACCGCACAGCATGCCTCTAATATAGGATTTGACATGGACGTCCACCGCTCTCGCTTCGTACCCTTTCCGGTGCATGCCATCACCGCCGTCGCCTTCTCTAGAGCCACCGAGGAAACGAAACTTCCAGATGGCGTGCCGCAACCGACTTTGCGACTAGCCATTGGACGAGATAATGGTCAAATCGAAATATGGAACGAGTTCACGGGTCGATGGGTGCAAGAGCGCATGTTCTCAGGAGACAAGAGTGTCGATGGCTTGGCGTGGACTCGGGAACCAGATGAGGTGGACTTCGAAGGCCAGCCAATACTAGGCCAATACCGGTTATTCAGCATTGCCTCATCACCACATGTTCTCGAGTGGGACTTGAAGCGAGGCGATTTGAAAAAGAGGTCGACCGGTAATTTCAGCGAAGTTTGGTGTTTCGCTGTGCAGCCGAGACTGCCACGAGACGGAAAGGCGGAGTCTAAATCGCAAGACTTGGTAGTTGGCTGCGGTGATGGGACGGTAGCGCTACTTTCGACAGCAGACGACGATCTCCAGTTTCAGCGCTTTCTGGCCAGAGTTTCGGGAAAGAGAGCGAAATGTATCAGCATCACGTACCAGAACCGAGATCGTATCGTGGCGGGCTTTGCCGACAGCAACATCCGAGTCATCGACACACGTAACGGCAACATTGTCCGAACCATGAGCTTAGGTAGTGGGGTCCCTCCGGCACCCAAGAATAAGTTTGTGTGGAAGGTCAGATGTCTACCGAACGGCGACATCGTATCTGGAGACTCGGATGGCGATGTCGTATTCTGGGACGGGAGGTCTTACTCTTTGAACCAGAAGATCAAAGGGCACGACTCGGATTGCGTCGATATAGTGGCAGGGTCAGACGGAAAGACAGTAATCACAGGAAGTTTAGATGGGCGAGTCGCGGTGCATCACAACATCACGAATGCTAATGGACGAAAAACTTGGGTCAAGACGCACCATCGTAGGATCCATGCCAAGAGCGAAGTCAAAGCCATGGCAGCATATGACGGGAAAGACCTGAGCGTCGTCGTTTCCGGCGGCAGCGATTTTGCTCCAACCGTGATTCCAATACGCGACTACGGCAAAGCGGACCCCAGAAGCCTTTCACATCTTCCCCAAGCACAGTCGCCAGTTGTAAGTGCCCGCCGCGCAAGGCTTCTGGTAAGCTGGTGGGACAATAGTATCAGCATATGGCGAATTACTCGGCCACACGATGTCGAATTTGGTCCGGAGCCTCAACCTCCGCGCAAGCTGGTCGGCAAGCTCGTCCTGAAATCGAAGCAGTCGATAAACAGCGTGGCTATATCTGACGATGGCAAAGTATTGTGTGCCGCTACCGGCGCGGAACTAAAACTCTTCCAATTGAGAAGGTCACCAAGCTCACACACGATGGACTTCAAGCCTTTGGTGCTACCATCTGCACTAGCCACGGCAGGCACCCGTCTGGTGTGCTTCTCGCCAGATGGCAAATGGCTTGCAATTGTAAATCTCGACAATGAGGTCCATGTCCTACGCTTGGCTCAAGATCCAGTAAAGCCCAAACGAATCACAGTGGTAAACGCAGATGCAGAGCTTGAGCGACGACATCGCACACCACTGGCGCAAAGTGCTTACAAAGGATATGATGAGGCTATCACACGCCTTGCATTCTCCCACGATAGCTGTATCTTGGTAGCCAGTGACATATCGGGACATCTCGACTCCTGGGTACTGGAAGGTCACGAAGATCTTACAGCGCCACAAATTGATATCACCAAGGACGACTCGAAACATGACGACTCAGATGAGTCGTCTTCGGACAGCTCCGACGATGAGGATGACCAAATCTTTCTCTTCTATGGCCAGCATTGGACAGGCAACCCAGCTGCCCATCTCTTACCAAGATTGGATTCCGCGGCTCTTGTGCTGACATTCCGACCTTCGGCATCATCATCATCGTCAGCAGCAGGCAGTGGAGCTATCAATGGCAATCCTGGCGTGCACGCTACACGGCACAATCCCCATGCTCATTCACACCAGCTTCCACAAGGGCCCCATCGACTTTGGGTCATGACGACGAAGCATCAGATGTACGAATTCGACGTGCTCGAAGGACGCCTGAGTGATTGGAGCAGGAGAAATCCGACTTCTTCATTGCCAGAGGACTTCAAAAAGCTCAAAGATCATGTCAAGGGCGCAGTGTGGGATGTTTCTGAGCACAGGGAACGTTTATGGCTTTACGGATCATACTGGCTCTTCATGCTCAACGTCAAGGGTGACATTGCTCAAGCCTCCAAGAAGAGAAGACTCAGCAGCTCCGCAAGCGGCGGTATAAGCGGCAAAGCACTCAAGAGGAGTGGCTCGTCGCAGTGGAACCGAGACGGCCTACCAAGTCGTGCGCTCCGATCTGAAAACGGCGTGACAATGGACCTTGATCTCGACGGACAGGCAGGCGACAACATGGATCTGGATGATGCAGAGAGTGATGCTGACGAGTTACGGCTCGCTCGTATCAGAGGCACGGACGAAGAAAACGTCAGCATTGTTGACTCACAGGCGGCGCAGGAGCGCAAATGGTGGTGCTCTTACAAGTATCGGTCAATTTTGGGCATGGTAGCCCTGGAAGATGAACAGCCAAGTTCGAGCGAGCAGGTGGAAGTAGTTATCGTCGAGCGCCCTTTGTGGGACGTGCAGGAAGGAACCAAGGGCTCGAAGTAGGCAGTGGCTAAATTCAATCCGCTCCAATTTCGATCGCCGACTATGCTAGCCAGATCGCGGACAGTAGTATACTACCATTCGAACGATGACTGCCGACCAAGCATTCATGTTTCTGCTTTGCGCCGTGGACATCAGGAAAGTGTAAAGTTGCATGTAAAAGAGGTAAATCAGTACTTCTCGTGCTTTGCTGTTCTATGTAACTATGCGCATGCATGCCATTTGATGGTCGTGGTATCATTTCAAAAGAAGGCGCATTCTTCGCGCGCGGCCACTGACACGGCTGTCCCAGATCCCCAACGCCAGCACTATGCAACGCACAAGAAGAAAATGATGCTTATCCCTTCCCATAACATGACCCTTAGTTATTATGTCTGTACGGCTCATACCCAACGCCGCCCTGATGCGCACTGTACGGCGCAGGCTGCTGGTATTCATGAAGAGGAACCTGATCACCATGATCATGTCCCCCAATATATGGAGAAGCGACTCGTTCATAATCACCTCCAGTCTTCTCAACCTTCAAGCCTCGTCCACGAGCATACTCCCCATATCCTTGTCCCTTTGGCTCGGCGTTCCAGAGTCCTCCCTTGTTGCTTTTATGGTGCGGGTTGCTGCGTCCAGAGCAGCAACACATGGACATCGACCAGAAGAGTGTTGCGGCCCAGGAGAATGCTACGCCGAGCCAGCCTGCTACTAGAGCGTTGTGGCCCATGGAGAGTTTTATGTTGTAGTCTTCGAAGACTTTGTTGAGGGCGCCGACGAGGACGGAGAAGAGGATTGTCGAGGTTAGGACGGCGGCGATTGTGAAGAAGGAGCTTACGGCGGAGAGGATCCAGGTGAAGAGACTGCCCCAGCGGCTGAAGAGGGCGAGGATTCCAACGATGATTGTTGCGAGGGTGGTCCAGAAACTAGTGCACAGTCAGCATGTCTGTCCAATTGGCGATTGGTGACAGTCATGTCGGATTGTTCTCACCTGACTTGGTATGCAATAAACATCCACTTCGCGACCTTCCTGTACGCATCCAATGCCTTCTTTCCACTCTTTCCAAGCAGCTCATTTTCAAGTTCGCCAATATTGTTCACAGCGTTGTTGACAGCAGACTCGATGGCGTTATCCGCGGAGGATGTCGAGGTCGCAATACCGGTGGTATTCAATTGCCAAACATCGATGGGGTCGAAAACGAATTGCGCCTCGCGCTTCGAGCATTTGGTATCGCTGCCGTCGGTGTTGTTCGAGGAGCAGTAGTTCCAGAGGTAGACATTATAGATTTCGGCAACACCTCCAGCAGTCTTGATGTCTCCAATGGCTGTGGTGAGAGCCGAGTTACTTGAGCCTCCGCTGACGTCGAGGTCGGTCAAGTTGGCTCGGAAGAAGTAGTAGCTGTCGAGTGTGTTCCAGCCGGCAACTTCGATGAGAACGAGGGCGATGAAGCTAGCAATGGTCAAAGCCATAGGCGTGAATATACACGCCAGTCGTCCAGCTTTCCCCATGACTGCGGTGGTCCGGTGTCCGAGCAGCTCCTAGAAATGATTCTGCTGTGAGGTAAGATGCCGCTCTTCGACGCACTCAGTGAAAGGAAACGACAGTGAGTTGATGGTGGGAGCAGTAGGAGAGAGTAGGAGAAAGGGAAGATGAGACAAACAGGCGGGAGGTATATGATTTGTTTGCGATCTTTAGCCCAGGAAGTGCATCATCCATCATCCATCATCGCCCAGCGTGCTGCGGCAGGCGGCAGGCGGCAGGCGGCAGGCCCGTGCTAAACAGAATACAGGGACCCTGCCCTGCCCTGCCCGCTGCCCGCCTTGGATAATAATCAATTCTTCAGCCCCGCAATCGCAAGGCAGTTCCAATATCAAGCGAAGACAGCACTACACAGCCAGCCTACAGTCAAGAGCCTTGCACGCTTTCGATGTGCCTTTCGCATTTCGCTACAGTCCAGCACCACGAATGCCAAGCTTGCGGGTCTTTGGTTGCCGCCTTCTGAAACACCCGACCATTGCCACACAGCCGCGTGCAGACATGACGACTACCTAGTCCTGGAGTCACTGTCGCGGTGCGAATACAGATTTTTCCATCTCAGCCCAGCCCTCCCTGTTTCGTGGCGATTGCGTAAGCTCCCAGAATAGAGTCGAGCATCCTGAAACTTGAAGGCTGCAGAGCCGACCGTGGCCTTGGCGTGCAAGCAAGCAAGGCTCTTAGTACGCATGTCTGTGCCTCCACGCTCGGTCGTGAACATCTAGTAGTCACCACCAGTCAGAGCGACAGCCTTGGGAGTGGCGAGAAATGCCTGTTTTGAAGGTCAAGATCGCGACTGTTTGTCGCTTTTAATCATATAAGCTACGCTACGCTACTTCCTCCACTCCAACTTTAGACACTAGCAGACTCCTCGCCAATGCCACCCAGAGGTATCATCCCATGAGTAGTGAAAGACGTTATCCGTTATTCCTGATATGCATGCCCATCGCTGTAGTCCCCCTACACATCTGCATCGTCCACTCCAATTGCTCCGACAACTCCGCGCCAAGATATAAGAAACTCGATGAACCCAGCTGTCTCCCACAGCCCGGGCCTTGAAGAACATATGAAATGTCGAAAGAACAGGGTATGAAAGCAGATCCAAGATGCGCCGATGCTAGGCCAGATCGCGAAAACATCTCAAGAAGTGAAGTGAATAATAGTAGTAACGTGCAACGACCAGTCAGCAGCTGGGCCAAAAGGTTTTCGTGCAAGCGAAGTCGAATTATTGTTGTCGTTGGTCCGCCGACAAATTGCTGCCGTGTCGTCGTGCGTCTCGCTGACGAGCACGTTCTGCCTGCCGACTCTCCGCCGCCTTTTGTGCGTCAGGGTCGGTCCGCTGTATGTCGCTCTTCTCGCTGTCTCCACCTGGAAGGATCCGGCTGACATTGTAAGCAAGAGCTTCGATGATATTCTTGCGGAACTCGGCATCCTCTCTCATGTCTTCGGCGTTGAGACGGAAGCGTTCCTTCTTGTCCATATCACGCCGCCGCATGGCACGAATCTCTCCGAGGATGTGAAGCAGCACGCCCTCGGGGCATCTGTTGCGAGGTGCGCCATGTTCGGCAGGGTTGCGAACATATCGACGTGTCACGTCTTGAGCGCCATCGGCAGAGAACGCAATGCAATACGAGAGCTTCTTGCCCCATCCTGGAAAGATGTTAGACCATGTATGAGAGACCATGTTGGCGGGAAGCTTACCTTGAGTGTAGAGCATTGGCGCATCCCATGCCTCTTCACAGCAGTCGACATGCACCCATCTCTTACGATGCGCGCTGTACACTTCAGTCCAGACATGGTCCTCGGCATTCCACACCCATCGTACACGGCTACCCATTGCTCGGCACAGCATAGTGAAGCAGTTCGCCCACTCGCCAACACGACCTCGCCTTGTGTCAAGGAGGACAAAAGCGTCGTTATATCGCGGGAATCGTTCGAATGACTGGCACAGCTGGTTGCTGCATTGGTAGAGCTCGACCCGGTTGGCTCCGCAAGCAGACTCCTCCGGAATGGGAGCGACCATGCCTTTGCCAATGGTTGGAGCATGACATGTTGAGCATTTTGGGTTGTTGACCCATTGGAAAAAGTCGTTTCGGAACCACTTCATCAGTGCTCGTATCACGCAGTCCTGGTAGCCCCACGCAGGCTTGTGATTGCTTCCTAACGAAGCAGCTTCGGCTTGGAATAGGTCCGACTCTTCCTGTGCTTCATCGTATATTCTTTGCAACGGAATCTTCGCCAATGCCTCATCCAACAGTCCTGGGTTCTCCCACTTGCACGGCGTATTCGATAATGAGATGAGCATGTTGCGGAATCGTAGAGACTTGTTGTCGGTTGGCGGGGTCGGCACGGTCGGGATATTCTTCAAGGATGAGTATGCTGGAGGTGGTGATCGTGGAGGCGCAATGCCTTCGTGGGGTTGTTGCACATCTGGTACTGCTGGGGCTGTCCTGGTGGGCGGCGCTGGAGCGTCTCGAGACGGAAGCGGCGGGGTGGCCTGCGAGGGCACGACGACCAATTCGGTGCGCCGCGATGATGAGCGCCGTATTGAGCCTGGTCTGCTGCTGAGCTCATTCATGCGCTTGGTGGAGAGAGTTCGTCGGAATTGTGATGTCAAGTCGGCCGCCCAATTCTCTGGGAGCGGTTGCTGAGAGGGTACTGGCTTCCGCTTGGGAACGCCATTGTTGAACCCGTCCATCATGATGCGCGCCTCGCGTGTGTATTGGTATGTCGGTGTCGAAGGTGTGAGTCGCAGGAGTGAAGTGGTCGAGTGTTGCGCTGCGATGCGCTTTCGGATGATGTGCAGGCGCGGGCGCGGGCAGTGCTGAGACACTGCGTGTGGGTGGCGTGGCGGTGTTTAGTCCTACCGTAGAATGCGCGCTCCCGTCGAGCTGGCGGCGTGATGGCAGCGTTGTTGTCGCGGGGGACAGCAGAGACGTGCACCGGCTTCTGCAGTGTGGACGGTGGTGAAGAGATGAGCGGCAGTGGGAGAGTAGGTAGCATGTCTGCTACGCTACCAACAAGGGGATTACGCGGTCTTCCCTTCCACGCCAGCACGCCAGAGAGAGAGAGGGTCCGTGCGAGCCAAGATGCTGACGACGACTGCCTCGTCAAAAATGGCGGACACTCTCACACGCACACGCACAAAGCGTGGACTGCACCTGATGCTGCCATGTTACGATGCTGCTGTCGCTACGCAGCGCCATCGGACGTCGAGCGTCAACGTACACCTCATTATTACTTCTGCTTGTCTGCCTGTCGGGCTGTCTGGCAGGAGCATCCTGAGTCGACTGTTAGGGTTGCCTTGGCATCACGCAGCCCCATATACCTGGACCATCTCCACCGATCCGCTCTTCGCTCTGCGCGAGTGCTACTGTGCTGCTGTACCACGCAGCCGCACTCGTGCGCTCTCTATTATTCACGCCGAGAAGTCCACAGCACTCCTCTCCTGATGTTCTTGCTACTACTGTGCCCTTCTGACCGTCTGGCCCTGCTCTTGTCGGCACTCAGGAGGCCAGGGTCTAGAGTCTAGACATGGATCCTCAACTCTCTCCAGTGTCCACGCGAGGAGACCAGGTTACACCTTCTTCTGTCGAGTCAGCTTGGCGTGTCGAACGCGTGTCACTCCAGCTGCTTGCTACTTCTGACTTCCGACACCTGAATCAAAATTTGATCAACATTCGTGCTGATACATAGCCTCCCGTCAGAATCGCAGCCTTCTTGGAGCACAGAAATCGTGCAGACTCATCATGATCATGTCGCCGGTCACGGCGGCAGATCTTCATCGGGACCAATGATAGGCTGAGCTTTGTTATACGACTTGCATGGTGAATCTGTGACGCAAGCTCATCTGACCACGTGCATACAATTACAGCCAAGATATCGCACTCTGATGCCGACACCTTCTTCCAACATGTCCATATCATCGCATTTTAGGCAACGGCTTGCGTGGAAGCAGTCGACGATGAGTCTCGAAGACCTTCCCTTGCATCGGCATATTCTGTTCTGCTTACGAAGCCCTCAGTATCGCACACTATGCTCGCAGAAACGGGCCCCCTGTTCAGCGGGCCTTCACTTCCTGTGTAGGTCAGGATTTATTGATTCGTAGGCAGAGCGGCATCGAGCTTAGCAGTGCAAAAGCTTGGTATTGAGTGACCCACAGGATAGCAATTCTCTGCGCAGAACCAGTTTCCGTTTGTCTGAGCTTGTACAGCTGGCCCTAGCTCTTCTCAACCTGAAGACAAGACGCGCGACCTCAAGGGCCAACAGTACAACCACTGTTCTTATTCTTGTCCTTGATCAACATATCGATGTCTACTTCCTTCCCACCCTGGAGCATTGCTCTGAGATCTTTCTTGCCGCAATTGCCAAAATATTGACAAGTCGTAGTCCTACCGAATAGCTTGTCGTGTACATTAGAAGCGGCCCATAGCTCCAAGCATAGGAGTAATACCAAAAGCCCCGTGACGGTGCCAATCAGATCTAGCGAGTCTAGGCTATGAGCTAACGGTAAGCAGATGAGGATGACGGCGACTGAAATGCGGAAGATCAACCGGAACTTCTTCGTCAATCGAACTCTGCCTTCCTGCTCACGGTGGATGTGAGAAATGGAGATCAAAGCCATAAAGAGGAGAGCAAGACCAAAACCACCGCAGTAGAACCAGCGGATCCCAACCGGTATGTGATCGCTCAGATGTTCTGCTCGCTCCTGGTATGTTTCTGTGAGCCAGTCGATATGAGAATTGGGCGAATCCGGCGCGATCACAAGTCTTGACAATCCAGCTCCGCCAAGAACGAAGGTCATGATAAATGGCAGGTGCGCAAAAGACCATGCGAAAGCACTCATCTTTTGTCGACGAATGGCATGCATAAGCAGATTCGAGCCATCAATCTCAAAGTACATCCAGTTGAAGATGAAGCACTGGATGAGACCTAAAATTCCCTTGCCATAGAAGGAGTCGATGCCGTTGACTGCGCTTTGGTATAGAATCGCTACGACTGTGTAGCCGAACACCAGCGATACGAAGGCATTTGTTCGCTCGGTTCTGTGCTCGATGTTGATCGCAGGATAGACTTGGAATTTGGCGCTGAACCACTCCCAAGCTGCAGCTTTTGTCAGTAGAGGCTCCTCAAGGCAGGCGCTATGGAGAGAATTGGCAATCATACCTTTGCCTCCGATCATATGAGTGACTAATTGTAGCCAGACATAACCAATGGAGCCAACAACGTCGACGAACAATGCACACCAAATCAAAGCAAGCTGATCGGGCCACGCCACATGAATTGAAGCGATCCAGAGGCCAGCACCGACAAGCACAATATAAAAATGCAAGATCATTGCACTTCTGATCATCGGAATAAAGTAGGCGCACAGAAGTAGGTACAGGCCCATAAACAACCTCGCTGCTAGATAGAATCCGATCAATCTGGAACTCGAGTCAGTAAGGCCATTCTCAGTAACAGCGCAGCTTACTCACGTTGCATATGACTCCTCAAATGCACTGACGATATTAGTCGTGTAGCCGAACAAACACGCAAGCAAGAAAAGGATGGAGACCCTCTGGAAAACGTCGTCGGTTTCGAACCACGAGATGAACAGGCTCATGTCGTTCCAGATCTTATAGGATAGCGTGAAAGTGATCACGAAGTGAAGAAGCGAGAGTCCAGTTGGGTCCTCAGAAGTGATATCGCCATTGATCTGCAGAATACCGACGTATAACAAATCTACGAAGAGTTCAAAGGATTGGACCTCTTCGCTTCCTGCGGACCTCCAGAGGATACCATTGTGGAAGTACTGGCGAAGCGTAGGTATCTTGAAGAGGCGAAGAGGTGTCGCGAAACCTCTTTCGCAAGGAGATCTACGCAGGAATCAACAAATCTGCAATGCACACAGCATCGCGAAGCGAAGACTGAAAACTTACTGCTGTTTCTCATGCATACTCGAATGCGGAGTCGCAGAACCAGAAGCACTCGGGCTCTCATCCTCATCATCGTAACTTCGAACGTTCGCATTATATCCGAAACGATTGAAATGTGCTTCCAGAGCTACGCCATGGCTCGTGACACGATCAAGCTCGTTCGAAAGGGCATCGAGCTCGTTGTGAATGTCTGCGAAGCGGTCATAGACTTCCCGGTGCTGCATTCGAAGCGACTCTCTTCGGTCCTCATGATGGCTTTGCGCTTCTCGTAGCGCGTCCAGATGCTCCGAGGTTCCAGAGATGTATACGTCGAATTCGTGGTCTTGGTGAATTTCACCTAACCTTTTCTTGAGCTGATCGGCTTCTTCTGGTGAGGCTGCTATGTGGATTTTCTTGCCATTGGGATGGACGAATTGGCGTAATCGCTCGCGAAGCCGAGCTGTATGGTGGTGGCGCCCCTGGGCGTGTTGAGAAATATGGTCGTCGGATTTCAGGCCAGCTACTGCGAGGTTTTGTTTCTCGAGGTCTCCGGAGACAGGAGAAGTGGACATCTTTGTGCCTTAGCTACGCATCACAGCAGCGACTGCTCGTGCCACACAACTCATTCTGAAGTTCGGAGAGTGTAGCTGGCGCGATATGAATCCTTCCGCTAGCTCTGTCTGGCAGACTTTGGAGAGCTGCAAGCCACAAATCTTGGCTGCTGATAAAGGTATCACTCAGCTAACCTACATGGTCGCCGCACTATTGCTGACGGAAACACGTGTCGACGCGATAAGCATCGATATATATCGCATGTGCAATCCTCAACCTACATCTATGGTGCTCGTGGACTCTCAAATGCACACGGAAGGCATGAGGAGCTCAGGCTTGCCACAAATCACACATGAAGCTCTCAAATCTTTCTTCCTCTTTCTGTGCTTTGACGGAGTCAGGTAGCAGGACTGCGAGTATGGCCTGGAGAAAGAGAACAGATTGTATGAGGCTGTTGGCCTTCCATGCAGCGGCAATCTCATTTAATGTGGTTGCGCTTGTTCGTGACTGCCTCTAGTTATGACAAGCACTGGACAGAAGCACTGCCAAGAAAGCTTCTGCTCTCTGGCGATGGGACACGCGATATGAAGGAGGTATATGTCGTTTGATAGAGTACGATGACCTGCAATCGTAGACTCATCCAGATCCAAAGTTCCATCCGTCGAAATCATCTTCTTCATCGTCATCGTCATCGTCGTCATCGTCAACGTCCTCTTCTTGTGCGGTGTCATGAATCGCTTTCGTCTCATTCTCGACGCTCGCACCAGTCGTCTCTCGTGCGACCGTCGTCGATCTCAATGCCTCCCGCTTCTCACGTAACTTTCTCGCACGTTCCTCCAGGCCCTCCATTTCCTCGAACTCATCCTCCATCAGTCGAGCCGCGTCCTCTTTTTCCGCCTCTAACTCTGCATCTCGTTTGCCCCGCTGCGCGCTCTGCTCTTCACGCGCTTGAGCCGCGATTTCTTCTGCAGTCATCGCTGGTGCCGAGATCGTGGCCTGGGCGTAGGAAGCATCTTTATGGCGAGTTGAGGCCTCTAACTCTGCAAGCTCTTTGTCCAACGCGGCAAGTTCGGCGATGTTGACCTCTTCGTCCCCTTTCGCGCCAGTCTGCTCAGGTTCTTGCTGTGTCGCTTGTGTCTTGGCTGTTGAAACCTCTTGCTTCAAATCCTGCTCATCTTGACCGATTCCTGGCTTCAAGCTGGTAGGCTTCTGCTTTTTCCTGTCCTCAGGCGATGTACTGTCTATAGTTGATGCCTTTCGCTTCTTGCTTGCTCCATTTGCGTCTCTTGCCGCCGCTGCTTCCTGAGCCCTACTCAAGCGCAGAGTATGTTGTGTCGAATGTAGATGGCTGTTCCAAGCGTTCTGTGTCTTGATCAACGTCTCGCACAAATTGCATAGCAGCTTGCCATCTTTCGTGTATGCTGCATGAGGGTGATTGATTTTTCGCGCTTCGCGACTCGCCTTGAGCATCGACCGTACGTCTGCCATTGCGAGCAAAGTAGTGTTCCGTGTAGAGGTGCAAGCTCTCGCTTTCACATGCCAATTCCAGCGCTCGCATCTGTACCAGCATACAGTTTAGACTGTTTAGTCATGACTCTAAGACTTCTGGCCACCATGACTTCTGCCGACTAAGCACAAGCCGAGTTTCTCCACCAGAGGTCCAGAGACTTTCCCTGGATCGCGCGAAACGAACCCTCTTCCTATCTCACCACCACCTATCGCCCATCTTCTACCCGACTCAGACCTCGACACAGCGCGTCGCATTGCAGTCGCGAGCTCTCAGCGATTACTACTCCAGCACATGCTCACTGGTAAGAGTTCGGCCGAATCAGTCGCGTGACCGGCGCAACGGAGGCAAGGAACAGCAAGCGGTCAACAACGACAGCAGCCTCAAGGTCTATTTTATACGTGGCGGCCACAGTCACTACGTGTGCATCGTCGCGGAGCATATCTGATACGGTGGTCTTTGGAAAGAAAGCGGCTCCTGCTCTCATTTCCTTCAATTGGCTGCAAGGATATCGGAGACCAGCAGCGCTTTCCAAAGCCACACAGAGCACCTTGTCTGCGCCTGTCATCTGAACGCCTTGTCTGGCGCCTGTCAGTGGGTGCTGGGAGGAATTCACAGACCAGCGCGCGCTGTCTCTGGCTCGCTATCTACGCGGAGACAGCTCAGGGATAGAAGGGAGACAGAAAGCGTATTTCTAGATACTACGTGAAGTTTTGAGAGCGTGTGAAACTGCTGTGTCTTGTCATCTACGTCTGCACGCCTTCCGCTCAAATCTACTATGGCTGGTAAGCATATCCTCCACCATGCACATGTAGACAGCATTTGGGACACTGTATAGCAGTTCGTCAGCCACAATGCAGTCTCATGTTACCCAAGACAGCTCACTAACATTTTATGCAGATGAACCTCGACGTTCTGGTCGCGCGACCAAAGGCCAGCACAAGAACGCCTCTTCCTCGCCTGCTCCAACTCCAAAGCCTCCAGCGGCAGCCCCCGGCAAGGCTACGACAGCGAAGAGCAAGCCAACCAAGAAGTCTCAAGACCCAGAACCAGAGGACGATGACGACGAGGACGAGACGATACGCTGCATTTGTGGCAACGACAACCCCAAAGACAAGCGCGCGTTCATCGGGTGCGAAGCGTGCCAGGTTTGGCAGCACAACGTCTGTATGGGAGTTCCCGACGATGAAGACGACATCCCAGATCACTATTTCTGCGAGGAATGCGCACCAGCCGAGCATGACGAGACTATACAGGCCATAAGCAGAGGCGAAAAGATCTGGGAGGTCCGCAATAAGATCTTTCAGAACGAGAAGAAGATGAGCAAGAGTAGGAAACAGAAGACCAAGAATGGCGAAGATTTCCGACCTGGCTGGTTGAAGAAAGACGTGCCGGCTGTGCCTGCGAAGACGCCAACACCTCCGCCTCCTACAGCGCCGGCGCCCAGCTCATCAAATGGCATCCGAGACAACAGCAATAAGCGGAAGCGCGAGGTGAGAGAGGAACCGGAGTCTCATGAAGCCCCAGAAGAAAAGCCTGAAAAACCTGCGCGACAAGAGAAGCGACGCAAATCATCGGCAGCTCCCTCCAAATCGACTCCAACACCTGCGGCATCAGTCGACACTGACACGGCTTTGGTCGACATTGATCAGTTGCCGGACGATCGGAAGAAAGTGGCATCTTCTCTGGCAGGGGTCATCGAGACTGACATCCAGAAGCGCATCAAAACAGGCTTGAAGCTCTCTGACGGTCAGACGGCGAAGTCGTCAGCTTTGCACCATGCCGCACGGATCGAGTACGCGCTTCATATGAACCACGGCGCTGGCCAATCGGAATATATTGCGCAATTCAGGAATCTCCTACCAAATCTGAAGAGAAACGCGCTCCTGATCCAACGTCTTCTCGATGGATCCTTGTCTGCTGACGAGCTCTCTACCATGAGCAGCAGCGACATGGCTAGCGAGGAACTGCAACGAGAGCGCGCAGAAATGAAGGAAGTGCTCGACCGACAAGCAGTTGCCATTGAGGAGCAAGGTCCAAAGTATGCGCAAGACCACAAAGGATACCATCTGATCGAAAACGAGTCGCATGCAAGCAGTGAGGATCGCGCACCCAAGAATGCACCAAGCAGCATTTCGCAGGCTCCTCCGCCTAGCGCTTCGCCTCCTCAGTCTACACAACCACCACTGGCTCTTGACACCAGCCGAGATGGTGAACGCCGCCCTTCAAGCCAGCAATTCGACATGAACAACATCTGGGCTAAGAGTGCACAGTCCCCAACTGGACCAACTCCACCCACCATTGGCAAGCCGCTGAAAGGTGCCCCTCGACGACGCAGCTCTGCGCATCCACCAAAGCCTCAAACCTTGAATGGCGCAAAGGACGATCCGGACATTGACCGGTTGCTCGAAGACGACAATGACGATTACGTGCCTCCCGATGCAGCAGGTGCCGATGCCATAGTCTGGCGAGGCAAGCTTGTACAAAGCTCAGAAGAGGAAGCTCCTACAGTGAACGCCCGATTTGTGGCCGGCCGCGATCTTGCGCCGACTGTCTCATGGCGATCATTGCTTCCACAGCGATTGTCGATTGACGGTCGCCTCGCTATTCAAAAGGCCGAAGACTATGTGAGTGGCCTCCGATGGAGCACGAGCAGTGATGTCGCGGTTTTGTCGCTCTCACCCTACGATAACGCCGAGGCTTTTAACAGCGTCTTTCAATATTTCCACTCCCGCGAGAGATACGCTGTTGTAGAGAAGGACAAGCCGCCAATGGTCAAGGACCTTTACATCATTCCAGTCGAGAAGGGGGGTGAGCTACCACCTCACCTGGACATGCTGGAGTACTGCGCGATCAAGAAGCCCATCGAAGAGAGAATGCTTCTTGCCACACTTGTCGTCGCGCGGGCACCGGAAAGCCCCACTAAAGTCGACAGCGCAGCTTCAGCGCAGTCGGTTGGTGCTAACGGGCATCTTCCGCCAAATGTAAGGCAGAGCATTGGAGGACCCCAAGGCTCGCCGATCACAAACCAGACGCCATTCTCGCCGGCGAACAGTGCGACAGCATCTGGCTATGGTGCTCCAGGTGGCTTCCCGCCAAACCCTTACGGACCTCAAGCATCGCAGCAACAACCGCCCGCTTACCCACCACCTCAGCAACAGTTTGTCGACAACCGCATCGCCCAGGTTCTTGGCGATTTGCAGTATGCACCGACCGCGCAAACCATTCTGCGGTCTGTTGAAGGAGGTACGTTCATTGACATCTTATTATATTGAGCATGTACTGACTGTACATCAGGTCTTAGCGATGAGCAGCTACAGAATCTTAAGACGATTCTATCCGAGGATGTCACGGCCAGGACAGACTTCGAAGCCTTGTCGAAGCGACTTGACGCGAAGCCATAGAATGACTCCGTGGAATTAAGTCAGCTTCGACAAATAGTGTTGGGCATCTTGCTGCAGCAGAGTCGCTTGAAGATGTTGTAGGAGACCATACAGCTGAGCTGTGTCTATAACGAGAGTGCAAATAAGGGAGTGTAGGCAGTCTCAGGATATCGGACAATGTTATGTAAATGCCAAGGAGTGCTAGACAAGGTGAGGTGAGATGATGGATAGCTGGAATCGCGAGCATTGAACAACGGTCATCGTCTGCAGAACAGTAATTGAGAAATGCAATCACGATCATGACTACGGTGCACACCAGCAGTGCCATATTCGTGCGTCTCTCATCCATACTTCGTTGTAAGCCTGTGCCTGTCCATGTGTGAGTAGTAGTGGCGGTTGTGCAGGGATCACGATCAATGCATGGTGGGGTCTGCAATTTGACCTCGTCGCTCCAAATTATTTGAAGGAGAGCTCCAGAAAACACTGCAGTGTGCATTTCAGGTTGACAACATCACACGACAGCCACAATGTCCGCCCAACAGGCCGCCGATGCGGTCAAGGACGCAGTCAGCAATGTTGCCGACAAGGTCTCACAGCTCACCACCGGCGAAGGCAGTTTGGCTGGTGGCACACAGCCAAACCTCCTCAAAGACGATGTCACCGGCGAAATGGTGTCCAAGACAGAATTGAAGAAGAGACAGAAGCAGCGCGAGAAGGATGCCAAAAAGGCGGAGCGCGATGCGAACAAGACGGCACCGCCAGCCTCCAAACGCAAGGCTGGTGCTGAGGCAGAAGATGAGTCGCAGCTCAATCCGAACGTGAGTCAATGCTGGGGCATGCACACATATACCTTTCATGATGTCGAATGTGCCATTACACGTCGCACAAGCTGACAATCATGGCTGATCAGCAATACTTCGAGCTGCGTTCGCGCGCCATCAAGCGTATGAAGGAGACCCAGAACCCAAATCCCTTTCCACACAAGTTCCATGTTACCTACGATCTTCGCAGCTTTGAGAAGGAATTTGGCCACCTCAAGAAGGGAGAAGTCCTCAAGGACAAAGTCATCAGTGTTGGATGTCGTGTCTACAATATCCGCACTGCTGGCGAGAACCTGCGCTTCTACGAGGTTGCCGTAAATGGCGCTGAAATCCAGATCATGGCGCAGAACCTCGAAAGCACCAGCAGCATCCCATTTGTCGAACAACACGATCATTTGCGAAGAGGAGATATTATCGGCGTAACGGGATACCCTGGACGAACAAGCCCAAAGAGAGAGGACAACCCCGGCGAGCTGTCCATCTTTGCTCAAGAAGTGATCCTACTCTCGCCCTGTCTTCACCAGATTCCTTCCGAGCACTACGGCTTCAAGGACCAGGAGGAGCGCTACCGCAACCGTCATCTAGATCTGATCATGAACAAGTCGTCTATGAACACCATGCTTACTCGATCGAGAATCACCAGCTATGTGCGAAGATATTTCGAGGACAATGGCTTCGTCGAAGTGGAGACCCCAATCTTGCTCAAGTCTGCAGGCGGTGCTACTGCCAAGCCCTTCTTCACGCATCACAACGACCTCAACATGACTCTTGCTCTCCGCATTGCTACAGAACTGCCTCTCAAGCAGCTGGTCATTGGTGGTATCCACAAGGTCTTTGAGCTCGGACGACAGTTCAGAAATGAGGGCATTGATCTCACGCACAACCCAGAGTTTACTACCTGCGAATATTATGAGGCTTTCACTGACGTTTACGATGTCATGAACCGTACAGAGGAACTAGTTGAGGGTATGGTCAAGTACGTGACAGGAGGCCTCCAGACCAAGTTCGTCACTCAGACTGGCGAGGTATACGATGTCAACTGGGCCAAGCCTTGGAAGCGAATTGAGATGATCCCAGCTCTGGAAGAGGCATGCGGCGAGAAGTTCCCTCCAAGCGATCAACTGCACACAGAGGAGACCAACCAGTTCCTGCGACGCATGCTCAAGAAGACAGGCCTCGAATGCCCACCCCCACTCACCAACGCTCGCATGGTTGACAAGATGGTTGGAGAATTCATCGAGGAGAAGTGTATCAATCCAACCTTCATCACCGGCCATCCACAAATGATGAGTCCGCTCGCCAAGTACCACCGTTCGCAACCAGGTATTTGTGAGCGCTTCGAGGCATTTGTTTGCAAGAAAGAAATTGTCAACGCTTACACGGAGTTGAACGATCCTTTCGACCAGCGCCTGCGTTTTGAGGAGCAGGCCCGACAGAAGGCCCAAGGTGATGATGAGGCACAGCCACTCGACGAGGGCTTCCTCAAGGCAATGGAATACGGCCTGCCACCGACTGGAGGTTGGGGTATGGGTATTGATCGCATGACTATGTTCCTGGCCAACCACTACAGCATCAAGGAAGTGCTTCCATTCCCATTCATGAAGGATGAGGTGCAAAATACTGGACCAAACAAGCTGGCGGCAGAGGTCACAGATGTCGAGCCACTTCCGGTAGAGGGCGTCACCCACAAGTAGAATTTGTCTTGTTGCGGCATACCCGAAGGACTGCATGAGTTACGTGTGATGCAAGATCAAAAGCTTGATAGACAAGGTGTGAGACGTAGAATCTCACCAGTTGAGCTCAATTACACGCTGAAATCCCATTCATGTCGCCTCTTTCGATGTGTGAAGGCCTACACCGCGTCTTGATTCTGCAAGCTTAGGCAGCTTCGTCATCTGTGATGCAGCTCTTCGCGGCGGGGCTTCGTGATTCCCACTGCAAGGTCTCACCATGCTCTTAGCAGAGTGCTTCCGAACCAATACTCTAGTCAATATCAATCTAGCATATATCCTTGCTGTTCTGTGAGCATCTCTCTGATCGGCATGATCATGAGCATGACCAGGTGTCCCAGCAGCGCAAAAGTCGCATGTCCCGTACTGATGGCGCGGTGCGTGTCTTGTATGTCTCTTCCTCGCAGTAATCCCTTCCTCTTAAGACATTCAAGCCCAGAACCTTATCAGGATCCGTCAAAAATGTCACATCCACAAAAATCTTCCAGGTCGAGGCCAAAAGCCAACACCAAAAAAGAAAAAACAATCCAAATCCTCCTCTTCCAAATCTCACTTATTCCCCTCCATCTTAACCACCTTCCCAAGTTCCCTCTTAACCACAACCGCCGCATCCTTAGCCGCATCCTTCGGAATCGTCAAATCCACAGTAGCCACACTCCCGTTCTTCCCCTCCTCAGAGAAATGTACCCGCGCCATAACCATTTTCATAGCTTCATCGTAACTCTGCGCGTCGCCGCTTCTGAAGAGTCTGTCAACGTAGTCGCGCACGGCTTGCGACCAGCCTGCTTCGTCGAGACGTTCTTGGAAAGATTGTTGGATGCGTTTTATGCCGCCGTTTTGGAGGAGGGCCATGGTGATTTGGTCTTGGGTGGTGGGGTTGAAGGCGGAGGTTGTGCCGTTGACGGTGACTTTTTTGCTTTCGTCGGGCGCCATGGTGGGAATATGTTTTGCGGGGGCCGAGTGGTGATATAGAAATCTTGTAGATTTGGTGTACTTGTAGTTCGGGCTGCGGCTCTTTATTAGAGTTCATGCAGGTCCCAGCTGGGGCACTTGTGCACAGGCTGCTTTCGGGCGTTTCACATGCTACGGAGCAGATACGTGTGAGCATGAGTTCTACATATGCATAGTGAGAGGTCCAGACGCGCGAAGACTAAAGACGTGGCCCAGATCATTGGTGACTGTTAGAACTCAATCATAGATGGAAAATACGGGTGACTTTCGGCATGCAAGGCTGGCTGCTTTAATAGCTATATCGAAATGTCAACTTCTCGTCGCCTCTTCTACCATCCTCAAGACCGAGCCGGCTGGCGAAAGCCAAGATCCCACAGCGTTTTGCAAGTCGATGTCCGAAGTGATCTCGAGCCGGAACATCACCGAGGAGCTGCTCGCGCTCTTTCTCTTCCTCGCTCCATCCCCGCAGCACATTGTCTCTGAATCTATTTTCTCGAAGCAATAGTATTCGGAAGAAAACAAATCCGACAAATGAAGCTAGTGAGCAGACGAGAAGGATCGTGAAAGACCTGATATAACCTCGATCCTTGTCTTTCGGCGTGAAGAGAATTTGCATGAAGACCTGTCGGCACAACCGAGTCAGTGTGATTTCGAAGACAAATGCTTTTGGATGTTACCTACCCCGGCAAGATTGCCCCAGCCGTTGATGCCTAGAAGGATAGCACGCTTCCCTTGCTCGGGTGTATTGTTTGCGAGCCATGCGACAGTCAATGGCGATGCAATGAATGATCCAGAAAGAAGCACGCAAAGTGAAACATATCGAAGCCAATAGTTGTTGACTGGTGATAAGACAGTCATGGCCAGACCGGCCAGCAACAAGACCAGACCAGATAGGATCGGGACAATGCGCGTGCGGCTTCGATCAGACCAGGCTGTAAAGATGAAGAGTACGATAGCGCCAAATGCAAAAGGTGGCGCAGACAACAAGTTCGAGGCTGCTGGTGACAATTTCAGAGAAGGCGAAAGCTCCTTGACCAGAATAGGCAGCAGAACACCAAACGCCGTTGCGGGTATCGCACTGAGGATGTTGCAAATGAGGAGATACCAGATCTTGTAGCTGAACACGGCAGAAAGGATGTCTTGCCGACTGAGCCCGGAATCGGCCGTGACAGACATTGCAGAGACCACAGAGTTAATTCTGCCCCTGCCATTTCTGTTGCTCCCGGCGAGCAGACGGTCGTGATCTGACCCGCCAGTGCCAGAGTCTGCAGGCTCATCAGGATCAAGTTCTACCTCTTCGAAGGGCTCCTCGTGGATTGGGTCCTCATGCATAGCGCTTTTGGCCTCGTGACTGGAGATGGTGTCCTGTCGCATTCGTGCTTCAGCCCACGTTCGCTCCTCGGGATTCAGAAACCAAGCAGAGTCTGCGGATCGAGGTAACCAGAGAAATCCAATCAAGGCAACAGTCATGGTCATGCAACCCTCGATCAGGAAAAGTACTTCCCAGCTCTTCCACCCGTGGTCTGCAGGCACATCTCGAGTCGAAGGAGGGAGACTTGGTCCACCGTCATCATTGTCATGTCCCGGGAACTCAGAAAAGATGCCCCAGCTTAGAATACCTCCAACAACACCCGATACAGCTGTCATGCCATAGAAGAATCCGAGCCGTACCGCAAACTCGTACTTTGTATAGAACAAGCTCATGTACGACACTGTCGTTGGGTAAAATCCGCTTTCCAGCGTAGCAATCATGACACGCAGCAGTATAAGATGCCATCTCTTGCGTACGAAGATGTGTAGAATCGTTGTCAAGCCCCACAGACTCATGCAGGTAGGCACATATCGCTGCATGCCATATCTTCGTCCTAGCGCGGCTCCTACAGGCTGTAAGAGCACGAACACGAAGAAGAACACTGCCATAGACGTATTGACATCCTTTCTGGAAAGTCCAGTGTCGAAGGTGAAGCCCGCTGTCTCTGCATTCCCAATATTTGATTTGTCCAGACTGTTGAGCAGAAATAATAAGGCCAGAAAAGGCAAGAGTATGGCATCAAGCTTCCGCACAGTCCTTCGATTGACCGTATCTTGTTGTTCTCCAACACCCAGAGCTACGGTGTTCGTTGTAAAATGACCACTTGTAGTGAGTGGCTGCCGCTCCCTCTCGTCTTCATCGTGCTGGTGACGCTCCCGTGCTGCGGGAGTCATGATCGCCGGCGTTTCCTCCAAAGATGAGCGGTGTACTTTCTGAAGTTCATATTCGCTTTCATCGTCGGAGGAGGGCGTATCCAGCATATGCTACGGTCAGACCTCGGGTGTCACCGCGTAGCGAGGCGGTCACAAGCATCTTGTCGTCTGATATGGATGGAAGGCACAACAACATCCTTCATCCTTGCGAGCACTAGGATCACTCCTTCCCGAACGCCGCCGGCCGAGTGCCAAGACTGTTGAGCTTCAAGGGCAGGCCTGACTTGTCTTGAATATACCAACTTCATCTCATGCTCCTGTCACTTCTACCACGTTAACAACATGTTCGACCGAATCACTTAAACTATCCCGCGGCGAAGGTACATCCGCGATTCAGGATCTACACTTTCACAGCTTGCGCCGGTCTCGGTGTCTCTTTTGCGGCTACGGAATACCGTGCCCGGCATTCTTCACAACAAACAAAACTTCGAGGCTATGATCAAGGCGGCAGATGTCCAAGTGAGGGAAAGTGTAGACAGCGCAATAATCGCTCGCACACCTGTAAGCTAACAGAAATGAATATTACAGGGTGTCTTATGCATTAATGGAGCCGCCTGGAGACAAAGGATGAGGACCGTGCCAATGCCTCCTACGGTAATTTTGTTGTGGACGGACTTCTGCGAAGATCACAGTAGATCTGCCTTCAACGAGTATTATATGCGGGAAGGAAGCACTACTGAGCGGCTCCATGAATGCATAAGACACCATGTATCTAGGTCAATACTAATATAGCCTAGGACTCTAGGCAGACCCAGCGAAAAAGGGTACAAGAGACCAGCTCTCAGCGAACTACTACCCTAGCATGATACAACGTCCTACGGTCTCCTACCCACCGATGGTCCGACATGTGGCAAGGGGTCCAGGCGTCTATTATGCGGTCTAGGCAGCTGCACAGAAGAACAGAAACAGAGATTGTCGAGACGACGGGATAGTATTCACGAGTACAGGTGAGATGGTGTTTTCAGGGTAGTGCGACGGCGGCTGACTGTGACATTGATTTTCTGGCATTAATCACGATGCATCACTGATAGATATATATAACCAACTCCTTCCTCCCTGGGTTTTCCAATACCTGTCGTCAATCATCATACTTCCTACACACCCATCTCATTCGCAGGTGGGAAGACGAGGGTGAAGTCGCATTGGCTGATGGCTGCCGCCAAATTGTCTTTGTTCAGCTGAATACCTTGCGTAATCTCGTCCTTGAGCTTGGCGAGGACTGGCTTGTCGACGGCATAGTTGCCAGTCAAACCTGCGACTTGGGCTTTTTCCGTCTCTTGGGCGGCGGCATACTCAGTCAACCCGGGAATCGCTGGGTTGCCGGCTGGGGCAATCTGTGGGTGCAGGGGTCAGTAATGAGTTGCAAGGAATCTGCTTATTAGTAGAGAGATGGATAGTATGTACCTGTTGGTTGAAGAGACGAATGTTCATTCCAGTTTGAATGTCGGATTGCTAAGACGATAGTCAGTATGGAGTCCGGTCATGGTTGTTCGCTTTCGTGTCTCTTACAAGCTGGCCCTTTGCATTGTCGAACTCTGCCGCGGTGCCTTTGGAAGACTCGACTTGATCAACTTTGACGGTGCCATTGTATTCAGCGTATTGTGCATTGATGTTCAAGTGAATGCCAGCCGCAAGCGCAATTTCACCTTGTGTGCATGCGCGTCTCTTTATCTCGCCATACGGTTGTGGAGCAGCTGGCAGAGAGATGGCCGTGGACGTGCCGAGGATGGCTGCAGAGATCAAGGTGAGCTTCATGATGTTTGGTGTGTATTGATGGATACGAGCATGGACGCGCCAGGACGAACAATTTATATTTGATAGCGGACTCGATCGCACCGAGCCGGAAAGTCTTGCAAGCCGTGCAGTTGATGGACAAGGAACAAGGAACTGTTCATCTCCGCACGGTGCATCTCGCACTTTGCAGGAAGTATACAGTGTAGATCTGCCGTTTAAACTCAGGAACAAGCTCAAGGTGAGCAGAGCTAATATGCAAAATTAAAGCTTGTCCAGAACCAGAGCTATTTTGGAAGAGCCGAATGTTGATTAACACCAGTGACGTAGAGTTCATCGGGCCAAATGACAAACCTCGCAGTTCTAGGCTCACATGTATTTATACAGAATTTGGTCTGTGCCGAGGAAGTGTCTTTTTCTGATGCATTCGCTGAAGCCCAGACAACTGTTGATTGGTTGGTATCTCCATTCTCGAAGCAGCGCAAACGCGCCGTGAAGCTTACACTGGCCCTTTCATCATCAATGCGAACGCGTCTTGGCAGTAAGGATGTGCTGTTGGTTTTCGTCGAACGCCACGCGAGAATAGAAAACAAGTGCACGGGCATGCGCAATACTTCTCTTCATAACTTAGCTCATCCGGCGATTCCTCGTCTAGAACAATTCTTTCCTTCTCGTCGTAACTCTCGTACCTGTCCTTCAAGATGCACACACCCATTAGCAATAAAGCAATTGCAACACTCCCCAACTCCGCGCCTTTTATGATGTTCATAGGAGCGAGGCCCATGCCAATGATCTCAAGTACGTCGTCCCATTGTCGCAGTCGACGTGGTCGATGGGGTTTCGTCTCGAACATAGTCGCCGAATTTGATTTCGCCGAACTCCTCGAATTCAGGATAGTCATCTGAAGCTGAAAGACTTTTGTAAACAAAGCTCAAGCACATGAAAGATAAGATATGGGGTCTAGTATGCTCTCTGTGGAATAGTACCTGGCATGGGCTGCGTGAAGCCGCCTTGCGCAGCTTGGGTTGATCGTTGATTGAGCTCGGCAAACCATGGATGCGCAAGTGCTTGTTGAGCACTACATCTCATCTCTGGCCGGAGCTGCAGAAGCTGACCGAGCAATTGCAGACCCAGCGAATCGACCTGGGGCAGAATGTTCCGGAGCTCCTGAGTCGCGTACACTGGCCATGTCTGCTTGTACTCCGGAAACTGGCTGATTCCTGGCCAGCTTCGTTCTGAAGGCGTGCCCATCAGTCTGAAGATCTTGAGCAGCTGGTCCTCATTCGTGGTGCCTGGGAACAGCGGCCGTCCAGTGAACATTTCAGCCATAATGCAGCCGGCGCTCCAGATGTCGATGCTAGTGTTATAGGTGCGACTGCCGAGGAGGACGTCGGGTGCACGATACCATAGTGTCACGACCTCATTGGAGAAGGTGTTCACCGGGATACCGAAAGCACGGGCAAGGCCAAAGTCTCCCAGCTTGAGCTGGCCTTGCGCGTTGATGAGTAGATTTTGTGGCTTAAGATCGCGGTGCAGCACTCGGTTGTCATGACAAAAGGCGATACCACGTAGGAGCTGCCACATGAAGCTCTTGATAGTGGCTGGGTCGAGGGCGCCTCGAGTGCCGCCTGAAGGGTTCTGGTAGCTGTCCATGTACTTCTTGAGGTCCTTGTCCATGTACTCGAACACCAGCATGAGCTTGTTCTCGGTGTGGATCACATCGTAGAGGCTGACTATGTTCTCGTGCTTCAATTCCTTCATGAGAGAGATCTCGCGGATGGCGGTACTTGGCGTGCCTTCTTCGCTGTCCAGATGGATCTCCTTGAGTGCGACAAATTGGCCGGTCTGGCCATTGCGGCCCTTGAAGACCTACAGAAATGTCAGTTTTTCGATGCGCCTCGGCTTCTGCGGAGAATACTGCATACCGTTGCATAAGTGCCTTCTCCCAGCTTCTCCAGCTGCTGAAAGCTGGACGGGTGCCGCTTGTCCATGCTCTCGACTCTGCTGCCGCCGCCCAGACTCCGCACCGAGATATTGCTGTCGGTGCGGTTGCCGACGCTGAGAGTGCCGACGTGGGTGGGAGCGAGTCGTATGTCTGGCGGACCCTTGCGCGTGTAGTTCGAGTCCCAGAGGATGTCTCGTGCAGTCCTGAGCTGATTGGCGATGTTCAAGGGCGATGTCGTATTGGCGGTGGCAGTGGCGGTCGATCGGTCGTGGGGAGTTGATTCGGCCGTTTTGGCGGTGTTCGAGGTGAGCTTGAGCTTGTGAGCAATATGGATGGGCGAGTGTCTTGGGATTCTGAGCTAGACGGCGGGCGGGCAGGCTGCACTGCACTCTCCGGACTTGCAGAACTGGGTGGGACACAAGAATGGGAGCTGGGAGCTGTCTCGCATGCACTCTACCGTATACTGCGCGCGGAAGCAACACGATGTCTCCAACTCGCAACGACGACCATACAAGACTGCAGTGAGCAGACAGCCACGCGCTTGGTAGCCGCCTTCCTGTTGTCCCTTGCCTGCCGCAGATGACGATTGGGTCACATGCGTGAAGATGCCAAACTTTCTTCCTTCGTGAAGCGCCTACAACACGCCACTATCATACGAAGCATTCTTCTCGTCGTTAACAAGAGCAGGCCTCTGTCTCTGGCACGATACATTGCACGGCTTCCGACGTCTCCGAGCGTATTGTCTTGTGCAAGCTGTCTTGGCGGCCAAGCACGCAATGATACTGACCAGAAGGACAAAGTCATAGGCTGACGGTCTTGTGGGATATATGTAGGTATATCCTAGTCAAACGCTCCAAGAGCAAACTCATCTACTTGCGCTCCAGAGCCCAGTCCCAATCTCGGGTATAAAACTCCACCTCCGCATCCAAAGTCCAAACCATGCCCGCGGCCAAATCGCTATGCTCTAAGTCTATAGCGCCCTCTACAGTTTCTGATCATCTCCCAATGCATTATCGTCACTATATATCTCATCAAGTGTCGCGATGTTTCGTCGCTTCAAATTTCGCATCAATTGAACGTGCATTCAAGGTTGTCATTTGAAGTCCACTCAGCATTCGTTGAACGCCAGGTAGGTTACGTTCAGGCGGTGGTGTGTGTCCGGCTGTAGAATTGTCGCTTTCCCACAAACATCTCTTGTAGGCTATGCTGGGTGAAGCCGGCTGCGACAAGAAGGCACGAATATACTCGTCTGCTAGGCGGTCCTGATGTGGAGTCGTCGATCCACTGTCCTCTTCGCCATCCTTGTCATCGCCTAGGTCGTCATCGTCGTATGAAGTGATAGGAGAGGAACGTCCTGACATTGTCTCGTCAGACGAAGAGATGTGCTGCGGCTCGGTACTGCCCAGATTGATCGTAAAGTTAGGTATTGCTGAAGTAACGGTCAGTGGTTCGTACATCGACCGAGTGAATCGATATAAGCCCCGTCTGCCTCGATCTCTCCGGGCAGGGGGTATGAAACTGGAGCTAAGTGTACGCATCTTCGACAGACCTCGCTCCGACCTAGTCGATGATATTGCTCGCCGGTATTTAACAGGTGAGTCTTTTCGAGTTCCGACGATTTGTGTTTGTATTTGGGAGATGGCCGCATCCAGAGCCAATTCAATGGCAACCATATTGCGTATGCGACACAGGTGCGGCCATGTTTGACGCTCGCCAACCCGTGAAGCTTCAAGCATGAATTGTGGTGTCGGATTCGCTAACACTGCAAGTAGGCCAACATTTTCCGCAAAGGTCTCGGCCGGCAACAATGTAATGTCCCCATCGTATTTCTGTGTCAAAACAGAAAATGCCATCTTGACTGGGAAGTAGTCAATTCCCATATCCACAAGCCCAGCAAGAAGTTTGACAGCACCAGCATGACCCACCCCAGAGACCTTGTGTATGAAATTGGCCACTTTGCGCTGGCCTCTAGGTTTGATGTGAGGCGTCACATGCGGATTGACCTGACTGGCGATGAAGTTGTTTACGTTGAACAATCGCTCCAGGATGTGAGACGGCAGATCGCCTTCGATGGAGCCATCAATGTAATCGAGGTCCTTGTCGCCCCATGGCTTGATCTCGCCAGTCTCTGTATCCTTAGCTTGAAGCCCTGGTGGCACAAACACAAATGGTAAGGCGCACGAAGAGGCCACAGCGGTCCAGATGACAACGTTGGGAGAGGTGATATAGTTCAAGAGACGCGGCAAATTATGCCGATCTTTCGACGAGACATGAATATTCAAGACCATTCCTGTCTGGTTGTAGGCCTCTCGGAAAGTCACATCGCCCAACAACTCTTTCATTACCCGACAGAGATTCTCGATTCGAAAAGCGGGTTCGCCTCGAAGGATGTTTGCGAGCGCTCCAGCCAGGCCTTGTGGTTCATCGTCGCTTTGGAAGACCTTGAGATCGCCACTGCAAAGATCATGTAGTTTGGCGAGGAGGGCTTCCTTTCGATTTGTGCAGAGAACTGCTCCGACGATGCTTCCGGCAGAAGAGCCGCAGACGATCTTTGGCAGGAGCTTGGCCTCCAGAAGGGCTTTGACGACTCCAATATGGCACATGCCCAAAGTACCGCCGCCAGAAAGCATAAGAGCAGTTGTGCCAAATGAGTCTCTAGCATCCTTGATCGTCTCGAGATACTTGTGACAGTATTCCGGTTCCATCTCGCAATGCGCGACCACACGATCGATTGTGTACTTGACCACTTCCGTGTACTCCTCGATGATGTGCTTGGTCCCATTATAGCAATGCTCGTAGAGACGAGGATTGCACATGCCGCCCAAGTCCCTCTTGAGAGATTCTCGGATATGCAATAACATCTGGTCGAAGTTTGATCGCTTGTTCGCATCCTTGAGATTCTCCAACCGCTTCTTGACCAGATCTATGTCCAAGAATTGCGAATCATCCTCCATCTTCCACCAGTGGTTGCCCTCCAGCAAATCCAACTGTTCGGCGGCACGTTGCCATTCTGCAGCACTCTTCGCCCCACCCAATCGCTCTTTCAATATCCATGCCTTCGTTTCTGCTGTAAGATCATATCCAACGCCTGGATTGTTCTTTGCCCAGTGTCCAGAATCGAGCAGATCCTGTGCGATGCGTAGCGGCCATGGTGACGACTTCGCAGGTGAGGGCTGGTATTGGACGGCGCTGAAAGTCTTGTTGAAGCCGTATGTCGGACTGTTCGTCTGCATGCCCACGCGTCCGGTATTCCATGCGATACGGGTCTCCTCCTTGTTGCCTTTTATTGCGTGCATGCGGGCGGCAGCAGACTCATTTGTTCGCTGTGTGCGGGTTAAGTTTCTCTTTTGTACATTCCCCACCAGGCAGGACGGAGGCAGTGTTCACAGTTCCCCTGCCAATCGTCGCCATGTACAAAGGGAATAGTAGGCAGGAAGGAGTGGTGGGTAGTCGGGTCAGATCAATCCTGACCGCTCGGTCATAAGGTAATAAGGCACCCACTATACGACGGGATCTTTGCGATTGCGCTACAGCGTGGCGCGTGATAGACAAAGCCGGCGCGGATGCAGCTTCACATCTGCCGTGCGAGAGGGCAAATTGGAATGCGCTGCTGCTGCTAACTAGCACATTGGGCTGGAGCAGGCGCGCATGTGCAACAAGGTGCTCAGTCGTCACTTCCCGTTCTCCAGTCAGGAATGTCCATGAAGAGGATGCGAGCGCAGGCCACATGTCCAAAGCACACGACCAGCCTTACATCATTCCATGCCAAGCCTCCCCTCACAAGGAACCGGATTACGCAGGACTTACTTAACCAGCCCACCCTCGCCCTTGCCCGACACCTCATCCGACTTCAGCCTGGGCAAGTTGAGGGCTGCATCAAACGCCATGGCGTGCCTTTTCTTCACGCCATCATAACGACTGCACCTGCACCCGTGCCTGGTCATTGGACGCGGCAATCACTGCAGGCCTGCTGGGAGAGCAGATCCCCCAGGTTCCACGACTTCATGCCTGCCACTACTGCTGCACTAGGTGACCGCCAGATCAAATACAAATTTCCACCCGCAAACACTTCACGGCAACACTCCAACTCTATGTCCACGAGGCGGAGTCTGGTCCGGACCAGCGGATAAATTTACCTCTCTTTCGCTCTCTTGAAATTCCTCCGAAGTCCTGCTTTGCCGACGGGAATCATGACTGCAAATGCTGACAGCTGAACCGGAATATCACGCGGCGGTCTGACCCAGGGATGCAGAAGCCTGCAGCGCCGTCCCTCGCGGAGGTGCAGCTCTGCTGCCGGCCTGTGTCAGCCGCTTTCGCCATTCACATGAAAGGAGTCAACCAAGTCTGAAACATGCGCACGCATGCCCAACAGCGTCTTCATATGACGACGTCTATCCTGCCAATTGCATTGTTCTGCTTCGTGTCTCCATTCGTGTATTGTCTCGTACGGAGAGAACATGAAAGGTGACAGGGATCCAGAATTTCTCGTTCACATGCATAAGTTCGTATATACGTATCATCATGGGTATCTATTCCACGCTACCTCGGGCCTGAACAACGAGCAAACTAGCCTTAATCCCACTCTGCGCAATGGTGTCCGCTGCAGCACCCAAACACGCTTGGGTAATAGGGCTGCCTTTCCTGAATTGCTCAACATGTCGGCCAAGCACAACGATGTCCCCTCCATTCTTTGGATTTTGTGCGAGCTCCTGTTGCGCTTTCAACAATGCATCGCTGATAGGATCCTTGCTGTTGCGAACTGTTTCGAAGACAATCCGATTAGATACCTCAGCGGGAACAGATTTCTGGATAGCGGCGAAGAAGGCCCCATATCCTGCTCCAGATGAGGCGCGGGAGACCATGGAAGAAGCAACAGGCTGCTTGGACTCAGCATCCTTGGTCGTGACAACCTCATGCGTAGCTGGTATAGACGTTATTGCATCTGTGGACTCGTAGTGGACGATAGTTGCTGTCACCCCAGGATTCTCCACGAGCTGCAGAACCAATCTCAGTGCAACACGATCGTCAGGGCCCAGGCCAAAGAATGGCATGAAGATGTGATGGCTTTGATCGACGCCCAAAGTTGTCGCATGCTCTCGTTGGCTCCGCACACTCAATGCGCTTAGAGTTCGATGAAGACTATGCGACCTCTGTTTCAGTGTGCCTGAGAAGCCTTTGTTGATGAAAATCGCAGTATGGCAGTGTGTGGCGTCGAGTGTTTCGCGGACGAAGGCGCTGTATTGGTCGCTAGCAAGTTTATTCTTTACGTTATCCGTAGAGACCGTCTGCTTCTCTGAAAGGGTGCCAGTCTCGCTCCAGGGTATGAGGAGAAGGTCAGAGGACTCCTCGCTAGCTTTGTTGACAAGAGTTTCTGCAAAACTGCTTTCTGGAATCACGGCGACTTCTCCTGAAACGGCAAGATTGAAAAGTTGTCCAAGCACCCGGAATGCGTTGAGGATGGGGTCGAAAAGGGAGTACTCGTCGGCTTCGCTCACCTTCATCACAGAGGATCCACGATCGCCAAGCTCGACAAGTCTCACTCCATGCACAGTGACTCGTTTAGTGCTCTGGACCGGCGCTTGATAGTGTGGCTCGTCGTCCTTTTCTTGAGACTTCGAAGGATGGTCCCTGTGCGGGCCATCCAGCATTTTGTTGCCAAGTAGTGACACGAGCGCAAGCAGCGTTGGCATGTTGTCGAGTCGAAGGTAGACCAGCAGATTCCTAATCTTCGCTGATTCCTCCTTTTGCCTAACAACGCTGTCCGCATCGCCATTGTCATTGATTGGCTTGCCTGTATCCCAGTCGATCTCTCCACGCTTCCAGGCTTCGATCTTGCGTTGATACCAAGGCGGGTACAGCCATTGAACAAGTGGTGTTGTAGCAAACGTCGTGACCAGAGCCATGACTACGAAAATAGTGAACGTCCTCGTGCTCAAGATGCGCGCTTGAAGACCAATATTGAGCACAATCAGCTCAACCAGACCTTTGCAGGACATGAGTGCTCCTATTGTGAATGACTCTCTCCAGACCAGACCATTGATTCTAGCACCCAGTGTACCACCGACGAATTTCGCAATGAACGCGATCGCAATAACACCAATGACATAGGCCCAGGTGATGCCGTTGTCCAGAAGTCCGATGTTTGTCGAAAGACCAGAAAGCGCAAAGTAAAGAGGCAAGAAGAGTGCTCCCACCAGATCCTCGATCTTTTCAGTCATCTTGATCGCAAAACCACCCTCATGCGGGCAGATGAGGCCAGCCATGAATGCACCGAAGATGGCGTGAACTCCGATTACCCCAGTGAAGAATGCCGATGCCAGCATCACCAGTAGTGTGACAACAATCACACTCTGCGATGGCCCATCCTGTATTGCGCGATTTCGTCTTAGATACCACAAGAAGACAGGTCGGACAGCGACGAACAGGAAGAGAGCGTAACCAACGCAAGTCAACACGACCCATAGCGCGGTCAGGCCACTTCCAGCATTCACCAGTGCGACGCAAAGTGCCAAAAGGATCCAGCCGACTACGTCGTTCGAAACGCCCGCAGCGAGCGTAATAATGCCGACAGATGTGTGTAATAGCTTCAGCTCGGTCAAAATGCGACATAGAACCGGAAAGGCCTGTGCACAGTCAGATGGGAGTCCCTCGCAGATGCGCGCCTTACGATACCGTTATAGCCATGGCAATGCCAATGAACAGCATGAATGTCCCAAAGTTGATGGACACGATATTTGGTTCGTCCTTGAACTCATTATAAAGTCCCCAAGCTACTGCGCAACCAAGACCAAATGGCAGAATCATGCCTACAGCTCCTACGCTCAAAGCAACTCTCCAATTGCTGAAGAAGTAGCGCATGTCTATTTCCAGACCGACCATGAACAGGAAGAGGATGAGACCAAGATTGGCGGCATTGTTGAGGTTGGGGAGTGAGGCTGTTGGAAAGATGGCGTCGGTGAAGCCAGGTATTCGTCCCATTACAGAAGGACCCAACAGAATTCCTCCAATGACTTCGGCGATCACTCGAGGTTGGCGTATTCGGGAGAGAGGCCAATGGAGAAGGCGGCAGAAGATGATGATCAGGCCAGCTTGGATAATGAAGAGGATGATGGGGTTCTCGTGAAAAATCAGCTCTTTCCGATGCTTATCTTGCGAGTGGTTTGCAAACCTTGGTGTCATAGTGAGTAGGGTTTCCGCCTTCGAGAATACCACCTTGAGGAGCGGCTCTGAAGGTCGAGGTAGGCGAAGCCGAGCCAGCGGTCTGGGTCAGCGTCACGAAGTGTGTGACTGGAGTTGCCATTGTTGCTGTATACCACTCTTCGAGTATGGATGGTAGCAGTGCACAGTGCGCGTCGGAGATTGCGAAGACCCAGATGGGCTTCAAAGACCACTACGACCTTTGTTTACTTCACAGGCATTGCGCTGCAGAAACAGTCAGCTGGCACATGGAAGGCCGTCGGACGGAGGTGGTGTATGGGGAAGAAGCACGAGATCAGAAATGCCCAGCGACAATAGCTGAGCGTGACCTACGCTGATGGGCTTACGGGCATGGCCTGCCGCCTGCACAAAGGCTTGGAGAGGTCGAGCCCTTGGCGATGAGCTTGCCACTGCTTGGGGCTAGAATTGATTTCACGCAGCACGCTCACCGCCGGCTTAAGAAGCTTCCATATGATGGCACATGCAATGCAAGCCACTAACTTAGCTGAAGCCTGAAGCGTGTGGTACAATAAGGTTGTTCTCGGCTTGTCGTCTCGTGGCCGACCAGACCAGCAGCTCCCACCACATGCCAGCATCATTTGCGACCTTCCGCTGTCTTCACCCTGCTCGACACAACCACGAGAGCTGCAGCCACCTGCAACTACTGGCGATGCGATGAGATGAAATGGTTCGCGCCAAGTTCTGTGCGACAATGGCGCCGCCACGATTTCACGATGCGCAGGCGCAGGCGCAGGCTCGGCAAGTCAGCTCACCACAATAGACTTTTGTGAGAAGGCGCTAAAAGTGCGTCTCGACCAGGGGTTTGATCTTCACACGAGAAATAGAGCGTTCTAGCGCGTCGCTCGGAAAGTGTAATTCTTCGGTCACAAATTTGTCCTCTGTCATCAGTCCGCAGACTTCATCTGCTGAAATGCGAATAATGGCGGGCTCTGGCTCTGGCTCTGGCTCTGGCTGTTGAATCTTCTGCCAGCTGTCAAAACCTGCCGATCAAATCAAGGCCCACTGCTAGCAAAGAGAACGAATGCTCAGTCGATGCTAACAATGCATCCACACGAGCGATGCCCAAGGAACCCACGTGTCTATCTATGGCCATGAACGCCGTCCTGTCCTGGTTTGCAAGCTGTGGAGGACAGCGAGTTCCTCTGGTAGGGCTCCGGAACACTTCGGACACGCTGAGTTGCACGTTTGAAGCGCCAAATGAGCTCACGCGAATCCTCTTTCTTCCTCACCTTGCCCTTCCTCTTCTCGTCGTAGACTGGTAGAAGCTCGCAATCGAAGGATAGAACTAGCGCATCGCGGTCCGAGCTACACAGCTTTCACTATCACTGTTGTTGTCCGCAATGTAGCCGCACCAAATTTGACTGACGAACGATCCATGCGACTCATCACGTGGTCATGCGTGTCCATCGCGTGTGATCCCTGCAGTCTTGAGTCGAAGTGAATTGGTTTCTCACTCGTTCAAGACGGAGCTGCGCGGCTTCTGCCCTATCGTGATAGTGATCAAGACACGCAGTTCAAGTGAAAGGCACGGACAACATCGCTTCTGCAACAACATTGGCATACAAAAGCGCCAATTTCCCCTATTTTTGTCCTTCATCCACCGTCACAAGTGTTTCCACGCCAGCGAGGTGCTCGAGCCATCGCAACTCGTATGCAGACGCGCATCATCGAGTGCGGCGTTCACGACAGAAGTGGTTCTTGCAATTCCTGGTTGCAAAGCCTCGACGTCACTTGTGCAGATCACTTCCAGCCACCATCATCTGGAAACGCGCGCCTGACACGAAATTCCGACTTCTCGATTACAACTTCGCAACTTCGCAACTTCGCTCTTGATCGACTGCATTTTGGAGCGTTTGATCATTTTTCAGCGTCAATTGGTCAACAGGACACAGACTCGAAGCGAACGACACGGAAAAGAAAAGAGAAACATCTGCCAAGATGCCGCCCAAGAAGCAGCAAGCTGCTCAAGCACAGGCAGGCCCGCAGCAGAGACAGACTCGTGCGGGCAGAAAGAGACGGAATAGCGATACGAGCAATGCCTCTGATCGTCCATCAAGCAGTCATAGCATCGCCTCGACTCCTGCAAAGCGCCGCAAGCGAGGCAAGGCCGCCGCGAGCGTGGAACCAGAGGTTATTGTAGAAGAGGAGGAACAGGAACTCGTTGAAACCGCTACAGCCGACGGTGCCCTCGAAGCTGCCGATGCAGTCGTTAGGCCCGAGATGCACGTACAATTCGGCGGAAGACACTCATCGTCCATTCGTTTGAGTGAGGTCGAGAAGACGACTGCCACTCATATAACACCACACCCTCGCAAGAAGATGACTATCAAGCGTCGCCAGACAGGTTCCCCATCCACCAATGGCGAGGTTCTCGCCAAAAAGAAGATCACGACCACTCGGCACTCCTTGCCACCTGCGCTTTCCCAGCAAGAAGCTGCATATGTGGAGGAGCAAAGCCACCAATTTTCTTCTTTACATGAGATCATTGAATCACGAAAGCAAAGTCTGTTCGCCCTCCATGGCGAGCGCCTTGAGCATATTCGACATTTGGAACATCAGAAGTCATCTGGTAAGGATATGAATGGAGACATCCAGGCAAAAATTGTCGAGCTCAGGCAGCAGATGGCGGACGATGAGGAGTCGGCCGCGGTTCACCTTGACAACGACATGTACGTCTGGGAGAGCCAGGAAATGGTCACTTACCCGGAATTGCCCGAACACTCCTCATCTGGAGAAAGCCTTGAGACCAAACTGCTCATTGGCGACGACTCCTTGTCGCAGTCACAGTTCCGATCGAAAGAGCAAGTCTGGGACTCCGAGCGTCAGCGACTTGAGGATGCCATCTTAGCCTTGAGCCGTGAGGCAAACGAGCACAAGACGAAGCTTCAAATTCTTGAGATTGAGCTTTCGTCTCTTGGTCTCGGAGAAGGCGTGAATAGCAAGGCAGTGCTCATCAGCATTCGCGAGTCCTTCATTCGCATTCGCGAGAGCTTGGAAGCCATTCTACCTGGCTCGCTTCCGGAAGATATCAGCAATGAGGACGTTCTCAACATACTTGTTGCTAACGTCAAAGAGTTCGCTGATCGACTGAAGATCCAAGACCGTGAGCTTCACGAGAAGAGCTCTTTGATTGCAGATCTAAGTCGACAGATTGAGGGTTTGATCGATAGGCTTGCAGAAGCCGACTTCCGACGAGAACAGTTAGAGAAGCGTTTGGTGGAGGAGGAAGCCAAACTGGAGGTCAAGACTCAGGAGTGGGAGGATCTCCAGGTTGAGCTCAGCGAGGTGGAGGCTGAACGAGACAACTACCAAGATGAGCTGGACATCAAAGAGAAGGAAGCAAAGAGCCTTTTCGAAGACCTCACAAGTCGTGACAGCAACATCGACCGACTGACGCAATCTCTCCAGCACTACCAAAGTGAAGAGAAACGTCTGCTCGAGCTCATCACACGCATGGAAGAGGAGCACGGATCGACCTTGACTAAGATGAACCAAGAGCGCGAGAACACGGTACGGGACTTGGAGGACGGCTACGATGAGCAGGCACAGCAACGAGCTGCGGCAGAGCAGCTAGCCGCGGAACGCCTGGCTACAATTGACGCTCTCGAGTTGCAGAAGGAAACGCTTGAAAAGGAGAGAGATTCGCTGCGCGACAAGCTGGACGATATGACCATCCAACGAGATGCTGAAGCCGACGCTCGTGAGACTGCCGAAACTGATCTTCAGGACCGCACTGTTGAGGTGGAAGATCTTGCCACCCGCGTCGACCGCCTTGAGGACGAGCTTGCCGACTTGACAAACCAGCTTGAGGAGCTTCGGCACCTGAATGAGACTGAGCGCACGCAGCGTGAGAATGCCGAGAATGCCCTTGATACAGCCAACGAAGACATTGAGGAGCTCACCGAGAATTTGAAGACACGCGGTGCCGAAGCCAATGAGCTTCGATCGAAATTGTGGGAGGTTCAGCAAAACCACGAGCGACAGATCAAGGAGCTCGAGCAGGCTGCTTCGGATCGCGATCAGCAGTACCAAAGCGACATTCAAGAGGAGGTCGATCGCAGAGAGGCCGCCGAGCTCGAATCGCAGGAGCGTGCTACCACTATCGAAGAGCTTCAGACACGTCTTGAAGAGGTTGAGTTGTCGATGAGCGAGCAGATTGCTGAACGCGATGAGCGGATCGCTCTTCTCGAGGAGGAAATCACCAGCAAGGACATTGAGATCAAGACTCTACGCGACGACTTGAAAGACACCAACAACCGTTTCGAGATATTCGAGGCTGAGGCAGCAGACAAGAGAGAAGAGTTGGAAAGCAGTATCGCCGCACTCCAGGCCATGATCTCGGGGCATGAAGCCACCATTTCAAGCCTGCAACAGGAGGTCTTGAACGAGTCTGCTCTTCACACATCCGAGATTGACGATCGGAACAGCACCATCGCCGAGCTCAACCACGATGTGGCTGTCCTGAAGATTAAGGTTACCGAGCTCGAGGCCGACAAGTCGAGCCTGGAGCGTCGTGTTGAGCAAGAGGCCGAGCAGATGCTTCAGCTTCAGGCAGAGAAGGAGGATGAGCTTGAAGCGTTGAGAGCCACTATTAATGACAAGCAGGCTAAGATCCAGATCGTCGAACAGAAGGCCATCGAGGCAGACCAGCGCTGGCAAGATCTCCTCAATTCTAGAGAGGAAGACATTCGCGAGCTTCGCGAAGCTCAGACGTCCAGCATCGAGACCGTATCAATCTTGGAGAGTGAGATCCAGATCATCAAGTCGCGCTTCGCTGAGTACATTCGAAAGACGACCGGCAGAATCACACGTCTTCAAGAAGATCTCGCGCGGGCTAAGGCCACTGCGGATGAAGAGGGCGCAGAGATCATTACGGAGGGCGAGAGCTTGTTGGTGGATTTCGAAGCAATGGGAAGCAAGAGTGCTACAGGTGAGTGAACCGTGACATCATACCGTCGAGTGACATCCTGCTGACGCCTTTCTCTAGTCACCACCAAGACCACTCACTCCTCGTCCTCTCAGAAGCAAGCTTCGCGTAAGACCCGAAGCAAGAAGCGCGTTCAGGACAGCGGCATTGGAATGGAGGATGAGGACGAGACTATGCTTGCTGCATAGATGCGATTGAAGTTTGGCTGCCAACCGCACAGGCTACGGATCCCAAAAATTGTAATTACATAGCGAGGCGCCGAGATTTTGTATAGGATCGGTAATTAGGAGGACATGGTTAATGGTTCTTAATGACTGTTGTGGTACACTGCTCTGTGGGACTTGCTAACGGTCGGCCAATGAAGTTCAAGGTCATGACGGTGCACCAAACAGGTGATGCAGGGAATATCGCTCGAAACTGTGGACGTCTTTCCGACCGAAGATGGATGCTGCTTTCTTGAAAAACATTCGTCCACCTTCTCGCGCCCTCGACGTGTCAGCCTGAACTTCCGACTTGACGGGACTCGTAAGGAGATCTGACATTTTGAGCTTCCATGAGGCCTTGGCCTTGGGAATTCGTATCCCGGCGTGCAAAACCATCAAACCCCAATGGAAGACACGATATTATTTCTGTGAGGCAAACTTCACTCAGCTAATCATTACCAGTTCGCTCTTGGTGGACAATTCGAAAAAAATCGGCATGTGTTACCTACTGGCTGGCTCTCCGACTCAGCCATGAGGACGCTGATAGAGCCTTATCTACAATGTGTACAGCTCCAGACCACGGAAGAGCTGCACCAAAAGGGTCGTGCAAAGAAAGACATGTGAATAGATATGGCTCGCGGCCAATCGAACTGCTGACTGACTTGGTAAGAAGATACTCGCGTGACGTCTATGGTCTATACAGTGTACACTCGCGGCAAAGCTCACTTTCTCCAAACAGGTGCTACTGTTCTCAAAGGAGCCACCGATACCGAATTGCAACGATTGTTTGAAGAAGCACGAGCTCGCTGACTTGCTCGTGGAGATAGTCTCGACCAGACAGCGCAAGAAAGATGGAAACTCGCAGAGTTCACAGTGGAATTCCCCTGTGCGTCTTCCTCTCGTCAAACCCCGTTTGCTTTTCGTCTGTCGGGGCCCTTCGTACGGGTCACGAGCTCCAGTCAGCTGCTCATCGTACATGATTGTCTTCCAGAGTTCATACCCCGGGCACCAGAGATGGTCGATGTACAGCACGCCGGAATCGCAGTGTCGCGACCGCCAAGCGCACAACCCGCCGGGCCCATTATTTGCTGTTTCGCGGGAGAATATTCTTGTTGCACCAGTAGTCTTCCCGTCGCCATCGCCTCCGCCCAGGCCCTCAGCCTCAGGCAGCAAGGGCAGTCTTGCTCGGTGATGCGACGTATACGGAGTTACATACGCGCGCGTCGACGCGAATACCTGCCGTGTTGTCCGATGTCTCCAGCCGGCACCGAAGCACCCTGAACCTGAAAAGTAGTAGTCTCCATTCAGACGCCCCTTCCTTACTTTGGCGGAGCAAGCCACCTTCCTGCCTTCCGCAGAGCGTTTGTATAGAGACAGGTGCCATGGTTGTGAGTACGCCAATTGGCAACTCGCTGGCCCAGTGCCATTTCGTGCCACTCGTCATGCTCGATATGGTTGATGGGCCACTTTTTCCCGTCTTTCTCGCCGTACGCGAAAAAAAAAGCATCCATGAAGACTTCAAGGTCTCAGCTCACAGAACAAATTTTGAGACGAGGCACGATGGTAGACTTCGCTGATCGATGAGGTGGTGCTGTTGCTAATGACGATGTCTTTGTTTCGGATGGAGATCAGGTATGCATGAAACTTCAGATATAGAGTTTTAGAAGAACGTCGTTCTGTTCCTGACGCGAACGTCGACATCGCTGACAAGTTCCAGTCAAGAAGTGATGCTTCATGAACGACGAAGACGAGAGCACCGGTTGGAAGTGAACATTCACTTGCGCATTGCCAAGCAGGCGCAGTCATTGACTGATTGACAAGTGAGCGTATTGATACTGACATGAGTTCAGATGGCAACAGATTCAGCGCATTATGTACAGCCCATAACATCGATGACGAAACACCAGACTACCGAGAGAATCTATCCGCGTTGTTCATGACCGTTCCAAAATTCAAGAAAACCCTGCGTATACATTGTTGATACTGTACAATGCTATCCTAGCACCAAGAGCCCTGTCGCATGCATCCCAGCCTTCGACCGCATTGTCGATTACATTACTCTTCGACAGCCGCATAAGCCACCATGTCTTGATGAAACCTGTTCCAAGCCAAAGCAACTCATGGGTATCTCGCGCCTGTCCAACGCAAGGTCATAGCCGTACTGTTATTTTCGCTTCTGGCGGCCAGGTATGACCATACATCACGCAAAGACCCGCTTAGAGGAAGAAAGCCATGATGGCAGCCACACCAGCGAAGCCGCCAGCAACGTTCAGAGCGGCGGCAGCGCCAGTGTATGGCATGGGGCTGGAGGGATATGATCCGGCGCCCGTGCCTGTAGGCATGACAGGCGAGACTGGCGATCCAGTGCCTAGAGTATGATTAGTGATCCTCAGTGGTGTGACAAGAAAGCCATCTTGATCATCTCACCTGTAGGATACATTGGAGCTTCGCCGGAAGGATATGGAGGTTGGACAGGGCTGACTGGCTGCGATGGCTGAGCAGACCAGGAGCTGCTGGACTCAGGCGATGCTGGGTCTTGGCAAGGTCAGTATGCGCTGAGGTATAAAAGGAGTCGAACGTGAACTCACAGGTTGGGGGCGCTCCCGGAGCAGTCCACGAGCTGGACTCAGGCGATGCTGGGTCTTGAGAGGTCAGTGTGCGCTGAGGCATAAAAGGAGTCGAACGTGAACTCACAGGTTGGGGCCGCTCCCGGAGCAGTCCACGAGCTGGACTCAGGCGATGCTGGGTCTTGAGAGGTCAGTGTGCGCTGAGATGAAGTATTCGAATGTGAACTCACAGGTTGGAGCTGCTCCCGGTGCAGTCCAGGAGCTTGAGGACTTTGGCGACACTGGGTAGGAAGATGACCAGGAGCTGGACTCAGACATCGGTCTTTTCGACAATGTTAGCCATTTGGTCAAGCCCTACCTTGGATGCCCAACGACGGTTCGACTTACGGGTACGAAGCTGGTGGAGCTGGGGCAGACCAGCCGTAGCCTGGGGCGGATGGAGTGACGGCCGAAGCTGGTGGGCTGTAGACTGGCACGGTCATGGACTCCTCTGGCCAGCCCTCGGTGCAGGAAGTGGTCGGCTCAGCCGGCTCGTAGCCAGCTGGGCTGCTTGGAGTGTCGTAGGCTGGAGCCGGTGGCGCCTCGCCGTAAGAGGGCGCGCCTGGCATGGCCATGGCGCCAGCGAAGAGGGCAGTAGCAAGGAAAGCGTAGCGCATGTTGACTGATTGATCGGGAGTTTTCGAGAAAGAAGGGTTGAAAGTAGTGTGAATTGTGAAGTGAGTGACTGAAGCTGGCTGGAGCAGTTAAAGAGAGGACGACCGAAGTCAAGTATTACAGAAGTCGTTGGCTTGAGATGATGAAGGGGAGAGGGTGTGAAACGAGATGGAGCGTTTGTTATATCGATATCGGTGAGTAGCGTCGGATCGATTCAGGTGACTGCGGGAGCAGGCGAAATTGTTGCTCTGACTAGCATGTTGGCGACGGTTGCGCTATGTGGCATCGTTCTGAGATTAAGTGTGCCTGCAATCTGGGACTCGCTGAGCCTCTCGGCGTCATTTCCAGCTGCGAAACCTCGTCTTCCCTGTCCGGATGGCGTATCGGTGTCGCACACGGCTGCAGAAGACACGCGGGTCCCTTGAATCCCTGATGATGCTGCACGCGGTTGTTCGCTTCCCACTGTCGACGAACAAATCGGGCCTTGTTTGGTCCCGTCGCGTCGCGTGGAAATGGGAGCTCGTGGCAGACGTCGGCTTCGTCCAATCACAACTCGCCGCCGCCGAGCTGTTTTTTTCTCGACATCTTCGACCGTGACCGTGACCGTGTCCGTGTCCACAACTGCTGCTGCTTCCAACGCTCGACGGGAGCGCTCGACATGGCGACCAGAATGCCTCGTAAGCGCTCGCCACCCTGCGATCGGTCGGACTGTACCTCAAACTGCAATCTCACTGGCCGTCATCGAGATCACACCGATCAGCCTGGCTACTTAGCACTACTATGGACTGCCGCCGCGGCCGTCTCTCCTCTCCTGTTCTGCCGGCAAGAGGACTCTAATAAAACAATGCGTTGGTACGCGTTCACCTAGAGTTGCGCTGTTGACATCGCTTCAACCTTCTCACATCTGCATTTCCCTCCCCTCCCCTTTCCCCTCCACTAGTCAGCATGGCTGTAGCAATCATCCTCCTGCAACTTCTGTCTCGGTCGCGCCTCCAAGAGTCTGCAAGGCTCAACACAGCATAAGACAGGGATGGCGAATGCTTTGATGTCGGACGTGAGCGCACACGCTGTGACGTATCCCATTGATAGCCTCTTCAACCCGCGACCTGCACTGGAGGCGTTGTTTCAACATGTGCATCGGCATCTGAGTGATCGTGGACCGTCGCCGATCGACCGCAATTGCAGGATATGCGGGGCATGGTACTGCTGAGCATGTCTTCATTTTCCCGCGACAAGTGGTGAACGACGCACACCGCCGACTCACATGTGAAAGGCTGGCTTATGCAGCCTCAAGGAGGGCCGTAGCATTGTGTACCCCTGCTTGCCGCGCTGCTGAGTCACATTGCCGCCGAGATCACATCAAAGCACGCGAGAATTCATGGCGTTGCTCCGCGTCACGATAACCCTCTAATCAGTCCTCAATCATACTAAGTCCTCAAAATGTGCCAGCTTCATCTTCTCCACGACATCATCAGTACTGTGGAGTTGTCGCTGTCATTATTACCCCTACCGGAAACAAGAATGGACGAGCGGTCTTCTTGGAATCCAAGGCTTGGCTAATATCGGTGGTATGCAGCCACTGGTTGAGAGCCGTGTTGCGCCATCAACAAAAGGCTGCTACGAAGTCGAACGCGATGTCTTTATGGTCCCACCACCGAGGCGACCTCACTTTTCAGGAACGCTGGTATCGGAGCTCTTTCATGCTTCAGGTCGCTCCCTTAAGGCAAGTGGTCTGCATGAGCATTTGGTGTGGAACTCGCCGAGACATCAGGCTGGAACGGGAACGGCGGTGTGAACTATTTTCGACTTCTTGGCACAATTCCAAGTGATTGTCATTCGAAATCTGGTCTGCTGAAACACAACTCAAAGCATTCAATCCAACACTAACACCGACAATGCCACTTCCACTACACAGCACATACGCAATGATGAATAACCCTCCCACCAACTCCCTCAGAAACGCACCTCCGCCATATCCGCAATCGAATGACATCCAGCAGGTCGATTCCTGAAATCCCCTTGAATGATCGCAGTAAAAGTATTAAAAGCTCCCCATCCAATCACATTGAAAGCTCCACCCACAGCTCCTAACGAGACCATGGCGGTGGGAATCGACAGAACACCAGTGGCGAAGATGACTTTGAGAGAAAAATGACACTTGCGCGAGGCCAGCCGACCGTACGGAAATTGACAGCAGCATCTTTGCGGAAGACTTCGTGGGCTTCGAAATCTGAGATTTCCCCTACGAGGACTTCGGGGTCGGAGGGCGGCGAGCTTGTGTCGAGGGGGACTTTTTTCTCGTCTTGTGAGACGGTAGGTGAGTGTGACATTTTTGGGTCGCTGGAGATGCCTGGACCTCGTGGGATGGGAGAGTTGGGGCCAGGGATGCGAGAGGTAGGATCAGAATGAGACAGAACGATAGGGATATGGTAAGCGATCACACTAGCCGCCGCGCAGGAGCGGAAAGAGGAGTAGTATGGGCTTTCATCTTTGTGTATCTAGTCGCACATCTCATGTCGTGTTTTGCCAGGGTGCTACAGATAAACATCCGTGGAGGCCAACGATGGAAGTGGTGATCCTGGTCAGCATGATGCGGACGAGTCCTCCACAATAGTCTTGGGCGGCGTGTTGGTTCGCGAGTATCATTGCGTGAGGAGAGAACAAGTCTTAGGCTATCAGCAGAAGACTCGCTTGGATGCAAAGTAGGTGAGGCGTTATCTCTAGGCCGAAAGGAGCTGTTGATAAGCTCTTGCCCGGGGGTCGTTCTGTGCTGGTCTTGGCACGGCCAGATTGACTGTTGTGAGCCTTCGGGTGGGTGGTCGAAATATCGTAGACGTAACGCTCCTCGTGTCTTCCAAAAAATGTCTCTGCTGGCACGCTGCAGGCACAGAGTCACAGGCACAAATCGATCTCCAACCCGAGTGAAAATGCAGCCTGGCGGCCGGCAGATGGCATGCTGTATCATTTACTAGTACAACGCAACGTTCTTCGTTGCCGTCTAGACTCCTCGCTAAATGAATATCAATCCAATGAACCAAGTCGTGCGTACATCACTCAGGTGCTGCTCTGCTTGACAGCTCTAAATACCGCACCAATGTAGTCTCTTATCGTCTTGCTATGAGACATCGCGTAGAAGAGCCGTTCCCTCACTTCGCTGTCAAACACCTTGGTCACGACGTCCGTGATCTCCTCCTTCTTCTCGCCTCTCTTCACAGCGTTGAGCGACTGCGCTGGCGCCAGGTCCTTCGGCATGAAGCGAGCCATGTTTCGCAAGACAAGGGCAGCTCTAAGCGGAACACCAGCTGCATCTCCCTTCTCATCCTCGAGAAGCGATAGTCTGGTGATGCCGTAGTCACTCTGGGTGGGCACAGCGTCCGGCTTCAGGTTATGTCTTGTTCTGGAGGAATCCGAATCGGGTAAATGCGTCTCAACATGTCGTGCAAACAGCTGGGTACGGGATGTGTCGCCGCTACTGAATTCCGTAGACAACCGCTGACAGTCTGCCCAGCGGCATTGGTACGTAGTCTTGTGTGCAGATCGAAAGTCGAGTTCAGCGGAAGCCCTCGAGCCCACGCCATTGGTCGAGCCGTTGACAGGTGTGGAACTCGATCGTGTCGGTGTCTTTGAGTCCACGTCCATTTTCTCGGTGTTGCCAGTGACATCCTTTCTCGGAATCTGCAAGTGATGCGTCAAAATATGCCGAAGTATGTCATCACCAGATCTGAACCACTCTGCGCATTCGGCTTCCCGTGTTGTAGGAGTTGAAGTGAGGCCCGTCACAGGATCCCTGGTGCCTTCCACAGGGATGGTCATCTTCCAATGACATCGAAGCAGTTCTTTGCCTTTATCCGTGCCCTTGGATCCTGCAAGTATGCCAGTGTCCACAGGCACTTTTCGTGATCTGATACCTTTGATCACATACTTGTTTGACCCAGCGACCTGCGCAGTAGCTCCCGGGAACGTGGTGCTGACATTCTTGATGAAATCTCCTGCGATGAGATGCGGATGTGTTGCGTGGTAAGGCGCGAAAGTGCCTTGATATGCTTGCCATAGAGAGATTTGGGTCATTTCCGCGTTTGAGTCCGCCACGAAGCACATTCTGAGCCATTCCGAGGATCGCTCAGGCTCCTCCAGCTTGAGGAGACTCTCCACCAAGTTCTTGGAAAGACGCGGCACTGGTGGAATGGTGTCCTCCACGTCTCGACGTCTTGGTGCTCGCTGTTCCCTATGCTCTTTTGCGTTGAACAATATCAGTCGACTGAGTTGACGGCCGAGCGCTTCGGCATCCACAGCACGGAGGAGGATCTCTACATTGTCGCTGATGGACGTGAATTGTCCGAGGAAATCTAGAGCTGCAGATCTGAGCTCCTCATCGTCGATCAATAGATATTGCTGGGTGGCACGAAGAACTGCCACCGGAACATCATCGAGCCGTTTAGGGGCTGGATGTGTCATTGCTATTCTGCTAAGCGTCCTTAATGCTGCAGCGATCGAGCCACGATCAGAACAAAGTACTTGCTGCAGCAGACCCTGGTACGCGGCGTCCTGAGAGCCAATATCAATGTATTTGAGCACCTGCTCGGCGACATCCAGAACATAATGTCGCATTTCGGTAATGCTCGCATGTTCTGGGAGATTCAGAACGACTGCAATCAGATCCTGGACCAACGGTAATCTCGACAGGTACGCAGCATTCTCTTCCTGCAAGGCCATGTTCCGCATGACGAGTGCTGATTCTGTAATGCGATTCATCTGCGCGATGAACTCGGAGTCGAGAACTGAGTCGTCGCATATGATCGGAATACGTGATTTGAGCTTTTGAAGAATGTCGGGCGTTCCGTCTAAGCCATTGAGCGTCTCGTCGTCCCCTGCAAAGAATTCTTCGTCATACATGACGTCCCAATCGATATCGTAGAAGAGACTAGTCACCTGCAAGCCCTTTTTCACAAGCGCGTCTGCAAGACCGGGAAATTGGTCGAAGCGGTATTTGTCGCCACGTTCATGACTGATTTTGACCAAATGATGCAGCGCGTACTGCTCCTCATCTGGGATGCCGCTCTGCAAAGCCAGCTGAGCGCGTACATAGATGTTGGGTCCGATGAACCCAGTACCGGGAAGCATGATATTCTTGTACTTCTTCGCCAATGGTCCTGCAGTGGCTTCCAGCTTTCTCTTTCTCTCATTGCGGTAGAATTCAGGATTGTTGGCAGGTGTGATAACAGGCTTCAGTGATAATGGGTATACCTGCGAAGGCTCGTAAGAAGCAAGGGTCGACGACGTGACGTTGGTCAAAGATGAAGCATTGACAACTCCATTCATGGCACCTGGAGTCGGCGAGTTGTGCGAGACGTGATTCTGCCCTCTGGGCTGCCGACTCGAGCCCACTTCAGGCTGAAAAAGGACGCGCTGTGGTGGCTGCTGCCGTAGTCCTCTCGTAGACCGACCGGTCGCGCTCCCAGGCTCATCCATGATTTCCGGCTTGACTTCTTTTGGTGTTTTCTGCTCCGGACTGGCATCACTCCCATCACCGTTCAGCTCTTCGCGCGGCTTCGGCCTTTCGAAGTTTTCCAAGGTTCTGGTCATTACGTTTCCGCCCTTTGCAGTCACGTCCTCCAGTATCTCCTTCGGCGGAGGCTCTTGTTTCCAATGGGTGCTGATCTCGTACGCGCACAAATTCTTATAGTAGACGTTCTTGATCTGGAAAGCCTGTGCCGCTGTGTACTGATTCTTGCCGATGAATTCTTCAGCCAGCCTCCTCCACATCAACGGTTTTGCCTTGGTGTCCGAGCAGAGATCATAGCCACCTTCTTCAACGACGCGATTGTAGAGTTTGAATAGGTCCACGTGGCGGATGCCGACTTTGGGTTCTGCATCGAGGAGGGTACTAGAGAGGGATGATTGTTAGTCTGATCTTCGCTTTGGCGCGCAGGCGCGTTGCTTCGCTTTTCTCCATACCCGCGCTTTGCATGATACTCTTCCAATTTCTTCATGAACTCATTGTGCTCGTCGGTGCGCTCGATCGATTGTCCGCGTTTGGGCGCCATGCTGGACAGAGGTCGGCGCGCGGCAGAAGAGCCGCAGACTTTGCGTTACACAGAATCGGGAAGGTGACTCGCGTCGCTGGCGGCATTCATTCGCGCATACAGTCGGTATCATAAAGGGTGTGATTAGGGAGATCCTCAATATGCTTGCAATGAGGCCCGGTATAGCACGGTCGTAGAGCAGTCTTCCATCTCGTGTCGCTAGCGCAGAAAGTAGCGCCTTCCCGGCCTGCAGCTTCTGGGGCTTGGCAGACACCAGCCACGGAAGCAGGACCGCGTCTCGCACCTTCCCTACGGTCGACGGATACCCTGCAAGGCATTGGCTTCTACAAGCACCAAAATATATCTCATCTCGCAACGCAACAAGATGCAGCGCTGAGATCACCGTTGCTCAGCTCACAGAGCTTATTGATCAATCATCAGCTAACGCCCCAGCACTAACGAGTGTGAAACAACATGGCGGACAATGACATTAACCTCTGTTTTCCAATCACCAAGTTCTCTCACGCAACAGGCTTGACCAACAATCAGATTGCATGGGATCACATCAGCAGTAAAGAGCTCTATGTGCTCCTTCGAGGAGGCAGCAACGTCGGCCAGTCACTGATCCTCCGGGTCATACAAGGCACGAAAGACTTGGTACGAGGCAGGACCGCCTTACAACTACTCTTACGAGACTGACGAGGACCAGGAGCATGTCGATATCGGCAGTTACATCGACGCAGCGCTTGAGATGCGTCAGCAGGATCGGCAAGATGGCGACTCTTTGGCACTCGAGCAACTTCCTATCTTCGGCATCACGAAAGAGTCCCTTTTCGCGATTCGCTACACAGTCAATGGGGAGGTGTGTCTTTCTCTGCTCCGACCCGTGATAAATATCTGACGTGTGCCGCAGCCTCGCCGCGTGCAGCTACGACTGCAGGATGTTGAGCAGTGCAAACAAATCGTCCAGGTCTTGGAGCATCGAGGATTGATGTATCAAGAACAGCGACCCCGGACTGCACGACCAGCAACGGCAACAAGTAGACCAGGCATAGAACATTCAGAGGACCGACCATCATCAGCCCAGGCGAGCTCTCCACATTTCGAGCCGCCACAGCCCCAAAAGGCGTATCAACGACCACGAGAAGCCTTCACTTTCGTTCCGCGCAAGTCTTCGATCGATGCGCGACTTGTTATGCACAGCCATAATGCCTTGCGACCGACGAGGCCATATCAACTGCCTCAGGCTCCTCTGTTTCCGCGAGAAGAGGCTTCTGCACCCCGAGAACCCAAGATCTCTGGTCCAACAACTGCTGAGATTTACGGCACTAGACCGGAGCCGTACAAAGCATCTGGGCCCCAAACGTTTCAGCGCACGACTGTTCCTGATGCTCTCGGTGCAAATGGGCGGCCACAACCATTTGCCGCCACTCACTTACAAGAGGAGCCACCAAGGACTCTCGAACAGCATGCAGCTCCCTCCAGTTCCGACCCTGGGTTGCCTCGAAGTGCAGACCTGCCTCACTTGCAGCACATGTCATCTACCGAGAATCACATGCCAGCACCATGGTCGTCTGATCTTCCTGATTCTCGTCCAGTCACTGCGTTGTCAACATCTTCAGTAGCGGACCTCTTGGAACAGCAGATTCCGCCTCGACGAGAACTGCCGTTCAAACGTCCGTCAAGCAGCAGCAAAAGCGATGCTAGCTCACGACCAGGGAGCTCAGCGCTATCATTGCCACTTTTGAAACGAGCGAGAGCCGACAAAACCAACCCTCAGTCGTCTACAAGGCCACACACTGCGCTGAAGAAAGCCGACAAACCAGCCACCAGTCAAAGCATTCGTCCTGCCACAACTTCATCGTCGTCAATGACAGCACAAGGTGTGAGAGGCGCCTCTGGGCGTGCTGACCGAGAGTCTCGTCCTCTGAGCCCAGAAGTGTCGACCCAACCAAGTGTCTCAAGGGCCATTCCAGTGGATGAACTGCTCTACGGTCAGCGCACTCTCTCGATGCGAAAGGATCATATGAATATGCCACGCATCGGAAGCATCACGGATGCACCTCATGAGATCGAATCACCGCCTGGCAGTGCCGTCTCGCGCATTCAGGACACTGCGCCAGGCCAGATCACATCAGCCAGCACGTTGGCCGATCCTAGAGATCAGAGCTTGAACCGCGCATACGCTGCTGCGAATGTCTCAGCGAATCGGACTCACGAAGCATCTTTGGAACAGTACGAGGCTCAGAACCTCGAAGATCGCAAAGCCGCTCTAGACAAATTCATGATGGACAATCTTGAGAATCCGGCCTTCACTACGCTTTGTGAAGATGTCGAGAACTGCTGGAGAAGGATCGCCCTCGGCCTCTGACCCATTCAAAAAGAACTTCTCGATCTGTTTCGCTTATCTGTGTGGTTCGCTTCGTCCATTTAGCTGCCGGGATGGATTTTTGGAAGTCATGGAGGGACCTCTGCACACCATTTGCTCGATCTCCGCGGAATGTATAGCATATAGTTCTATCATTCATAACATCGTAATGCATCTTCCCTTCAATACTCGTCTCCACCAGATGCCTCTGGGCTAGGTGGCAGCTCGAGAACAGAAACATCAACGTCAGCTTCTCGTAGCTTCTCAACTTCCCGGTGATCCAACCCTATCGCACCACCAGGATGATTCTTCGTGAAAACCTCGTGTGTCTTGTCCCGATGCATCTCATCAGCAACAGTCAAAATCAACATATCCGCCACAGCCAAGGCCACAGTGGTACTGGTCGTCGGTGCCTTGACACCAAACGTACTCTCCTCACTCTCATGAATCGGAGCAGGCAACAGAATCGCATCATCAGCCCCCTCAAGCACCAAACAATCCTCTTTCCTCCTCTGCGAACTCATCGCCATCAACCTAATCTCGGGCGAAATATGAGGCAACAAATTCAGAAGTTCGGGTGTCTTGCCACTGAAAGAAACAAACAACAAAACATCCGATGCCCTCAAATCTCCTAAATCTCCATGCGCCGCTTCACAAGCGTGCATAAATGAAGCCGGGATTCCTAGAGATTTTGCAGTCGCCACGGCTTTTTGCGCAATGTATGCGGATTTCCCTACGCCGCATACGACCAGTTTGCCGGCACTTCTCTGGGCGTTGAGAACGGCTGAGACGGCGGAGGAGAGACCTTGCCGGGCGAGTGAGTCGGTGGCGTAGATTTTGTGAATGTTGGAGAGGGCTTCTGCTTCGACGCGGAGGACGTCGAGGGCTTTGGTTAAGATGTTTTGCGAACTGTTGGGTTTCAACTCGTTGCTGGGAGAGATTGGGGTTACCAATCCGGAACCTAAGGTGTCTTTTGAGCCTGAGACGCGACGGCGTTTGGGGGGGCGTGGCGAGTCCATGGTTTGTTTGTATGAAAGGTTCAATATGTGAAAGTGAAGTAGTGGTAGTGAGAAGAATGAATATCTTCAAAGGGAATCAAAAGATCTAGATGTGAGACTGCGCATGTGGTGGTTCTTTGATGAACTACGCCCGGCATGTAGCAGCGACAGCCCGACGATTCTTCCACGACGAGCGAGCCGTTCTTGGAAACCTAACCACAGAGTAAGCTAAATGATCGGCCGGCGGCGCTACCTAGTACAGTTCTGAGGGCCTGGGGCGCTCGCAACTTCACAAGCTTCACCGGGAAAGCTCCGATAGCTGGCAGATGAGAACGTGTCATAGATTATGCTTGGGAATGGGGACCTCGGGATCGCTTACGATCCGGGAAGGAAGGGACACTGAACGAGCACGCAAGCAAGCAAGCAAGCAAGTGATGGACACGTTCCGAGGCTAACGAAACAGTAGTGGTCGGAAAGTGTTGAGAGTGTGGAAGCGCTGAGGTGGTAGCCGCGTGCATGCAGTGCGCGCCTAGCGCAATCAAGGTTCTTCGCATTGAATTGGATAAGGTTTGTGGAGCTTGGGGATTTCTGGCGATCATATTCGACATCGAACGATGTCACAGATGCAGTGTCATCGATACAGTAGTACAAGCCTACAAGGCTGACACTAGTCGTGCGCGTCTCGCGTGCAGAGTAGCTGCAGTAAATCCTAGTCTGATCCATCGAAGGTCGTAGCTTGGTATCGAAGACGATGCGACTACAACGGCTTCACACCCTTGTGAATAGCAGCTATGCCCATGCTCAAGTTCTCCCAGCCAGCATCTGTAATGGTTCCATCACTCTGCTGTCCAGGTATCAAGAATCCAGCATCCTGTATCATCTTTGCCCATTCCGGCTGGGAAGGGAAGTTCTCAATACTCTCCACCAAATACTGATAGCTGTCTCTGTCCGCTGCAACAATCTGTCCGATGAGCGGTATAGCACTGAATGACCACCTCTTGTACAAGCCATTCAGCAGAGGATTTGACAGCTGAGGTGCGAACTCAAGGCATGCGAACACGCCACCAGGCTTCAGTACCCGAAAGGCTTCCCTCAATGCCTTATCCTTGTGCGTGAAGTTTCGGATACCAAATGCCACTGTGTAGAGGTCGATGCTATTGCTCTGGACCGTGTTGAGATCTTCGGCGTTGGCTTCGAGATAATCGACTCTGCCGGCAGCCTGATAAGGTGTTGCAGCCAATCGTTTCCGGCCTTCGTTCAGCATGTCGGGGTTGATGTCAGAGACTGTCACATGTGTGGTATTGTCGCCATTGATGTTGGTTGCATGATCGAGCATGCGTATCGCAATATCTCCACTGCCACCAGCAATGTCCAATATTTTCTGTCCACGCGGCTCTTTCTGTAATGAGGAGTATCGCACTCCCGGGTTCAGATTCCGCACGAAGTGATCTTTCCATAATCGATGAATGCCGAGAGACATGAAATCATTCATAGCATCGTAATTGCTAGCCACTGACGAGAAAACAGCACCAACTGCACACTGTTAGACGAGATCTAATTGCATTAGAATGATAGTAGACACACCTCTTGACGCCTTCACAGATTCTGCCACAGTCTCAAACCCGAAATGCGTCGTCTTATCGTTTTGAGGCGGCTGCTGTGGCTGCTGTTGAGAGAGCCTCGAAGCAGACGCGAATCCTCGGCGACATTCTGTACAGACCCATCCTTGGGGAGCGGCTAATCGAAGTCGTTTGGCGGCGCGAGGTACAGAGGAGGACATGATGGCAGGAAGGTCGAGATTGATGCTGCAAGGTGCATATGTGAAAGTTGATTGTTCACCAGCCACGTGGCGCAGCAGCTTTCCCTTAAACCGCGACAAAGCGCTGTCTTGTTTCTGCCGTGTGAAGTGAGGAGCTTTTGTAGGATTGTGCCTCTCCGTCTTCGTGTTGACTACCCAATGCAACATCTGACATTATGAAACGATCAATAGCAGTTGCAGAGCGGTCTCTGCGTAGTTCGCAGGGCTTTCGTAAAGCACGACCGGGATCGATATGTGCGAGCTGCCAGCGGAGATGGAAGTCGGTATCTCAAAGGCCAGGTTCGGATCGGTAAGTAAGGTCATGCCACACAGCAGGGCGCAGAAGTATGTCTGAATCCTGCCACAGTGTTCAATTCCCCGGTGCGGTCAACTCCCGCTTCACGACAGACCTCAAGTTCTCCCGGGCAACAGAGGAAGATGCTATGCCAACGTTTCGCGTACTGGACCAAGAAGGGAAGCTTGTGGACAAGACACGTGAAGAGCTAGATATTAGCGATGAAGAAGTGCTACGGCTATACAAGGACATGGTCAGCGTATCGATCATGGACCTGATCATGTTCGATGCTCAACGGCAAGGCCGCATAACTTTTTATATGGTATCTGCTGGTGAGGAAGGCATTGCTGTTGGCAGTGCCAGTTCTTTGAATCCTCGAGATCCAATATTTGCGCAGTACCGGGAGACTGGCATATTCCAATATCGAGGCTTCACGCTGGATGACTTTATGGCACAGCTCTTCGCAACAAAGGATGACACGGGAAAGGCACGAAATATGCCAGTGCATTATGGTAGTAGGAAATTCAACGTCCACACGATCAGTAGCCCGCTCGCGACCCAAATCCCTCATGCCTCCGGAGCAGCGTATGCGATGAAGATGCAAAACCAGCAGAATCCGACAGAAGATCCTCGAGTGGTTGCATGCTATTTTGGTGAAGGTGCTGCGTCTGAGGGCGACTTCCATGCTGCCCTGAACATTGCTGCAACAAGAGGTTGCCCAGTTTTGTTCATCTGCCGAAACAATGGGTATGCGATCAGCACACCCACTTTGGAGCAGTATCGAGGAGACGGAATTGCTTCTCGTGGTGTTGGCTACGGCATCGACACCGTTCGTGTCGACGGGAATGATATCTTGGCCGTTCGCGAAGTGACCAAGAAAGCTCGGGATCTGGCGCTCAAAGATGGTGGTCGGCCTGTCCTGATAGAGGCCATGAGCTATCGAGTGTCCCACCATAGCACATCTGACGATTCATTTGCGTACCGCGCCAAAGTCGAGGTGGAGGACTGGAAGCGAAGGGACAATCCAATAACTCGCTTGCGCAAATGGATGGAAGGCAAGGGCCTTTGGAACGAAGAGAAAGAGAAGGAGCTCCGAAGCGACTTGCGGAAGCAGATATTGACCGCGTACCGTAAAGCCGAAAAGGAGAAGAAGCCGGCGCTCGCAGCCTTGATGAGCAACGTTTATGCCGAGCCAACCGAAGAGCAGATTGAACAGATGAACGCACTGAGGAAGGTCATCCAGAAATATCCCAATGAGTACGATGTGTCAGAGTTCGAAGGCGGGCTCGATGGGCTCACTTTCGAAAAAAGATAGAAATGATAGCCTGAGCCAAATTAAAGGATCGCTCCGCAACTCACTACAGTTAGATGCTGCCAAGAATGACCAGATGAGCGTGGACTGCACACACCGGGCAAGTCATGTGCTCTTGTATAAGGTTATGTGTCTCGTTTACATGCTCACTTCTCAATTCAGATCTCCAAGTCCGAGTGGGTCGACTGTGCCCAGGAACTCTCCTGTCTTACCACCCTCTTCCTGTTGGCGGAGAAGCTCATCGACGTCGACTCGACCAGAAGTGAGGTATCGCTCGCTCACGCCTACGTTTACTCGTTGAGCAAGTAAACTCTTCAGCTCAGCCTTCAAAGCGCCTAATTCAGCTTTAGTCCAGCCGCGAGCCTCCCGTTCCTTCTTCTTTCTGCCACTGCCCCGGCCGCGCTTGCCTTTTTCTTGTTCCGCAAATTCCTCACTATCATAATCGACGCCGAGTTCCTCGGCCCAGGAGCGCATCGTATCGTCTTCCTTGTGCGACTTCTCCTTGGCAATGGTCGCGTCCGCAAGCTTCTTCGCCAGCGTAAGCCTCTTCTTGAGTCTTGTCACTATCCGACGATCAATGTCCAGAGTCCGGATATAGTAGCCTTGCTTTCCGTCCGAAGCAGCTGATTGAGCGTGCACTTTCGCCACCAGTCGTCGAACTCCCGCGACTTCCTCCGGTCCACATATTAGGATGGAGGAGCCCTGCTGCCCAGCGCGAGCTGTTCTTCCTGAGCGATGAACATAGGTATCGGCCGCTCTTGGCAGATGATAATGTATCACAAGATCTACATTCGAAATGTCAAGACCCCTGGCTGCGACGTCGGTGGCAATGAGAACGACTTTATCCTTGCTCTGACTGAATCTCTCGACACTCCGCAGGCGAGCCTTCTGTGCCATTCCGGAGTGGAGCGCAAGGGCGTTGACGTTCAAATTTTGCAGAAGCGGTGCAATGCGGCGAACAGCGCTGATGGAATTTGTAAACACCATAGCTCGCTTGGTAGAGGATAGAAGAAGTAGCGTGTAGAGATAGAGATCCTTCTCCGTGCCCGAGCACTCTATCAAGCCCTCTTTGAGACCGGTCGCGAGCTGATTGACGGGGTTGACATCAATGAACTGAGGAATGTCTTCCCTGAAATTCAGCTTCGACATGAGATACTCCATCGCTTCTTTGTTATGGAGTAGATCTCTCTTGGAGCTGATTTTGCCGACAAGCTTCTTTTGCAGGCCTCGATCAAATGTTGCCGAAAATACCAAGGTCTGGCGCTCTTTGGGAGATTTGACAGCATGACTGGAGTCTGGCACTTCCTGGTGTTCTTCGTCTTGATCTTCTCGGTCCAAGGCGTTCAAAATCTCTTCCACTTCCTTGAAATGACCCTCACTGAGCAGCCTGTCCGCCTCGTCGACTACCAAAAATTCGATCTGCTTCAGAGCTGCCGCGACACCCTTGCCAGATCCGATGACCTCCCACAGGCGACCAGGAGTTCCAATCACCACGTCCGCGTCTCTCAGAAGCCTCTGTTGCTTTTGTAGTGATAGACCTCCAGTCAGAGTGGCTATTGTTGGCTTCTTAGCATCTAGACCATCAAATAAAGCTGCCAAATGGCTGTTCAATTGATGTGCCAGCTCCCGAGTCGGCGATAAGATGAGCGCTATCGGTGTGCTTTGCTCCAGCTTCTCTCGCTCAGATATCTTTTCCAGGAATCGTTCTAGTATGGGTATACCAAATGCCAGGGTCTTGCCGGAACCAGTAGAAGCCTTGCCTATCACATCGTGCCCTGCAAAGATCTTTGGTATTGCAGCTTCCTGAATTGGCGTCGGGTTTGAAAACTTCAGCTTCGATAATGATGCCATGGTGTCTGGAGAGAGTTTGAGTGGCATCCATGCAGAGACATCGGTATCAGCTGCATCTTCGTTTGCTGCCAAGACTGAGAACGCACTAGGTGGGTTGTCATCGCCTTCATGGATGTCCTGTTTCTTTGCGGTCTTCACTTTAGATGGTTGGTTCTGCTTGGCGCTCTTCTGAACGGGAATTTCTGGGCCGTCATCTTCGAAACCGGACCACGAGTCAGCGTCGCTATCGGCGGAAGCGTGGTCTGCGGTTAAGGCAGTTTGGTCCTCTTTTGACCACAATGAGACTTTCCCCGTTGCCTCGTCTCTCTTAACGTCGACATCATCAATTTCCTCGAGCCCAAAGAATCCTTCATAGTCGTCCATGCGGTCTGGTAATGAGACAGCTTTCCACGGAAGAGAGTCAGCTTTGACAATGCGAGGCTTCTTGTTTGGCCTTGCATCATCATCCATTTTCTGTCGCTTCCTTGCCCTCATCGCCGCGACCTATCGAGGTTGAATTAGCCGCAATGAAATACTGTGCCCACAGCACTCATCCAGGGTACGAATTCAGAGCGCATGATGACCCACCTTCGGAGGCAGCGACCTCTTCTTCCCCGCATCAGCAGTCATGTTCCTTGCCAATATGTCAGCGCTCCATGAATGATGAAGTCAGGCCGGTGGACGACAAAATATTTCGAGGTCAAAAAGCTAAGCACAGCCGATCTCAGCCACGTGGCTGACGGAGCCTTACTGCCTGATAATTACCCTTACCCTCCCAACGACAATCACGCGTGAGCAAGAGCAGGTGCAACATTGGGTCATGCTCTCGAAGCACACTGCCGGGTCACAATGACAGGTCCCCATGGCTTTGAGGTCTTTGGTTTATCGTACATGGATACAGCTTGCACACCAAGAATAGTACCAGGTATAGACATTCCAAATGGCGTCAGAAGCTCTGGATGAAGATGCCCATACTGGCGCAAAGGTCGCGATGCCGGCTGCGGACGCTGCAACCGACATTGCAGCACTCGTTTCTCGGTGAGTACCACAGCTGCTCTTCGTGCTATTGAGACTTACATCACTGCAGATTCGTCGATCAGTTACTGAACGGGTGTAAAGATGCAACATGCCGAGAACAGCTTTGCCACACTGGAAGGCTGAACACAAGCAACAAGCCCATTCGGATGTATACTCCAAGATCAGCAAGAGCAATTGCCTTGACTATCTGCTCAGGACCTCACCCAAAAAGGTTTCTGTGCTCGCGGTGCAATGGTCAAGCACATAATCCAAATGGAACAATTCGACCCTCACCAGCAACGGAAGAAGGAGAGCATGATGCATCGTCTCTATCTCAGTTGCTTTGCAATACAGCAAGTATCCGTGCGGTCAAGTACTCGTACTTCTCTCCGGCAGTGGAATTGCGCCCTCTTCATCAAAGGCTCGCCAAAGCGCTTCAGCAGGCGAGTGGAAGACCTGCCATTGAAAAGGGTCTCTTTCTCTCAAATCCAGAACTGGTCGAGCTCCTAATACCATGCGTCGATCATCTAATCGCAAAATTGCCGGTTCAGCGTCCTGCTGTGTGGGAGATGATTGACCATGACATAATCAGCAGAGGCCGTGCAGTCCCTCAAAAGGCTGAAACCAGACCCGCGGATGACAAGTACAATAGCTGGTTGGCGACACTTGATATTCTCGACAATGAGCCATATCTACGCCTGCTCCAGTCTGTTGTGAAGGTGATCTGCGTCCGGTTGCAGCTAGAGCACGGAGTGCACGTGGCGAAAGCTCGCGTCGGTGGCGCCAAAGGAACTGGACACAAGCCCGAGAACAGGATTACAACCACGTTCGCCTCTGCCTTTGCAAGATCGCATGCCAAAAGTCCGGATGCAATATATGCACTGGTGGTCTGGTTAAAGAAGCTTTTTGCGCGAGAATGGGACTCGAAAGCTACGGTCTTTGTTGGGTCAATCTGCCATGGCGTTCTCGAGATCGTCACTGCTCTCAAAAAGTCTCAACCCCATGGCTCGAAGACTCGACAGAACATGTTCGCAATGCCATTGGTACGCGGCCGATTGAATGAAGTGCAACTGGCACAACCATATCTTGATGGCGTTTCAAACGGACTTGTCCACCTTTGTCGGTATGCCTTCATATTCCCATTGGAACAGCTTTTCTTGTCCTTCAGGACAATCAATCATTTGACGATGAGGTATGTTCAACTTCAAGGATTTTGCTCTGTGGACCATGTCTCACTGTCTTGGTGGTAGGCAAGCACATTCTCAATCCGTGAAGGCTGTAGGCCTTCACCAGAAGATTCAAAGCGGTGGAATCATGGATCTCAATAAGCTCCCATCACAGGTCCTACATTCTGAAGAGCACTATTTCTTACTCAGTGTAGCCAGGACAAATGTCTTGCAAGACACATTCGACCAACTATGGCAACGCCGGAAATCAGAGCTGCGCAGGCCTCTCCGTGTTCGTCTAGGCCAGACAGACGAGCTAGAGGTTGGCCACGATTTAGGAGGAGTCCAGATAGAGTTCTTCAATCTGGTGTGCAGGGAAATCCTCAATGAAGAATTACGTAAGTAATTCCACACCGTGTTCTGTACCTGAAAGCTGACCGTGATGCAGAGATGTTCACAACCGACGCAAAGACAGGTCTGAGCTATTTCCAGCCATGCAGCCTTCAACCTCTCCACATGTTCAATCTGCTTGGTGTGCTCTTTGCCTTGGCCATTTACAATGGCATTACCTTGCCAATACGATTACCTCAGATCTTCTACCACATTCTACTGTTACCAATTAGCCCATGCGCCGCTTCGGCAGAGTTAGGGGTCGAAGCTCTACAAGATGGATGGCCCACGATGGCAAAATCTCTCAAAAGCATTTTGGATGGAGAAGTCTATGGTCTAGACTATGAATTTCCTCTTGAGGCAAATGGCTTGCGACTCTCCGTCTTTTCGCCAGAAAAGCCTATACAGGGACAAGCTGCTTCTGACTTGAAAGTCGTCGATGCGACTCCCATAATTCATCACGGAGCATCAGTGCGGTCATTCGATCAGACGCGTGCTACGCTAGAAACCAACTTCGACCAGAAAATGTTCTCACAGGCCTTCCCAGGATGGAAAGTGGCCAAAACAAGTGAGGATTCGATAGCGGTGACGCCCGAGAACAAGAATGAGTACGTGGAGACGTATGTCGACTGGCTCTGCTACATTTCGGTCCGTCCTCAATTCGACGCATTCCTGAAAGGGTTCCATGAAAGCCAACTCTTTCCCGAGGGAGCCTTGTCTATTCTCGGACCAAGCCTCCTCAAATCATACATCGAAGGCACCGACACTTTCGACCTGAACGACTTGAAAGCCGCCACACGATACGATGGTTACGATGCCAAATCGAAATACATACAAAATTTCTGGAGAGTCGTCGCAGCCTGGCCCGAGGAGAAACAGAAGCAGCTGCTGAAATTTGTCACAGCCGCAGAGAGGATACCGATCACAGGGGTCAAAAATCTGGTCTTTATCATCAAGAAGGCCAATGTGGAGAACTTAGAGAACCTGCCGACGAGCTCGACATGTTTTGGGACTTTGATGTTGCCCAGGTATGCAAATGCGGATATATTGCGAGAGAAGCTAGGGTTAGCATTGAAGTTTGGGACTGAAGGTTTCGGAACTGGATAGACGTGAGAGGGGAAATTGAGCATAGACAAGTGTTGATGACGGACTGGAAATGTCGACATCGGAACAAGACCTGAGCATTATTATGGCTGGCCGAGGACCTTTTACCTGTTACGAGGAATAGTAGTGGTTCATGTATACTCTAGCAGCATTTCTCACAAATGATCATGCCGATGAAGGCCTCCAAGCCTCTACTTTTCCAGGATCAGAAGATGATCGCTCCACCGTCAATAACCATGTCCGCTCCATTGATATAGCTTCCCGCCCGACTGGCAAGCAACACGCACATCCCATCCAACTCTCCCACAGCACCCATCCTCCCCATCGGATTTCTACTCGCCCAAACCGCTCTCGCCTCAGCAATATTCCCACCGCCCGCATTCAAAATGGTATCCATATACCCTGGACTAATCGAATTCACTCTAATCCCAGACACCGCCCACTCAGCCGCCAAAGATTTGACAAGCGCCACAATCGCCGCCTTGGAAACATTATACCCGGCCTGCGGTTGCGGGTAATTAACTCTATGCGCAGAAATCGAAGCCGTCAAAGTAATACTCCCATTCGTTTTCTGTGCTTGCATCTGTCTCGCAGCAGCTTGAGCACAAAGGAATGAACCCGTGGTATTGACGTCTAAAGTTTTCCGCCATTGCTCTGCTGTCATTTCTGTGGCGTGATGACAGCCTACGATGCCTGCGAAACAGAAAATGTGGTCGAGAGAACCTAGGGTTTGGACGACGGAAGCAGTTGCTTCGGAAATTGCTTCGGCGTCGGTTACGTCGACGCCTATGCTGAAGATTCGGGTTTTGGGGAAGTCTTTGGCTAGTTCTAGGATGGAGGTTTGCGAGGAGCGGAGGGTGGATTCTAAGTCCCAGAGACAGAGACCTGAGGCGCCGTGTTCGAGGAGAGCGCGGGCTGCGCTTAGGCCGAGGGTGCCTGCGCCGCCGGTGACTGGTAGGACAATGTAAGTTTTATAACGTGACTTTGTGCAGTCGGTGGCACCTACTGACGACGCTGCCTTCTACTGCGAATCGTGCCAGTGCTCGACCTTCGGCATTAAGGTAGTGTGGTAATGGGGCTGGAGGTCCAGTCATTGACGCTTCAGAGCCATCCTGTTGTTTAAATCAGGATTTGTGAAATTCATTTGGAAAAAGGTCTTGCTCACAGAAAGCGTCATGAACGGCAACGTTCTTGACGTGAGGCTGTCTCGATCCGACATTGTAGCTATTTTCCCAAGGGTTCGTGATACTTGTTCAATAGTTGCTTGAAAGATTTCGATCAATGTATACCTAGCAAGTTGCAGGACCAGAGGTGATTTGTGCAGTGAGATGTTGGTGTTTGCTGCGAGGGAAAATATCAAAGAGCTGTCCTGAAAGGTAGGCTGTCGCCCTGGCCCATTGGTTCCGCGTTCCACAAGGGAAAGTATTCCGAATAGCGAAGAGAGCTTCGAGCAGTGGAGCCTTTGCGGTGGAGTGTCGAGAAACACAAACTTGCGGATGCTGACACACCAAGAGTGGCTGGAAGTGGATGAACAGATACATTTGGACTCGCTCCGAGCGTCTTTTTGATCTGTATGTACAGGTATATCTCTACAGTGCTCAGGATGCTGCAACAAAACTCACTACTTCTTCTTCTCTTCCTCCTTTGGTGGCTCCGGCTTCGGTGTGGGTAGTTTGAACTGTAAGTATATATCAGTATTGTGCGTATTTCACTCAGCTTCATGATATCCTTTCTCACCGTATCTGGCTTTCGGTCGTGTCCTGGTCCAACCTGTTCCCAAGCCGAAGTACCTCCCTCAAAGTTTCTGAATGCCTGTGTCAATTCTAACGGCTCCACCACTATTCGCTTCTTCTCCTCGTCGTATCTGATCTCAGTGTACCCCGTCAATGGAAAGTCCTTCCGCAGTGGATGTCCGTCGAAACCGTAATCTGTCATAATTCGTCGCAGGTCTGGGTGGTCCACGAAGAAGACTCCAAACAGATCGTAGACTTCTCGCTCGTACCAATTGGCGCCGTCGTATAAGCTCGTAATGGATGGTACAGGTGTGGCCTCATCGGCATAGGTCTTTACCCGAATTCGGGCATTGTGGCGGACGGAAAGCAGATTGTAAACAACCTCAAATCGCTGGTCTCGCGTGGGATAGTCAACGGCAGTAATGTCCGCCACCATTGTGAACTCGGCGGCTGTGTGGTATTTAAGGAAAGAGAAAGTCGGGATGACGCCGGATGGAGGGATGTAGATGGTCAATTCGTCCTTCCAGACCGAGAATCTGGGCAATGTTAGCATCATCGTGTATAGCAGTGATCATTGGCGAGGTAGACCTACTGCTGAATGTACTTGGGCAGACATGACATCAAGTATTGGCCGTATGCGTGCAGGCTTTGCGCCTTGTCCTGGTATTTGTCTGCCGGGTTGACAATGGGCGCCTCCAGCCTGCCCTGTGGATTCCGCTGAGCATGGCGCATGTTGGGCAGGTCGCCGATATTTCCTGCAAGCTCTTTGCCCCGGTATGCTGACATTGTGAATGCACGCGCCGCATTGGTGCTGCTCTGTCCGCTGCTTCTCGTCGCCTGCAGAGCTGCCCGTGCGGTGCGAGCAATTGCCGTGCGCGGCGCCATGGTAGATGTATGGGAGAGGGAGGGCGGAGAAGGGCGGTGTTGCTTGTCGGAGTTGCCAGAAACACGAGGCGTATTCGATTCCTCCCCAGAGCTCGCCTCCAGTACCTCGATGATAATCGATGTGAGCCAGTTGTGATTGGTGCGGATGTGGCTGCAGGCTCACTCCAGGTCACACGTGACGTTCCTACCTCGATATCCTCTCGCAGACCCGCGACTGCAAGTGCCAGCATTAACACCAGTCAACTCCCGTCGTCGAAACACTACCAAGACCACTCTCATCCGCCCCTGCCGACGACACTACCACCGCCCCATCTTCCTCACCACCGCACGTCAATCTGGCGCCGACCACGAGTGACCCTCCCCTCCCCTTGGTGTGCATTCTGCTTTGCGCCACAGTCTTTGGAGCTCTCTCTCTCCACGCGTCTTGACACCGCATCCGCACACATCATCGTCGCCATGTCGAGATCACTGCAGGATCAGTTCATCGATGATGACGAAGAGGAGACCTGCCCGCTCTGCGTCGAGGAGTTCGACCTCACCGACAAGGGTTTCAGACCGTGTCCCTGCGGCTACCAGGTACGTCACGCCTCGCTGCTGCGAGCATATCCATCTCTACATGCTAATACCTGAGCGCAGATATGTCAGTTCTGCTATCACAATGTCAAAAACAATATGAATGGCCTGTGTCCGGCTTGTCGACGGCCGTATCGAGACGAAGACATCGAGTACAAGGCCATCACCTCCGAAGAGACCGCTGCCCACAAAGCTCGCCAGGCCCAGAAGCAGAAGAAGACACAACAGCTATTGCAAAAGGAGAAGCAGAAAGCCGAGGCGGACAACCTCAGCCGCAAGCATCTGGCCGGAATGCGAGTGGTGCAAAAGAACTTGGTTTACGTGACCGGTCTCAGTCCCACCACCCAGGAGGACCTGCTATTGCAAACTTTACGCGGCGACCAGTATTTCGGACAGTACGGCAAAATAATCAAGATAGTGGTTAGCAAGGCCAAAGACCCCACGCATCCTCATTCGGTCGGCGTATATGTCACGTACGAACGGAAAGAGGACGCCGCAGCATGCATCGCAGCTGTAGATGGATCGAAGAATGGCGACCGGACACTGCGCGCGCAATTTGGTACTACAAAATATTGTTCGGCTTACCTACGAGGAGAGAATTGCACGAATCGAAACTGCATGTTCTTGCATGAACCCGGCGAGGCAAATGAAAGCTACTCGCGAGCTGATTTGTCAGTACTCAATGCCGGATCTTCGCAGACTGGCAGTGGGAGACCTCCACCTCCACAGTCGCAGCAACCCATGGCGTCCGCAGCGCAACCGATGTTACGGCAAGGAAGCAACGAGCAAGGAGAATCTTCAGAACGACCTGCGCTTCCATCCACGGCAAGCTGGGCTTCAAAACCACCACATCAAAGCCGCGCTGAGAGTCGCAGTACTAGCACTACATTGGAGAGTCCTGTGCCTGTGCATCCCGAGCCTGCGCCTGCACCTGCACCTGCGCCTGCTCAGCCAGAACCACAACCAGAGGCAGAATCTACATCCGCACCTGCGCCTGCAGTCGAGGAATCGGAAGTTGAGAGACCCCCCGAGCAACAAGCCATAGCGGAGCCGAAGAGGTCACAAGTTTCGCCGTTGACCCATCTTCTGCGGAATCTGAAGCTCGAGGACTTTAAGTTGGTCTGGTCGAATTCGTGTCTGTCGCAAGCGGATCAAGAAGTGATCAAGAATTACCCTCCACTCTTTGACGTGGTCGATGGCCCAAAGCGACGGTTGCGAAAGCAGCAGGAAGCCCAAGAAAAACTCCGGAAAGCACAAGAGGCCCAATCATTCCAGCAGCCTCCGGAAGCGGAACCTGAAGACAATCCCGAAATGAGCGGCAGCCTACAGCTCGGTGGCGAACCCGAAGAGCGCCAGAGCGAGCGTCAAGTACAGAGTGCCATTCACCCGCCGGGTCAAGAAGGTGCTCTCGACCAGCGCTTCCAGTATCCGGGAGCTGGCTCCAGCCCTGGAATTAGTGATCCTCGTCTTACGCCCCAACAACATCAGCAAATGCTGCTTCAGACACTGAAGCCTAATACATACGGATCGTCCAGCGCATTCAATTCCTCCTTCCCGCAGCAGACCAGCCAACAACCCTTAGGCCATCAACGCAATGTCTCTAGGTACTCCTTTGCGAACGATTCTTCATCGGCATCATCGGCGGTGAAGCCGGTCGCGAATCCCAAGCTGATGAACCAACAATCTTCGATGATGCCTCCGGCTAGCGGCAACCACTTTGGAACCCAGCACCAGCAACCACATGGGCAATTCTACACCAGCAACGTTCAAGGCCCGCCTCCAGGTCTCAAGACGACCGGCACTCCTCCAGTCAGCGGCAATCTTACATTTGGGCAGGGCCATGGCTTTGCAACTGGTGGACTACAGTACGGCGCAGGGTCGGCTCGCAGCCAGCAAGATACCTACTACAGAGATCTGATGCGTGGTCGTGATGGTACCACGGCCGGCGTGGATCCAAAGCGTGAGTTACTTTCCCATCCTAACACTTACTCTACCCACAATGCAACGTACGCGGCAGGCCAGGCAAATGCATTTCCAAACCCACCCTATTCACAGCTCGGCGCTTTCGGAGACGGCGAGAAGCAGCGCAAGAAGAAGGGCAAGAAGCACAGACACGCTAACACTTCCTCCTCTTCGGGAGGTGGTTTAGCGGACGTTTCAGACGCCGGTGCTCATAACATTCTCCAAGCAAGGCTTCATCAGGGCTCTGCAGGGTTTGGCGGAAATGCATTTGCTGGTCAGGCTGCGGGCGTTGCAAGTGGATCACTTTATGGCATGCATGGCGGCGGCGGCTACAATGGGCGATGGTAGATGCGGCGTTTTTGTTTTCTTGGCACGCACGCAGGCTTGCACATGTGGCGACGACCTGTCTTTGTTTTCGAAATTTTGCTTTAGCGACCGGCTTCGGCTGGCTTTCCTGCAAGGTGTTTACGGAGCCGGGAAAGACGCCTGGATCCATGCGCCCAAGCGCTGGACGCTATCCAGCGACGTCGATAATCGAGAAGCATTGGGCACAGCTCCATCATGAGAATGGTCTGCATGACTCACGCAGACCGGAAGTTTTGTTTTTGGATCAGAATCGGAATGGCGTTCCAGTCTGCTCACGTTTTGTACGTATGTTGCAGTCTGTTTCTAGTGGCTGATAGATTGACGAAAGATAGTGACATGGGCCTCAAAGCTGTTTCTCATACACTCACGTGCGCCACATGACAGATCTCCGCTGTACCTAGATATTAGCTTCAGTAGATTACCCTGCCGTCGTTGCCGCCGTCGCCATGCATGTCAAGAGGAGGATCAAATCGACACAATGACGAGACCGTGAATACTGATACGTGCTGCAGAAGATTCTGATTTCCCACCTCTACGATCACGCCAAGCCAGCATTGCTATCTCCCAGGACGAATCTCGCAGGTCGACTCCGCCAGTACCTCCTGGGTTTGAAGCTCAGCTTGCAAACGAGAGCCGACGTTCCACACCTTCCATCCCGCCTGGTCTGTCCAAACCTACTGCGCTGCCGGATCTTGAAGGCTCTTCGTCGCGACCGTCCAGTCGAGCCAGTCTGCGACAGCAAACATCTCAAGTCTTCCCTGTGGTACCGCTTCCGCGACCAGGAACGCCTGGTAGGATTGCCTCGTCCTCGAGGTTGGAGAAGCATGACAAGGAGAATGCAGCGCCAGAGACTCCCACGAAACCATCACGAGGAAACCCGACATCAGAGCTGAAGGTAGCAGGAAATGCGAGTCATGAAGAAGCCCCGAAGGAGAGCAGTGATGCTCAAGCGACCAAAGTTGAAGTGGACAAAGCTGCTGTACCGAAGCTATCTGGTACCAAAGGCCCAGAGCGCCCATCATCGAAGCAGACGAAAGCTCCGACGCCCACAGAAGCACAAGAGCCGGATAAGATTGTTAATTCAAAGAACGTCAAGGACAAGCAGTCGAAGACAGCCCATACCGATAGTAGCCATGCTGTTGTGGAAAGATCGGACATATCAGAGGTCGGTCAACTCGATACGCAGAAGCGTAAGCACCCTGGAAAGCTTGACATTGCAGCGGCAACCAGCAAAATCAACAAAATTGAGCAGGTTGCCGGCGCCTCGTCCGCTACAGCAAATGCGGGTCCGCCTAACAAGCCCCAGCGCAGCTTTTCGACGGTTTCGCAGACTTCAACATCTGCAAAGCCTCTAGACAGCCCTGTTGTTTCATCGCCGGCCATCAAGACCACTGCCCCAAGGACTTTACGCGTGGTGCAGACACCGAAGGCAGAGACTCCGCCACCTGTAGCTGCTCCAGCCATACCTGCCGTTGTTGGCCATCGCCTACCGTCTCGCCAACCTAGTGTGGCATCCATCAATCCCCCAGGCACTCCTTCGAGCGAGCCAATTTCGATGTCTGACAACATCTCCCTGACATCAACATCAGTATCACGCGCAAACTCGCCACCTCCTGCTGCTAGCAAAGTCGGGTCAGCTCCCGTGCGCGCCAAGACCAAGAATCAGCAGAAGAAAGAGCGTCAAGAGCGAGCTAAGGCGCTGGAAGAAGAGAAAGCGAAGCAGGAAGAGGCAGTGAAGCCATCCAGCAACGAGCCTGTAATCGAGGCTATCGTCAGCAGGAAGAAGAAAGAGAAAAAGGCCAAAGACATCAAGCCTCCCAAGGCTAAAGCTGCGGCTACTGCTACAGCCGATACCACTCCCACTGCAAGCAGGCCCGTCTCGCCGTCTGGTAAGGCTGCGAGCGAGGCACCCGCTAAGGCAGAAAGCCCTTTGCCGATTCCGAAGGAGGCCAAGCCAGCGACGCCCGTCAAAACCACAACACTTCCTGCTCCGCAACCTGCCAACCCTTCTCCGCCACCGACTCCAACGCTTGACCCAGCACAACTTTTGCGCGAGATCAAAGCTTCTGTGCCCCAAATGCAGAAGTGCATTGACAGCCTATTCCGCGTCTCCAGCAGCCAGCTGAACAGAACTCAGCAGCACACCGTTTCCCAAAAAGAGCTTCTTGCTCACTTCAAGCCCGACTTCAAGTATACTCCAACGAAAGAAGAAGTGGAGGCGTTGCTACAGGGTAGCGTTCCTGCTATTCACTACGGCGGCCAAGACGGACGCATCTACGACCGTGGCATGATCACCCCTGCCGGCGCGCACCTCAGAGCGCTGACTCAGGAAATTGAGCAACGATTCCTCGAGCTCGAGAAGGCGATTCGTGAGACTCCTGAGGAGCTGAGATTTAAGTCTTCCAAGCCGCAGAACGAGACTAAATTTGACGGACTCGATCTCGAGGCTCTCAGGCGTACATTTGAGAATGGCGCGCAGCGCGGTGCTTCTGCAATGGAGCAGATGGTTCAGGATGGTAGTCCCATGAAAAAGGGAGCATTTCTGGTGGACGAGGCCAGCAAATACATAAACGAGTTTGTCATGCCACCCGTCACGCCTCCGCCGCAAAGGCAGTCACAACAGCAGAGAGGTGCGGAAAAGGAGCACCAGCACGGCATCCACGCCAATTCTGCCACACCAAGCGCAGCGAGTATGAGCCTAGACCATCTCGAGCGACAAATCAGCGAGGCCAAGAGGGCCAATGAAGAGAGGGAGAATTCTTTAAAGAAGATGATCAAGAAAAACAAGAAGTTGCTCGGAGTCTCTTGAGAAGAGCATGTTGGAAAGGACTATACGATATCCACGATCGTTCCGATTGCATTGTTTAATTACTGCGAGGGGAAGGTCGTCACGATATCGTTGGAGTGACATTAGAGAGCAGGGCATAGCATTCTTCGCCATATGCAGAGCTCGACTTCGTGCATATATAGCATTGTCAAAGCATTGCAGAAACAGCGTCTTAACGGACAGCTACCTTCAAATAAACGCGGGTGTGAATTCATCCTCTCCTCCTATCTCTGGTGGTGAGCGCTTCCTGCACAACACGAGTTTCTGTAGCAGTTGCGTTTCTCACAATCGAAGCAACAATGACGACTCCTTCCTGCACAATGTCGCTCGAGGGACACTTCTTCCTCTGGCTCTTTGACATTGGGCTGCGACACAGATACATTGCCCATCTTCCATCTCTCTCTGCATCTTCATTTGTCGCATCCATCGTGATCGTCGTAGCATTTCCACGTCGACCGCATCCTCCCGCCGACATCCATACCCGACATCATACTTTCAAGCAGCCTTGGTATCCCTGATGCATCGTACATTGCACATGAGACTGCTTGCTGACTACAAACCAGCTTGTCGGTATCACGATGCCTCACGAAGCAGAGGAAGAATGGACGAACAGCATCTGCGGCGGCTGTTGCGGTGCTGAGAGCTGTCGATCTTGCGTACGAAGCCTTCCCCTATGGTTTTCCGGCACCCGGCTGATCTCTCGTAGCTTCTTTCCTGGTTCATTCCATGTTTCATTTACGGCCGGGTCAGCGACCGATTTGAGAGAACGGACAAACACGATGAGAACCCGTCGACACTCAATAAAGCCTGTTTGGAATACGAAGTGGCCAGCCATGTATGCTTGGGGTCTTGTGCAATTTTCATTCTGAGGCGCAGGATGCGCGAACAGTTTGGCGTTCGAGGCAATGGCTTTACGGATGGCCTGGCGTCTTTGTTCTGCAGTGTAAGTCACACCCACGCAGGTTTCGTCTTCAGAACAAGCTGATGCTAACCACGATTTCAATATAGCCCTGCACACTTGGACAGATGGAACGCGAGACAAAACATCGGAAAGGACATCCTCGCCCTACGCAAAGCATAGTCACAACTCCATATGGGCGAGATACCTCATCAATGGGTTCTGCCGTGCCGACTGCCCGGGGCTCAGAGGCTCATGAAGCACCATATGTCGCTCCTGCTGCCGCCATGGTATGTCCGTCGGGCGTGTGTTTTGAATGCCTTTGCTGACGCCATCTGTGAAGGCCTACACTCCTGCCAACCATCCTGCTGCTGCTCCAGCACCCGTTGCTGATTCAGCACTTGCGAAGCACCCGACAGCAGCTCCAGTTCCAGCCGACCTGACGCATAAGGAGAAAGTTGCGCCTCCGCCTGTCGTCGAGGCCAGTGATCCAGCAAAGGCTGCCTCGACGCATCCAGTAGATGCAGCTCCACCGATCGATGCAAACGCTCCTGTGAAGCCACCATCACCTCATGTTGAGAAGGTTGAGGTGGTTCCTGTTGCGCAGTAATCTGTTGGAGGCTCAGTGTCATGGAAACATTGTTCATCGCATGTGGTTGTCGCGCTTCTACGAAACCTGGTGTATTCTTTCTCCTGTCTCCGTCTTTAATAGCTAGGAGTTCCGATAATAGCATCCTGTACTTCCATCCACTGCTTTCACAAATGACTTGTCAGTCTCGACGTTACGTCTCTCCACACAATTGTGATGGCATTCGTGCCTTGAGAGAAGGCCATGTGCACTCTGGCGTTGTCACATCAGATCATTCAGATTCAGATGGTGGCATCAGTGAGACAGTTCTATGACCATGACCATGGTTCTGTCCACCCGCAGTCTGCGGCATCGGAGCGGGCGACGACGAGCTGAAAAGAGAGTGCACAGTCAGGAACAAGGAAAGACTGCTAGATGTAGAAGATGGCTTATGTGGATAGGAACAATGAAGTTCCAGGTGTAGTAGCAGCAGCAAAAAAAAATGCGCACTCCCACCTTGTTGGGATAGAATAGAATACCGACCCATGTTCTGCATCTTTTTGAAGGCAAAGCATATGCCTTAATCTTGCCCACGACTGAAATCTCCACTCGAAAACGACCTCCGGCTTTGCTGTTTCCCGGCCTCTCCGCCTGTTTCCTTGCTTCCGCATGTGAGCTTCCAGTTCACACACAATGCAGTCTCTTGCTCGGCCATTGGGCCGGCAACTCGCACGCCAGCGACGATATCTCGCCAGACAAGCTCTCACAGTCACAACCGGTACCGTCGCGCGACGACAATATGCCTCACACCGCTCCGACGACAAGTCTGCGCGATCAGCCGTCATCAGCGTGCTCAACAACATCGCTTCGAAGCGTGAGGTCCAGCAATACTTGGCACAGTTCACCTCCGTTTCCTCCCAGCAATTCGCCGTGATCAAGGTCGGCGGTGCGATTTTGACAGACTACATTGACGTACTATGCGCCTCCCTGCGAAATTTGAACCAAATGGGCCTGTACCCAGTCATTATCCACGGTGCAGGACCACAACTGAACAAGCTTTTGGAGGAAGCTGGTGTGGAGCCAAAGTACAACGAGGGCATTCGAATCACAGACGGAAAGACTTTGGGAATAGCGAGGAAGCTGTTCTTGCAGGAGAACTTGAAGCTGGTTGAGGCATTGGAGTCATGGGGTGTCAAGGCACGCCCGATAACATCTGGTGTGCTCATGGCCGACTACAAGGACAAGGACGTCTACCAATTCGTTGGTGAGGTCAATCAGGTCAATGCTGGCAGTATCAAGGCTGCCATTGCAGACGGCTACATCCCAGTCTTGACCTGCATGGCCGAGAGCGAAGAGGGCCAGGTCCTGAATGTCAACGCCGACAAGGCTGCTGCAGAGCTTGCCAAGGCTTTGGTGCCATTGAAGATCGTCTACCTATCTGAAAAGGGCGGTATCTACGATAAGGAGACTGGCAAGCTGATTGAAGCTATCAACTTGGACGAGGAGTACGACGTGTACATGAAGAAGCCATGGGTCATTCACGGCACTCGCAGCAAGATACGGGATATCAAGACGCTTCTGGACGAACTGCCTCGCAGCTCTAGCGTTGCCATCATTCATCCAGAGAGCTTAGAACGAGAACTCTTCACACACTCTGGAGCTGGAACGTTGATTCGACGTGGTACTAAGCTGCAACAAGCTGAGAATATGAAGCAATTTGGAGACATTGCGAAGCTCAAGCAGACCCTTGTGCGAGATCGCGCGGGACTTGATGCCGCGGGTGTCGTTGATCGCTACCTTGAGATCTTGGAATCCAGGCCATTCAAGGCATACTACGATGACAACATGGAGGCTCTGGCTATTGTGCTGCCACCGGACAACACACCAAATGCTTTAGCTCAGCTCGCGACTTTCACCATCACTAGAGGCGCATGGCTTTCCAACATCGCAGACAATGTCTTTCAGAATGTCAAGCGAGACTTCCCGAAATTGGCGTGGACCGTGAAGCAGGACGACGAGAATCTTACCTGGTTTAGCGAAAAGGCTGATGGTTCCATTGCTCGTGGTGGCGAAGTCCTATTCTGGTACGGAATTGACAGCCCGGATGAGGTTCGTGAGCTCATGAGCGAGTTCGTTAAGCACGGCCGCAAAATGTTTGGCGATACCAATCTGGAGTCACATATCCACCGAGCGAACTCGACTGCTCAGCGTATTCGAGCCAACGCGGCCAACCTTGCAAGCAACCGCCGAGCTTTCAGCACCAGCACACGGCCTGCCGCACGCGTGTCGACCAATGGTCTGCAACAAGTGAGAACTTACACTACCAATCCCAACCCACCTCTGGGCATCAAAAACCGAGAGAAGGACTATCCATCCAAAGTTGCCATCATTGGCGCCCGTGGCTATACTGGACAGGCCCTCATCGATCTTTTGAACAAGCACCCTAACTTCGAACTCTGCCACGTCTCTTCCCGCGAACTCGCAGGCAAGGAGCTCAAGGGCTACGACAAGAAGAAGATTATTTACGAGAATCTTTCGCCAGAAGACATTCGCAAAATGGCTGAAAAGAAGGCAATCGACTGCTGGATCATGGCCCTTCCCAATGGTGTCTGCAAGCCGTATGTCGATGCAATCGATGAGTCGGGTCACACTGATGCCGTAATTGTCGATCTTTCTGCCGACTACAGATTCAACTCGGACTGGGTATATGGTCTCCCAGAATTGGTGCAAAGGAGCAAGATTGCTTCGGCCACCCGCATCGCCAACCCAGGTTGCTATGCTACCGCCGCACAACTGGGCATCGCACCTTTGGTACCTTATCTTCCTCCATTTCCAGCTCAGCCAACAGTCTTTGGTGTTTCCGGATACTCTGGAGCAGGCACCAAGCCTTCGCCAAAGAACGATGTCAACGTCCTCACCAACAACCTCATCGCATACTCGCTCACAGATCACATTCACGAGCGCGAGATCTCGGCTCAATTGGGGACCGAGGTTGCCTTCATCCCTCACGTCGCCGTCTGGTTCCAGGGCATTCATCACACCATCTCGATTCCTCTTGCAGAGAAGATGGCCAGCCGTGATGTTCGACAAGTCTACCAGGACCGATACGACAAGGAGAAATTGATCAAGATTAGCGGCGAATCTCCCCAGGTCAAGCACATCGCAGGCAAACACGGCGTGGAGATTGGAGGCTTCGCTGTTCACTCCAGTGGCAAGCGAGTCGTCATCAATGCGACGATTGACAACCTTCTCAAGGGCGCTGCCACTCAATGCCTGCAGAATATGAACTTGGCACTGGGCTACAGCGAGTATGAAGGCATTCCACTTGACTGAAAGGTCTAGATGTAGATGAAATTTGTTACCATCCTGGCTTGGTGCAAGAGCTCGCGGCGACATGAAACTCGCATCTAGAGGTGATCGATGCGTCCAACGATACCATTCAAGCTGTGCTTGCGGCTGTGTTGAAAAGTGAGCATTGAGACTTTGCGATAGAAGAGGTCAGGCGACTATGTACCATCCTGTAGATGCCATTCAGCATGGATAGATCCGTATGTAGCTCAGGCCGGCGTCCATGGGCGAAGGGCAATGCCAACGTCGATTCACCTTGGCATGCAGGCCTCTTCCCCGAAATCACGTGGCTGAGTTTAGTGCGGCGGCTCTCGGCTCTCCCGAAAAGCTTCCTGGCGTGCGGCATATGAAATGATGCAAAGAGCAGTCTGCTTGATCAGACAATTCATGTATAATGTGAAGCAGGCAGCAAGTCATGAGCACTCTTCATGGCTTCCGCGCGCCCTCACAGAATCTGCTTCTCTTCTTGCGATGTCAGCTGGAAATCCAGGCTTCACCATGCTCGTTGAATGCTCCCCATCGATTCGTGTCGACAAAGTCGCATAGAACGAGAAACACGATCGCAGCCTCTCGACAATGCTGTTCCTGTCCCCGTCCCTCGCAGCTCGCTCCACAATCGTTCACGAACCACGACAGAATAGCGCAAAGATCAAGCGCTTTCAGTACCAATTCAACTAAGCGCGAGACATTCTGGCGCAAACTCCGCCAACCACGCAATTCTCCCAAACGATCGCCTTCAGACGAGCTGCCCGCTCTGTCCGGCTTCTTAGACGACACTGCAGGTCTCGGTGGACGCATCATCAAGCCCAGCAATGAACTCAAACTGCGATGTACAGAGTTCGACGAGAACGGGAACGTGACGCTGGTCAATGGCGAGTTCCGCAAGAGCGAGTTGATCCAGAAATATTCTCTCCTACCACGAGATTTGCGGAAGATTGATAGCAGTGTTCTGCCTCACATCCTGGTCAGACCGTCAGCCATATTGATCAACCTGCTACATCTACGATGTCTGATCAAGCATAATCGCGTCCTGGTTTTCGATGTCTATGGCTCGACGGATTCTTATGCGCAGAGTCTGTTCATGTATGACTTGGAAGGGAAATTGAGGCAGAAGCAACAAAGTTCTGGCGCAGCTGGAAACTTGCCCTATGAGTTTCGAGCTTTGGAGGCCGTTCTGATTAGCGTGACGAGTGGTCTCGAAAGCGAATTCGAGGGCGTCAGAGATCCTGTCGTCAGAGTCCTGAGAGAATTGGAAGAAGATATTGATCGCGATAAATTGCGATACCTCTTGATTTACTCCAAGAAACTCGGCACTTTCGAACAAAAAGCTCGACTCGTCCGAGACGCCATCGATGATCTCCTTGAAGCAGACGACGACCTCGCATCCATGTACCTCACCGAAAAAGCCGAAGGCACAGAACGCGAAGACGACAACCACGAAGAAGTCGAACTCCTCCTCGAATCCTACCACAAGGTCGCCGACGAGATCGTCCAAGTTTCCTCCAACTTAGTCTCAGCAATTCGAAACACAGAAGAAATCGTGCGAGCCATCCTCGACGCAAACCGCAATTCCCTCATGCTTCTAGACCTAAAATTCAGCATCGGAACCCTAGGGATCAGCGCAGGAATGTTCGTCGCTGCCCTCTACGGCATGAATTTGGAAAACTTCATCGAAGAATCGAATTACGGATTCTTCGGAATCTCAGGCCTTTGCACAGGCCTCAGTGTCGTGGCGTGCATGTACTGTTTCAAGAAATTGAGGAAAGTTCAGAGGATTAGTATGTTTGGGGATTCAGGGATTAAGAAGAATGCTTTGCCTGCTCTGCCGAAACGTGCTGGGAATACTGGTGGTGATTGGGAACAACGTGGAGAGAGTCTTGCTGAGACTGTGGCGGGGATCAAAAGGGCTGATAGATTGAAGCTTTGGAGGCAGGCTATGGAGGACAGTCAGGGCAAGGGAAATAGGATGCCGGTGCCTTTCGGGCCCTTGAGATGATTTATGCATACTGTTCCGACACGAGGGTTCTGCGTCGTCTCTACTCTGTTTTTTTGGGTCTTTCAATGGGTTAGCGGGCATAGCGATGGCGTTGAATGGTGAAGAGGAAGCGGTGTAGACTATGTAGCACATTTAGATCGCATGATCTGCAAAGAGCAGGACATTGTACTTGGGAAGTCACCTCAGATATACGACATTTATCCCACGAAGATTCCAAGCATACGTCAAGCGACCTAGTAAGATCAAGAAGGATCTGAAAGAGCTCAGAGTTCAGGAAAGATATTCTCGTTTCGTAATGATCCATAACATTTCTATCATTGATCATCTTCATCAGTCGTGCCATCTCTCGCATCGAATTTCATAAAGCTCTCCGGATCTTCTGGCTCCATGATGCGCTGCCATGCACTCTTCACATCCGCCAAGATGTCATCGTCAAAGGCAAGATCCGCAGGCAGAGACTTGAGTGCAATGATGTGATCTTCATCATTTGTTTGCGTATTCGGAGGATAGCGCTGCTCCCAATGCATGCTCCAGACGACTTGCAGGTCTTGAAGATCTCCAATGCTGTCTAGAACCGCATCTACTGCTTGTCGCAATCTCGGGATTCCGATATCGCTTGATTGAGCGACATACCCATAGAGCACACCTGTGAATACGAGTCAGCATTCATTTTGGTAATGCAAGATGCTGAACAAAAGGCGACGTTGGACGAAGTATCAGGTTGTCAGAGAATTTTCTCGTCAATGCGTTTCAGGCAATGTAGATAAGTATTCGTTTCGGTTTGATCATCATTTCGTGGGAGGGCGCAGAAGCTGGGGTCAGAGAAGGTGTATACGTACACTGATCTGCAGGGCATTCGCCAGAGTCTCCGGAATGTGCGAAAATGTGCACTGGGGGCTCGTCGCTGTTTGCCGAAGGGATTAGTATCACAGCGCCAACAGGTGACACGCCACCCTCGGAAGTGGGTGGAAACAGGCTTGGAAGTGGCGAAGAGACAATCGAAATGCTCCTCGACATGACTGGAGTAGTCGTAGAGTCATGCTGTGCGGGATTCGCAGCACCGCAGAGCTCTGGACTTGTGCCAACAAGCCACTGAGCAGTAATCTTCTCTCCGCCCGTGAGTTCAAGTCGCGAGCCTGAGTCTGTTGTTTGCACTTCTTTTAAGCCTTTGCCCAAAACGTAGACGCCGCCGCCTACAGCGCCAGCCCTGCATGCAACTTGGCCGACTTCTGCAAGTCCACCCCATTTCGGTAAGACAGCTGGAAAACCTGGTCCAAACACGCCTATGCTTCGGAGATGTCGACTTATCCGCGGAAGAGTAAATTGGACCGTCGTACTTTCGCTGGGGTGTGGGCTGAGCGCCAAAGCCAGGATTGGCGGATGGTACGCGGGCGGCAGGCCAAATTTCTGCTCCAAGAAATCTGTGAATGGCGATGACCGCTCGGTATCCCAGATATCCAGCTGCTGCTCGTAATCGGCAACGAAGCGCAGAAACTTCATTAACGCCCGCTTCGCCTTCAAGTCAAGAGATGCATCCTGGAAGATGTCTTCTCGACCACCGGGCACTCGTGTAAGCCGTGCTTGCGAAGCAGAGCCATCCGGTGGTACATTTACGATGAACCAAGATGCTACGGCTTGAAAGTCAAGCTGAGTGTGAGTTTGTGAGGCGACGACGGCGGACAACAGTTCCGAGCGGCAGTATAGCAGCTGCGGTGCTAGAGCCAGCGAATACGCGCGAGACGCTTTCAGCTTGTCCTTCGCGAGCAGCTTGCGGACAATTGCACTGCCAAAAACGGGCCCAGCCCCAGTCGGGCTGGCTTTATATTTTTCTGACCATTCGAGCGCTTCCTGAAGGCTCAGAGCTGCTTCGTCACCGCCGTAATACTCGTTGCGGTCGATATGGAGGATTTTCTTGCCGGACCGCGACAGAGCTCTTCAGATCGGCCTTGCGTTAGTTAGCCTGAGAAAGGTATGATGCCCGTCCATTTGTACGTACAGCGCGAGGAGTGATTGTGGCAAGCCAGTGCCAGAGATCACCACATCCCAACTGCTGTCCTCGAGCGTGTCCATCGCGAATAAAGTCGTCTCACATGATGTGCTGGGAGATGTAAGCAAGAGCAAGTGAGCTGGCAAGCTGCAGCGAAGCGAAGCAGGAAAGCCAAATTTGATGCCAAGCATGGTCATAGCGTCGCAACTTCTTCTCCAGCTCAGCGGTCTCTGCATTTCGACTCTCTCTTCATCATCGCGCTCAACAACGAAACGATCTGTCTGTGGCGTTGAGTCTATACCAGAGCCCTTCACTGTGGCTCTGCGAGCGCGATAGACCAAAACACGTGCTTGTATCTCCTGCCCGGAGGCTTTGCCATGGAAGGAACAGGTCGGAAGTTACGAACATACCTGGAAGCATACTCACGATGCTTCCACAATGCATCCGCTGCCATTTGCACGGATCTGTCAGAATTTGCCCGAGCTCGAATGAGGTTTCTGCAGGCAGCCATAGGCAGAATGTAGGCCGTTAAAATGCTGCAGTGTCTGCTTGCAGAATCACCTCAGACTTTTCTACCATCAGCTAAACCGAACCATATACACCAGATATGAGCAAGCTGAGCAGATTGGACATTGGCTACACCAGTATATGTATATCTTGAAGCACATTCTATTCAGCATCCAGCATGGAAAGCGGCCAGAGCCATCTAGTAGCCCAGCAAGTCCGCCGCAGTGACTCCGATGAGCTTACGAGCATGGTGGTATGACCACACCAGTGCAGTAAGCATTCATATTCGTGGCTAAAGTTTTGCAGAACAGTGAGCCCGCCAAAAGACTTGTCTCGCCTTCATCAGATCGTGTTCCAAGGCACAGTCTCATCTGGCACTCTCCTTACAAATGCTCGCAACGCAACGCAGCTGATGACCGACGAGCTTGGCAGGCATACGGCGAATGCCTCCGCTCGCCGTCTTGCTAGTGTAGAGCGAAAGATCTCAGATGTGGTGAAGAGTGCTGCGCAGCTTGACTTGAGCGTTGGTAGAGTCACCTTTGAAGGAGCAAAGCGAGGTGAGTGCAGGCAGATCATCGTCTCCGCCGTTCGCCTGAGGCGCGAGGCTTCGCAAGCTGGTATGGAGGTCCAGGCAAGTGTTGCAAAACAGGCCAAAAAGAAGACTTGATTTGAGTGTCACTCTCAAGCTGCGCTTGGGCAACGCAACGAAGCTCGGCTCCAGCTCTACTTGGATGGCATCGAAGTTGGGAAGCATTGCAATTAGATCTAGAAAATCATCTCCTGAACTCACCGTCTGCTGCCTTCACTTCTTTGTGCCGACTTTGAAAGTCCTTAGCACTCCGACAACCCATGGGGTTTATGTGTTTGAGATTACCATCAGACCACTCAAAGTCGATCATCAATTTGGAGCGCTTTAGTGATGTGGAGGCGCGAATGTCGCTCGTTGGCCCACCAGCTCATACCATCGTTTAAGATTGTCCCCCGGTGGCTGTCACCTATTCGCGTAAAGGGCACTGATAAGAATCTACAGTGGACAACTGAAGGCATGGAAATGAGAGGAAAGGACTGCGGTCGTGGAAGTCACGCCTTTAAGAATTGGACATTGTCTCTCCAAGATCTTTTGGTGATTGTACCTACTCAATTTCCTTGCTCTATTTGGCATCTATGCCACCTGGGCAGAGGTGAACCAGTGTTCGTATCTACAATTTCGACAGGACTGCCTCTACTCCAGATACCTGTTACGATAGTCAGTATAATGATCAGAAGTTCCAGCTCATGGTATCTTACTGTGACCTTGCCTGGTCCACTCTCGGCTTCGGCATAGCTGATTGTGCCATCTTTCTCGATGACCATGGCCCATCGTCCATTCCTGTCCCCAACCCTGGAAGCGGAATGATTAGCGACCAGATACCATTAATGATTGGCTCCGTTCTGCTATCTCTCACCCAGCATCCCAGCCATAATTCTTGGAGAAGAAAGATTTCGTGTCGCTCATGAACAGTATATCATGGTCCGGAGTGACTTTGTTCACCTTGCCCCATGCATTCATCACGCTGCCATCGATCAGCAAGGATCCACAAACTTGGTGAGCAGATGTTTCTTACAAGACATCATTACTGGCAATGAATACCACGAGATCCACGCCCTTGGCCTTCAGTTCATCGAGGCTTTTGATATATGGCGGAAGATGATATGCTTGGCAGCCAGGAGTGAAGGCACCGGGCACCGAGACCAGCACAACTTTCTTGCCGGCGAACTCTTTAGACGCATTGTATGTCTGTGGAAGACCACAGACAGTAGGATCTGGGTCGGTAATTGGCGCCCAGCTTTCTCACTATCAGTATGGACTCATTCGAAGAAGCCATTCGATTGGGACCTACTCGAACTTGACGTCGTCTGGGAACTTGTCGCCGACCTTCAATGGCTTCGACATGCTGGTTGCGGAATGGAATGAGGGTGTTTGAAAGTAGGGGATTGATCTCTTTGGGCTTGCAGGTTACACAAATGAAGACTTTTGTACAGCCGACCAAGATGTGACTGTTTGATGCGGTTGAATAACGCTGACAGCCCCGCGGAGACTGGCGAGATGTTGGGGCTCCAATGCCGCTCACGACGAACTCAAAGTTTTGGCACTCAGTGTTTGGTGCCTTAACGTTACGCGAAGTTGAACGTGTAGAGTATCTATATATCAGCAACTCCAGGGGTGGCACGGACGTGGCACGGGCCAGTCGGAGTTGCTAGCAACTCTAGCCCTACTAAGCCCCGCTAAACCTTATACAAATCGTAGTCTTAGCAAACCTATATCTCTACTGTTCCTAAATTCCTCCTATATTTCCTATTCTATATCGCCTATATTATATAACGGCTACTAACGTCTACTAATATAGACGTATCTATACCTAGCGACGTCGCCGACCTTAAGAAGCTTCGATAGCGCGTTTTTACCCTCGAAGAGGATATTAAGACGGATATAGAAGGCTAGAGACTAATATAGCGCCTATATAGCAATTAATATACTAAAAGGTCGACTAAGAAGCATAGCAAACCTAACCTAGAAACAGGACTATACTATAACAAAGTGTATTACTATTGTATAGAGAAATAGCGCCGTAATAAGCTTAATCGAGAAGTAGTAGGTATTATAGATAGACGAGTCTTTAAACTACTAGAAGAAGAGTGTTAGATTAGCTTTATTGTCGAGATTAAATACCGCTAGAATGTAGCTACTAGAAGGGTTAGTATTCGTCGCTATATAACTACTAATATATACACCTATAACCTAGACCTTCTTAATAGCCGGAAAGTGTATTAACTAGTTAAAGATAAGGTTAAGAAGCAAATAGATAACTCGCCGCAGGCGAGAAGGACTTATAATGCGATTAATAGCTAATATAGTAGCAATCTCGGTGTCCCTTATCTAGATATTAGTTTACTATATAATGCCGCTAAGTACTCGCCCTATTACAATCGAGATAAGCGCTTTACGACGACGGACGAGCGAGGCGATATAGAGCTTCAATTATAGGGCATTATTACAGTAGCAAAAGAGTACGGTTTGCATTGCCAATCCTTTAGCGTACTAACTAAGGATAGTATTAGAAGAGGCGTTATATAGGCTTTAGAAGAGGGCATTTAGCTATTAAAGAAGTATAGCAAATTAGTGCTTTTAGACGATATATACGAGGTTAACTAACTCGACTAGAAGTTGTTTAATATCTACATTTCTAACGACAACATATACTAGCGACTAGTTGCTTACGCACTCCTTAAAAGCAAGCATAGTCCGGTCTATACATAGGCATTATATCATCTAGCTTCTTAGGCTAACTATAGTAAACCTAGTAGCTAGTTATTGCTATATACGGTTACTAATAACTCGGCTTTAGAACAGATAGCAATACAACAGATATTTCTATAGTATAGGACCTATCTCTATATAAGACACTTACTCTAGACTATCCGCCGTAAATTTCTACTTAAAGGACTATATAAGAAGGTCTACGAGAAGCTAGTATAGGTGTCGTTGCACGCAGAGACTAAACAAGAGGTTATAGATAGAGTATAACAAGCTATTAACGCTCTGCCGCGAGGCAAGAACGACGAGTTATACTCGTATCTGTTACGAGAATAGTCTATCGAATACGCTTAGATATAGACGGTTAGAGAACGGAGGAACAACCCCCTATTAATGCGGGTAAGAAGGCTATATTGTCCTTTTCTAACTAATTTCACTAACCTTCGTTGTTTAGGCGCGTACTACTAATCCAGTCGAAGCGTACTACGCGGATTTTAAGAGTAATACAAGGTCTATTAAGGCTAACTTCTCGCTCGCCGGCACCCTTATATATACCCTTAATATCGATAAGAGATAGAATAATAACGCGAAGAAGGAGGCGGCGAAGGATAATATACTCTATATCTTTACTAGACTACAAGGCTCTTATAAGCGCTTCTATAAACTGCTATACTGCCTTTAAACGGCTATTACTAAGCAATATCGACTAGCTTAGAAGAGGGCTAATTCAGGTCTTCTAAACTAGATACGATATTAACTACAACTCGATAACTAACTCCCTAACATGTGCTAGTACTTCTTCTAGAAGCAGTAGTACTAACCGTGTCGCTATATTTAGTACGATCGAGAGATTCTAGGCGATAGTATAACCGCGAAGTAGGTAGATTGCTATATTAACCGTTTCTTCGACCCTAAAGGCTTTAATAGTAATATTAACTCGCCGAAGACTTATAGCGAGTAGCTCGTAGACGATAATAACCCTATCGAAGACGATAATAACGAGGAAGTTAATAGTATTACTAGTACTATATCGAAGGACCGCTACCTTCTAATTCGCAGTCTTATCGAGAACATTACTTACGACTACTATTAGAAGGTTAAGAAGGTAGAAATAGTAGTGCCGGCGCACCTACTATTAACCTACCGAGACGACATTACTAAGCAGTATTATACTAAATATATGCGCCTCTCGGCGGCGGTAGAGCTATTATAATAGCTCTAGCAATATTAATAGCGATACGAAGACAGCACCTTGTTTACTATCTAATAGGCGTAGGTTAATATAGGCATAGGCGCCTTACTATCGATTAGTCGCATTTAAGAGATAGTCTACCTATAGTAATAACCTTACTACCTATAACGACCGCCGCTAGTAAGGGACCTATTTACGCTAGGCGCAGCGACTTAACGCGTACTAGAGTACACGGCGACTAGTCTCTATACTAATTAGTATAGAAACAGTTACTACTATCCTCCGCCGTCGTTCTAGCTACCTCCGCCGTCGTAATTTAAGCCTACGTAGGTTACTAACTCGGTACTTTAGAATACGTACTACGTAGGCGACGGCACCTATCGATATAGTATATCTTCCTTAAACGACGGTAGTTTAATAGACGTTATACGCTAAGTCCTTTACTAATAGTGCCTTCTATTTGCGCCTACTATATCGAGCGGTCTTCGCTATTTAATAGTCGTCGCGAATATACCGACACCGTAGCCGTTAGACCTGCGACAACATATACTATAATAGTCGCTACTAATCGATATATTACAACTTAGTAACTAATAGGCATGCGTATTTATTAACAACTAGCGATTCTTACTAGAAGACTAGCAGCGGCTATTTAATAGCAGGACTTTTAGTAGTAATCTATATAATAGAGGCAATAGCGGCGGCGGCAATAGACAATAAGGTAAGAGTAAGTAGATATACCTCGGATTTAGCGCAACGGCTATACTATACGTTAACTTTAGCTTTATTAAGTTATCGCTAGCGACCTTCGAAATTACTATATTCCTAAAGCCCTTTCGAATTTGAAGCACATTTCAACCAATTTCATTAGGGGAGTTGCTAGCAACTCGAAGTGGGGGGTGGGACCGGGGTAAAAGTGGGTCAAGCCAATCAGCGCGAGTTGCTGATATACAGACACCCGTTGACGGACTTGCCATGAAAAGACAACAGCGAGGAGGAAAGAGCAGTTGCGCGACCATCGCATTATTGAGTTCACGAAACACCTGACACGGTATTCAGGGTCGTACGACTTGCAGCACAGCACAGCACAGACGCTGGTCAACGCTTCAATAATCTTTTCTCACACCTTTTCCCAGCTCCTCTCCTCTCCATCCGCTCCCCAGCGAGCACACCTTTCGCATCGCAGGTCACGTTACTGGCGGCCTCAATGGACGCGCTGCTTCGCGTCATGCCGGACGCAAAAATCATTGCGACGGTGAGCTGTCTCGCAATCGCGTACATCGCATACCTGCTTCTCCGCCCAGATCCTGAAGCTGCGGTGGGATTTTCTGTGCCGGCACCTTTGCCCTGCACGCCGGGATGGAAGGGCAACGTGCTGGCTGAGCCGTCCATCAAGGTGCCTGGCTCTACTGCTATACAAGCCTACTGTCCTGCCACTGGAGAGTATTTGGGCCTTGTTAATCCCTCAACTCCGGATCGAATTGATCGAATCATCTCACGCGCGGCCGATGCTCAGAAGTCATGGAGTCAAACCACTTTTGCTCAACGCAGACAAGTCTTGAAGACTCTCCTCAAGTTCATACTCGATAACCAGGAGCCTATCATTCGCGCTGCTTGTCTGGACAGTGGAAAGACGCGTGTTGATGCCCTTTTCGGCGAAGTTCTGGTCACTGCAGAACGGCTCAAATGGACTATCGACCATGGAGAGAAAGCTCTTCTTCCAGACACGCGACCTACGAACCTTTTGATGCTCTACAAGCGCAATGAGGTCCGCTATGAACCATTGGGCGTCGTGGCCGCATGTGTGAGCTGGAAGTATGCTTTGCCGTCTTACATTGTGCTGCCCTAGGGTGCTAACAAAGTTATAGCTACCCTCTGCATAATTTGATGGGACCTGTCATCTCTGCCTTGTTCTCTGGCAACGCAATCGTTGTAAAGAACAGCGAGCAGACTGCTTGGTGAGTCAAGTGAAGGCGAAGAACCTTCTCAAGTTGGCTTTGGATCTTGGATCAAGGCAAGCAGGGTCTTCACACTACCTTCTGCCTTGTTGATCAACATTTGTCTCGAAAATAGATGCTGTTGCTCCATGGTCGAAGACTGAGACTGGCCCATGGTGTCTGAGATGGCAAGCCTAGCTGCTGTCACTCGGCAGAGTCATGCCTTGCACCCTTCGAGGTCAAGGCGTTTTCGTACCGAGGGTCGATGCATTGCGATGGATCGCTTGACTGTACGACGTGTGCTAACGCTTTCGCCCTTGGGTTTAGGTCGTCCGTATACTTTGTCGACATTGCTCGTGCCGCTCTCCACGCTTGCGGTTTCGATCCAAATTTAGTCAACGCGATCTCGTGCTGGCCACAGGCGGCCGCGTATCTTACATCGCATCCAGGCATAAGCCATCTCACATTCATTGGAAGCAGGCCGGTAAGATCAAGCAGAAACAAGAGATCGCATAGTTGCTGACACTGTCTCCTTTCTCTCCAGGTCGCACACGAGATTGCAAAGAGTGCGTCTAAGGTCCTCACGCCGCTGTGCATCGAGTTAGGTGGAAAGGACGCTGCCATCGTCCTCGATCATCCGAATGGCGACGGACTTGCCGCAGGAGAAATGGAGAGGATCGCAAGCATCATCATGAGGGGTGTCTTCCAATCAGCTGGCCAAAATTGTATTGGTATTGAGCGTGTCGTCGCCATGCCCACAGCGTACAGGACACTCGTCAAAATGCTCGAGCCCCGAATCAAAGCACTGCGGCTGGGGAGTGATCTTGACCCTGACAGATCTCCTTCGGATGCTGTCGATGTTGGGGCCTTGATCTCTCCCGCGTCTTTCGAACGCCTCGAGCGTCTGGTGGCGGAAGCACGGGCGCAAGGAGCAAGCTTACTGGCCGGCGGGCATCGACACCTTCACGATCGTCATCCACATGGGCACTACTTCGCGCCTACGTTACTGGTCGACGTAACACCAGAAATGAGGATCGCGCAGGAGGAGCTGTTTGCCCCCATATGCGTTCTGATGCTCGCAGGGGATGTCAAGGACGTTGTCCGTATTACGAACAGTACTGAATATGGCCTGGGGTGTTCAATCTTCGGGCCTACTTCGACTTCAGGAGCACGCGGCAACTTAGCGCACGTGCTGAGTTCAGTCAGATGTGGCATGGCGGCGGTGAATGATTTTGCGGCATACTACATGGTCCAACTGCCGTTCGGCGGTGTGAAACAATCTGGTTATGGACGCTTTGCAGGATCCGAAGGCCTACGGTCTCTTTGCAATGCCAAATCGGTCTGCGTGGATAGGTTTCCAGCACTGATCAAGACGGCCATTCCGGCCAGTCTAGATTATCCCATGAAGCCTAATGCGTGGCATGTTGCACGCGGAGTGGTCGAGGTGGGATACGGGGAGAGCATTCGTCGCCAAGTGGAGGGTATCCGGAAGCTCGCAGGATTCTAATAAGCGGGTGATCTCATGCTGTAACAAGTCAGCACTGCAGTTTGATAATGGCCACCACGAAACACCCTCGCCCATTATGTCGGGGCTACCGCGGCAAGGGCGTGAGCCTGTGAGGTTGGATGATGTACATCACCTGGCTGAAGAATGCATCCAAATCATGATTTAGCCACAGCCGAAATCGAAGGCTGACACCCTGGATCCTCCATTTGCTTGTGAATGTTCACCATCCAATTATCGGCGTTTGACCATCTCGAGCTCGTGATCACTGACAGCACGTTGGGAGACTGCCTAACGACGAATGCGTTGTTTGACATGGGACAGCTGGACAGCTCCGTAGCTGCAGTTGTGAGGAGCTCCGGAGATCCCACCAATCGTGGCATACCTTGACCGCTCGGCTCTCACACGCAAGCGGCCCGCCTCCCACCCCTCGTAGCATGGACACATACCTGCTGCCCACAAGACGTGGGATATGCCGCGATAGTATTCGTTCAATCGACAAGTTGTACTGCATCCCATTAAACCTTGGAATGCATAGAGTTTGCGTGGCTCCAATCCGCATGGATCTCAGTGGGTGTTCTGTGGCATGGGTGTGCAATCCGTAGCCTATATCTTCTCCCTTCTTCGTCCTATCTCCTGCTCTTTTGAATCCAGACAAACCATCAAGGTCATTCACAAAACTACATCAAACAACCACTTCAAGACTTTTTCCGTCAACCACAATACACTATCACAATGGGTGGCTGTGACTGCAACAAGGACTGCTCTTGCGCCAGCAAGGAGAGCTGCAGCTGCGTAAGTGGTCATCGGTGACCGCGTGCAAAGCATATTGCTGATATGATTGACCTGTAGAAGTAGATATCTCGACAAGCAACAATGCCCATCCTGATCAGGAGTATGCAATGTCAACGCCCTCACTCATACTCGCTCGATGATGGTTGCATCCGATGTTGAAGCAAGGGAGAGACTGCAAATCAACCTTGGGCTGATGACCTGACGCTTAGACGGTCGATTGGCGAAGTGAAGGAGGGAGGAGGAGTAGTTGTTGTTGGAAGTTGTTGGAAGTTGTATACGCTCATTAGCTTGTCAATCGATTCAGTCCCCGGGGAATCATGTTCTGCTTCCACTTGCCTCAAACGACCCCCTTCGCTGATTGGTGTCGGCGTCCTTTGCAAAATGAGCGGTCTTGCTGATACAGAGCGCTACGTTGCATAGCTCGAGCCAGGTGAGCTCCGTGGTCGGTTACCAGGGTTTGCCCATAGTTACCCCAATGGTCGCCATCCGACAGCCAAGCCAAGCCAAGGGTTCACCGGAGCAATACAAGCGCGTGGGATGTGCTGTCTCACTTCGATTGAACGGAGCCATATCCGCATCCAGCCGTTAATGGTAATTGACGATCTTAGTGGCCAGTAACTCGATTTCACGCTGATGGACGAAGGTGTACTTCAGTCGTTGACTCCTTCCGCCCGAGTCACTCGATTTGATGGCGACCTTCGCGTGCACGCGGCTTTACGCTGTGTAGCGTCGCTTGGAGTTGTTGCATGGCCAAGGCGATGTCATGTTCACGATCGACGTAATAAAACCTTTTGATGCTGCGATACGTATTATTGAATGCTCGAGCAGCTGCAGCTCCCCACGTACCGTACCGCGGACTAAAACCAAAACCTGACTGATGAGTCAGCTTTCGCGCGGTCGCCGGTCGGGTTAGCGCGTCCCGGATAGCCCCACGAATGACGCCACCACGAGTTCATGTTGGCAGTAACAGGCGCCAGCAGGAAGGAACGAATGTCAAATGCCTCCAAAGCACTCATCACATTCGAGGGACAACAAGGCAACAGTCAGCAACAAGCAGGAATTGAGTGCAATACAAGCATACCTTTCGAAAAGACCCAATCTCGAGGATTTGAAAAAGAGGGCTGGAACCACAGACCAGGATCCGGTTCAGAATCCAGGCACTGAGTACGATTTGAGGCTCAAAGAAGCCGTTAGCCAGATTATTGCCGAGAAAAGAGAAGAAGCTGCTGCTTGAAGATTCAACATGCCTGTCATTCCGGGAGACAATGACAAAGGTAAGCGGATACATTCGGCCTTGCAGGCTTCCAGGTCGCAAGTTTTGACGGCAAGTTGTAGAGATGAAGGAGAAGCTTGCTCAAGGCAAGGCGGAGGCGGAAGAGAAGAAGGCAGACAAAGCTTCTTCGCAGCACCACCAGGCAAATCTCGGTCCTGTATGTGCACTCCCGAACCGCTCATGCTCTTTGACTGATCTGTGTATAGGTTATGGCCGAGAACCTGGGACAGCCGGCGAGCAAGGAGGAGCTCAAGAAACGAGCGGAAGAGCTCAACAAGTAAGAGAGCACACATGCATTCTCCTGCTATATAGTCTTGATCCATCAAGGAGGCACCTCTTCACCCTTCCAATCCCAGCATTTCCCTCTATCGTCCAAGGCCCGGCTCTTGATGACCTCTATCAGTTTCTCGGCTGCGAAATCTGGGCTGAATAGCTTCTCTTCCTTCACGTTGTTCCAGAATTCCTTTGACAAATCCGTCTTGACCGTTCCAGGGTGAAGACTGATACTCATTGCATTGTCGCCGGCACTTGTTCGTAGAAAATTGTCGAATGATTTGGTCAATTGGTTTACAGCCGCTTTCGAAGCTCGATAGCTATACCATCCACCTAACCTATTGTCGCTGATCGAGCCTACCCGCGCAGACATATTCGCCCAGACCGCTGCCTTGGGAAGTCCTTCTTCGTCGGATAGCTTCGTGGCTTTTCGAGGTAAGAACGGTGAGAAGTGTTTGAGCATGAGCATCGGACCGAGTGTGTTCGTGCGGAACGTCGTCAAGGCGTCGTCGTAGTTGATCTGCGAGGGCGACTTCTCCGGGAAGAGCAATCCAGGGACGCAGAGAGAAAGCCGCAGATAGTTATCCTTCTTGGGTAGTATGCCGGCCACCTCTTCTGCCGCTTGAGCGACGCTGTTCTCATCTGGAATGCATGAATCAATACAGGACTTTGCTTATACATGGCGTGGAGAAATACCCAGAACGTCGACTTTGACGACATGAAGCCGGTCCTCGCTTACATCCTTGAGCCCAGATAGTAGCTGTTCCTTGGTCTGGTCAAGGTCCTTTCGAGCTGTAGCTACAATGGGTACTGTGGTCGTTTGCAGAAGTCGGCGCGCCAATTCAAGGCCAATGCCTCGTGAGGCTGGAGATACCAGCGCCCAGGGATGCATCGCTGCAGAAGGGAAAGTGAATATTGAATAACATCGAAGGTCCCATTCTTACAGCTGTGCACGGGTGCAGAATTCCATCTACTCAAGCTATTGTCGTCATGCTCAAGACTCGTCCGGGTTTTTATAAATGGCGGTCAGCGGAATTTTGAATGGCGGTTTCACGCGCGGGTATACCCGTACGGAACATAGCACTCAATCTTCAATCTCTTGATATAACAATATCTCGACAACAACACTACATATTAATACATAGTAAAGCACGCTAAGGGTCGGAAGCATTGTATCTTAATATATATTTAATTTAATAATAATATCTTATATTATAGTTAAACGGTTAATACCGTAGGCAAGCTAAAGCCCGCTTGTTAGTTCCGTCAATCTATCGACTTAGTTTGAGCTATTCGAAGAGCCGAATAGCCTATGTTCTCGCTACTAGCTCCACGGAGGATAATTAGCTCGTAGATACCTAGTTTTATTACCTTCTACTCCTCCCTAAGTACCCTATTCGCCTAACAAACTCGGTATATATACCCTTAGTAGCGGAGGAGGCATGGGTAGTCCGTATAGGTATTCTAAAGCGTAGTTTCCTCCGTAGAATAGTTATTAAAGCCTCTCGTAGCTCTATAGATTGCCTCTCGGTCCTTGTTACGCATACGACTATATGTTACCTGCCTCTCGCTAAGCTCTGATGTGGTGCGAAACTTAGTGTGTTCGAGGGTGTGTAGGAGTGGGTATAGAGGGCGGAGGCATCGCCTAGTACGGCTACTAGGGCTAATAGTAAATAAGTTAGTTAGCAACGAGGCCTTGCTACGTAGTACCTTATAGAAGGCCTTGCAACTATTATTACTGTTGCTTGACGAGCTTCGTTAACTTATCGATCTTGTCTTCTTTAGCGGCGGCTAGTTGTTGCGTTGTTGTTAGCCTTACTATCGCTAGATCTATATTGTTATATAGATTATCGCTATAGCAATAGAAGGTGCAGTATCTATTAGAGCCGGACTTGTTCTTCTTGCAACTATAACCGCTAGAGCTATAGTGCCTACCCTTACTTAGCTTATGGCTACAGCCCTTTAGCTTCTAAGTAGCTATATTAGCTTAAATTAGACGCATAGGGTTACCGTTACGGCGTACGAGTTAAGTAGAAGATAGGCCGTCTTTAGCTATATATTTAAACCTCGAAGGGTCGCGTTAAGTACTGTATTCGCTAGTATTAGCTGCGTGTAATAGCTAAGCGCGCAACTGTCGCTTATAACGGCGTACTTAAGGCTCGAATATACGTTGTCCGTTACCCTCTATATGCCGCTAAGCGCCTAGCTTGTAATAGAACCTATCGAATAGGTCCGGTTATAGAAGTACTCGTCTATTAAGAAAGGCCTTAATCTCGTACTTATAAGGAGACCCTATTGTCCTTCTATAGGTATAAGAATATACTAACCTAACAAAGTTAGGGTTATTCTTCTGCTATTTAATCTCGCTCTTAATACGTAACTTCTGCTCGATAAATTAGCGCAATCTACGGTCCGTAATGTTGTTCTTAAGGGCTTAAAGAATAGGCCTATCTACGTACGCTATAGAGGTCGTATTTAGTGCCTTTGCCTTCGCATAATTATATCGTCTAATGTAATAGTCAAAGTAGATAAACATCTTCTAAAGAAGCGTATAGACGTCGTTACGAGCGCTTAATATCCAACCCTTTAAACTAGCGTGTCTAGACTCTATAGGAGAGGTTGTTAAGAAGCCGTAATAGAGGTGTTTATTAACCTAAGCCTTAACACACTTATACTTGTAAGGCTACTATTGTTCTTCGAGGTACGTAACTATCTCCTGCTATTAAGAAGTGTTATTCTCACTCTTTAGCTCTTACTAATTATCGTCGAAGTCCTTCTTAGTTGCTAAGTTAATATAGCGACGATAGAGTGCTAGAAACTCTTCCGCTTAGTCGTTAGGTTTGTACCGCCTATTAATATACTTCCTACTAAGTTTAGCTATTACGTACGCCTTAATATTAGTATTTATATACTATATATATAGCATTGTCGGCGTATAAGGGTATATAGCTTCGAGAGCGTTCATTTCCGCGCGGTCTCAGTCGTAGAAGATAACTAATAGATCGTCGAGTTATAGGTCTTCGGAGGCACGGTCGAGGGCACTATATACGAAGCGATAGTAATCTTCTCGCTCTCTAACTATTAAATAATAGGCAAGAGGCAGTATAAGGCCTATAGATAAGATGAATAGAATACATAGCAGTAGAAGCTTGTATTAGTTAGTCTTATAAGTGCAGTTAATAACAAGGGCGTAACCTAACTCCTTATAGATTGCTGCTATCTCTAGGTTAATCTAGAACAGTGCTATTAACCTGTCCTTACTGTCGGTCTGAATATCGTGCTAGTAACCGTCTTGTTATAGTATTTCTAACACCTTCTTAATTAGAGTCTTGCCTTAGAGGTTCTTAGCCCTAATCTTCGCCTATTCGTTATAAATATCGCGTATAATAGGTCTAGTTGTTGCTATATTACTGCCCTTCGGAATAAAGTGTTTAAATGCTAGTACGAGAGTCTGTCTTAGCGAGACCGCATAACGGCGACAATTAGCAAGGAAATCGCTTACCTTATTGCCTCTATATCTATACCGGTAGAAAGCGAGTTCGCTAGTATAAACACCGCCGTAGTTATACTAAGGGTCGTTGCTAAACGAGAATATCTACTTACCGTCCGCTTTAGACTTATCTACGGCCTTTAACCTTAGCGAGAAGGGGCAGTCGTTAAGGTAAGTACCTCTAACCTTCTTCGTACCTTTAACGTTATCTTCTAACTCTTTCTTCTTTAATCGACTCTTCCGGAAGCCTCGCTAACACTTTAATAGTATAACGACTTCGAGACCGCTAGCATTGCGCCGGACACCTCTATCGCGAGCGATTACAAAGCCCTCCTTCTCGCTAAAGTCTATTAAGGCGTTATAATAGGCGGCGTACGAAGAATATATCTGTTTTTCCGGATTAGCGATCGGCTTAAACTCGATACTCGCTAGACCGCGCAGTGCTAGATCGAGGCCTTCGAAATACTCGTCTTCTGCTAGATTAGTCGTCTTAATAGCGCCCCTACTATCTACGTCGCTAGTAGCGACTTTAGCGCCTTTAGCGCCTTTATTAGAGGCATTACTAGCAGCGGCATTACTTAATTGAGTTAATTGCTAGTCTAAGAAGTCGTCCGGATAGTTAAGAAGCGCTTCTTCGTATACGATAGTAGTACTACTAGGCGTAGTACCTTTAGCGACCTTAGCGGCTTCTATAAATACGACGCTAGGAATAATAGTAGTATTAAGTTCGTGTCTGTAGGAATGGGTTGCTTGAATTACTAACTAATTACTAACAAATATGCCAAGACTTCCCTGGGTGTGAAACCGCCATTTAAAATTGTCCCGACCGCCATTTATAAAATCCCACTCGTCCCTGAAATCGAGCATAGATTGGGTTTTCTGAATCGAAGTGACAGAAGTCGCTGTTCACAAGGACTTATGGCCTCACACCTTCACGTAGAAATCTCTTTTCTTCGGCCAGAACAGGAGCAGCGGAGATAGACCCACCGTATATAAAGTGAAATATTCTTGGGCGTAGAGCGATACCATAATTGAGAGATGATTCGGCCTGGGCTTGGCTACTGAACAATCATGCACATTAACAGAGTTAGGAAAGCAAGAATGTGCATCAACCACGGTTGCGTCTGCTCGACCTAGCAGTCGCAGCTGTGGTCTGGAGCAGTAATAGCACGTAGCTGGCCAAGTGGCTTGGTATAATAGGGTCTTGAGGGCGAGAACTGTTTTTGCGGTGCTGTATAAGATGTCGGTGCAGTTGCAGGTGATCATTAGTAGTAACACTTATCGTAGGGATGATCGGGCGGAGTATGGAGGAGGAAGTAAGGGTTTGGCGGCAATCTCTGGCGTGTTCATCGTCATTTACAGCTTTGCGAAGTGGTATTATACCAATCGGAAAAGCAATCGGAGGACGAAGTGGCTTCATTGATGAACATTTGCATGCTGAAGGCCACGTTCGTCGAGCTCGGTAGTGCGCGCTTGACGCATCGTCATGAAAGCATAGCATCAAAGCTGTGTATCAATCGCTGTACCTGCGCCTTCACAGGATTTGACATTGTAGCTGGTCGGATGAATTTAGCTGGTTGGATGAATTCCTCTCAGCTCTCAAGAAGTCAAAAAGCATAGTCGCTACTTCGTGCCGCTGCTTCCACGGGTTAGACGCTGAAGTCCTCAGCAAGCCCGTTACAAACCACGGCAATAGCTCCGTTCCGGGGACACAAGACATTTCCATCGGGCGTCACGGTCGCCATCTCCATCCATTCAGAATTCTGCCAGTCTCTTGGCAGGAAAAAGTGCTTATGAATCTCAAGCTCCGAGTTTTGAATGTTGGCGGACCCGATGTCGGCAGAGCAGACCCAGAAGTCCCGATCTACAAAGACAAAGGTGCTAAGATCGTGATGTCGTCGTGATACAGATCTACGGTGCTCAGCGAACGTGCCCCTTCGTCCTGGGACGCTAAGTGCATCCGCGTCCACGAAGCCAAGTGACACGTAAAGGGCGTCCATCAGAATCGACGGTATTGACTGGACGACCAGGGATTGGCCAAGCCCGTCAGAACTGAGGTGCTTCATTTCAGCCAGTAGACAAGCCGAGCGCCGCCTGGTCTGTCTTGTCGCACCATAGATCTCGATCATTACCAGCGAAGAGTTTGGCGAGATGTAGACATCGTGTACCGTTTCATCGATCTCTGAAGGGCTAGTTGGATGTGCTTGCGAGGGTCGCCGGGGATTAGGCAATCTCAGACTGCCTCGGTCAGAATGGGATCCAGTTGGGTCAAAAGTCTCGTACTCCACCGAGGTAGAGTTCGCTGGATCGAGCCAAGGCAGGACCGTGACCTGATGGGCACTAAACCCCAGTGCCAGACTCGCATCCTGGGGATGCATAATCCATTTGCCTGGCCGCGCAATAGGTAGCACCACTTGCGGAACATTGGCTTGGAGCGGGTGCAACTTCACCGCTGACGGCGTAACTACCATCAAAGCGTTGCCATCGGCTTGAATAAGAGTCTGCTCAATTTCTTCGACCTCCGAGATGCTCTTCAAGGTGCTCACACTTTTGACCGGGCAAGACTGGTCGCGAAGATTATCGAAGGTTCGGATCGTGATCCCGCGACCAAGATCAACGCTTGCCAGCAAGCAAGCGTTATCACACCATGCCAGCTGCTCGATGCTCATGATGCCGTCCGTAAGTTCCACTATACTGTGTCCGTCGAAATCTGAGATCGTGATCTTGCCGGCATCATCTCCAATAGCATAGATTTGATCAAGCTTCATGGCGGAGAAGGCTGTGACTGGCTCGAATTCTTCTTGCTCTCGCACTGACTCCGCCGCCAACGACTGCTGTTCGCTTTCACGGCTGCTGTGCGTGTCACTCGCGATGTCATCACCTTCTAGAGCCCTGAGGAGGCTGCTTGGCTCCCATATATTACAATAATGTTCGCGAAGGTCATATAATCTCGCCTGGTTTCGACCAATGTCTAGATCCTGGATCCGTAAAGGATAGCGAAGCTGTGTAATAGGTGTAAAATGTTCAAAGTCCCAGATCCGTAAGATACCTTCGTTGCTTCCCGTCACGAACAACTTGCCGTCAGCAGAGCACTTGATGATTTCGCCTCGGGAGTCAAAGGTCGCGAAAGTGTCATCCTGAGGATGCCATTTGAAAACCATGCCTCCATAAAATGTGCCGAGCAAATGACCTGTCAAAGGATTCCAAGCGAAACTCTGGACATAGAGGATTCTGGTATGTTGTTGCAGATGCGCAGCACTCCTGCGACTGCTGCGGCTGCGGTGGTCAAAGTGCGCGACAAAATGCGGCTCGTTCGCTCCTAGATACCAGACAGCTGGATTTGCGCCACGATAGGATATGGCTATGTATAGACCATCTGGACTGAATTGAGCGTTATGCGGCGCATTTACCTGATGTGGATGCGTTGAATCATTGTCAAGGCTTCGACCAAAGTAGTCCCACTCAAAGCGAATAGCTTCCAACGAACAAGCGCGTATTATTCTGTCGTCCGAGAAAGTCAACAACAAATCATCTCCGCGGTCGCTGCGCTGAAAGCTAATTGCCAATGCCTTAGTGTGGCTTGGGTTTTCGATGCTGTACAGGAGTCTCCCACTCTCGATATCCCAAACCATAGTTTTCTTGAAACCATAGGTCGCGATCCTTGAGACTGGGCTGTCGGCACAGAAGGTTAATACATGGTCGCCATGTGGTAAGCGGCGAGCAATCTCGCAAGTATTTGAGTAATGCAGGTGGACTGTGCCGTTCCCTTTCGTCAAGATAGCGAAGTATCGATCAAGACTCAAAATAGAGCTTGGAGTGGAGTCGCCTGTAACGGCGAATTTGGCAAAGCAGTCATCCCACATGGGGTTGAGCCTGCCTCGTATCTCGAGCGGCGACTCTTCCCTGGCCATCGAAGTATGGTGTCCTGGGCTGAACTGCCTGTAGAGTACTGATTCTCTGGGACAGAACGCAGGCAAAAGCCTATAGACAGTTTTCGGGGTGCGTGTGATTTGCGGTCCAAATTTGCCAACAACACGAATCAAGTCCTGTACCCATTGCAAGAGAACTTCCTTGTCGGCAAGCCGATGCATCAATGGACTACGTTCTGCGTCAGCCTTGTCCAGTATCTTCAGAAGATCGCCTAGCGCCTTCGACGCTTGCACGATTGCTCGCAGCTGCCCTGCATACGCCAGCATGAACATCCAATCCAGTACAGCCCGGCTCCGAAGCAATGCCAATACTGAAGTCAGTGAGCTGTGATCCTCGAAATCAGAGCTCTGGGTAAGGTGGAATGGCCAAGATGATGCAGCATACAGAAGAAATGCGCGGGCAGCGTCTTTCAAGGTATGGTGGTCCCGGCGGCCAGAGGTAAGCACTCCAATGCACCTGGTAAAAAGAGCATGATGCGCTCTGCGAAGGCTGACATGATAATTGAGATCCGTATTCGACATAAGGAAGTCTCTGGCGGACGAATGCATTATGGAGACGTAGCCTCTCTTGTCTACTGTAACGAATTCGCCGCATAGTCTCTGTATTGTCTGGCGCATGTCCATGATCCTCGGGAAATCGTGCTCTAGTGCATTTTCGAGTTCATCGAGATTTAAAGGCCGCCGGGCACAGGCTGCCCACATGATGATAGTACGGCCCATCATGGTGTCTTGAGGGCGCGAACGGAATACGTCTGCTAGTCGATCGTCCATTCGTCGATATAATGGAGCGAGGTCCCTGGGGACCTGCTGTAGCGCTTGTTCGACTTGGACCTCAGTCTGACATTCGACGATTTCCTGGACAACGAGGTGTGCCCATAGGAAGTTGCGATCAGCTTTAACGAGAATCTCGTTAACCGTCATCTCCTTGAAGCTATCGGTTCCTGGCATGAACTCCATTTCCTCGCGAACATACATTTCCAGGTCCTCTGCGTTGTTATCTAGAGGCAGGCGCTGTACGTCCATTCGCTTTGACAGTCGCTCCACCGATGTCTCAATCTCCAGGGTAGGGCGACTAACTAGTAGCAAGCGCAAAGGTACGGAGGCGTTCTCCATTTCGACAAAGAGTCTCTGCAAAAGCTCTCTAGTCTGATTCAGCTCATCTAGCCCATCAAGAACGATGTAGAACGGCTGTCTCGTGTTGCATTGTAGTAGGGTAGATGAGTAAAGCTTTTTCCAAAGTAATTTATGGCCAGCTTTGTTAATGTCGAAGGAGTCTCCTGCGAGCGTAGAGAGCTTGCGTCGATACTCGGGTATGCACCGAGACAACTGTAGGGCAGTCGAAGTCAAAAATTGGCTTAGGCTGTTCTTCACCTGATAGCCGGAGCGAAAATAGTAGTAAGCGCACGCTTTCGAGTCCTCGATCAGACTCTCGATAATATATGTTGCAGTAACAGACTTGCCGCTGCCGGGGCCGCCAAAGCACCATAGAACCTGCGGCTGGGCAGCATCGTCGGTTAAGAAGAGATCCATGGTGGGATGACGGAGAACCCACTCGCACGATCCGGCGATGCGTTTTTCAGAGAACTCCGATAAGTCGTCCTGGGGAGCATCGCAACCGTGAAGGAGGCGGCTAACCTCCTCAGTCTGATTTGCAGTGTCATCAGGAAAATCTGACCTTCTCCTCGACTTGAACTTCTCAACAAGAAGTCGAAGGGCTCCACGAACGCTCGAATAATTTGGATCGGTCCTCGACGTGTACTTGGTGATAGAAGTGTGTTCAGCATCTAGAGGGATTTGTATTTCATTTGGATGGTCCAGGGTAGCCACATGATGTGGCAGCACAAAAGAGCCAGAGCATAGCGGAGATTGGCCCAGAGGTCGCTCATAGAATGAGTAGACATGCAAAGGCGCCAGTAGGTCTCTGAATTTGTCGTTTATATTCTGCATCTTAGGCAGGTGGCGTCTGAGCAGCTCGGCGCCATGGGTCAAGCGCCATTCTGCAACGCATGCCATGAGTACATCATTCAGGACCGAGCTTTGATGAAGTCCTCGATGGGGAGTGGAGAAGAAAACAAAAGCAGATGTCGCTTGAGCAATCTGCCCATAGGTCGCATTAGAGTCGGATATAGCGAGTAGGTAAGCCTTTTTCGCAATCAGGCCGCCCAATGAGTGCGAGACAAAAATTAGAGGTATACAACCGACGTTCAGCGACCGACCCTCACGACCCTGGCCAAATCGCAGTTTCGCCAGGAGGTCTTTGGCCAGGTCCGAGATATCAAGAAGGCGATCAGGATCTCCCGGAGACGTGGATGCGGGTGGACCAAAGCCGTAGGTTGAGATTCTTGCTGATGCAATCACTGTCTCACTGGAAAGCCAGTTCATCGGCCAAAACGAATCAGCTTGATCATGCTCATTGGTCCAAGTGCGCAGGCTGCCACCGCCAACGCCATGTACAAAGACCAAGTCCGCCAGAGGCACGCCATCTGGCTCATGGAGAACTGTGAGTCCAGCGGGATCGGTATACCCTCCTCCTGTCTGATCTCGCCTCTTCACAGATGCGTTTGCAGCCAGGCGGGGCTGGGACGAGTTTCCGCGTAGGGCATCGAGAGCGTTGATGGAAGGAGAGTTGTCAAACTGGTGATACGTCGATCTGGGTGAAAGCTGTCGTTCGCGTTCTCGAAAGACCGCGTGGGTCGACCATCGTGATGGACTGTCATCCAGCTCACCGTCGGCTGGGCGTCGTTGCGGTGATCCAAATCGGGAGCGACGAGGAGCATTGGCGTCCGAGGGTGGTGGCTATATGTCATCAAACGTCAGGTCATGTTTGGATGCTGCTTATGCGAAGTGTAAGGTTAATGGCAATGGCAGCGCACATACCCACATGGCAGACAGAACTAGTCGGGCCGACGCCGAACTCAGTCGTCGTTGTCCTCGGCATGGATGTCGCCGGCGTGCTTTGCTTTGCGGTCTTCGAAAACCACCTCCACGATGGCCGCTACACGAGCACTTGGAAAAGCGCATCAGCGAGGCCAGTCAGCTCGCTCGCTAGGCAACGTCAACGTCAATCACGTACGCGCGAGGGCGGACCCTGCTCACACCATGGTCCATCAAGCAAGGCCTCCTACACCCCGTGCACAAAGCTGCATGCCCATGCCCATGGATGCGCTCAGCTGTTTCTGCATCGCTGTGACCTCGCACCAAGCTCCCCGGGGGTGTCAATATGGGTATCATCTTGGAGAGCGTTCGACGCCCAAAATCAAGAATACATGTATGTCTCAATGGCGCCTGACGCTCTGAGTTGCGAAAGGATCTCACCTTTGGGAATCCAGCCTTACTGAGGAGGCTGCAGCTGTGCCGCCCCCTCCGAAAAACTCATTGGTCTTCGTGGCTGCAATATTCTACAAGGTATCTAGCCGCCCATGTACGCCGCTCGTGCACAGCTTGAAACTGATCCCAGTAGCGAGGCGGGCGGCAAGAGGGCGTCCTTTTGTATTGCTATCAACCATGCTGTTGCCCGCTTGCAATGCATTGCTTAATTCAATATGGACAAATACAAAGGTTACAGACTTCTTGATCGGTCGAGGAACGAAATCCGGATCCTGAAACTCCATGGAGTCCACGAGCCGACGCCTGCATGCACGACAGACAACATACTTACATGCTCACTAGAAACAGTAGCTCTACAGGATGCCAGTCCGTTCTACGCACTTTCATACGTATGGGGTCCTTCGGAGCCCATCGCACCATTGATGCTGGATCAGCAGATAGTATTCATTAGGATGAATCTTTGGAGATTCCTTTACACACTAAGGCTGCGTTTCTGTCCGCGACCGAAGGACACGATCAGGCTGTGGGCCGACTACATCTGTATTCAACAGACACCCTCGGCCGAGCTTAGTGCTCAGGTATCGATCATGGGAGAGATCTACCAAGCGGCCGACGCAGTGTATGCTTGGCTCGGCGAGCCGGTCTACCCAGAAGACAATGATATGGAGTGTATCGAGGTGATCAGAAGATGTCGTCAGCGAGACCAGGCGTGGGTCCAGATAGCTCGCGAGAATCGATCTGACTTTCGACATATAGCATCGAGCAAGTACTGGACCAGGCTGTGGATCAAACAAGAAGTCATTCTGCCTCGAGACATCTGGTTCTTCTACGGCCAAGGCGTGGCACATTGGAAGGATATTCGCTTCGCTGCTATGCTCAAGCTAGACAGATCTCGCTTTCCACGTTCCAGACGTGGGACTGGCAGCTCAGATGTCGAGCAGCCAAATCCTGGATTCATGACATCCTTACTGAATTTGCGAGCCCTGCGCCGCGGTCCCGATGATCTCTCTGAGTTGGTCAATAGGTTCAAGGACGCCGAATGCCAAGATGAAAAGGATCGAGTATATGCATTACTATCACTCACCAAGCCATCGATTCGAGAACGCATCACCATCGACTATCAGCAATCACTCCTTTCGGTCCTGCTCTCCACCTATCCTTATTGGTCCGGCGATCGAGTGACATGGACACCTGCTGGTGATGGACAACAAATACCTACGTATCAGTATCAATTATTTATTGCCCAGATGTCGAAAATGCTACCTGCCGAAAAGCTGTACTCAAGCTACCAGGAGAAGGATCTTGTCAACTGCCATACAGCCCAAGCAATTTTCACGACCACAGGATTGTTGGAAGTGACGAGCGCTCAAACAATCGCGGCGATTTGTAACGATGCTATCACTCCGATGGCTGAGCTTCAAAAGCCCGTATCTGAGGTTGAAGCTTTCGTGCTGAGGGTACTTGTACGGTCGCCGCTACCAGGTCAGCCTCACTTCCAGCGAAAAAGCTTTGTGTATGCAAATGCGGTGGTTGAGAAAGGCGATATGGTGGGCCGTATCGGGAATCACATGCTGTTCATGCGTAGGCTGGAAACAAAGGAGCATTTCGCCATGAACCGGGAGTTAATCATTCAAGCTGCAGGAACGGCAGTGTCGCCTGTTCTATCCATGGGCCCAGCGAGCGACTATTTGAGTACGCAACTGTTCCCACACCCCTCTCTCTGGAAACGACATCGGTTGGCAGGGATATGCTTCCACCTGGTAACGGATGCCATTGGCGACGAGCGCCGAGGTGGGACTTCCAGAGGGAACAGAGGCGGTGTTGCAGTTTCATATAATACTGCCGCGATCGTGACACTGCTTGTCGACTCCAATATGTTCCGGAGAGACCATGACGACCTTGATATTCCAGATTACAACAGCGACCTTCCGGAAGTCTGGTCCCCTTATGTTTTTGGAGAGCAGAACCATATTCTCGAGCCATGTCAGGCGTGCAGGATTATCGGAAGGCAGTTTAGCCACAAATGGGATCTTGCGGCAGAAGATCAAGAAGAGCCATGCTCGTGCAGATGGCTCGTGTCTTGAACGAAATGTCTAGACCTCCCGTCGTTCGGCAACCTCCGTGCAGTAGATTATGGTATGATATGACGTCTCTTGCTTGTCTTCGGGACCAGCTTCTCCGTTTTGCGCTCGCCGTGGCCGACTGCATGAGAAATGCTCGGCGACGACCCCTCTCCTTCGGGCCGACCGAAGCGCCACATCGTCACGTACCTCGTACCTCAGGACCGAGCCTCTCATCAAGCACTCAAACAGCTCGCCACTGCCAAGCAGGTCTGCAGCGGAATCATGCAGGTCTGCACTTCCTCCAGCTGGACCCATATCCAGAAGAAGAGCATGTGGACACGAGCGCTGCCCGGCTTTCGCAAGACGTGCAGCGTCGCGTAACTTGGAGAGAAAAGTCTGCCCTGCCGAGCTTGCGAGCATGAAGCACGAAAGTTGTGGTCCGACAAGAAGCGATGGTAGATCCACACAGGACTCGATATAATAATTGTGGTATCATCAGATGATCCCCCGAATCTTCATCGCTAATAAATACACCTCGCTGCATGGACTGGCTGCCTGGTTGATTCAAGGACATTGGCATTGCAATCATGTATGGATGTTTTGCCGAGATTCTCAGGTCAGGACTCATGAGGGTGTCCACATTATGATGGCCGCCTGAGCAGTGCGCAACAGACCTGGCAACGAGATATGTACGACCTCGCTAATGCTGCTGTGCTGCCATCTTGTTGTCGGCATCAACAATCCTGGCCTGCTTCGATTCGGCCGTTGATTCTTGGGAGATGTCTCGACGAGGTCTCGGCGACGTAGCAATACCAGCATTATTGGCGCGGCGGTGATGCAAGTCGTTTACTAATTATTGATCATCGGCGAAAGCGGTTAAGCAAGCATCTCGCAGCTTCTATTTAGCCGCAAACATGCCCCGGACTCGTGGGTCCGGAGCAAATGCGCACAGGTGGAAAAGGTGTCACCGTGTTCTGCGGGCCTCCGCATTTTGCTCTATCGGCCCTGGTAGTATTATGCAAGGCTAACTCCAGTATTGGCTTAGCACCCCAGCATCTGGGTGGGCCGTTGCCAATGCCCGATGTCTTCCAAGATGCGTAGTGTAGTGATTCAGGTCCCCACTCACGCACTGCGGTCACATGCCTACAAACACTATAAACACGGGTCTGTCCTTCAGCAGGCGTATAAACACAGGCATATATACTGTAAGCAACGCGTATCAGCTTGTTGCTAACCAAGATGCCTAGAGGATACGCTAAGCAGGGGCCACTGTACAGGCTGATTACGTACCTGACCTGCTCACTGCTCAGTGCTGAGGCTTTGTGAACACCTTATATACACTGCGAGGATAAGGTGTTCAAACTTCATTATTATTAGAGCCGATTCTTACAACATGGTGAACCTAAATCACTAGCGCAGTGCAACTTGCCTTCCTTGTCCATCATTATTTTCAGGAACACGGTTCTTGGGTCCGTGCGGGGTGCGTCATTTCGTGCCTCACGCCACGGCAGACGAGTGGTATTGCGGAGCTCGACACCATACTAAGGCAAAATATAGTAAGTAGGTCGGTCGTCGCTCTTTAAAGACCAGGGCTTCTCTTTGCACACTGCACAGGTCCGCGGAGACCCCTTATTTCCATTCGTTTGACTTTTGATAACTTGTTCTTCGTTTTGCGCGTGAGCTGCGCGGCCAGCGTGTCACTATGCACTTTTTATCAGCACTCGTCGCAGTGCTGCCATTGGCATATGCCCAAAGCTCCGGTCCTCCAGTCACGAATAGCTCAGGCGGCGCCTTGCGAGACGCGCAGTCACCACCGAAGTATCCTAGTCCATGGGGAGAAGGACTGGGCGAGTGGGCCGATGCATATGCCAAAGCCAAAGCCTTCGTTTCGCAGTTGACCCTGCTGGAGAAAGTCAACCTCACAACGGGGTCCGTCGTCAAAGTCTTACAGACAGCACAACGTGACCGAGACGCTTGCTGACTCGGCGATCAGCGTGGGTTGGGAAGGTGAAAAATGCGTGGGCAATCAAGGCTCAATACCCCGTCTAGGCTTCCGAGCATTGTGCTTGTAAGTGCAGGACAAACAAGAGGTTGCCAGGAAGGGATGCTTCCTGAGCAGCCCGTGAGGCAGGATTGGAGACCAATTGCGAACAATGGCTGACCCGGACTCTCTCGCTCAGGCAAGATTCGCCTCTCGGCGTCAGGTATGCGTGTCCATCTGTTGTTCAGAGGGCTTGGCATCGTTGGGACTGACGACAAGCTCAGATTTGGGGACTTCGCCTCTGCATTCCCAGCAGGCGTCACCATCGCAGCAACATGGGACCGAAAGCTTTTCTATAAGCGTGGATTTGACATGGGCACAGAACACCGCCTTAAAGGCATAGATGTACAACTAGGACCCGCCATCGGTCCTCTCGGTCGAACCCCAGAAGGTGGCAGAAATTGGGAAGGATTTTCACCCGACCCTATATTGACTGGCATTGCTGTCTACGAGACCGTAAAGGGTATACAAGATGCCGGAGTGATCGCCTGCACCAAGCATTACATTGCCAACGAGCAGGAACATTTCAGGCAGGGCCCCCCGCCGGCAAACTTGACTGCTGCTCTCAGCTCCAATATCGACGATGCCACTATGCACGAACTTTATCTTTGGCCGTTTGCAGATGCTGTCAAGGCTGGGACTGGATCGATCATGTGCGCTTACAATCAGGTGAACAACAGCTATGCTTGCCAGAACTCGTACCTGCTCAACTACCTGCTCAAGAATGAACTTGGCTTCCAAGGCTTCGTTGTTAGCGATTGGAGCGCGCAGCATGCAGGCGTCAGTTCTGCGCTCGCCGGCCTCGACATGACGATGCCTGGAGACGTCTCATTCAACAGCGGCACATCCTTTTGGGGTACAAATCTGACCATTGCAGTGCTCAATGGCACCGTTCCACAATGGCGCTTGGATGACATGGCTGTCAGAATCGTAAGTCGAAGCCCTGATAATTCTTTTCTATCTTGTTCTGGTCTCCGCTAACCCAATCATGTCCGGCTTAGGTCGCTGCGTGGTATTTTGTGGATCGTGAAAATAACGACGTCGAGAACGCACCGAACTTCTCATCTTGGACGCAAGACACGTTCGGCTTTGAGCATGCCTATGCTCAGGAGGGCTACACGCAGGTCAATTACCACGTCGACGTTCAAAAAGAACACTTTGCCGACATCCGAGAATCCGCTGCCAAGGGCACTGTTCTGCTCAAAAACGAAGGAGCGCTTCCACTCACCGGAAAGGAGAAGCTTACAGCCGTGTTTGGTTCTGACGCGGCTGAGAACCAATACGGCCCGAACGGATGCCCCGATCGTGGCTGCGACAATGGTACTCTAGCTATGGTACGTTCCTGGTCTTGTCAAGCCACATGCCTTGTACTTGTCTTTCGCTGACCCTGTTTTCTTCATCTTGTAGGGCTGGGGCTCAGGCACAGCCAATTTCCCGTATCTGATCACGCCCCTTGAGGCTATCAAAGCCGAAGTTCGAAGCCATCGAGGCGCTATTGAATCAGTGATCGATGACTACGCATATTCACAGATCGCGGCGCTAGCCCGAAGAGTTGGCGATGTCGACGGCGTTTCGCTTGTCTTTGTGAACTCTGACGCTGGAGAAGGCTACATTGTTGTCGATGGCAACGAAGGTGACAGAAACAACTTGACGGTGTGGCACAGTGGTGACACACTCATTCAGAATGTCACGAGTCAATGCAACAACACAATCATCGTCATGCACACCGTCGGACCTGTACTGGTGCAGCCATGGTACAACAACCCGAACGTCACAGCTATCATCTGGGCCGGCATTCCAGGCCAAGAGAGCGGAAATGCGATTACAGACATCCTCTATGGCAAGGTCAATCCAGGTGGTAAGACGCCGTTCACATGGGGCAAGACCCGTGAAGATTATGGTACAGACGTTTTGTACGAACCCAACAACGGTCTGCTGGCTCCACAAGACGATTTCAACGAAGGCATCTTCATCGACTACCGCCACTTGTAAGTATTTGATTGCGGCGGAGAGAGTTCTACCACTGCTGACAGGTTCCAGTGACAAATACAACATCAAACCGATCTACGAGTTCGGCTTTGGACTTTCGTACACTACGTTCTCGTTCTCAAACCTGAAGGTCGAGTCATTGTCTGCAGCCCCATACACACCAACTACAGGAAAGAGTCCTCCAGCACCGACATACGGCTCGATCAGCAACAGTAGTGCTGACTACGTTTTTCCGACCAATTTCTCACGCGTCTACGGTTACATCTATCCTTATCTCAACTCCACTTCGCTGTCCAACTCGTCCGGCGATCCGCTGTACGGAATTGATTACAAGTGGCCCGAAGGCTCCTACGACAGCAGTGCACAGCCATACGTGCCAGCCGGCGGCGCTCCTGGCGGTAATGAAGGGCTCTGGGAGACCCTCTTCGTCGTATCAGCCACAGTGACCAACAATGGAACATGCGCTGGTGATGAAGTACCGCAGCTCTATGTCAATCTGGTGCGTGAGAAGAACTATCTTGTCGTTTGTCTGGAAAAGCCTTGCTGACATTACTACAATAGGGTGGGCCCAACGACGCCAAGGTCATCTTGCGCAATTTCGACCGCCTGACCATTGAGGCTGGCGCCAGCAAGACGTTCGTCGCCAACATCACCAGAAGAGATCTCAGCAACTGGGATACTGTGAGCCAGGATTGGGTCATCTCGAACTACACCAAGACTGTATATGTCGGTAGCTCGAGTCGCAACCTGCCGCTGAGCCAGAAGCTGGATATGAGTGGCAGCGGCTCAGGCGGATGGTACTAAACCCACAGCATTGCCTCGATATACATATGATATCGCTGCAGTAGGTACACACGCTACAAAACAGTCTATCAAGCTGCAGATATTTCACTGCCCGCTTCCTTTGCTCACTGGTTTCAATGTTGGTTTCACACTTGGCCAGGATCATGTGTCCCTCAGCTTTCCAACTTCGATGCGATCTTCTTGGCAATTTCGTCAAACGATTTTGCTTGCGGCGTGTCCGGATTAGCCACCATTGTCGGCTTGCCCGCATCTGCATTGGCACATATGTCCGGGTGAAGCGGAATATCGCCCAAGAATGGTATACCGATCTCATTGCACTTCTTCTTCGCGCCTGCTTGCGTCAGCAAGGTCGGAGGAAATAAGCTTGGAAATACATACCGTCTAGTCCAAATATGTCATGCTTGTGATCACAATTGGTGCAAACAAAGGAGCTCATGTTCTGAATCATGCCAAAGATTGGCACATTCACCTTCTTGAACAAATCTATGCCTCTGACTGCGTCTCGCAGGGCGAGGTCCTGTGGCGTTGAAACGATGGCAGCGCCTATAGCCTACTTCAGCTGTCGTCACCTTCGAAGGACTCTTCGCATCCAGCTTACCCGTAAGCTCAACACTCTGTGTGATGGTGAGTTGAACGTCGCCAGTTCCTGGTGGGAGATCCATTACAAGAACATCCAAATTCGGCCATGAGACTTCAAAGAGCAGCTGATTCATCGCTTTTTGGACCATCAGGCCCCTCCAAGCCACGGGGCTATCTTGAGGCACAAGGAAGCCCATCGACATGGCTTTCAGCCCATATGCCGTCAAAGGTACCAGTCGATTATTCCTGTCCAGTTCCGGCTCGTACCCTTCCAGCTGCATCTCGTAAGGAAGAAATTCAATGCAACAAGTTTTGACGGACCTACGTTCAACAAAGTTGGGATGCTCGGTCCATAAATGTCCGTGTCCAAGATGCCAGTGTGCAGTCCCTGCTGTGCCATGGCTAATGCAAGGTTCACAGAGATGGTGCTCTTGCCGACTCCGCCTTTCGCGCTGCTGACGGCAATTATGTTCTTGACGTTCGAGATTTTGCGCTTCTCCGGCAGACCTGTTGTATGGAATGGTTAGATTAGAAATTCGAACAGCCAAACTCGCCAACCTACCTCGTTTCATTCGCGCAGCCAGATTTGGCGGCGTACCAGAGCGCGGAAGTCCCTGCCAGTATCGTTAACTAATGCCATGCCCGAAGAGTTGCTTGGACAATTCATACCAGGGGATTCTCGTGGCCTGCAGTAAGTCGGGTCGATGTGGAGAGACATCGGACTTGAGAGCAAATTTCGATGCATTGCGACCTCAGCGATACAGGTAGCCTGAGAATCTGAGATGAAATCGATAACATTGTTGTAACAAGATGAAATCTAGAGGTGTTGCTGAAGAACATGCAGCTGCGGAACGAGCCGAATACGAGATCGACGACATCACCAGTCCTTGACTCCTTGCCGAACTTCATTCATTTCATGCCCATCCTTGGCAGCATTGAAGGCGCTCCGTCCCAGCCTAGAGACCATCGATTCCACGAGTGTGCATATGGTGTATCACAAGCGTCGGTCTATGACCGGCTCCAAGCTCCTGCCTGAGATTTCGCACACATTGTCACGAGAGCTGGCTGACAGCAAATTCACAGTGGCCTTACACAGCACCTCTTCCGCTGCGCACTTTCCAAATCGAGCCAGCGCAGAACAAGCCTCGTCTTTGGCCTTTCCATACTTATTTTCTGTGACGATGTCGATGTTTGACCGACTCCGGATGCATGCCAAGAGTCATAAGGCCGTACTTCGAAGACACTTTCCCGGGCTCTCAATCAGCCCGTCCGACTTCCTCAGTGAATCCTCGCTCCCAAGCCTCTTTACCTCGCGACGGACGCCAGCCCAACCTTCGGGCGACATTGCTCTCGGTACGCGAGTTGCTGCTTAAGCCTAATTCAACAAGCTGCTGATCACCTCCTGGTACGAACCATTGAGTCAATAAGCGAGCGCCTTCTTCGATATCAACCGATTTGACCTCCTTGGTCTTGATTCTGCCCGCATCGTATGCCGCATCGGCCACGCCCTGAGCGAGCTCTAACCACGAATGCCGACCATTACCGGAGAAGATGATACCTTTGGTGCCAAAGGGAATCTGTGCAGCGTTTCCTTCCAGTATCATCAAGGTGATCAGCTTATACAGTTCGGCCAAGTCCTCGACGTGAACTGAACAGCTAAGTCAATTACAACCATTCACCGTCCAAATAGCGGGTACTAACCATTGTCCCAGACACCTTCACCAGAACCAACAACTGCAGCCTGGCCATGTTCCAAGGCAGCTTTCACATACATAGGTACTTGAATGCTCTTCGTGTTGAACATGCCAGTACCTATGCCATATATCGTAGGACTCATGATCTGAGGCGTGCGTCAGCACATATTGACAAGAGCAACGGAACGATAGTATTTTTCGGCAAAGCCGGACATGTCAAGAGATGGTCTCACTAGTTGAAGACACTGGATGGCTTAGGCTGTGAATTATCGAAACTTACGACCAGGGTTTTGACGGCTGTCGCGATGCCGGCATCAATTACGCCGAGCTCACTCGTCCTCTGTCCGTACGGATCGGCAGCATTTCGCTCCTTCTCATAGCTGTAAATATCGTCCTTGGCATCGTCGAAGACGCGATCTTCTACCAATGTCTTGGTGACTGGACGATCAGCCAAATTGGACGTTCCCGATGTGTGAATGAGGTAAACTTCTTTGCCAGTCTCCTCCTTGCGCTTCGCAAGCCCATGCACTAGAGCCGCAGCGCTTTGAGGATGATAACCCAGAGTGGTGTTGATGACGATGTCATGCTGGCTCGCAACTTCTATTGTGCGCTCTATGTCGTCCAGGTCTTTGTAGAGCTCAGGTTTTATCCGGTCTCCATACGCGGCTTTCAGCTCAGCAACACGATTCTCTCCCCTCACCAGGCAAGTGATTGTCGCGCTCTTCAGTAGCGGTTCGTTGGAAGCGAGCAAGAGTGCGAGGATACTGCCCCCAATGTAACCCGTGGCACCAGTGAGCAAGATTTGTGGCGTAGACATGATGGAGACGAGAATGGCGCAGTGCGGAAGCAAGAGGCAACTCAGGTCGTCCTAATGGCTAGTCTGCAATGATTTACATATACCACTTCTTGCCATGGCAAATTGTTATTTGGATCCGAAAGATGAGCAATCGTAGCACGGAGATTACCGGATTTTGGCAGTGCTGCATCCTTCGGTGCTACCGCAGACAACAAGTTCTGACTGATGCACCCTAGGGCCAAGCCTGTTGTTACTTTGCCGAAGCTGCTTATCAAGCAAGCAATTCGATAGCCCACGAGCAGCATGTGAGGCCGTCGGAAACACTCGACAAGCGAGACCAGGCTGTGCACCGGTTTGAAGCGCCCAAGCGCCCCGGGTTGCCTGAGGCCTTGACCGCGGGGGGGGAGGACGGCATGCTTGCAGGATATACTGCTCTTTGGAGATGAGATGGCCAATACCACTTTCAGTGTCGGCGGTTCCGATATACGAAGATTCGGCTGACTTTGACTTTGGCCTCGCCACACTCTCATGCACGACATCGACATCCGAGGCGTGACCGACCGCGTTCCTCTTCAATAATGAATGTACGTCACAGTCGAAGTGGGCTAGCGTGCCCTCATGCGACCAGGCGACGACCTGACCGTGATGGGAGCCTTCAGCAGGTCACCGGTGCGTGCGCTGACCACTAACTTCACCGTACCAGACACATCACCTGCCACTTTGCCTCCGCTCGTTCTCGTTCTTCTCTTCCTATCCATTCCCTCGCGTGCCACCGCTCTCACCCCTACTCACTAATAGCACGCGCTTCACAGACTCCACCGATATCGAAGTGTCCCATTCAACCCAGCCATCATGGCTGCCGCAGAATACTTCAACCCAAATGGTGGAGGCCAGCATCATCCTCCACCACCATCGGGCCCTCACAATGCACCTCAGAACCTGGGAGTGAATCCTCCATATCCCATGAGTGATGCGCCTCCACCATACTCTGTATTTGCCCAGCAAAGACCGCATTCGCAACCGCCTCCTCAGCACCGACCGCAAGCGCCAGACGACATATATCGACCAGCACCGCCACCAGCGAACGGATATCTACATGACAACAAGGACCCGAGATCGTCGCAAGGAGGGCTACACAACATGTATAGACCATCAGATTTTAGCAGCGGATCGTATAGTACGTTGCAACAGCCACAATCGTATCAGCAACCATACCAGCAGTCGCAGCCTGGCTATCCATTCCCAAATGGCGCTCCAGCCATGCCACACGTCTACGGCGACGGTGGACGTAAGCCCTCTTCGACGCCAGGCCACGCGCCATCAGCGTCTCCGTACAGAGAACGGTCAAGATCAAGAAGCAGAAGCCGAAGTCGGCATAGAAAACACCATCGACCACCAACACAACGAAAGAAGTCCTCCGGCGTGAACACCTTCCTGGGCGCTGGAGGAGGGGCTTTAATAGGCGACGCCATCTTTCCCGGTCTAGGAACTTTGGGCGGGGCGCTTTTCGGTGGAGCGATGGGGCACGAGTATGGCAAGAAGCGCACCCAGAGCAATCCGAGTCGAACAGCAAGACATCGATCGTACAGCAACGATTCCGAATACTATGGAGATGACAAGAGAAGGGGACGGAAGTATTGAGCGCAATCGCTGGCAGGGCCGTGATACTTGTCGGGATGAATCACCGAGATGATACCACGCGCTGGTCGTAATTTTGGTATCTTGTCTGCACCTTTAGCGAGTTGTCTTACGAGCACCATGATGTAATGAATGTAGTCAATCGAAGTTTCGAATGAACATGTTATCAAATAGGTATCTGATGAAGATGGACGTTGGTTCTTGTTTCGTGGGCATACGGGACTGTATTTCTTCCGGTGGAACTTCAGTCCCTTTCCCATTCATCAACCCACCTTCAGATTCGCAATCGACGTGCTTGCTAGCTAGCTACTGATTTTAGTGCCGCTCATGACCTCTGGATCGTCTTGCCCTACCCTACCCTACCCCTCTCGTAGCTCACCCGAGGGCAGGGCAGGGCAGGGCACGATCTTCCATTCCAAGAAGACCTTCAAGCTCTTTTAACATATATAGCAGCAAATCTATATAAAAGTTCTACAGAAGAGATACATCCTCTCCCCAGTACTTTTTGCTTTCATCCCAAATCTTTTTGTTGTTTCTTCCCCCATTCATCATCATCATGACTTCTCCCGAATCCTTTGACGCCGTCATCGTGGGAGCGGGTTTCGGAGGCATCTATATGCTTTATCGATTGCGGAATTTGGGATTGAAATGTCTGGTGGTTGATCAGGCTGGGGATGTAGGAGGGACGTGGTATGGATACTACTGAAAGTTTTTTTTGGGGGGGAGGGCATGGGATGTTGATTTGTAAACAGGTATTGGAATCTTTACCCTGGTGCGATGTCGGATACGGAAAGCTATGTTTATCGATATAGCTGGGATAAGGAGGATTTGGAGAGTTATCCATGGTTTGTTTGTCTGTCAGAGAGAGATTTTGGGTGATTGGTGAGGGAGTTGCTGACTTGGATGAGAAATATAGGCCGGAGCATTATGTTAAGCAGCCTGAGGTGTTGAAGTATCTTAATCATGTTACGGATAAGTATGGGCTTCGGAAGGATATGCGGTTTAATACGCAAATGCTGGGTGCGGATTGGGATGATGGTCGTAAGGGTTGGAATATCGAGCTGAGTGGTGGATCGAAGGTCCATGCTCGTTACCTGGTGACTTGCTTAGGACTTTTGTCGAAGCAGAATATTCCGGATATACCTGGTCTCAGCAATTTCCAAGGCGACGTGCGTACGATTCGCCGTTTTGATTGTTGGATCTGGTGACTGATTATTCTTTGATTTCAGGTACACCATACTGCGAAGTGGCCGAAAGACTTTGCACTAGAAGGCAAGAGGGTGGGTGTTATTGGAAATGGATCGACCGGAGTGCAAGTTATCACAGAGGTACGTCTCCACAGATTCCAGACAGGTGGGAATTCGTGCTCTAACGCCAGATGTCAACGCAGATTGGCAGCCAGGCCAAGTCCTTGCTGTCGTTCCAGCGCCATCCGCAGTACAGCGTCCCTTCAGGCGACAAGAAAGTCACGCCTGAGTATCGAGAGTGGGTAAACAGCAATTACGACCAGATCTGGAACACAGTCAGGAACTCCATCACCGCGTTCGGATTTGAAGAAAGTAGGATCTCGTACAATGATGTCGATGAGGCCGAACGCCAGCGGATCTTTCAAGAAAACTGGGACCGCGGCAATGGCTTTCGTTTCATGTTTGGCACTTTCAATGATATAACGAGCAATCCCGAGGCCAACGAGGGTGCTTGCGAGTTCATTCGTTCAAAGATTGACGAGATTGTGAACGATCCCGTCAAGGCCAAGAAGTTGAAGCCTTACGATGTCTATGCTCGACGGCCGCTTTGCGATGGTAATGCTTCCAACAACCAGAAGTATTTTGAGCAATTTAATCGTGAAAATGTCGACATTGTCGACCTGAAGGAGAATCCAATCAAGCAAGTTGAAGCCAAGGGCATTCGAACGGAGGATGGGGTCCTTCACGAATTAGACGTGATAATTCTGGCGACAGGATTTGACGCAGTGGAGGGTAACTACCAGAGGATGACGATGCGAGGGAGGAACGGAATCTCACTCGCAGAGCTCTGGAAGGACGGGCCGACTTCGAACTTGGGCATGTTTGTTCCCGACAGTAAGGCAACTCGAAGCAGATGTGTTCCATTGATATAAGTGCTTGCTAACGTTCTCGCTTTCTCGCCAGTGCCAAACTTCGGGATGGTGAACGGGCCCAAAGGTCCATTCACGAATCAGCCGCCGGCAATTGAGAGCGAGGTTGACTTCATTGCCGAGAGCATCGAGAGAGCTGAAAATTCTGGGGTACGGGTGGTGGAGACGACGTACGAGGGCGAACAGCAGTGGGCCAAGTTGTGCGAAGAGTTGGCCGCGCGCAGTCTGTTTTGGAAGGCCGCTGAGAACTGGATCTTCGGTGCGAACATTCCGGGCAAGAGAAGATGCCTGAGATTCTACTTCGGAGGCATGAGCGGATACATCGCAGAACTGCAGAGGTGCGTTGCGAACGGATATGCTGGATTCGTGCCATTCACGCAGCCGCAGGTAGAAGGCTGAACGTGAACTGTAGAATATCGTGCAGTGATGATGATTTGCACGTGAAGATGTTCACTGTATGGTGCGGTGGCGTGTCATGCAGTGTAATACGGTACACACTGATACAGGAGACAATAATCTGCTTGGAGAGTCGCGGCCCGGCCCGGCCCGGCATGATGCCGAGAGCAATTTAGTTCTAGCGCAGCGAAGTCATCCCGATCGGCTCCAAGCTCCGCTCCGCTCCTCCATCGAAGCCGGCGCACTCGCAATCGTCACGATAAGTACGATCAACGCCAGCAAATCATCCTGACCGACATTATTATCTATCATTCTGCCGGGTGAGCAAATCAGGCCTTGTAGGGCCTTGTAGGGACCAATCCTTTGTCGCTTGCTCCCACTGCGAGACTCTCCTCTCCCCCCCCTCGCAGCAACGAACCTTTCCCGGGGAGGTCAGGCAGCTCATCGCGTCACGCACGAGCTTCTGACTGCTGCTGTCCTGCTGTCCTGCTGGCCTCCCACCGTTGACAGCGGCCATAGTCCCTCCCTTCCCTCTGGAAGCACTCGCTGCTGCTGCCCATCTCTGCACCACGCGTCTTGCTCAGTCTGTAGCGCGTGTGCCTTGTCTCCAGCACCAGCCAGCTGGACCGCGCGTGTGCTTGCAGCTTGGTGCCTCAGTGACGACCATGGCCTCTTCTACCTAGGCCGCCCAGTCATCTGCGAGACCGTCTCAAGGCATTGCCTACTCTCCAGAGCAGTCTACACACGTGCCGCTATTGGGAAGGCCGCGTTATCATGGAGCAGCCCGGTAGTCCATCCAGGTCTACAACCACTTCGTCGTAACAGCAACCCGATTATCCCACTCTGCTGTGGCAGACGGGCAGAGCCACATCCTACACTCTTGCCGCACTGCTGCCTGCAGTCACAAGCCATGCATCAGCACCCGAGACCATCGCCTCGCAGCGCTTCTGCTGCGAGCAATCCCTCCACCAATCCAGAGCGAACCAATAACTCGAGAGATCGACCGCCCCAACGAACGCGATCAAGTGTCGACCTCGCATCCTACACCGAGAAGACTGCGGTGGACGACACCGCAGACAGCACGCGTACTGAAGCTCCGTCTGGAAGCTTGGACAGAGAGACAACCAAACTGAACCAAATAATACAGGTAGGAGTCGGACAAGGCGCCGGGATATCCAGAAAGGTCATCGTGCTGATCTTGGTACACAGCATTTTCATTCGAAAGCAGCATTGACCATTTGCTCCTCACGAGCGAACCTGCCTCAGGTGGTCAACAAGCACAAGGAGATCAAGCAGAACAGATGGGTAAGTAAAGGTCTCCCTGGTGTATGGGGACAGCATTCATGAAAAACGTTCATTCCCGTGGAGCGATGAACATATCAATTGTCGTTTCATCCTGGCCTTGTACCGAATTGCAATAATGCTGCTGCACACAATGTCGCACAGAAGAACAATGCAAGCTTACCTGGACTTGGATGATCTTCCACCGAGCATAGCCTTCTGTCTTGTCTTTCCGTGCCACTTGTGCGCACGTGTAGCTTCCTCTGCTAACTCGAATGTTAGTTCAATGTAGTCCTCGATGACACAGACGTCCTTGTCGATGATCTGCAACCTTGGAGAAGAACCGATTTGTCAGAAAAGCGACCACCGCCACTTGTGATTGAGGTGTATGTCGACACATCCCATCTGACGCAGAGTCAGACATTGATCATTGTGGATGAGTTTGGGAAACGTTGGGACGTAGCACATGCCCTTGGGTCCTCGGCCGATTCCAGTCCACGTACGAACAGAAATGGCGGAAGGCTTTGCGAAGTTATCCTGGAACGATGGACAGTGGAGCTCGGCGACTTGGCAAACCATACCACATCAGAACTGAATGATGCGCTCCCGAACGTGTATAAAAAAGGTGTCGTGCTTTTCAGGTCTCTGTATAGCTTCGCACGTCTGCTGCCAGCATGGAAGTTTTATCGCAAGCTTACCAGGCAGCCGGGCAGCCACCAAGCCTTGAGACTGAGGTTCAGAATTAAGCAGGGCCATGACCTGTCGTATGCTCAGCCGGACTCTTTGTACTCGCCACTGTGTCGGGCTGAGCACGACTCTGATGCCACTGTCGAACGCTATCGAGTCCCTCCGCTACTCTGCCGGTCAGGACCACTCGCCGTCTCTGTCGAATACCGCACGAACTGCGAATTCAATGTTGCTGACTCCGAAGCACTGCTGAGTTCTCGCTTCCTGGGCCTGGACGAAGGAATCCCGACGATGCCAGCAGGTCGGTCATTGCCCGGTGCTCGCAGCGAACAGGCGCGTGTGCAGCTCAGTGGCTTGGCTGTCGGAGCCACTGAACAGAGAGCTCGCGTGGGCGCATACGGAAGTCTCGGCACTTTCCATGCGTCCGGAAAACGCGCATCGCCGGTGACTGAGCTGAAGCAACGGGTCATGGACGATGACAGGAATGACACGGATCGCACAAGAGCAATCCGAGATGTGGAGGCTGGAAGGTCGACGCCGTCTAGTTTGGTGAAGAACCCGCCATTCAAAGCCGGCTCGCTGGCATCCTCTCCCAGACCGTCGCCATCACCGAGCACGTCTCTGGGCCGAGCAGAGTCCCTATCGTCCAGACTCGGGACATCCTCTGGCAGGCGCGTATCATTGAACACGCTACCACAGCAGGCTCTCCGCGCGCCTTCAATCCCGAGCGAGACGGCCATCGCTTCCTCCGGCTCTTCATCACCGAAACCAGCGCCGGTGCACCGGTACAGCAGCAGCTTCGCTAACCGTAACAGACGCTTTACTACACAAGGAAGCAAGGCTGGCGAAAGCAATGTCAGCTCCGGCCGCGCCAGCCACTCGTCCAAGGACCGCTCTGGCCAGCTTAACGAAGGTACACCGGGCAGCTCTGGGAGTGCTCAAACCGACGAAATGGACATTGCCTCCTTCATTTCGCAGGTGGAAAGTGCTAAGGACCTTCCGAGCTTCCACTCGCGGCCTGTGTCGCGTGACAATACCATCAACTTGGCGAAATATAGTGGCAAGATCAGCGGACAGGCACAGCTGGATGACGCTATGAGTTCCTCCTCTCTCCTACAAACATCTGGAACACCACCGAGTCGACGTCTGTCGAACGTTCCCGGCCTATCCACATCCTCCTCGCCGTCTCGCGCGCTTGCGCATGCACCCTATGTTCGCTCACGTCTCTCGACACACAGCATTGCCGAGGAGGTGACAGGCGCCTCCGGAGCTTCTGGCGGCTCAGACAGTCCACAGATTCACGAAGAGGACGAGGATGAAGAGGACGAAGAGCCATTCATCTTCCCTCAAGACAACATCTAATAAGCATTCGATGTTCTTCAGTCCAGCCCGGTGGGTGTGTTTTGATAAGTGTCCCGTTTAGCAAGGCGTTTGACTCGACTATTATTGGCATGGTATGCTTGGGCAGCATAACCAGAAGGCGTTGCAGGACTGAAACGAGTGCATCACAGTGGAGATAGATGCATGCAGCATCAGGTAAGGGATAGAGGACATGTCATGTTATGCTGCGATTTGCATGGAGGACCTTCAGGTTGTAAGTACTAAGCGGCAATTGTATAAGCCGTGGTGGTTAGATGCCAAATCAGAATGGACAATTGCATCGGCGAGCTGCAGCTGCTTGTTGCCATGGCCTCTTCTTTCTGCAGTACGTCGGACTTTGCTGCGATCGGGCACATGGTAGCCATCTTGCGATTCTCGGAAGAAGATGTTGTATTGCTTGTGAAAGTGCCCGAGCTCATACAATGGCTGTGTTCGTCGCACATGGCCATGGGATTGGACGTGAGTGAAGGGCCAAAGCATCCCGAGGCCCCTCTTATTGGATCGGTGACGGTGACGGCATGCTACAAAGGCCGCGCATCCACAACGAGGACACGAACATCCAAGCAACGGCTTCAGGGACTCATTGCTTGCACGTAGTCCAGTCACACTCGATCACCTTGTCTGCATCGAACACACAATCCACAAAGCCGATATCGACTCACGAACGCCACACGAAGACGCGACGACTGACACATCGCATCCTAGCCATAATCACTCCTCCGCACGAGCGACTACGCAACGAACGAAGCACCGATCACCGCACGAAGACTCTTCCCGCGCTTCGTATCGCACCTTAAACAAGCCGTGACTCGTCGCAGTCACAGCGGGTGCAGTACAAAGTCTCCGGGAACTCCTCCCCGGCGCCCATCCTGCGGCCTATGAGCAGCCATCTGTGGAAATTCTTCTATGAAGATGACTTCGCGTCATTCGAGAGGTTCTTGGAGGGCGCGGCTCACAATGCCAGACCTCAGGTGCCAAGAGCGGCGCAACAGCATGGAATCGGGCCTCTCATAGGCAGTCCGGAGCATGGTCTCTCTCCGAGCCTTGCGACAAGAAATCGTAGAGTTCCGACACCCAAATCGCCAGCTGGCGGCGCCGTGGCTCTGAGCAAGGCTGATATAAACCACCGGGATGCGCTTGGACGGACACTGCTGCATCATGCGGCATCTTCTGCATCGGAAAGTGCTCTCGCCTTCGCAACGGCTCTCATAGACCACCCTTACATTGACCTCTACTCGCAAGATCTTGAAAATGGGTGGACTGCTTTGCACCGCGCCTTCTACTTTGGAAACATTACAATAGCTAGGCTGATTTTGGAGCGCGATGCGGGATCTGCATTTGGCAGGACTGGTCATCAGGTCAATCAGCTTGTCAAGGTCAAGGACAGAGAAGGACTTGGTCCGCTAGACCTGTATGCAGCCACCATCCGGGATAGGACCTTGCGGCCTGTGTCGAGGCCTAGGCCCGGATCGGATGCCAGTGACGATGATCACGCCATAGGCGACAGTGGAGATGGCGATGCTTCCGATGAGCCATCCAAAATATCCTTCGAGGAAGTCAATGGCAGTGATTTGTTCTCCTTTGGCTCCGGCAAAAACTCAAATCTTGGCCTGGGAGATCAGGACGATCGCCAGTTTCCCGAACGTATCAATCTGCGGCGCCCAGAGCATCTCCTGCGCCGATTCTTTGAGGACCATCTGCGCGAGCACGAGCTCAAATGGTCGTCGCATAATCCAGCATACATACCTAGGGCAGCAAACACGCCTGGCATGTGGATCGAAGATATCCCATGGGTAGTCCGCTCGAGGCCTATTGTGATACAGGATGTCTTTATGTCCAAGCTGCATACTGCGGTGCTGACCACCGATGGTGTCTCGAACATGTACATATGTGGCCATGGCCAAGGTGGTCGTCTTGGCACAGGCGACGAGCGCACTCGATTCCACTTTGTCTGTGTAGAGGGCGGCGGTCTTGCTGGCAAGCGTGTTGCTACTGTGGCCTTGGGCCAAAACCACACATTGGCGCTTACTGACGATGGAGACTGCTACTCATGGGGTCAGAATGGCTTTGGCCAGCTTGGCTACAGCCTTCCGAAATTACCGAGCGAAGACGAGGCCATCAGTGTTCTTCCGCGACAGATCTTCGGGCCTCTGAAAAGAGAGACAGTGACTGGAGTTGCAGCTTCAAGAATCCATTCAGTGGCGCATACTTCGACCTCGCTTTTCACATTCGGCAAGAATGAGGGACAATTGGGAATTGTGGATTCTGATGCTCGCTCTCTCGAGATGCAGACCACGCCTCGGAAGGTGGCTGCATCATTATTCGCAGCGCCAATAGCAGCCGCTTGTGCCATCGATCGGGCTACCATATGTCTATTAGACAATAACGATGTCTGGGTTTTCGCAAATTATGGCTATGCCAAGATAGCCTTTCCTCTGGATGGGTTCTCAAACTATTTCCTCAAGCAGAGCTTCCTGGTCACCAATTATGATTCTGCGCCAAACAGGATTACGAAAATCACGGCTGAAGGGGACAACATTTGTGCTGTGTCAAGCCGTGGCGAGGTCTTTACGTTATCAATAGGTCAACGCGTGGACAACCAGGCGAGCGGATCCACAAGCAATCCTGGGAAGATTCGCAGTGCCATTGGCCAGCCACAACGGATCTGGTCTCCAAAAAAGAACAACATGGCCGCTCGCGACGTGGCACTTGACACCGATGGCAGCATCATCCTCTCCACAGCCGAGGGAAGCGTCTGGAAACGAAGCAAGCGCGCCAGTCCGAAGGATACCACCGCTTTAGGCACTGCGTATAAGCCTAAGGACTACAAATTCTCACGCGTCCCTGGACTTACCCGCATTCTTGCAGTACGTGCCTCGGGACACGGCGCCTATTCTGCTATCCGCCATGACTGTGATGTCCTCAAAACGCAAGTCATCGTTGAGGATGCGACTCTGTGGAATGACATGTTCTCTCTGCTATCATTACGAGGCCTAGCCAGGGATGACAGCGATAGCGACGACATGCGACCCCGATTCTGGCAAAGCAATAAGAAGCCCAGTGAGTTGTCTTCAATGAAGAAAGCCATTATTGGAAGTGTGGATATCGATGTTCAACTGGCTGCGTTACTGGAAACACAAAAGGATGTGATTGACGATACCAAATGTGACGCATTCCTTGCGACTACCTCGTCAGAGCTCAAGATTCCCGTCCACCGATTTCTCCTGACGGCCAGAAGCCGCATTCTCAGACGTGGATTCCGAGATCTCTGCGAAACAACCACTTTTACCGTGGAAGACTTACTGAGATCGGAACTCGACATCCATGGCAAGCTCGTGGTCACGTTTCAGGGCGTGGACATCCTGACAGTTGTTGACCTTGCCTTGTATCTCTACACAGATTCACTTGTGGATTTCTGGAACTTCGTCAGAAGTGCACCGAGAATGGCATACTCCTATCGCCAAGTGCGCGCGGAGTTGATGAGGATTGCGTCCAAGCTTGAGCTGTCACTACTGGAACCTGCTGTGAGACAGATGGTTGAGCCGCGACCTGGTCTCGATAAGGATCTTGAGGTAGCCTTCCTGGATCCCGCATTCTTTCACGATGGCGATATACTTGTCCAGCTTGAGGATGACGAAATCAGAGTACATAGCGCTCTAGTCTGCGCTCGTTGTCCATTCTTCCATGGTCTTTTCATGGGACGCGCGGGTGGCAGATGGCTTGCTGGGCGCTCAAATGCTGAGCACGTCAACGTGGACCTCAAACATGTGAGCTCCAGCACGTTCAAGTTGGTCCTGCGTCACATCTACTGCGATACTGGCGCTGAACTCTTCGACGACGTCGTCAGCCCATCTGTTGATGACTTCCTGGATACCGTAACCGATGTGATGAGTTGTGCGAACGAGCTCATGCTGGACAGATTATCGCAAATTTCGCAACAGGTCATCGGACATTACGTCCATGCTCGAAATGTGTGCGGCCTTCTCAATGCCATAGCTCCGTGCTCCGTGCATGAGTTCAAAGACGCAGCCTTGGACTACATTTGTCTCAATCTTGAAGCTATGTTGCAAGGCCATCATCTGAATGAGCTGGATCCGGACCTGCTAGAGGAGCTTGACGAAGTCATTCGAGCGAATCAACTGGCATCCATGCCCTTCGCTAAAAGTGGCAGAGCGGAGCTGCTGCTTCACGAACGAAACCCAGAGCTCGCTGCAGCAATGGATGCCAGCCGGCGCAGAAAGATTGACACAGTCACGCTCCGCTCAAAGTTCCAGGACATGGCCATTTTTGCGCCAGGTTCTTTCGGCGAAGAGATCTCAACATCGCCGACGCAGTCGAAGAACCGTCGACGTTCCTCGCAGGTTGTCAGGCATGAAGTTGAGCATGAACAGCCATCGCTCAAGGCGAAGCCATCGTCGAAAGACATGATGTTTGAGATGGATGAGGAGTTTGCATCATCCGCAAGGTCACCGCAAACTTCGCCTTCGATCAGAGCCAGGAATGGTGTCCAAGCGCTAGGTACCAGCTTGCAAGATGAAGAGTCATGGTTCGACAACAGGGGTAAAGCACTCCCTTCGCCCAAACTCGCCCCGCAGGTAGCAGTATCGGGATCAGTCACTCCCAGAACACCCAAGTCCCCAGAGATCGCGGGTAAGGCACATGTCGTTGATCCTTCGAAGCCGTGGAGCTTGACGCCGCTGTCGTCCAAGTCAGCCATGAAAGATATCATGGCACAAGCGGCCACGACTCGAACCTCTTCGTTGACTTCTGGCCTAGCCAATGCTTCGAAACAGCTCACCCAAGACGTACCTAAACCGTTCAACTTACCTGCGCCAAAGATGAGTCAGAAAGATCGCAAGAGGATGATGCATTCTCAACAGCAAGGCCAAGTTGAGTCGCTGACATTATCTGGCGGCACTGGGTCGTCACCAAAGCCTTTCTCGTGGCAAACAGTCTCGGCACAGAAGCGACCTGGATTGAAGGACGTTCTTCAAAGCGAGGCATCTGCAGCGGACTCAAAACGCGCCGCCTCACGCTCACCAAGCGCACCTCAGTTGACCATGCGACAAACGGTGGCAAACCCCAAACCTTCAAAGTCAACGATGAGTACAAGTACCACGCCAGGAGGAGATGGCCTGGGTGCGAAGCCAATTTCGCCGTCGGCTGGATCGCTGCCTGGGAAAGGCAAGCAGCAGGCCAACAGCGCTGCTCAGTCTCCTTCTCAGCCCGTCCCACGTTCAGTCCGACATCAACCAATTGAGGAGGCTGATTGGGGCCTCAGCATGTCGGAGATCGTGGCTCAGCAGCAACTCGAGAAAGACATTATCAAGGAAGCCGTCGCGCCCCGAGATCTTCAAGACATTCAAGCTGAGCAAGAGTTCCAAGAGTGGTGGAACAAAGAGAGCGCTAGGGTGCAAGAGGCCGAACAACGCGCGGCAGCTGCAGCTGCGAGAGCCTCTAAGAAGAATAGAGGTCGAGGTGGTCATTCTCGTGGCAAAGGCAAGAAAGCTGGCCCGGCTGATGGAAACGTGAAACCGGCTGACTCTAAAGCACAAGCTGAAGCTGCGCAGCCTGCGCGACAGCAGTAATAATAAGTAATGACGTCCTGCTCCAGATGGCAAGCTGCCGTCTTCGTGATACTGCACAATCAATGTAGAAATGATAGATACACCAGACGTATATGATGGCTCACGCCATGTCACATCGAAGCCGCCTCATGCGTCGCAGCGGAACTCCACTCATTCTGAACCACTCACTCATTCTGAACCACTCATTCTGAACAACTCATTCCGAACAACTCATTCGGAACATATTGAGGCCTTCGGAAAATAGCTACGGCCTTGGGTCAGGCCGCTGCAGGTGTCGCCAAGCACGGAAGTCACTGTGCTGTCATCCAAATGTCCGGACCGAAGACCAGGATGCCCTGTCACGAGTCTTTCGCTTGAACATACACTGACGGTCTTGCTTGCGCAGAACGGCACTGCAGAGACAATTGCCCGCAGTTGCAGATTCTGAAACTCATTCCTCGGTACTCGTGTTCTACGGACAGTCATCGTCGACTATGTCAACAACCGACCAAACCTGAGTATAAGCGACTAGCAAATCGCAGTACCACCAAACTGCCCGCCGTTGTCCATAAAGTTCGCATCTTGGATGCACGGCTCTGCCACTGCTGGGAAAGAATATGTGTATGGAGGCCATGCCATGCCATGCCATATCAAGTTGCGATACGCGTGTGTCAGAATTGGTATGAAGCCTGCCTGCATGATCTGTTGGAGCCGAGCGACATTCTCTGCCAAGGCTCTGAAACAGACACGGCTCATACCTCCAGAGAAGCAGATCGAAGTGGTTCTTCAACAACGCGACTCCTTCAGCGGACAAACCGACTTGCGCGTCACCGGACACATATCTTGAAGTCCGAAGACCATGGGTTGGAGATCCGAAGACGCTGTAGTCACATAAGAACCCGTCCAGCATGAGTTCGAGGAAGGATATATTGGATTCTTCATTCTTTCTGCTCGACGTCTCACTCACCGCCGAAACAAACAGTCGCAGGCCAAAGTGAGATCTTCTGCTTCTCACACATCGTCTGATTGTCCGCGGCAGTCCCCCCCATAGCCACGATGCTCAACTCTCGACTCTTGCTTGGAGCAGCAAGTCTTCTCGTGCACGTTGCTGCCCAGTCGCGAGTTGAAGACATCGACATTCCACAGCAATGCCGCTCAACGTGTCAGCCATTACTTGATCAATCAAGAGTACGTGACCTACCTCTTTTGACCACTCAATCGATAAACTAACTGTTTGATGAAGAACTGCGATGATCAATACAGCCAAGCCGACAACAATGACTCTGTAGACCAGAACTACGTCAATTGCATTTGCAGCGCACAGAATGCCGCCAACTACATCCCACAATGCAACAGCTGCATCCTACAAGACCCCAACTATCTCAACAGCAACAATAACCATGCATTCAACAATCATGGTTACAATGGTAAGCATCGTCACATCCCGTCTAGCATCATGTGAAGCGCCTTCTGATCCTCTCCCTCCAGAAGTCCTGCAATGGACGCAAACCTGTAACTTCCAGAACGGCGGCATCGTTGGCGGCAACTTCTACCCAACGCCAACGTACAACGGCTACGTCAATCCAACGGGCGTCTACGGCGATGGAGGAAATGGCTACGAATTGGTCTACACCACCATATTCGACCAAAACGGCGACCCCCAAGTACTACGGGTCCCAAAATCAACATCCTCTTACAAACATCGCTAACCCTGATTTTTTTCCCAGGTCGTTCAAACCCCCGTGCCCACCGGCGGAGCATACTACTACCCCGGCGACTACGGCTACATGACCTCCTATGACCAGTACGGCAACCCCCAGGTCATCCAAACCGGAGGCGGAGGAGAAGGGAATTACTATCCCGGCAACGTCATCGGAGGAAACTACGGAAACCCCATCTCCGTCTCCTACACCACAACCACCGAAACCGATCAATTCGGCAACAGACAGACATTCGTACGCATTTCCAACCATCCCTTCCAGACCCTTTCGCTGACTTTTTTTTTTTCCTTTCAGGTCACTCCAGTGAGTACGTACTATGCGAGTTTGACGACGAGTTGGAGTACGACGCGGTCGACGGATGCGTTTGGACATACGCAGACGTATAGTGTTCCTTATGTGAGTTTTACGGGGGGTGCGGCGCAGGCGGTTGCGACTGCTCGGGCGGCTGTTGTTGGGGCTGGGGCGGGGCTTTTGATGGCTGCTTTGGCTTTGTAGGTGAGAGGGAGGAAGGTGATGACTAGGATGTTGATGTGATGGTCGTGGTTGGTTTCTTATTAGCATGGTGGTGGTGGTGGTGGCGCGAGGTAGTAGGACTTAAGTGCTTGTTGATTGTAATGGATGATGCGTCACTAATAGCAGTAGACAGGCAGGCTGGCAAGAAACACAGATGAAAATGGGGAAAGTCAAAGTGGCATACGAAACAAAAAATGGCGAACCACAATCAACATGCTACAATTTTCTCTTACGAGAATATCAAGAGATCGCCTCCGGCACGTACGCCGTTTGGTATCCAATATATATCTACAATGCAGTCGCGCCGCCATGAGATCAACATGATCGCTTGCCGTCTGGTTACGTTGTGCCCGTGATCATCAATCAATGCAATAATGTTCGTCCACCGCAAGAAGTGAAATTCCGCACCGCCCTCTCTCGCCCGCTAATTCGTCATCTCCTGAACCCAGCCTGGATCTCTGACTTTGAAAAGTCGATTATGACATCTTTCTCTCCCTCCTGGTTCGGCGGGTAGACATCTCTGACTAAAGTCTCTGTACGCTCTAGCACTCTTTCATAGTTCCTCTCACACTCTTTGCATACAAAGTTGACCAGTCCTCGTGAGATCTGCTCTTCATCTGCATCACCGAAATGTTTCTCGATTCGTTTCCGTAATGTGTCGATGCCGCGCCGTACTTCCTTGCTATCATATTGCGCCATGACTGTGCGCAGGGCTTTGCGAGAGTAAGTCGGGCGCGAAGATAGTGACGCTGGGTTGCCAGGGTTGGAGGATAAGATTGATTCAGCAGATTCGAGGAAATCCTGTGGCAAACAGTGTTAGCGTAATGTGTCGCTCCATATTTTTTTGAGCGAAGCAATACTTACGAGAAGCTTTCCGAGAGGCCTTCGAATGACTCTGCCAACGTAGGCCTCCAGAGCTTCCGCTCTTTCCAGAAGCGCTCGTCCCTTCCATTCTGCAAGCACGCCATCGCGTCCGCCATCGTCAACTTCTTCGATGTAGTGGTTCATATTTTCGATGAGAAGGATGTGATAGTTGAGCATCTCCTTGTCCTCGGGATCGTCCGCGCCAGGAATCTGTTTCTGCCCTGCCACGTTACCACCTGGTGCTGTCGGGCTTTCCTTTGCGATGACTTTGAGACTATCAAACATCGTCCGGTTAAGCTTTTCGTACGCCGAGTCAAGTGTGATGCGAATGTCCATAACACAAGCTGCAGGACCATCATAATCGTTGCCTGCCACGGCAGCAAAGACATTCTCGACCGCAGCTGCAAAATGAGGGAAGATCTTCATAAACTGGATGACGCCTTTCCGCTTCTTGATCTTGACTTTGGTGTCTTCGATGGCGCGAATCTGTTCCTCGACGAATTTGGCGAATCTAACCTTCAAGCTATCTTGAAGTTGATCGATAAGCTGAAGTAGATAGTCCTGGCTGCTCTCTTGCAAGTAAAAGTAATGCCTACAGAGGCTTGCCATGATGCCAACACCCTGGATCGGGTCTTCCGACATAGCCCAGTCCTGCATGGCTTTCATTTCTGGGAAGAAGAAGTCGAAGATTTTATTCATGGCTCCCGTCACATGTTGAGCCATCTCACGATCGGGCTCTACAGGTTTGCGATCGGATAGATTGGTACCCCGTCTGGCTGAGGGAGGTGCAGATTGCACAGCATCGATGAAGTCAGTGGTTTCCATTGAGTTGGCATGGAAGAGGTCGACAACGAAGTTTTGTTCACGGCTGACAAGTGGCGCCATCTCGTTAAGAGCCTCTGCAAACGCCTGCGAACGCATTATGGCACCGGGCTGCCTGTGCTCTAATGCGTTGTGCTTGTCACTAGTCGTACCACGCAGCGTCTTGGCTAGTGTCATTGATCGTTTCACGGTGAGTTTCCTTGCAGTAGATGTGAGTCCGCCAGCAGCTGGATCTTCCTTCTCCTGCGCGGTGAAGAGAACTTCAGGTTCATCACCTGTGCTTGCGCGGGCGGCTCGCTTCCAGTTTTGAACGTTTTCCTTAAACGCATCCTTGTACAAAGGATTGGCACGCGTCTGGTACATGCGCATCAAAGTGGTCCAAGCGGGAGTGTTGAGCTCCTTCGCGAACAAAAAGAGCGGGCTGTACATCCAAAGACTATTTCGCACCTCAGAGAAAGCTTCTGGTTGCAGTTTAGCTAAGCCAGTGCCGCCTCCCTGTCGTAGCACGCGTCCTTTGATACTGTTCATAGATGTCATGAATCTAGAATCCAAGAACTGTAGCAGACGCTGACAGAAATCGTGCAGCTCTCGATCGTACACGAGCTTCTTTTCGCGAAGAGCAACCATGGCCGAAGTATCGTTGTCGCCGACTCCAGAGCTGGACTTTGGTCGATTTTGTCCTCTCGAGCGCATTGTCGGGTCCATTGTGAGCAAAGCTTGATATAGTCTGACGAGGCTTTTCTCAACCTCTTCAAGGCCACTGGCGTCTGAAAGGTTGCCGTATCGTAGAGGCTCCATGACACGCCGATCAAGAGACATCGTGTCCACCAGACTTTGTAGCTCGGACTGCAGTAGCTTTTGATTGGCAGACTGCACCTGTAGACCTTGTGACTGTGCCTCGATGAACGCAATGTCTTCATTGAGGGAGCTCAGCTCGACATGATATAGGGTCAAAAGACCTTCCAGCTCATCGCATTCGGCGATTGCCTTGTCGAGTAGTCCTTCCACTTGAGCCACTCTTTCTTCTCGTGCAGCATCTGTGTGAGACAACCACGAGCCAGCTTCTACTCGTCCTTGCTCCCGCCGAAGATCTACCTCCAAGGCCGCCAGTTGCTTTGGCTGCAAGATATTGTCGTTCCAGCCAAAATCAGTCAACATCATCTCAAATTCCAAGCCTTTGCCTTCGAGCAAGGTGCGATCAATGCCTAGCGCGGCCAGGTACTTCTCTTGCTGGGCACTTCTTCGTTTGATTTTGACTTGTGCTTGTCGCACCTGCCTTTGCTCAAGCCTTTCCTCCTCGTCAGTTGGCTGATCAGGTGTGGGGCGGAGTTGCGACGGTCCGTCGAAAAGCTCTACACTTCGGCGCACATCTTCTGGAGGCGGTATTTGCGTTTGTTCTGGCGACTGCGGCGAGGAGATCTCAACAACCGGAGGCTCAGGTTTTGGCGACTCCAGCTTCGGTCGTTCAGGCGTTGAGACAGCAAGACTGTCGGTCGGCGTTGCGTCCACTGGAGTCATCGGCGGCTCATCTTGTTTGCGCAGCTGTGGTCTTGGGACCACACCAGTAATCCCATCCGGTTCGCCATCTCGCTCTGCTTTCGCTTTGAGAATCTTCTCTGCGGCGCCTCCAGGCCTAGGCTTAAAGGCATTGGCAGCAGTGGCCGCCTTCTTGAGCCGATCAGCGATCGCTCTCTTCTTGAACATCGGACCCAGGCCCGGGCGGAATTGCTCTTCTTCTTGTTTTTCTTCATCGGGCGTGCCAGGCAGGGTTGAAGCGGGAGAGGGCTGCAACAAGGCAGGAGTGAATGCGCCAGGTATGCTGCGCTCTGTCTCTAACTTATTCGAGACTTGCAGTGGCTTGACCTCAGGAGGCTCGTCGATTTTGGGGCTGTCAGTTCTGTCCAATGCCGCTTCTGGTGTGGCAGCTTTCAATGGCGCTGGGCGGAGGTCAGAATCGCCATCTCGAGGTTCTATTTGTCCTCGTCTCCTCATCTTTTCAGGTGTGGCAAGGCCCTGAGGCTGTGCAGTAGGCTGCGATGGAGCTTCAGCCGCCTTAGGTTCAGGTCCCCAAAAGGACGTCAGAGCTCCAATAGTGGCAGCGTCACCTAGATCAATACCTGCTGACGACTCGCTTGTTGCTGTGGCAGGCTCTGTAGGTGGCTTAGGCGCGCCGTTTTGTCCTTGATGTTTGTAAGAGGTTGTTTCGATTGGAGGCAATCGCGATTGCGACGGTGGGCTCTTGGTTTGCTCGGGTTCTGCCTGATGATTCATATGGCGTTGGCGAGCAGACTGGAACAGATCCGGACCATTTGCTGGCACGGTATCATTCGGTTTCCTTTGATCATAGGTGCCATCGCCGGAGGTCTGAAAGCCTCTCCCAGGACTCTGCGGTCTCAATGTTGTCGCTCCCGTCTCATTGCTCGACGTCGGGGCCAGAGCGGGACTATCTACTCTTCTAGGAGAAGGAGGAGGCTGCCCAATTGGTCTGCCATCTCTGTGTACTGCCGAAGGCGACCGCAACCCATTCTGTGCGGGTGAAGTGCCAGGCCGGAAATCTGATCGTCCATCTCTGCTAGCAACACGCATCTGTTCAGTGCTAGCGAACGGACGCGGCTCTCGCAGAGCCGGCGGAGGTGCAAAACGGGCAGGAGAACCAGACGGGTGTCTATTGGAAGGTCCACTGTCTGGTCTCTGGTCACTGACGCTTGGCGGAGGACCTGGGCTCCCTCTATAGCGACTGCCATCTCGACTTTGCTCTCTTTGAGCAAATGGGGGTTGAAGCGGTTCTGGGGGCTGCGTGCCGCTCGGTATTCGTCCGCCTGTAGGCCCAATTTGCTGTGAACCGGGAGGGCTTGTAGTAGTTGGGAAGCCGCCGCCCAAGATCTGATTCTTCTCTCGCTCATCAAAGCCTTTGAGCTCCGGTACCTGGCCCTTGGTGTATTTCCTATAGATCTTGACTGCGCTGGCGATGAAGAAGTCCTTCTCCTTGCTCGTTCCAGCTTGCCAATAGTACGGCTTCGAGATGGTCACAACGAAACCGGTCGAGCCAGCCCACGCGCGGTGATTCGCCTCTTTCTCGCTTTGCGGCGGCGAGGGCGGATTCGCAAAGGACTCAATGCAGGACATCTCCTCCATGTTCCACGTCTTGCCAATGCTGAAGCTGCCATTGTTGTTCTCACGCGCCTTGTGCATGCGGACTCTACCCGTCGACCGCACGGCAATGATTATGAGACGCGGTTTCCTATTCTCGGACGAGCTCTCGGGCGGCGGCGGCGCAGAGGGATACTGGGCATCCTCCTGTATGCGAATATGGGTGATGTAGCTTTCGGCGAGCTGTCCGTTCTGGTCGAGCTTGGAGAAGCACGACTCAATGATGCGCCGCTTCTCGTCGTCGAAGCGCTCGGCGCGGGACATGTTGGACGAGGGCGCGCCTGGTGAAGAAGGCGGCTGGTTCTGATTGTGACTGCTACTGCCACTGCTTTGGTGGCCGTGCAGCTGCGGCGTGGCGAGTCGCGAAGTAGAGTTCATGGAGCCTCCGGGCACTTGAGTCTGAGCTTGACCAGGGCGAGGATAGCCGTTCATGTTTCCATTTGGCGGCCGCGACATGGCCACGCTTCACCACCAACGCCTCGACCACCACACATGCGCTTCACACTGGACTTTCCCGACTGGCGTGGCACTCAATGCGGACGCGCTGGAGCATGTGTACAGCGCGCGGAGTCGATGCGATGGGGATCAATGCTGCCTGCGCAGTGGTGGTGAGGCTCGGAGGATGAGGTATGGCGCTGAGATGCTACGTCGCGGCGCTCCTTTCGAGCTTGCGATTTGATGTGACCCGACGCGCTGCTGATCCTTCCAGATCCCTTTAATAACTCATCCACCTGCGGTCGTCTGTCCAGCAACACTCTGCAACAATAATGCCGTCCTCATGGCGTGTCTGACATTAAGCAGGCATGGCCATGGGTCCGGTCCGGCAAGCGGCTTTCCCGGAGGAACCACCACTGCGGGTTCGCTCGCTGCAGAGAAGCACCACAACCACGATCTGGTCGAGAGACGATCAGTGATAATGAACAGAGACATGAAGAACAACCAAGACGCTTCCTTCGATCGAGTCTAAACATTTGTCTGCTGCTCGTGGCCGTATACGACTACACGTGATCTATCTCGTTGCGATCTATTCATCTTCCGCAGCATTGCTGTATGACAGGACACTATTCATCACTAATGATCATGACCATGACGCATCATGCGTCCCTCGGTCCCTCACGTACCAGTCGGAGTCGATCCTCAGCATTGCGAAATCCTTGAGTGGTATTAGCAGAAGGCTCTTGCTTGATCAAGAGCAATTCGTATCTGACTGATATTGGGGAGATTTGCACACTGACTACTTTGGAGCAAACCAAGATTCGCTGTTGCACTTGCGCATCCTTGATTCAGGTACCGCTGCTCGCTCTCGGAGGTCTCTACTGGTGGGGAAGACGCTGGACCAAATGTAGATTCAAAACTTCCAATGAGTGCTTTGGCAGTGAATGTTCCGGTTCGAATGCCGCATTCCTTCGATGGTAGATAGTTCAGAAGTTGCTGTTTAGAGCCAGCAGTTCGACGAGACCGACGCGGAGCTTCAGAGCTAGTATCGTCCTCCTGGTCGTCACCCTTCCGCTTTTTCGAGGGAGGGTTCTGTTTTGTTGACTTCTACTCCTGCTCGCCGTTCTGAGCTTTCTCTTCCTTGACTTCATCTGCAGCCACAGCACCGTTATTATCGGCCTGGTCGTGGGCCTTCGCCTCATCTTTCACGGTTGCTGCAGCGGTTTTCTTTGCGGCTTTCTCTGGCGGCACGGCATGGCTGACAAGGTATGTTCGCTGTGCGAAGCTGCTTGTTTATCGAGCTACAGGGTCAATGGCTGTCACGACGTAAGGGAAGGCAACCAATAATCAACAAATGCTCACGACGGGAGCTCCTTATTACCAAACTCCGAAGCTGCGACAATGCCGGGAGTGATGATGTCAACGGCAGGCGTTGATCTGAGAAGCTTATCTTGCTTGCTTGCGATGGGTGGTGGGGTGGTGGGCTAGAGCATTACTCATTCCCTCATCGTACACAAACAGCCAAGCGTGAGGCCGCCCTTCAGGCATCTGCATACTCGATCGAGCGACCACGCAGCTCCTCCGTCATCTACCAACAAGCATACATGATACCTTGCCGCTAGAAATGGGCCGGCGAGGTCGAGGTCAGCGGGAAGCTGCAGCTATCCGCGTCCGACTCATACTGCTATCCACCTCGACAGCTTCTGTTCTGCTCGGGTCGCGATGACTCGACGGAGGGGCGCTCGCTTGCGCAACAAGCAAGACGTGCAAGGCGTGTCAGTTGTGTTTCCAATGCGACGGGCAAGTGTCATGTCACGGCTCCATCACACATCACAGATGATTATCGATAGTGCGCGTCGGAGAGCGAGAGAATCACGCGCGCTCTCTGCTCTGCTCGCAGTGCTGGGCGGCGCGTGGATTGGATTGGATTGGATTGATGCAAGCGTGATGTTTTGCAGCGCCGACTGCAGCGATTGCGCGTCGAATGCTTGTTACGAGGAGTTCATGCGGAACCAATGCAGGCGCGCGCTGTGGCAGGCCGACCGGTGAGAGGGTCCGAGGCAGCAGTGCGAAGTGCAGTGCAGCAGCAGCGCGCGTGAGTGAGTGAGTGAAGAATGGTGGTGGCTTTGCGCAGGCGGAGGGCGGAGGGCGGAGGGCGGAGGCTGTGGCCGCCAGCTACTGCTACAGTATGTATACAGTACAGTACTGTCACTGGCAGGCACCCCCGGCAGGAGCAGGAGCAGGAGCAGGAGCAGGAGCAGGAGCAGCGCCGCATCGCGCTCTCTGACTACTACCGTCGCGAAGCAGTTTGACTCTTCGTTTGAAGTTGGCTAGCGCGTCCCGTCCCGGATGACCGTCTCCGGTGTCCAATTCCACCATCGATTCGCATCCATGCTAACTAAGTATTCCAACCACCCTGGTCACAAACCAACGCCCTCTTGCAGCCGTTGCCTTGGAGCCCTCGAGCGCAGCCTCAGCCCAGCATGCGTCGCACATACAAGTGCCTGGCCTTGCCTCGCTGCCCATTTCCCTCTTCTTCTCCAATAGCACACTTCGAAACACATCCTCCCCATTACTCGCATACTGCGCAGCATCACTGCCCGAAGGCGACATATCATCAACCACTATATCCACATCGACGCCTTCGACTGCCAGCGCCACCCTATAGCTATTAGCTGCTTGCCTTGCCTTGCCGTCGATCGCATCCTTAGTCAGCGCAATTCAAGCGTTCACCTCTCAACACACTCACCACCATGTCGTCGAAGCGACACTCTGTGCGGCCCGTGGTGGTCCACGTACAGCCCGACAACATACCAACTCCATCAAGCCCACCATCAGCGACAACGACAGCCAAGACAGTCCGATTCGCACCCTCCTCCAACAATGGCAGCTCGCGACCTTTGACGTCAATCGAAGCCTGGTCACTCTATCACTTCGAGATCCACGCACGACAATGCAGAGACTGCTACGACCCGTATGACGTCTACAAGAAACGTCGTTCCCTATGCGAAGTGGGCCACGGTCTCGCATCCGATGTCGCCTGCCATGTCTACTACCAAAGCGGCGACATCTACTCCTGTTCCAAAGGCGACTCTGAACTCGTCCGTGTCGAGATTCCCCACGGCTACGATCATACTCGACTTCTTTTGAAAGCCTTCGATCGAAAACTACGCTCACACCGGAACTCAGCACCACTCGTACACAGCTACGATAGAAGCTATCCCGTCTCAGCACGACGCTACTACCCAGATGGAGGCAAAGAAGACGTCCTCATCGAACCCGCATCCTCAAAACCAGAACGCAAATCCTCAGATCGAAAGTCCCGACACAAACCACTTCGATACTCAACCGTCGTCCTCCAAGACGACGACACCGAACTTGTCTCCGGCACCAAAACTTCCGAACGACGAGGATCCTTGTACGAGAAGGACGCTCAACGCAAGAAACAAGATTATCGTGTTGAGATCCGCGAACCTTCGACTTCTGAACGTCAAAGGCGGAGGGACGATGGCAGGAGGAATTCCGTTTGGCTTTGAGCATGATATAATCACCATGCCAATACGTCGTGACTGACTGAGCCCTGCGGGACGGGACTTGATCTTTACCCCCAACAACTACTGAATTTCTTTGTTCTGAGATACTATGTTTCGACACTTTGAGCGATAGTGATAGCGATAGGATGATACCCAGGAAGATGTCTCGAAGCGGTGAAGCAGCTCGACATGGAAATTGATTGAAAATTACGAATCAAACTTGCACATGATGCTGCTTAATTACAAACAATCAATATTCCCCTGTCCTCATTTCATTCCTTCAAGCCTTTTCGGGCCAGCATTCGGGGAATTCGCCTCGATGCACAGCTCTACAATTCACTTCGAGCGATATCCGTCACATCGCGCACAGGAGCATAGTCCGAAGCATAGAGCGTAGAGCGCGCAAATCGCTACTCAAAGCGTATCTCCTTCTGCAGAATTGATCTATAGCCAGTCTGAACGCTGTATTGACTATCCTCATCTATCTTATTCATTCTTCTCTAACTCTATCGTCTTCCCGATCTACCATTGGCAATGAGTGAAGGTATTTTTTGCCGCCCACCGACCGCGCTTCCCATCTACCGTATAATACTACATGTACAAACATAAACATGAAACCGTATACCGCTTGGCGGCTACACCATCATCATCATCATGTCCGAACAACGCCTATTGGAAATAGAGTTGCGAAAAATAGCCCAATCGTCCGGGGTTCAAAACATGACGGGGTCCATCGACCACACACTAGCGCCAGGTTGTTGCAAAACACCAACTGATGAGAGTGTCTGCATCTCGCTTAAGCATCATGATTGGAAAATATTCCATCGAGATCAGCAATAGTCCACGCATGGCTAGAACGAACGACTGCTGGTTGTAGCGCTAAAGATTGCGATGATTCGCCGCCGGAGTGTATCGCATGATGACAGGTTTCAGAGCTGCAGATGCACCTTGTTTCCGTGCCTTGAAACCAAGGTCTTTGCACTTTCGCGGTTCTCCACGGATCAGGGTGCTTGCTCGCGGATGAAGTGTAGCACTTGTTAAAAGTCGATCGCAATCCGGCCCCTCGCTCATCGCATCGTTCGTACAACCAGGAGTCGCACATGTACTTAAAGGTCGCGCATGTTGGCAAACAGGCGACTACTATTTCGGTTCCGCGACATGCAGCTATTCACATGACTCTCGCTAGTCCATCGCCCTGCTGAGCGCAGGTGCGAGCGTAGGGAGTGGATTGCACTTGTTCCTTGCGCATTGTTCGACGCGCGAACATTCTACGTCCTCGCTCGAAGCATGCGCAATCTCGCGTGCTCGTCATCGGCTTGCGACTGGTGGCTCTGTTGCTGGGGCGACGTCATTGAAAGTGAGGCGAGTGGCGCGGTCAGGGTAGAAGCAGACCCATGCGAATTGGGTGTGCTATGCCCGCTCCTAATGTGTGCCTGTCCTGGTCTTTGTATAGGGCTTGGCGGTCTGCTCGGCGGTCGACTGGTCGCCTCGAGATATGATGGTGGGCCTTCCGCAAAAGGCGTCATAGCGCCTGGCGTACGTAGAGCGGCACCATAAGACGGCACGCGAGTAAGGTCATCCATGTTGTAATCTGTCTGATGGATCTCTTGGGTGTGGTCGTCATCAGACGTGCGTCGCGATATGTGTGCACTGCCGTGCGGTGACTGCCCTGCAGAGGGTAAGTACGATCCGTTTCGGACTGGTGGTGTTGATCTGTGGTTGTCTGGTGAATGCGAGGTGAACTGATCATTACCGTCCATCATTCCAGGCGCTGGACTATTGCCACCTGATGGACTGTGGTTGCGAGAAGCATCTTGTGATCTGGAAGCATTACCGTTCGAATCCTGGAGGTCTGCCAGCCGCGAATGCAAGAGACTGGGCATTGCACTGCCGTGCAGTGCGGCAGGATCGCCATTAGCTAGCCCGTTCAGCGACAATACATTCTCGTGGGATCCTCTTCGGCTCTGGGCCATTAGTCCAGCTGGCGTTCCTGGCACACTTCCCGCTCTGCTCATGAATCCACTAGGATCGATATCGCTGTAGATTTGATCGAGCTGATGTCGTCCATACTCCGGTGGTGCCACGACTACCGTCTCCGTCGAATTGAGTTGCTCATCGGATACGCCATGCACGCTGGCGCACACTTCATTCGCATCATCGACCGGCAGGTTGGGCGAGATGAATAACTTTACGGGCAGCCTACAGACGAGCTGTGAGATGTGACCTTCCGGGTTGTGAATGTTGATCATCAGCTTGAATCGATGTGTGATGTTGATGTTGTGCGAATCAACGTCTTGCCTGCAAACATTCAAGGATTTGGGCAGGGGTAATGTGGCCTTGAATTTGTACATTTCGTCGGCCATCATTGGGTTATCCGGCGTCTCGTCGTCGTATATTATTCTCGAGTGTTCCGGAAACTCCATGTCCGCTTTGGCGACTTCTGATTCTTCCGTCTTTGACCTGTCTCCTCTGATATCCGGCACTTCGGTCGCCTGTATTCGTTTGACCACAGTTTCCATGAGACGCAGCTCAATTTTCCCCAATCGCAATCCTTTTTTAATCGGCGACAGTCCTACGTCGGCGGTGATCGAGGTACCGAAGACAATAGCATCGGTTGGAATACTGATCGAATATGAGATCTTGTTCGCCCAGATGTCGGCGTTCACTCGCGACCTTGTCATCTCCATACTATCCTGGCCCAAAGTGCGAACGATGCGAATGTGTTCCTGACAGGTGACATCTTTCGCATTCCAACCTGGACGTGAGACGCTCGCGTGGAGGTGATATGCAATGTACGTTTCTCGCAAGCCTTCGACACTCTCGGGCATAGCAGGCGCGAGCTCGAATTCAAATGGCCATTCCATTGTGCCAGCCTTGACTTTGTGTGCGCTCTCAATCCCTAGCTTCTGCTCGATGTTCCAAAATACTCTTTTGTCGACGACTTCGCCTGCAGATATGCCGCCCATATACCACCAACTGATCTTGCGCTTGCCTTCTAATCGCACCTTGGGTTTTAATATGCTCATCGCTTCTGGAGTGTGCAGGCGCACCATGCCTGTGAGCTTTACCGATTGGGCTTCATGCTCGTTGCCGTTGAAGACGATGAAACGACTGTCGGGAATTATTTCGAGCCATGGCTTGTTGTGATGTCGCGGATTACTGCTAGTGCGACTTCTAGAAGGCATGCTAGGCATGTTGCGCGATGTGATAACTGACAAAGACGAGTGCCGTGCTAGCGATGGCTGGGTGTATTCGGCAAGCGAATTGCAGTGGAGCGATCTGGTTCGTAGTGAGAGGAGGAGGACTTGGAGGGTGGGAGGGCGTAGTATGGCAGTATCTGTTGATTGCGCTGTAATATGGCTGGGTAGCTCTAGCAGCGTGGATGGTGCTCTCAATGGCGGCAGGGAGCACAAGTGGACCAAAACTGTGGAAGTAAAACCTTCCAGGCCCGCGCCATGTGAGAGACAATCGTGGTCGTGGTGGTGACGTGCGCCAGGCTAGAGGAATTTGGCGGCGGCAGCACTGCGCACTGTGTAGGCAGGCGAGGCGCGTCGACTATTTGGCCATGCAGCGGCGACGGCGACGGCGACGACAGCGATATGTCGGAAAATGCTAGTTCTATGGGTCCTGGCTGGCCTCTCAGCCGGCTTCCTCGCGACTAGCACCGTAGAAGCACCGCTGATGTTGTCCCGTGACTGGAGAGGTAATGATCATGCTAATAATGCTATGAGGCTAAGGTACATGTATGAGCAGACAAGATGCCGGCAATGCGGGACTGGGCAACGCGGTATTGGTAATGGCAATGCACTCTCGCCCGTGCGCAACAAATGGCAGCTGCCATCGAGAATAATAATGTGCTGTGCTGCAGCCTGGGCAATGGCTTCTGGCTCGTCACCGTCAAACGCCGCTATCGCTCACTCTGCCTATCTCGTGTCAAAGAAAAAGTCAAAGCAGCATTCATCAATGACGCCACAGAACTCGTGCTGGAGTGGAGTGGAGTGGATACGACCTGCATCTGCATCAGGCACAACAAGGCTGTACCCGTCCGAAGTGCTGCCATGCATGTGGCGTCCAGGAACAGCGTCGGAGACTTGACGTTCGAGAGAACTCGTCCGATTCTGCAAGCCTTCTCGTAATCTTGGCAGAGACCTCACTTCAACTCGGCTTCACTTCCACGTCGCTATGGAGCAATGAAGACATTTTCACAGACAAATGTCCATCCACACTCGGTCTCAGATGAAGCGAGCTCCCGGCATTGATCAATCATCCCACGCTTCCAACACCGATTGCGGCCATGGGGCTGCCGCAAGGCTCCTCGACTGTTCACATGCCATACTATCTGCGAACCGGATTGCATTCCGTCTCCTATCATCGCCCTTCCTCTCCAGGTCGCGTCCATTCGCGGATGTGACCTGTGAATCAGAAAGTCAGCTTAGCTATCGCACAAAATCGCAATAGGAATGAGCACATCTGGCGAATGCTGGAGGATGTGTAGCACGTTTGTGGGTCTGTGAGATCCCAACCAAACATACGAATTGGAGCTTAGGGAAGACCCACCATCTTTGCAGGATGTGAGGATGCAATCTGCTTCGAATCCAAGCCAACACAAGGGATGCTCGTCGATGCGCTTCGACATCACTGGCGGTAGCACTGCAGTGCTTGCTTTCGAATCAACCGGGTGTACTATCTCTTCAGATGATCCGGTATCAGCGGTCGGCACTTGTGTAAGGTTCGAATTGCTCCTGAGTCTGCCCACGTTGGTGGCGCTCGTTCGATGCTCTCCTGGGACATGGCTTGAAATGCTTCCACGTTGGCGGAAAGTCTTTGGTCGGCCCAACATGCCCACAGAGAAGTCCCACAGCAACAATCTGCAATCTTCACCGACACTGCCAAAGCGGTAGTTGCGCTCGTCGCATCTCCATGGATCAAACTTGACGTCCGTCACCCATGAGTGATGGCCCACGCATCGTGCGACAATTGCATGGTCTGCCAGGGACCATATGCTGACCAGATCGTCCTGTCCACCTGACAACACATACCGCCCGTCTGGTGACCATGTTACACAAAGCATTGCGCCGTAGTACGACCGGTATACGTCGAGCACCCGCTCTTCAATGTAATCAAAGATCGTCAAGCAACCATCTTCACTAACTACGGCCAGCAGTTGTCCATCAGGAGAGAAGGCAATATCATTGATCTTCATATTGGACAATTTCCATGCTGCGACCGGGTTGGTCCTCTGATTTCGCGATTGCACCGACTTTTTGATGTGAAACTTCAGACTCGGTGTTCCATTCCCGTTGGCATGGCCGTCGCCATTTTCTGCTGGTGAGGACTCTTCAGGAACGAATTCTGCATCTTCCTTTTCCTTGTCGTATACGACTAGGCAGCCATCCTTGTGTGCTGCGATAAACAGATTTTCCTTGCTCGGTAACCACTTGATGGAAGAAACTGCGGATGAGTTGATCATGCCATTCTTGTTGAGTCTGGCATACTTTTGCGACATTGGCTCATACCAGATGATGTCGCTAGTGTTGAATCCTAGAACAAGGTCAAGGTGATTGCTGGACTTCGTGAAAGGATTGACATCGTGGCACAGAGCATGCGCCTTGGTGAACAGGACCTTGGTCATGTTCTCAGTCTTGACGTCCGATGACAGATCCAACCACATGAATGCCCGATTGATGTTTGCAAATGCGAACATGCCCTCGGGAGATCGCTCGTTGAGTCGTTTCTGCAGTGATTCGTGAGGTATGACTCTCGACACATACGAAGAGTTGGACTTGACAATATTGTTCTTCGGCTTGGCCTTTTGATCCTTCTTCGCCTTGGGATTCACTGGCACTGCCAATGCCGGATTCCCATCGCCAAAAGTTGGAGTCTGGCTGTAGTAGGACGCAGAGCCGAAGCCATTTCCCGTTGATCCAGCATCACTTCTGGAAGATTGTGCTTCTTCTTGGATGCTCGGCGGTATATTTGAGCGCGCACTTTGAGCAGTGATTGTTCTGAATAGATTCTGGGACGGAGGATTTCGTGGAGCTAGGACCGCGATTGAAAGCTTGGTGCCCGTAGTCGGAGGTCCCGTTGTGGCTGCGAGAGGATTGTTGTTCGGTTGTGGTGCATCGCTGGGATGTGGAGGCGGCGTCGCAAGATGAAAGTCATCTTTGAGCACGTACGTACCCTCGCCCAGGACCAATTGATATTCGGGACCTGTAGGGTGCTCGAGAGTGTTGTTGGTCTCCAGCAGAGGACCTCCGCCTGGCATTCCGGTGTATAGGTTGCCATTTGGATAGCGAGGAGGCGGGGGAAGGACACTGAGAGGTCACCGTCAGTGACAACATGCCCTGCTTTTGCCTGCCTGGGCTGGCGTTTCACGTGAAATGTTTGCTTCCTGCTGGTACTCGACAGAACAGAGCTGCAGGGTCAAGGTGTCGCTTACAACATGGTGCATGTGCGAGCGCCGGCCCAGCTCAAGCTCAGGGCGCAAGAATGCGAGACAGATGGCGTGCGATCATGAGGGCAGCGCACTCGAGAAGTGGTGGTTGTTCTGGTCCGACTTGTTGGAGAGAGCGTGGATGCGTTCTATCGGTGCAGAGATGCCTACGACTACGTCTACTGTATTCTACCTAGCCAGTGCCAGCTCCGCTCTTCCTCGCCGGCCATGGCCACCTGCATTCGAAGCCTCGCGGCAAATTGTGGGGTCTCCATTATTGCGGCTCAGTGAATGCCACGCGAGAGAGCTCCCACAAGCGAAGTCGCGACTTTGGCCGCAGCTCGGTGCCATGAGTGAATACATCTGTGATATCTGTCAACCTCACTTGCGTATCAAGGGAGCTTGAACCGGTACTATTTATTGCGATGGAACATGGCAACTGGTATGCTTGCTGCCACGATCTTCTCGCCGAGCCCGCGCTGTGCTGACAGCGCCCACAGTTCGGATCTGTGTTTGCGGCGATGAGGCCACAGGCAAGAGCTCGCTCATCACGTCGCTGGTCCGAGACACATTCGTTTCGTCCAAGATCCAAAGCGTTCTTCCCCCGATCACTCTCCCGCCCACGCTGGGTACGCCGGAAAATGTCACCACGACCGTCGTCGACACATCGGCTGTACCGCAAGATCGAGATGTGCTTCGGAAAGAGCTGCGCAAATGCAATGCGATTCTCTTGGTCTACAGTGACCACTACAGCTACGAACGAGTAGCTCTGTTCTGGCTGCCATATTTCAGATCACTCGGCATCAACGTGCCAGTAGTCCTGTGCTCAAACAAGAGTGATCTGAATCCCGGGACAAACACGGCAGGCGTCGTAGAAGATGAAATGCTACCGGTCATGGCCGAGTTCAAAGAGATTGATTCCTGCATAAGGACGAGCGCACGGGAACACCACAACATAAACGAAGTGTTCTTTCTGTGTCAAAAGGCAGTCACACATCCCATAGCACCGATATATGACGCCAAGGAGAACAACCTCAAACCTGCAGTGGTAGACGCGCTCAAGCGTGTGTTCTATCTTTGCGACCGAGATCAGGATGGCATACTCAACGACAAGGAAATCCAAGCTTTTCAAATGAAATGCTTCGAGAAGCAGCTTTCAGATGACGACCTGGCCAACATTAAACGCTCGATACACCCACCGCAATCTGCGTTTGGTGGCAGCCTACATGATGAAAAGCTTAGCGAAGGTATCGATGTTGAGGGCTTCATCCAGCTCAATCGAATGTTTGCGGAGAAGGGCCGACATGAGACGATCTGGATCATCCTAAGGAAGTTCCAATATTCTGATAGCTTGTCTCTGAAAGATAACTTTCTGCACCCCAGATTTGATGTGCCCGCCTACGTATGTAGCTGATGATTTGGCTCGATCACTTTAATGATAGGCTGACATTTGTGCAGGCTTCAGCCGAGCTGTCTCCTGCCGGATACAGGTTCTTCGTGGACCTTTTCCTGCTCCATGATAAGGACAATGACGGCGGCTTGAGCGACTCTGAGCTGTCCACATTGTTCGCGCCAACGCCTGGAATGCCCGTGTCGTGGGTAGATTCTGGCTTCCCGAGTTGCACCGTGCGCAACGAGGCTGGGTATATCACGCTTCAAGGCTGGCTTGCGCAATGGAGCATGACGACTTTCGAGAGCCCCAAGACGACATTAGAATACCTAGCATACCTTGGTTTTGAAGGAGATGGAAAGGGCACAACATCAGCACTCAAGGCGACCAAAGCTCGCAAGCGACGCAACAAGCCAGGCAGAGTCGAACGCAACGTCTTTTTGTGCTACGTGCTAGGCGCAGCGCAAAGCGGCAAATCTGCTCTTCTGAACGCCTTCCTCAATCGACCTTTCAGCACCACCTATCATCCAACAATCCAGCCACAGACCGCAGTAAACAGTGTGGAACTCCAAGGCGGCAAACAATGCTACCTGATTCTTGAAGAGCTCGGCGAGCTAGAACCCGCTATCCTGGAAAACCAGGCGAAGCTTGACGCGTGTGACCTGCTGTGCTACACGTACGACAGCAGCGATCCTGACAGTTTTGCCCACATTTTAGAGATGCGCAAGCGGTATCCTGCGCTTATTGCACTTCCTTCAGTGTACGCGGCACTCAAAGCGGACCAAGATCGCGCTGTACAGCGGACCGAGGTGCAACCTGACATGTACTGCGAGCAATTGAAGATGGCGAAGCCACTTCATGTTTCAGTCAACTGGCGGTCGATCGGAGAATTCTTTGTGCATCTGGCAGAGTGCGCAACGTTCCCATCACAGGCATTTCCCAAGAGTGAGGAGGAGGCTGTGGATCGTACTGCGCTGTACATTGGTGTTGCTGCCACAGTCAGTGTTGCGGCCGCCTTCGCTTGGGTTTGGAAACGGAATTCGCTCTCTTCCTCCACTTGAGAGGAGAAGGGAAATGGTGTTGGTGGTGTGCAATGTGTGTGTATCAAGATACCCCTCTCATATTCGATTTCTACTGCGGCACTGAATGTAACTATGCCGTTCTCGAGGAATGCCGTTGATCTCTCAGATGCCGCATCACATCCCAAGGGGATGAGAGCTTTCTTCGGCGGTGTTCTTCACAGCTGTCGCGGCCGCGAGGAATCACCCCCCGAATGCTCTGGCTTTGCGTCGCACCTATGTATAAACCGCTCACCACTGGTCCAGACTTCAGACTTTTTGGAGCTCCCCATGTCGTTCTTCAACTTGTTAAGCTTCCAGATCCCGGCAGGGTGGGTGTCGGAAATAGCAAGCTCGGACTTTTGGACCAGGACATGTCTGCCATGTCTTGTTGCCTCAATCTGGAGTGTGGACGAGCAAGAGCAAGAACTCGATGTGCAGGACAGGACTCAGGAGGCATACAGAGAAGGAGAATGGACTGCTCTCGTAGGAGCGCAGAATGCAGAGCTGATGTCACTCAAGACAGAAGTGTGTGGAAAGAGAGCCGGCTGCCATGCCTGCAGTGTAGCCTGGCCTGGCTGGGCTTTCTTATTTGAGTGCCTGGCTCTGGACTTCCACATCTTCCCGGATGCTTCCTTCGGTTCGGACGCTTTTCGACCCGAAGGCGCATGCGTGCGTGCGTGCCGCAAGCGAGTATCGCGCACTAGAGACCTTTAGCAATCTCGAGTGTCAGAATTTAGTGGTGTTCACCAGGGTTGGTAACTAGGCCTATTTGAGACGGCTCTTCCGAGTAGTTTAGCAACCTCCTTTTGCTACCTCTTAGCTGCTTAGTTATCGTATCTATAGTAATATAACCTAGCTCTTTAATATAGACCTTAGCTAGTAGTGTTATCGCTATAACCGTAGGCTTAATAGACGCTTAAGTAAGACAGTTATTGCTAGACTATTAGGTAGTTGTCGGACAAGCGGCTAGCGCCTATCTCGAGTCGGTAGTCGATATTATTATAGACGACAAGGCCGACGAGGTATACAAAGGCGATTAAATAAGGAGCCTATATCCTAACAATTATAACCGGCTTAAAAGGACGAGGTTGTAGGACCTAACTAACGATTAGTATAAGCGTAGATTTCGCTTCTAAAAGTAGGATCTATATAGGCTTATAAGGTTGCTTAAATTAGACTAGATTAAGTATCTATACTATATAGAACCTACTAAGGAAGAGGCGTTGCTAGTGCTTCTATAGCGACTCGCAAGTAGTACTACTTAGCAGTCGCTAGCGTACGAGTTTAGCAGAGGGCCGACCTAGATTAGTATTATATTTAATACTATTCTTAAGCACTTAGACGACTTCTTTAGCGATAGATTATTATTTAATACTCGTCGGTTAACCCCTTAGTATTTGCGGAGGTATATAGAGGCACTAGAACCGGATATTAGTCTTGCTAAAGTATATAGATTTATTAATAGTACCCTTCGTCCTTGCTATAGGCCTAAGTACGACTAAAAGCTATACTATAGCGGATATAAGAGAGTATACGGCATTAAATTCTAGGCTATTATTACTCCTAACGGTCTATTGTCGTCGCTATATAGTCCTAAACCTAGCTCTTTTAGGGATTCTCGGATAGTATATAAATCTAACATTTAGTAGATTTAGTATGCGTTATTCGATAGGTATAGATTAGACGATAAGGTGTTTATTTACGGAGACTCGGTATACGTAGTAGCGGATAGTATTATATCTGCTTTTAAAGGTTAGAATAGTTAGCCTCGTACGCCGCTATAGAGGCAGATAGACTAAGAGATGTCGGCGTTAAGGGTTGCTATAAAGCATATATTCGGACAGATATCTAATCTATAGCGGATTAACTTAGTTAAGTAGAAGGCGGACTTATAGGCTATTAGATCTATCTATCGAGCGTACGTTCTTCTTACTAACTACTATACCTGCTATTATAGTAATTAGGTATCTATAGGTCGTATAGATCTACTATTATTAGAAGAATATCTCTATTCGAGGGCGACTAATGCTTAAATTAGTAACGAGATTAGAGCCTTAGTTAAGACAGTTCTACCGCTAGGATAGCGACCGCCGCGACTAGAGCAAGGTAATAAGGGCGATAAAGGAGATAGGTATACGTCGCCGGCGATAGAAGACGAGGGTAGCGATAGTAATAGTAGTAGTAATAGAAGAACGACGATAATATCGAGAAGTTAAAGTATAGCTTTACAATTCTAACGGTATTCTTAGTACTCGCACTATAGGAGCGAGTATATTTCGAGCTATTAGTATATATCTAGAAAGTAGCGAAAATAGATAACTAGAGCGTCTATGCGCGATTCTCGTAATGTCTCGGCGATATTGTTAACCTATTACTAAGTAATAGTTATATACTACTAACCCTACCCCTCCTCCTATTTCCTAAATTTCTAGCGATAATCTCGCGATTAAGAGAATAATAAGGCAACGGCAGGAGCAACTAGTTCGCTAAATCGATACTAAAGAGCAATATTACTAATAAATAAGTAGGGATTTGCTTTAACTAATCCTATAAAACGAACTCTATACTATAATAACTACTACCTACTCCTCTAAGTCGAAAAAGTCCTCGGGGACCTTAATATCGTCTATATTCTAATCCTAATCGTAGCGATCCGACTACCCTATCTGCTATAAGAAGCCTAGTTTCGGTAAGCGCTCGAATAGCTCTAGCATTAGCATCTTGCTCTTCCTACGGTAGATAACTTACAATAGCACTCGAGTGCAATCCGGATATATATCTATTACCGTCTAGCTAATATTAGTAAGTTACTAGTTAAGAGAGAGAGAGAGATAATAGTATATATAATAGTAGCATTAAGGTGCTATAATTCGTTCTTCTAACTATTAGTTAGGCCTCGAATATAGTGCTAATTAAGGGCAGTTAGGCCCTCCTTAATCTTCTCGAAGTGCGGCTTTAGCAATTCGTTTAGCTTCGAGAACGCTCTATTAATCGAGGCGTTATTGTTACGCTTACGGCGGCGTAGTTGTATACGCTAAGTCGTCGACGGTATAGAAGGCATAGGAGATTCTTCCGGTTTAGTAGAGGTCGCCTACGAAGAGCTACTACTATTTAACCGACGTCGCTTCGAGCCTAACCTATCTATTAGACTATCGCGGACAACGACCTCCTTACGCCGAGCCGCCTCCTTCTATTCCTTTATCGCTACCTTATCGAAGAGCTAAGGGTTTATACGTAGGGCGTGTTTAATAAAGAAGTCCTTCGCTTATAAGAGGTTATCGTTACTAGGTACTATACTAGTAGAGCGCTCTTTAGCGGCCTATTCCTTTACCCTCTTAACTAACTTTACGTTATAGCTCTACTAGAAGCTAGAATTACTACTAAACTCCTTCTTACTATTAGTACGAGCCTACGCATTTACACGACCTCTAATAAGCCGATAGAAGTTAGTAATATTACCCTTCTTATAGGTATACTTTATATTATTTATTTGCTAGAAGATAACTAACTCTATTCGAGCCGATAGCTTACCTAGCTTTAATAGGTAAGCTATATTACTGCTCTTCTAAGATAGTGTTTCTACGGTCTTAATTAATAGCGAAGGTCTAGGTAATAGAGATAGCCGCAATTAACTTGCTAGAGTAGTTAGTAGCGGTATAGATAATAATAGAGAGGCGTATTTACTAGATCTAGTCGCTATATCGATAACTCTAGGTAGTAGGTAGGGGGAGGGGAGATAGCGACCTACGAAGGTATTATAGAAGGCTATAATAATCTCGATTCGCTAATAAATTAGTAGGATAGGAAGACGAGCGATCTACTACCTGCCTTCGAGTCTTCTAGCCGCCTTATTACTATCCCTCCGAGTCCCTTATAAAGCCCGATTTCTACTCGAATTTTCTATCTAATAACGTTACCTTCTATACTATTATATACTATCTACATTATTCGTACGACCTTAACTATTATTAAGAGCTTGTAATATATTATAATAGATATACTGCTAGTAGTGTAGAGCCTCCGAAGGTATTATTTAGTATACTATAGAGCGATCGATAGAAGGTTTAATATTATAGGAGAAGGTAGTTACTATCGCTAAGGCTACTATACCGCTTCTGTATCTACCTCCTTTAGTAATAGACTTATTGCATTACGACCTACGGCATTACAATCGATTAGCTATATATAGTATAGTAGATACAGTAGATACAGGTAGTGAACCATCAGTCAGAAGTTGTTGTCGGAGGTGGACAGCGACACCTCCTGCTAAAGGTCTCTACTATTCTAAGAATAGCCGAAAATCACTGTGCGGCCAGCCCGTCACCCGTGAGCGTCGAAGGGGCGTGGAAGGGCGGCCTGATATAGTAACGCAAGCTCTGGACAGCCCTGTGCCTGTGCCTGTACGGTATGTACGGTATCTTTCCTTGCTTGCCGTACGCCTGCGCCCGCGCCTGCGCCTGCGCCGAACGCAAGTATAGATGCCGTCCCTTGCTCGTCGCGTGTTTTCTTTAGCAGCACGGCAGAGCATAGAAGGAAGCACGTTCCGCTCGCTTTGAACGTGAGAGTGAGCAATACCTGCATCCGCAATCCGTGAGAGCCCGCCGCTACCGGTACGCACCGCACTGTTGAACACATTCCATGCTTGCTCGGAACCAGGCTGACCGAATCCTCCAGCTCCAGGGATTGCTCTACCGCAATACATATCAGCCTGCAGTCGTCCAGATGGCCGAGCAACGCTTCGCCTCCTTCCATTCTGCATGTCGTGACTCCTCACACGAGCCTGCCAACCAGCCGGCCAACCACGTCCGAAGGAGTATCTCGATCTTCAGCCGAAGGGGAACTGAACCACCAGAGCCTACGCCTGCATTCATCACCCACGCAGCCATGAGGTTCCCGTGTCCTCGATCGAGACCGATGTCGGAGAGGCAGAGGAGTTGGATGGGTCGCAGAAAGAGCATGAGCAAGAAAGATAGAGCTCCGAAGAAATTGTCAAAGGCCACCCTTCTCCACGCGGTGCCGCACGCGAACACGATTGAGATGACCGCACGTGAGCAGGAGATGGCCATCAGTCCAAATGAAGAGATCCTATCCGCAATCAGTGACCACGCTCCGACGCTTCGAGCTCTGACGGCTATCGATTCGCAGCCTTGGTCGCCTTGCACACCACCACATCCGCGCAGCAACAGCACTACAGATCTGACCCAACGAACAATGTCTCAAAGAAGGCGAGAAACCAGCTCCCGAATTGGTGTCTGGATCGATGGCGTAGTGCAATGGGATCAACGTGCTCTCGACGACTTTTTGTCGCCAGACGCCGCCGACATGGAACACACTGGCTTCACGCCCGTAAGACCTGTCTCTTCTTCGGCTCCTCCGAACCCGCGGAAACCACCTCTTTCGGTGGTGATTCCTTCGCATGCGCCTGTGGTCAATGATCGATGTGTTTCGACCATCCTTCACCCACAACCGAGGCGACCGGTAGTCTCCGTGCTTCCAACGAGCATCGTGTCAACAGCATATCCTACCTCAACACCTGCAATCGTACTCGACGACACGATGAGCACTCCATGCCCTCCAGAACGACCATCCGCAGAACGACCATCCGCTCCCTCCTCAACCCACAAGTCTCACGCATCCATTTCCACGACTTCGAGCAGGGCCATCACCGATGAGGACTCGCTTTACAGCAGACGAAGCTCAGCTACGAGCGTCTCGCTCTGCTCTACTTCTGAGAAAAGATTCCGATTATCCACGAGCAACTTATCTATGCTCTCACCAGAATCAGCTGGCGTATTTGAAGAGCAATCGAACAAGAAATCGGGCAACAAGGCGGCGAATTTGAACAAGTCGCTGCCACCCACTCCGCCGACAATCCCTCCAGTTCGTGCCGCACCATCACCAACTCCTGCTGTGAGTACGCGTCAATATAACTCGCTAAGAGTTCCTGGTTCGGAAAAGCTGCATCCTACACACCCGCTCAGACAAAGTCGATCCATGAGTCAGCTTGACCAGTGCGATGAGGAATTCATGCGCAGCTATATCGCTCGTCGACACGCGCAAACTCCCACGTTGAGCCAAGCTGAGCAGGAAGTGAGAGCCCAACTATCCACCATGGAGGAACAGATTTCCGACTCCACACCGCCACAGAGCTCAGACGAGGGTGCATCCGGGACCTTGAAGCGTAGGGACAGCGTGCGGGATGTGATGCAGCCACCGACTCGCGCACCGACCATCCCAAAGCGATCCCGCAAGAGAGATTGGCGATCTTCCAGACAGTCAGCAAGAACCACAATGGACTTCTCCAGCGCCGGCGTTCCGTCCAGACGGCGGTCCGAGTCTCACCTCAAATCCAAGCAGCCTCCTACTGTGCAAACGGAGAAGGTGGCTTTGCGGAAAGTATTCAGCGTGTCTCATCACAGCAAACGGTCGCAGGACTTGTTGGTCCTTCCACAGTTGGAAGTCCAACAAGAGAGCTTGCAAGGCATGCTGGCATATGCGAACGTTGGCGAGCAGAACGAAGATGTGTCTGCTGATCTTTCTCCCATCTCTGACGAAGGTGCTGCTTCTGCAGCCGTACCATCAGTGTCCGCTGAGGAAGTTCTTCTTGGCATCCTCTCAAATCTGAGCTCTACCGATGATCTATTCCATACAGCCATCATCAACAAAGGCATGTATAGAGTGTACAAGGAGAACGAGATGTTTCTGCTCCGCAAGGTCATGGCGAATCAGTCGCCGGCGGCGTGGGAGTTGCGAGAGTGGAGCTCACCAGAACGCAATGAGGTGGCCTGCTCAAGCAAGGCCTCTTCGCTGCTTGAGCACGATCCATTGTCGTACATGCGCTGCTTCAGAAGGGATCTCGGTGTTATCGAGCGCCTGAAGCGACTGATCATGGAGCACTGCCAATCTTTCATTCGCCGCGAGACTACTTTTGCTCTTTCCACACCAACACATCCAAATGCCCAACGCTTCAACGATAGCTTCTGGCGCATTTGGTGCTTCTGCGAAATATTCGGAGGCAAGAAAGGCCGCGAGGAGGACATTACTGGCCAGCTGGACTGGCTGAAGGGCGGCCTCCTGGCCAACAACCAGGGCTTTTCTGCTACAGTCAACACGAATCTTGATTTCGAGATGAGCTCAGTTCTGCTGAATGCTCCTGATCATTTCGCAAGAGCCAATGCAGGCGGGCTCGCAGCTGCTCAGCTTTTCGACATGACCGAGATCTGGACATGCTTCACCGTCCTGCTCCAAGGCTATTCTGGACGTGTCATGCAAGCTCGCGACTTTGGCGTCTTCGATAATTGTGACCTCGTCGAAGGCGACGTTGAAGCCGAAGAAGCAATGCTTGAAGAGTGGATCGCCTATCTTTTAACATTGGGTCCCAGTGTGGTGCTTGACATGGCTCTCCTTGCCTTGGACACCACTCCATCTGGCTTTGCATACGCAAAACAACAAGGCTGGACGAATTGGACACCACCAGCCTTCAACGGCAGCCGCAGCAATTTCCTCAAAGAGCCCGTGGCACGAAGCTACGAAGAGCAAGTCGCTGCTGCGAAGCTTCGTTTTCAAGATCCAATCGAACAAGAACAGAAGGAAATGAGCCGGAAGCGCGTCGCTTCTATGGCAGCTGAGATCCGGCTCCGAAGACAAAGCTCCGACTACCGCCGCCTGCCCTTCATCGACATGAAGAACGAGCGAGCAATGAGCACGGCTTCCCGTCACAGCACCGTCTCCTCATGCTCTCGAAGCACCATTCGCTCCTCAGACAACGACAAGACCACCTCACGCCGACGCCGCACATCTGCCCCTCAGACTTCAGCGCACTCGACTAAAGCCCTGTGGCAAGCTCCTCGCTCCATCTCCCCCATTATGGAAGATCGAATCGAACCTTTCAACCGCATGTCTCTCGTCAACTATGGACGAGGGCAAGCGGAAGACACTTCTGAGATCGCCGTGCAGAGAATCGTCGCGATGGGCTTTCCGCCTAACCAAGCGAGAGAAGCTCTTCGTCAGACTGACATGGGCGATGGTCTCAGAGTCGATCGAGCTGTCGAGTTCTTGCTTAGGCAGGACTAGGCTGAGGCAAGAGTCGCTTTTTCCTTGTGACCGATTCATATGATTCCTTGCTTTTTTTATGTGATACCCAACTCGGACCATGACGAGACTTATCGTGCGGAAGTTTTCTTTGAATTATGACGTTACCTATCTGTGAGATCAGCAGTTCTTCAAAGGCCAAAAATGATGTTTCTTTCTCAAGGCTGTATGTAACTATATGGGGATGTTACGATTGTTCAACGAAAATTGTAATATAGTGTCTCAAAATTTGCAATGAATGATGAACGAACGAATATCAATATCATCATCATATGCCATGAGTCCGAACCAGCATCGTCTCTTTACTTCCCAGTGTAATCGTGAGAGATCGATTGAGTCTTGCATTACATTTAGTGAGATGAAAAAAACAAAAGGTGCTAGTCAGACTCTAGCTATGCATGCCATCGATCGTGCTTGACCTTCTAGCACGCCCTGCCATAAAAATGATTTGAGTGAGGGATAAATTATGCTGGCGTTTTCTCCTTCGGATGAATCGCCCCGCCCTTCCTTCTTCCCAATCGTCCTCTCGTCCACAGGCCATCTTTGTTTAGAAACTCCTCCGCCGACACCACTACTCAGTGAAACGCCACCACATGTGAATGAATAGTAGGAAAAAGAGAAAATGCTATGTGAGCTCGTGTGGTATATCGTCCTCGGGTCCATCGACCTCCATCTCAATAAATAGTCGTCGTTGCGTTCATTTTCCAGATCGTCATCAGTTGATATCATCTCTCGTAAAACACCATCGCAATGCATTTCGCCTTAAAAGAAATGCTTCTGCCTGCCATATCATTGTAAAATCAAACCTGAATTGCGCTCCTTGCCAGAGATCGCTTCAGTCCAAGTGAGGAACGGCCGGCCTCTCGAGCACACGAACGTAGCTGATCATCTGCTGCGAGAGTCGAAGCTTCAATTCTCCCAGCTTCCTTGCCGACGCTGTATCCTGCGCTGAAGCTCAATGCGCTGAAAAGTACCACGACGCCCGCGGATACAACCCATGTAAGAAGAGTGGGCGTGACATGAAGATCCTCACTTGACGTTGTTCGTCGAGCCTTCTTCATGGCCCTTCGCTCGCGGCTTGAGCTCCGGCCTGCTGTGACCGCTTTGCGCTTATGCTCCTTGAACTGCTCTGAGGTCGTTGAAGTCGAGTCAGTGGAGAGACGACGAAGCGTTGGCTTGAAGGTGGGTTCCTGCAGTTGTGGTGGCGAAGATGTTGTTAGTGCCGACTCTGGGACTAAACGGAAAGTTGCTGGATCTATGCGATTGCTGCGAGGCGGCGCTGTCTGTGTTGGCTGTTTTACATTTGACTTCGGTAGTCCTCGCGCTGCTGCAGCCACCGACAACAAGCTGGATAGACTAGCTCTTAAAGCCTCGTCATGCTCTGCTGCAGCATTGAAGGAAGGCGATAGTGGGTTCTGTGGGATGTGCGAGTGCCGTCTTGCTTCGAATGAAGCAGGCATCGAGTGCCGTGTCGAAGGTCGATTCGTGAGCGATGGCCTTGTTGAGGGAAAGTAAGATCCAGGAACGGGCTGACTGGCATGGCGTGGTTGACCGCTAGGTGGATGTGAGAAGGCATTAGGGAGTGGCGTGAAACAATCGTCGTTGCGGATTGGATGGTTAATCGCAGTCCTGTTCTCGTCATCGTCATCCGATGTACGATCGTCCTGCTGTCTGGAGGTCGAAGTCGTCCTGTTTGCCCTTGGTGCCATTATGGGGCCCTCAGTAGAAGATGTCATAACTCTGTCTGACTCGCTTTCGCTCTCCTCATACTCTTCCTGACTGCTGTTGGCGCCCACGCTGGGAGTTCTAATGAGGCGTAGATTTGACGGTACGCCCGTTCTAAGTGCTCCTTGGCGCCTTGTGCCTTGGTGATCCTGCACTCTGAGGCCCGTGGTCACGATCTCGTCGCCAATCGAGGATAGGGAGGACGAGGATGGTTGTGAAGATATCTCGACCCATGAATCGACTACAGAACAGGCGTCAGTCCATTGATCGGTTCGGAGAAAGTAGTATGCCATGGCGGAGCCGATACACATGTGCAAGTTGAACGGCGGAGGTGTGAAGCCGGCTCAGCACTGCTCAGATTTACCGAAGACTCACCATCTGCGCATGTGCGTGTGCGTGTGCGCCTGTCAAACGAGGCCGAACGTGATGCCATGCCTGACGCATGACCAGCGTGGCGACGTTGAATGTGATCGGTCGAATGCGCTGGCTGCTGGGCCGAAGACGGGTCCGTTGATTCCATTCTGCTCTCTGACGAGCAATCCTTTCGTCGAGGTGGTGTACTGGAGAAAATCGGGAAGCCTGTCACTGCAGTAGATTGCGGCCTCGTCCAGATTGTGTCGATCTCGGCAGCTCGTAGGCTCGTACATTCACTCGCTGGCGGTGGGCGGTGGGCGGTATATTGCTTGTCTCGTCTGCCCGCAGCTCTGCAACTAGCGAGCAGGGCGATGAGGACGAGGAGGAGCGGCAGAGCGGCGGCGGTGTAGAGGTAGTGGTTGGCGCAGATCACACCAGATCAGCCAAGTGATCAGCAGCAGCAGAGCAGAGCAGTGCAGCCGTGAGGTCGTCAGTGGTCAGTCATCAGTCGTCGACCTCCCCACGTTTGTTTGCTCGGCTGGCTCTGACGGGGCGGGGCGGGGCGGGGCGCGGCGGGGACGATACAACGCCTGGATCTCTGAATCGCTGGATCACACCTCAGCGTGACTTTGACCGAAGGATGTACTGGGCTAAGGTCCTGGCGTGTGACGTTCATCAGCGACTATTCTTGGTGCCTCATCAGCAGGTCGCGCATAACAAGGAAAGCAAAGCACAACAAAGGAGGTCCTTCTGAAACGCCTGGAAGCCAGTAGTAGTAGTGTGGTGTGGACAGCGTTCTCTGCTACTCTACAGGGTCAGGTCAGCTACCGATAGGCGCATGCGCAAGGTACCCATCCCTGCCGCAGTAACACACCAGGGTCATGGTGCATTTTGTGTGGGTGGAGTCGAGGGACACGTGAGCTGCAGAGGGCAGACTGTAATGTGATGATGTGAGAGAAATTCGAAGCTGTTGATCACGCCTTGTGTCTCATCAAGCAACGCCAATACCATACTGTTGTATGTCCATCGCCATACGCCTAACCATACAGAGTGCATAGAGTACTTTTGCTTCCATCTTACAATTCGACATGTGCCGTGCAAAATGCTCATGACTTGAGCTTCTTGCTGTGAGATTGTCTTCCGTGTCGTCCCTTCATGCTTCGCGCCTCCTTGCTACCAGCGGACTTGCTCTGGATTTTCTTTGCAATCGGGTCGTCCTCTTTCTAGAAGGTGACCTTCTTGCCCGAGAAGTCGCCGAAGCCGCCACGGTTAGTTGAGCCACCGCGGCCGCCACGGCCTCCACCACGGCCTCCTCCACGACCACCACGATCGCCGAAGCCACCGCGACCGCCAAAGCCACCGCGACCACCACGGAAGCCACCTCCTCGGCCACCACCACGACCACCGCGATCACCAAAGCCGCCCTCACGTGGAGGACGAGGGGTGGAGTAGTCGAGGCGCATTGGGCGGCCTCCTAGATCGGCGCCTTGGAGAGCCTCGTAAGCTGCCTTGGCCTCGTCGATAGAGCCCATCTCTACGTAGCCGAAGCCCTTTGGTGCACCGCTCTCGCGGTCGGTGGGCAGACGAATGCCGTTGATGCTGCCGTGCTCCTCAAAGTATTCACGGACCATGTCCTCGGTGGCATCGAAACTAAGGTTGCCAACGAAGAGTGTCTGTGATGGCTCACTAGCTTTGTCGCCATACTGTTGGCGACGTTCCTGGCCGCGCTGTTGTGGATTCTGAGCATTGTTCTGACGAGGGACGCTGAAGTCGAGACGAATGGCACGGTTGTCGAGCTCAGCACCGTTCTTGGCCTCGAGAGCCTTTGCCGCATCTTCGGCATTCTCGAACTCAACGTAGCCGAAGCCCTTGCTCCTACCAGAGTCGCGGTCAGTGATGATGCGCACACCCTTGAGCTCACCGAACTCCTCGAACTCGCGGGTGAGCCACTCCTCATCGACGTTCCAGCTGAGGTTGCCGATGAAGAGGTTGCCAGTCACATTTGGATCCTCAGTCTTGGCCTTCTTTGGGCTTTGCTCAGGCTCCTCATCGGCCTTGCGCTTCTTGCTGTCGGCCTTTGGCTTCTCTTCCTCTTCTTCGTCGCTCGAGTCGTCGCTGGAGTCATTGCTAGAGTCGTCGTCCTTGAAAGTGTCAGTACTGTGTAAGGAGTGAACAGGAAGTGATGATCGTACCTTCGCAGCCTTGGAAGTGCCATTGACCTTTGGCTCTTCCTCATCATCCTCGTCAGAGCTGTCGGAGTCTTCGGAGTCAGACTCGGCCTTCTTCGCGCCGGCAGCGGCGGGCTCCTCATCTTCGTCGGAGTCAGAGCCTTCAGAGGAATCGGAAGACTCTTCCTTTGCAGGTGCCTTGCCATTGAGCTTCTCAGTCTTCTTCGGGGCCGGCTCAGCCTCGCTCTCACTCTCAGACTCGTCGGAAGAGTCATCAGAGTCGTCTTTGACAGGAGCCTTAGCCTTAGCTTTGCCGTTCACCTGAGGCTTCTTGCTGATCGTCTCTTGCTCGCTCTCAGAGCTCTCGTCGCTGGTGCTTGCCTCAGCCTCGCTTTCACTCTCGCTTGATGACTCTGGAGTGGGCTCTCGCTTCTTCGACTTCTTCTCAACAGCCTTGGCTGTCTTCTTCGCAGTCTCCTTGCTAGTGCTCTTCTTGTCTGACTTGGTCACGCGACCAGCCTGAACCTTCTCGATCGGCTTGCTCGAGCTTTTGCTCTTGACCGGTGCGACGGCCGCAGCAGCCTTGCTTGCTTTCTTGTTCTTTGCCATTGCCAGGGGTCTATGATGATGATTCTGGTAGAGAGTCAGTATTATGTAAACCCAAATCTCGACGCCGCTCGAACGTGGTCGCAGCGGCGGGTAGAATCGCCTGTTCGTCTCAGAAACCCAGCGATGAGGACACAAGTGTCCAAGCTCAGTAGTAGCAGTAACAGCAAATGCCCACGAACGACAATGAGTCGTGTAAAGCCCTCAGAAAAGCCCGCTGGACGATGAAGTCCTTGTGATGCCCTCAGATCGAGTCTCATGCAAAGCTGAGATTTGCGAAGCCCACTTGGCGAAGATCGAAATCTTGCCTTTGCCCACTGGTCGCACGTCGAGGCGAGTGTGTTCCCACAAGTGCCGAGACTGTCGCTGCGACGGTATGTAAATGCCCACTCCCAACTGGTGTCCGCCGCCGATGTAGCAGTCGGATCAGTAACGCCACGCCCACAGAGCACTCGAAAGTGCGAAAAGCTCCATCACGGCGCCGAGGCAGCGAAGTGAAAGAGTATGGAAAGCCAACGAACCGATTGATATGATTTCCCTTCTTGAAAGTCGCCTTGTAACGATGGCGACAGTGATCCTTGGTGGCAGTAGCAGCAACACTCTTTTTCGTTTGTGTGGTCGAGGAAGAAATTATCGCAAAATCAATCTGCAGTGAAATTTATGTGGCAGGCTAGAAGCTAGTGTGGGTCTGTACTAGCGCGGATCGGACTTTTCCGGCTTCTCTTCCAGGCTCGCCGCTCCAGCTGCAGCCACGAGTCAAGTGGAGTGGATCAACAACCACGACAGCTTGACAACCTGGAAGATTACCGGTCGTTCAAGATCGCACACGATGCCACGTTAGCCGACACTCATTCACATCTCGCAATGGCGCCTTCCCCTTCGCACCGTCCTCGCAAGAGACGAAAGGCAGACATTCTAGCATCAGCCAGCAGCTCCAATGGCACTGTTGTACAGGATGCTGTCACCAAACGTGAAGCACCTTCGTTTCCTTTGGTTGCCTTCTTCTGGCCGGCAAAAGGCACGCTCTCATCATGGATCACCATTCCGTGCATCTTGATGGTCATCGGCCTGTTCAGGTGGTGCACTGCAATTTGGCCCTATTCTGGGTTCCAGAAGCCTCCTATGCATGGTGATTTCGAAGCACAGCGACACTGGATGGAGTTGACGATTCATCTCCCCACGACACATTGGTACTTCCATGACCTGCAGTGGTGGGGACTCGACTACCCTCCTTTGACAGCATATCACTCTTGGCTCCTGGGCACAATTGGCTCTTACATCAACCCATCGTGGTTCGCCCTTTACCTTTCGCATGGCCTGGACGAGCCGGACCTGAAAGTCTTTATGCGAGCGACGGTCTATATTTCCGAACACCTGGTCTATATACCGGCTGTGATCATATGTGTCCGCCACCTTGCGCGGCTACATAATATGAACACGTGGGAAGCATCAATAGCATTGACTGCAATCCTCATGCAGCCGGCCACTATGCTGATCGACCACGGCCATTTCCAGTATAATACAGTCATGCAAGGTCTATTTGTTGCCTCTCTCTCCAACATGCTCGCCGGTCGAGCAATGTGGGCTTGTCTCTTCTTTGTCGGTGCGCTGGGTTTCAAGCAGATGGCCTTGTTCTGGGCACCTGCAGTAGCTGCATACCTTGCGGGCAGCTGTCTCTTACCCAAAGTTGATCCAATCCGCTTCCTCGGAATTGCGACAGCAACAATTGGCTCACTCGCACTTTTGTTCCTGCCTTTACTATTGGGAACTTTCTTTGACACCTATCGTCAAGTCCCTCTACCATCCGATATATCCTTGCCGCCTCTTTTGAACGCAATACCGTTTTCCCTCAGCGAAAAGGCTTGGTACTATCCATATCTGCTTCAGCTCACGCAGTCCATCCATCGGATCTTCCCATTCTCGCGTGGATTATTTGAGGACAAAGTGGCCAACATCTGGTGCGCAGTCCACGCATCCGGCCTGCATAAATTGCATCAGTACGACCAAGGTCTTCTCAGCAAGGCAGCGCTTGCAGTGACTCTGGCATCAATCATCCCACCATGCTTGATAATCTTTCTTCGACCGCGCAAAGAGCTACTTCCTCTAGCGTTTGCCACGACGTCATGGGGATTCTTCTTATGTTCATATCAGGTGCACGAGAAGAATGTGCTCTTGCCTCTTCTTCCAATGACTCTCTTACTCGCGACCGAGGATGGTATGAAGCCTAAGATTCGTGCCTGGGTTGGGTACGCTAATCTTTTGGCAAGCTGGACGCTGTTCCCGCTCTTGGCCAAGGACGAACTGAAGATTCCTTACGTGGTCCTGACATCGCTCTGGGCTTACCTGATGGGACTGCCTCCTTTCAGCATTGGTGCATATACAACGCCGGCGAGTGAAGGTGGAGTCAATATTGTGACCAAGCTGATCCACGTTGGGACGTTCGCTGCCGCTCTAGCATGGCATGGTCTGGAGCTGTTTGTACAGCCGCCCGCTGGCAAGCCTGATTTATGGGTGGTTGCAAATGTTGTATTGGGCTGCGCAGGCTTTGGTATATGCTATCTGTGGTGTCTCTGGAATCTGACGATCGACAGTGCGCTTTTCAATTTCGGCGGTCGAAAGCAGGTTCGCGAGGAGAAGAAGACCCAGTGAGGATTTTGGACAGAGATGACTCGGGTTGTCGTGACCTGAGGCGAGAGTGTCTCTGTTCATATGTACGAATAGTGTACAATAGTATACATCTAGCAAGTCCCGTGTCTGGTGGGCCTCCATCGGTGTTCGATCTTGAATGTAATGCTCCTTCTCGAACGCCGTAGATGTGCATTTCCCAAATGATGTCTTGTTTGCGCATCTCCCTATGCAATGTTGAACCCGTAACTTGACATACAACTTCTGTATCTCGATACCAGATCTTTGCAGTGCTCTTGCGGATCGCTTGCGGTGGAGAAAAGCATGCATTCGTCGCGGGCCGACTTCTCGTCTTTGCAGACGCAGCAGGGCTGGAAAGTGTCAGTAGACAGAAATCAAGTGATGGAAGGGAGAAGTCTACCTTCACTTTAGCAGCAGTTTCGCCTTTGGGCTTGAGATCGGTTGCGGCATTGTTTGGCTGTAGTGGGCTGGCTGTAGTAGAGTTAGCAAATCCTGCTCATATCTGCTCAATTTATTGCTGTACCTGTGCCAGATGCCATCGCCTGACTCGACATGATTGCAATGAGATGGAGTTATCGTAATTGTCTCAAAGCCATCGAGTCTGCAAGCAGAAGTTCGTCGCACGTCACCTTAGCCACAGTTTGTCAGCGAAGAGATGAGGCTCTTCGGTTCGGCGCGAGAACTCTTGCATGCAGGGTCTTGCATGTGGTCCGCGCAGTGAATGTTGCCCAGCCAGTAATTGGTTTACTATACGTTTCTCGACCGCGACCTTTTCGTGCCCCGCTTCAGGCTCAACGTCCAACAGAGAAAGCAATACACACGAACACCCGCCTTTGAACAACCTTTGTAAATTGAGAAAACTCGACCTCTCTGCGACTATGGCGAAAGTTTTTTCAATTCGTGGACAGGCTCTGAAGCTCGACACGGCTGCTGACCTGGAGAAGCATGTCGGTCCCCTCAAAGACAACGCAGATGTAGAAGAGGTGCATATCGAGGGAAACACGATCGGTGTTGAAGCTTCTGAGGCACTCGCGAAAATCCTCGAGACCAAGCAGAATCTGCGATTTGCCAATCTTGCAGACATCTTTACCGGTCGTCTGCTCTCCGAAATTCCTCAAGCCCTTGACGCCCTGCTCAAGGCCCTACTCAAGTGCCCGAAGCTACACACGATCAATCTGAACGATAACGCTTTCGGTCTGAACACTGTCGAACCACTCAGACCATTTCTCAGCCAGCACACACCCCTCCAGCATCTCTACCTCAACAACAATGGTCTCGGTCCAGCGGCTGGCACTCTGGTGGCCGAAGCTCTCACACAACTAGCAGAGAACAAGATTGCTGCTCGAAAAGAAGGAAAGGATGTGCCAGATCTTGAAACTGTCATCTGTGGCCGCAACCGGCTCGAAACAGGCAGTATGCCAGCTTGGGTCAAGGCTTACACTGCAAACAACAAGGTCAAAACTGTGAAGATGGTGCAGAACGGTATTCGACAAGAGGGCATTGCACAACTCATTCAGCACGGCCTGTCAAACTGCGCAGAACTCGACACTCTCGATCTACAAGACAACACTTTCACCGCCCTGGCAGCTAAGACGCTGTCCACGATTGTGCCCTCTTGGACTCAAATCCGCGATCTTGGAGTTGGTGACTGTCTTCTCTCAGCACGTGGAGGTCGTATGCTTGGCGAAGCACTGGCAAAGGCAGGGAACAAGAAACTCGAGGTCCTGCGCTTACAATACAACGAAATCGACTCGAAGGGCCTCAAAGCCCTATCCGAGGCAGCTCAAGGCTCGGCGCTACCACGTCTCCGAAGGGTCGAGCTGAATGGCAACAAGTTTGCTGAGGAAGATCCCTCGATCGAGAAGCTTAGAGAAGTTCTTGAGACTAGAAAGGAGCAGAAGGCTGAGGAGTATGCCGGTGTAGACGAGGATGACGAGGACAATTGGGGCATTGACGAGTTGGATGAGCTTGATGATGACGATGAAGAAGAGGAAGAAGAAGATGAGGTTGAAGATGAGGAAGAGAAGGTGATCAAGGATGCTGACACAGCGGAGGATGAACCGGTGGCTGCCAAGAAGGACAAGGATGTGGACGAGCTTGCGAATGCACTGGAGAAGACAGAAATCAAGTGAGCGGCTGCTTCAGTAGCGCGATTATTTGGACGAGAAATGCAGGCGACCCGGACTTTTTTGGAGAATACCCCCAACACGCGCGATGACGTTGAAGAAGAAGCTGAGCATCCAAGTCACGAGCATAGATAGAGGAATAAATCATACCCAACACTTAGGAATTCCTGGTCTAGATTTCTATGGCCTCTCGGAAGGACTAGAATCATGCGTCTACCTCCCAAATCTGAACTCGGCCTTTGCATATCTGTACAAAGCCCGCAAGAAAATCTGATACCCGACTCCACCAACATTATCCTGCGCGTAGAAAATCTCGGTCAATCGGACCTGCCAAGGCGGGTAGCCTTCTAAGACGACTCTTTCTCCAAACACAATCAATAAATCTGGTTCGCCCATAACTGATTCGCTGATCTCGGCATCGAGGAGCTCTTGTGAGATGTCTGAGGGTTGGAGTTTCCCGCTTTGAGACATCTCGGCCAGAGTTTTCGTAAGATCGACGATTGTCTGCCGGCCGTCTGTGGCGTCTATGAGTAGGATGTTGAGGTGTGGTGGAGCAGAGTCAGAATTTGAGGATGTGCCATGAGTCTTGGGCTCTGGAGAGTTGGGAGGGCTGTAGGATGACATATTGGGCGATCGAAGGGAGATGGTTGGTTTGTGAGGGTTTGTAGTGCCGTAGTATGATGTGAGTGTGCGAGTTAAACGGCGGTGGAGATGAGGAAGGGAGGATTTGAGGATGCCTGGTACTGGTCAGTATGCGATTTAAATCTTCTGAGGGGAGATAGACTTGCCCGTCTTCTCATATATTGATAGCATTGGAATACCCGCGCTTGCACTCCATGCAGCCAGCTCACAGGCATCGTTGAACACAGTCTCCAATGCATCTTTCTTGCCTCCTTCAGGCGGCAGATCCAGTATCACGCTCAAATGCTGAGGCACACGACTCAACGGCCTCACATCCTTCTTGATGATCTCTGGTGTGCGGTGGTGATAGTAGAGCACTGCACAAACGCGATCGTATATCGCATGGTATATCTGCCTTATTCTCACGTAGACTGAAAAGATGACGTGGACAATGTTGAAGAGTAGGAGGTGTAGGAGTTGTCGCATCGCAGGGCGAACCCGTTGGCGGTGGTGAAAACGCGGTCCATCGTTGGATGGCGCTCGGGTTTTCTTTGGCGATTGATTTGGTTGTTTTGGCAGGTAAGGCTTCAAAAGCTTTTCGCGGTCACTCGGCGATAGAGGTTGGCCATGCTGGTTCGTATTGGTGTGGAATGCTTGCGCTTGTCGAAGTCCGACCATCTTTTCGCTTGGACCTTTCTACTTTGTTTCGCGTCTTGATTCAGATATCGCGAGGCAACGAGGGACTGAGGTGTCTTGTAGAGATTTCCGTCGGAGGTGTGCCCAGTTCTCACCAACGAGCGAGCATGTTTTGAAGAGCTGAGGCAGGGCACATGTAATGTTTCGCTTTCCAAGAAAGATGATGTCGGTCGGCGTGGCTGCAGATCCGCGCCACAAATGCCACGCGCTTGCCTGCTTGACTTGCCATACGAACTTCTAAATCGAGCATGTCTTGGCTACATACACAAAGGACAACTCATCAGTGAGCGCCTACACTCAGAGCACGAACGCTAAGCGCGATCTGTAACTCAGTCTGGAATGACTACAGAGGAGATCGCTCCTACTCGATGTTGCGATTCGAATGTTCAGACGGGATTTATTGCTGCCGAACCTCCATCACTCGTCTCGAAGGCACGCAGTCCCGAACATGACTCACAGAAGCTCAATACCAACCAATGTTTATCAAGCAGATCAGTCGCAGGAAAATTGTTCGTTGCGAGATTTCCTGCAGATCCTAGTTGCTTTCCATGACAAGGATAAATCCATATCGCTTCATTGGTCATTTGCTCTCCCATATCTGGGCGAGCGATCTTAATGAAGCATCCGGAGTGGAGCCTTGGGCCTCCAGGCGTCTATGTTGGTAATACCATGCAGGATGCCGTTCTGTGAAGAGTATCCCTTTCGATCGTCGACCGCACATGCTCGAGCTTAGCCATGAGCCTCATCAGGTCGAGCCCATAATGCACCTTGCGGAGTCTTTTCAGCCCAGTCTCTCGGGACTAGTAGTCTAATACCGACTTGATCGTGTCATAAATGCGTGTGACATCCGGTATGTTGAACCTCTCGTAACCAAGACCAGGATGAGTAGACCAGCCCGCGACTCTCTGCACCGGCGCTTCCAGCCTCAAAAAGCACTTGTCCTGTATCGTAGCGGCGACCTCTGCGCCGACTCCAGCATTCACCATACTCTCATGGACGACAATGGCGCGACCGGTCTTGTTGACTGACTTGCTGACTGCTTCGCGATCCCAAGGATAGACGGTTCGAAGATCAATCAGCTCAATCGAGCATTTCAAATCCTTCTCCGCGGCCGTGATTGCGGATTGGCAGGTATATAGAGGTGTTCCATAAGATATGATGGTAACATCCTTCCCCTCCTTAAGTATTTCTGCCTTGCTCAGAGGCAGAGTATATGCTTCTGATGGCACATGTTCAACGGCGGCACGATACAGTATCTTCGGCTCCATGAATATGACTGGATCCGGACTCTCGATGGAGGCGAGTAATAATCCTTTTGCTTGCACCGGACTTCTGGGTATCACAACCCTCATACCTGGTACATGAGTGAACAGACTTTCTGGACTTTGAGAGTGGTACAATGCGCCATGTCCAACACCACCAGCTGGCATTCTGATCACCATGCCCCCGCAATCCATTCCGGCATTGCTCCCAGCTCGATATCGTATTTTCGCGGCCTCGTTAACAATCTGGTCGAATGCTGGGAAAACATAGTCGGCGAACTGAATCTCGGCAATGGGTCGCATGCCCTCAACAGCAGCTCCAATGGCAAAGCCCACGATTCCTTGCTCTGAAAGAGGAGTATTGAAGACACGAGCTTCACCAAATTCAGACGCTAAATTCATGGAGCAGCGGAATACTCCACCGAAAGCGACATCTTCTCCAAAAAGGAGCACACGATCGTCAGAACGTAAAGCATGAGCCATTGCAGCGTTGATGGCCGAGAAAAGATTGATGCGTGATGTTGTGCCATTTTTGGCTTCTTGTGAAAGTTCAGGGTTTGCGAGTGCTGCCTTCGAAGTATGGCTCAGTAGAGGTGTTGTTCCATAATCGGTTGGTATGTTCAGCCGTGCATTTGCCGGATGTGAAGCGTACGTCCTTCTGCTGCTGGACTGTACTGAGCGCGCAATGCGAGCAGCTGTGCTACTCAAAGGTCGGGCCATGGCTGGTCGATCCCTCGCCGATGGCTGTCGAACAATGAACGAGCATTTGCACCAGGTCAGAAGGGAGGTGTTTTTCAACCGGTTAGAATCGGCTTACCGGCTCCGCATTCTTTCACGTAGATCCAACGCGGAGCCCCGTGACAACCTTGCTTTCGAAGTGCACCAACTTCTCTACAGTGCTTTCTCTATGCTGTTGCAGAATGGTGCATTGGAAGGGCAGCTATCGGCGTCTGAGACCAGCTGCTGGCAATTTGTCGTCTCTGGCACGCTTCGAACTCGAGCCAAAGCTTACCTCCTGATGTGCAGAAGTCCTTGCAGTAACCCTCAAAGCATTATCATGGAACAGAGCGGCCTCATCATGCATAGATACCTTCCGAGCCAGGAACTCTCAAACAGCACGCGGGCTTGAATTTAGTTGCGACGACAGATGCGAATCGAGGTCCAATCGTGGCATGTAGAGTTCGAATATGCCGGCAACAACGTAGACAATGTGAGAGAGAATCGGTCAGATGAGCGTGAGCATGGTGTGTGTATAATAACACAACGGCGCGCCAAGTAGTGCGGCTTTTGCATCTCGAGCAAATTGGACGCCTGGTCGTCGATGGAGCAGCAGAAGATCGAAGTCGACGTACAGACTCGATTGGGCAATCGCGCATGGACCTTTCTTGGCGAGAGAGGTCCTTGCCTTCCTGTCCTGTATCTGATGGCTCTAGAGCGACACTTTCTTTCCATCTCCGCCACAACACCCTCTCCTCCATCTCCCCTCACACGGCCCTGATACAAATCGGCCTCACACATTGTATTAGCGCATCTGCATACCGTTCTCACGCCGTGCGCAGCCCTCCTTTCGCTCCCCAGAACACCCGAAGCCGCATTCCAGAAAGTTTAGTACCACGAGTCCATATGGCAGTAAGTGCACAGCTCCATTCGCACACTTGTTCAGTACACGGATAGTGAGCAGAACACACGCTGACGCTAACATCGATACAGCAACCACCATCGCAGCCACGCGCCTACTCGCAAGCATACCTACCCAACGGCGCGCCGCAACCCAGTGGACCAGTCCCGGGAGCTCGTCCACTCGATCCAAACCAGGGTCGCGTGCAGCAAATTGGCCATGCGCGCGTACTCTGTATAGCAGACGTCAGAGGTGAGGCAGCACCAGCCTCTACACGCTCGAGCAGCGAGAGCAGACGTGACGGTATTGCTGACACGTGCACACCTAGGCAACCTTCGCCAACTGAATGATCTCGCGCGCAATGCGAAGGCCCACTACATTATCCACACTGGCGACTTCGGTTTCTACGACGACTCGTCTCTCGACCGTATCGCAGAGAAGTATGTATCGAGAGAGAGAGCTGCGGCCCTACGAATCATGTAAGCAAGTTGGACTGGCACTGACAAGCTTTACCAGGACTCTCAAGCATGTCGCCCAATACTCACCCCTTCTCTCCGAGCCTATCAAGGCAGACATTGCTCGTGCATCGCCACAGCAATCCGTGAAGGAGCGTTTCCAGCGCGAACAGCTTCCTCTCTCCGAGCTCCCGCAATTCCTCAACAACACCTACCGCCTCGACGTCCCCGTGTTCACAGTTTGGGGTGCATGCGAAGATGTGCAGGTGCTGGAAAAGCTGCGGTCGGGAGAATACAAGATTAACAACCTCAACGTGATCGACGAGTCACACTCGAGACTGCTTGATGTCGGTGGGGTCAAGCTGCGTCTCCTTGGTCTAGGAGGCGCCGTAGTCATGCACAAGCTATTCGACAATGGTGAAGGCCGGACGACCATTGCTGGAGGTCAGGGCACCATGTGGACTACGCTGCTGCAGATGGGCGAGCTCATCGACACTGCCAACCGAGTGTATGACCCCACCGAGACAAGAATACTGGTTACACACGCATCACCCGCTCGTGAAGGTCTGCTCAACCAGCTTTCCGTCACACTGAAAGCAGACTTCTCGATATCTGCCGGTCTTCACTTCCGATACGGCAGCTCATACAACGAGTTCTCCGTCAACCCGTCCCTGGACCATTACCGCGGGAAATTATCTGCATCGAAGGCTTCCTTCACTGATGTCTGGGAAACGGTTAAGCATGAGGTTGAACCAGCTGTACTCGAGAATGAGTCGCAAAATAAGCTTCTCCAGCTGGCCCTCGAGCTGGTTGGCAAGATGCCGAGTGTGGCCAGCGGCGGCAATCCCTTCGGCGGTGGTCCACCAGGTGGCGCCGTGGACGAGTCTGCCTTCAAGAACATGTGGAACTTCAACTTGGCAGATGCAGCATTTGGTTGGCTGCTACTGGACATCGACCAAGGTCGCATTGGCACCGAGATGCGCGCTCAGGGCTTTAACTTCTCGCATCGATCGGGCAAGCAACAGCGACCACAAGGTGGCGCTCCAGCACCAGTCAATGCTTCAATGGCTCCCACAGGTGGCAGCCTGCCAACTCCTGGCCAGCAGCCACCACCACTAGCTCAGCAGCAGACGCGCCTTCCACAACAAGGCCCTCCTCAGTCCCAACAGCAGACTCCACTACCACCACATCAGCGAGCTCACCAGCCGCTAGCGCCGCAGCCTACGCAATCGCCAGCTGCAGCACCAAAAGCAGTCACCCCACAGGCACCCACGAATGGAACTTCTGCTCCTGCCACGAATGTGCCGCACACGAACGGCACCGCTGCTGCTGAAACATCAAAGCCAGATACACCAGTGCAGCCGAAGCAGGCTAGCTCCCAGCAGCCAGTACAGCAGCAAGAGCCATCGAAGGGGATATTCATCCAAGCAAACCACGTTAGTACCGTTGAAGAAGTGAAGTCTCAGCTGTTCTTGCCAGAGGATGCAGAAAAGATTACAAGCATCGACAAAGCAGGTCAGGGACGATGGGTTGCTCACTTCGCCTCTCCAGAGATTATGCAAGAAGTGTTGAAGCGCAACCCAGCCAAGGAAGTGCAAGACAAGAACAAGGCATTGCGCATGGCCCCCTACCGACCACATCCCCGCGGCAACTTTGGCGGTGGCTGGGGCAGTAGCCGGGGAGGCCCGAGCCAGCGTGGAGGCGGCGAGGGCAGAGCCGGCTATCAGTCTGCAGGAGGCGCCACTACTGGCAGTGACAGTGAGTCTGGCCGTGGTGGCCGTGGTGGTCGCGGTCGTGGAGGTTTCCGCGGAGATCGTGGAGGCCGTGGCCGAGGCCGTGGCGGCGAGCGCGGCGGCAAGGCTGAAGGGGCAGCTGGCGGCGACTCTTAGATGGAACCGACCACGCCTGCTGATGATGGCTCCAAGCCCAGTCGTAGCGACAGCCCGATGTGCAAGACCAACGACTCGGTAAAGCCAGAAATCAATGGCTCCAAAGGAGCAACCAAGCAACATCGCCAACCCTATTGGAAGCGGTACAAATCGAACAAGAAGACAGCCGTTGGAGGCAGCAACAAGTGAAGCGGCGTGAACTTAGCTCGCAGACCGTCGCACGAGCCACCAAGCGGGCAACCTCTGTAAAGCTCTTGCTATTTCTGGAGAATGGGACGATGGCGCTGCCGGAACGCAGCATTGTTGTGCTTTGATATACCACCCAGCCTACTTGCATTTTACTAGCGGGCAAGCGAAGTTAGTTCTCTTTTGTAAAAGTAGTAGGTGCAACAGAGCGCGAATGGAAGGCAAGGCGGCGATGGAAAGGTAGAGCTATGGCACACGCGGCCATGCTGCGCAGTGTGTATGCCGGATCAAATCAAACTTGATACCCCCAAAATGCAGTATAGTGTTTCTGTATACCGCCCACGTGATGTCCCAGCCAGGATGTGGCGATGACGTTGTCGTTGTGGCAGGAGTGCCGTCGTTCGCGCGGCGACCGACCAGTTGTGCTGTCACGTCTGCTAGCAGTTGCTATCTTCGGTTTCTAATATCATCCTCAAGGATATTGACCTACGCCTGCATCACAAGATACGATCAGCCCTGTTTGCAACGAACTACACCATTGTATCGGGTCTTGAGCTATACCGTCGACGCATGTTAAGCAACGAGTGAGGCAGCACAGTGGAGTGCGGAGCGGGAGTGGCGACAGGAGAATGATACTCAGACGCGCAGCGGCATGGCTTTCGCTCGCTGCAGCTACTGCCAGCGCTCCAGCGAGCGGTCCTGACTGGACGGCAAAACATGAGAAAGGCCGATGCGCCCTGCGAGGCAATTGTGGCAAGCAGGGCTTCTTTGGCAGCGAGCTGCCATGTCCAGATAATGGTCTGGCAGAAGAGCCGGAAGAGAAGCTACGGGATAAGCTGGTGTCTCTATGCGGAGACGAATGGAAAGACACCAATGTGTGCTGTCGAGAGGAGCAGCTGGATACCTTGAAGAGCAACCTGGACAAGGCCAACAGCATACTGTCATCCTGTGGAGCTTGCAAGAAGAACTTTTATGATCTTTTCTGCACCTTCACCTGCTCTCCGGATCAATCAGTCTTTGTCAATGTCACAGACACCGCTGCGAAAGGAGACAAGTTCCTAGTCACCGAAGTGGACCAGCTAATCAGCGATAAGTATGGAGAGGGCTTTTACGACAGTTGCAAGGAGGTGAAATTCGGAGCTACTGGTGGCAAAGCGATGGACTTCATTGGAGGTGGCGCGAAGAACTACACCCAGATGTTGAAATACCAGGGCGACAAGAAGCCCTTCCTCGGAAGCCCATTTCAGATCAACTTTCCTCGACCAAGCGAAGGCTTTCCTGGAATGGACACTATCCTGGATACTCCCATACCTTGCAACACCACGGACGAGCAATACAGATGTGCATGCGTAGACTGCCCCGGATCGTGCCCAGAACTACCAGAAGTGACATCAACAGAAGAGTGTCACGTTGGTCTGATGCCTTGTCTAAGCTTCGCTGTCGTCCTTATCTATTCGGTGTTTGTGGTTCTGCTGGTCCTTGCCATCTCTGGTCACGTCGCTGCCGCAAAGCGAAGGAGAAGCAAGAACGAACAACTACAATTATTGCAAGATGATTCACCGAGTGACGATGAAGATGAAGGGGATATGGTGCACAGTGCTGGGATGCTGGACAGACCAACCAAGCAGTACGCCGTCAACACCTACTGCGACCGCATCTTCAGCCACCTCGGACGCGTCTGCGCACAGTTCCCGGCCATTACCATCTCGACATCTGTTGTTATTGTTGGACTACTATGCATTGGATGGGCAAGGTTTGATGTCGAGACCGATCCAGTCAAGCTATGGGTTGCTCCAGACTCGAACGCGGCGATCGAAAAGCAATTCTTCGATGATCACTTTGGCCCATTCTTCCGCGCCGAGCAGGCTTTCCTCGTCAACGACCAGCACCCTGAAGGAAATGGCCCAGTTCTAAGCTACAATACTCTCGCCTGGTGGTTCGACGTTGAACGACGGATTCGAGTCCAGAAGAGTCTGGGCAGTGGCTACACATTGAAAGATGTGTGCTATAATCCGACTGGCGATGCCTGTGTCGTGCAATCTATCTCCGGTTGGTTCGCGCAGTCTGCACTTGATCCTTCCACCTGGGACGAGCAGGTCAAGAAGTGCGCAGGCTCCCCTGGTGATCCCGAGTGTCTGCCAGAATTCAAGCTCCCGTTGTCATCTGAAAGAGTACTTGGAGGCTACAACCGCACGTCGGAGCCTGCTACGAATGCCTCTGCGCTCATCACTACCTGGGTCGTACAAAACTTCAATCCAGGTGATCCTAACCTTAAAAAGGCGGAGGAATGGGAAGAAAGCATGAAGCGTCTTCTCAAGGACCTTCAAGGCGAAGCAAGAGAGCGTGGGCTTCGGCTGAGCTTCAATACCGAAATCTCCCTTGAGCAAGAGTTGAACAAGAACACCAATACCGATGCCAAGATTGTCGTCATCAGCTACATCGTGATGTTCATCTACGCCTCGCTGGCGCTTGGAAGCACGACAGTCACGTTGGGCACCATTCTCCGGAATCCTCTCGGAGCTCTAGTCCAAAGCAAGTTCATGCTAGGCATTGTGGGCATCTTGATCGTTCTGTTGTCTGTAGCTGCATCCGTTGGACTGTTTGCGGCTGCTGGTGTGAAAGCAACATTGATCATTGCTGAAGTCATACCTTTCCTGGTATTGGCTGTCGGCGTTGACAATATCTTCCTCATTGTACATGAGTTCGAGAGAGTCAACATCAGTCATGCCGACGAGACCGTTGCTGACCGTGTTGCAAGAGCGCTGGGGCGGATGGGGCCCTCCATTCTGCTTTCAGCATCAACAGAGACGGTGGCGTTCGCGCTCGGCGCTGCAGTGGGCATGCCAGCCGTTCGCAACTTTGCTGCATATGCTGCAGGTGCAGTGTTCATCAACGCTGTGCTGCAGGTGACAATGTTCGTCTCGATACTGGCCTTGAACCAGCAGAGGGTTGAGGATGGGCGACTAGACTGCGTTCCTTGCCTGAAGGTTCAGCGCACGCGAGGCAACTATATGCCAAATGGGTATGGTGGTGCACCTTTCAGCGCCATCGACGAAGAAGGATCACTGGAAAGATTCATCAGAAAGCATTATGCTCCAACCATCCTCGGCAACAAGACCAGGGTTGCCATCATCACAGTGTTCCTTGGGCTGTTTGCTGCAGGAGTCGCACTCCTACCTGAAGTGCCCTTGGGCCTTGATCAACGCATTGCAATTCCTCAGGACAGCTATCTTATCGACTATTTCAACGACCTGGACGCTTACTTTGAGCAAGGTGTTCCAGTCTACTTTGTGGTCAAGGATCTGAATGTGACGGCACGGAGCCACCAGCAAGATCTCTGTGCGCGCTACACGACATGCAACACTTTCTCGCTTGCCAACATCCTCGAGCAAGAGCGCAAACGACCCGAGGTCTCCTACATCAACGATGCCACCGCTAGCTGGGTCGATGATTTCTTCCAATGGCTGAACCCAGACGCTGGTGAGTGTTGCATTGATGGCTCCAAAGCTTGCTTCGCAGACCGGGAGCCACCTTGGAACAACCAACTACGCGGCTTCCCCGAGGGCGAAGAGTTTGTTTCGTATGCCAAGCGATGGCTAGTTGCGCCTACTGGGGAAGAATGCCCTTATGCCGGCAAGGCTCCATACAGCGATGCAGTCGTCATTGACGAAAAGAAATTGAATGTGCCTGCCAGCCACTTCAGGACAGCGCACACGACGCTCAGAAGCCAGGACGACTTCATCAATGCCTACGCTTCTGCCAGAAGAATAGCGAAAGACATCAGTGATCGGAACCAGATAGATGTCTTCCCTTACAGTAAATTCTACATCTTCTTCGACCAGTACGCGTCGATTGTGCATTTGTCTACGGCCTTGGTCGGAGCTGCTCTGGCATTCATCCTGGTCATCTCCAGCTTACTCCTTGGCTCGATCCAAACAGCCATTGTCGTCACCATCACTGTCATCATGATCGTGGTCGACATTGTAGGGACCATGGCTATAGCTGGTGTGTCCTTGAATGCCGTCAGCCTGGTGAACATCATTATTTGCGTCGGCATTGGCGTGGAGTTCTGCGCCCACATTGCCCGCGCCTTCACCATTCCATCGGCTTCGATTCTAGAGCGCGCACAGAACAGGTTCCGTGGCAAGGACGCTCGCGCTTGGGCAGCACTGGTGAATGTAGGCGGTAGCGTCTTCAGTGGCATAACGATCACGAAACTCCTGGGCGTATTCGTGCTAGCATTCACGCGAAGCAAAATCTTTGAGATATACTATTTCAGGGTTTGGCTGGCACTCGTGCTCTGGGCAGCATTGCATGCCTTGGTGTTCTTGCCTGTGGCCCTGAGTTTGTTTGGTGGCAGAGGTGAGTTTCTGTCGGCCTCGAGCCTTGCAAAAGACGGCTTGCTAATTTCTCATCTTCTAGGCTACATCGACCCTGAAAGCGATGGTGGGCTGGAGCAAGATCTCGCTTCCAGACGGTACCGTGCTCTATTACCCGACGAGGAATATGATAGCGAAGACTATTAGTACGGGGACATGATTCGAGGCATTTCCCCAAAGAGAACAATCTACGATATAGAAGACATTGTTGCAAACATTATTGATGATGATGACGACCAGCAAAGCGTAACTCACGCATCATTAACAGAGAGTCGAGCCTTCGCATATGACGGTGGCGCTGCGAGTTCTTGCTAGGCATCCTGGCTTGGATGACATGAGCTCGCCGGTTCCTCGACGACAGAGCGCGCTGTATATTTAGCACAGTTTGGGATGGCGTGTCCTCCTTGTATCCATGTGTGGTTGCAACCGGGGTGGTCAAAGCGGGAAAATGACTTCTGATGCTGACAGGCGAGCCGCGAGAGGGGTTCATACTCGTCTCGTGGGCAAGAGCGAGGCGAGGCGAGGCGAAAATCGCTTGCAATCGACGCGTGAGATTTTGAAAATAATGCAGGCCTGACGAGCAGTGTTTCATCCACTGCCGCTCATGACAGCTCGAAGCGCTGGTGTCCGTGCCCCATTATTCTAATTAGGGAATTGCGAATGCGAAGTAGCTCCCTTGGTTCTGTTGCGGATGCTTGCACCAGCTGAACTGATGAATGCTGCCATGCAATGCTCCTCGTTCTGGGAAGCAGCATTTGTGTCCCACATCAACAACATCATCAGCTGGAGAGCAAACGGATGATCAACAACACGACACGACAAAAAGCATGTGTGTGTGGCGGCTACAGTAGCTGCATGCAGGTACATACATACAGCGCAGAGAGTTCTACCACCGTATGCACTCCTGATGACTAGACAACTACTGTACGGCATGAGTAGAGAACTATGATAATAATAACAGAACTATCAAAAGTCTGACTCCTGAATGAATAATGAAAAGAATACTGGATCGGCTTCGGCAAATAAATACAACGCCGCAGGAAAAGAGTGCGATGACAAACGGTCTCGGCTTGGCGGGTGGACTTGTGTGTGTGTGTGTGTGTGTGTGTGTGTGTGCTACGAAGCGGCATCAGCGTACAGCACGAGTGGCACCACGTATTACAATTACACAGCAGCAGCAGCAGCAGCAGTCGTCTGTCGTTTGTGGCTGGCAGAACACGAAGAGGACCCTGGTCGTACCGATGTTCAACGACTCGGCTGCGCTGCTGTGGCTCCTGTCGTGAGGTGTGAGGTACGATCAGAGCTGGTTGGGTTTCAGCGAAGAAGAGCATGAGAGTGGCACAGATTGCGTAGTTGGTGAATGATCAGGTGGCTGATATCTAGTGAAGGTGTGCAAAACAGCCTCTGTCGGGCTCCTTTTCCGGTTTCCTTTTACCAAACTCCCTGGTCATAGCCATGAAAAGGCATTTCGCGTACATGACTGTCAAGTAGTGGACTGGCGCACTGAGCCAATTAAGTCCTCGCCTGATGATTCCCACCTCGTAAAATCGCTTCTTCTCGAAACATGCTGCAACAAACAAGAAGACTCGGAGAAATATGTGCAAGGAAGTCGTAGAAGCCTCTTAGCTTCTTCTCAGATAGAGAGTGGCCCACCCGAGTATTCTGTAGCCGCAAATGATGCCGATCATGATGCCGACCCATTTTCCGGTCTCGCCCGTTTTGTAGCCATAGTTCTTGAGCACACCAGTGCCGGCAATGAGACACTGGTCTGCGAGCTCCGTCTCGTACATGCATGAGCATTGGCCCGCCGAGTTCTGGCCGCACGTGAAGTTTCGTTGGCCGAACTCATTGACCATCATACCCTGGAAGACGTAGGATTGGTAGTCAATGTAGTGGAAGACGTAGCGCCAAAATGGGTTGAGCGTCTGTGGTGGCACGAGGAATCCACCTGTGCACATCCAGAGGCCATTGGCAAACGCTGTTCCGGCGAGAGCAACGACGAAAATGGGGATGAGAGAGCTGATGAGCACGACCAAAGATTCGGCGGCAATGAGATCCAGGAAGAGCCACATGACCCAGGTGAAGAAGGCCTGCGCAGTCGGTCGGAAGTTAGACAACCAATAGGCGACGATCGAGAACAGCATGGCGATCAAGAACAGGTAAGGAATACCAGTCACGAAATTGGCCAAGAGAAAGGAACTGGGACCGTAGAGACCGTTGGCGCGCTCCTTGATGAACAGTGCACGATCCTCCAAGAAAGCCGGGATGTAAGCAACAGCCATGAACGACATGAAAGCGCCACCAAAGAAGATGGCGTTGATGAAGGACTGGATGTTGCCCTGATCTGGGTTCAGACGCAGCCAGACGGTACCCATCATGACTGCCAGACCCATGTACATGGCAATCCGAATGCCGTACGCGATGATATCGCGATACGACTTGATGAATGATCGATGGATCAAAGCCAATGGGATGGCGAGTGGGCCGGCGCTCTCCTCCTTGGTCTCTGCGTTGATATCGGTGTCCATGGAATTGCGAGCCATTTCATCAGTCAGCTCGGTTACAGTTGCTGTGGCGAGTCGAGATTTGTGCCAGGATGAGTGCACCATGTTAAGTTGCTGGTCAACCTCGCTTCGATCCCTCGCAAAGTCAGTGTTGACGAAATCGATGATAAACTCTGCCGGGTTCATGTAGAGCGGGATGGGAAAGCCGCAGGCATCAAAGTATGGCTGCACTTCAGATACCGGGCCGGAGTAGGCTGTGCCTCCTTGCGAGAGTAACAACAGCTTGTCGAACATTGCAAATGTCGAGGTTGAAGGCTGATGTATGGAGGCAATCACGATCAACTATGGGCAGTCAGCACATGGTGGCGGTCCGGGCATGCACGGGACTCACGTTGTGTTTCTTGGCGATGTCCTTGACGAAGGAAATGACTTCAAAAGAAGCAGCCGAGTCCAGACCCGAGGTGGGCTCATCCAAGAAGAGAAGTTTCGGGCTGGTGATGAGCTGGGCGGCAACAGAGACACGACGCTTCTGACCACCAGAAATACCCTTCCTAATCGGTGTTCCAATGAGGTTGTTGGCTTGTCCTTGCAAGCCAAAGGCAGTCAGCAGTGCTTCGATGCGTTGGATGCGCTCGAGCTTGCTGACGGTCTTTGGCAGCGACAGACGCGCCGCAAAGTTGAGGGTTTCTCTGACCGTGAGAGATCCGACCAGGGCATCTTCTTGCTCGACGTAGGCGGAAATTCGACGGAAGGTTTTCGGGTTTGCTGCTGAGCCGTTGATGTAGATTGCAGCCTTGACGTTGGCGGCCAGGGAGTGTGTGCGGTGAGCCAGGACGTTCATGAGGGTTGATTTACCCGAACCGCTGGTGGACTGTCAGTGAAGGATTCTTGGTGCAGGGGTTTCGGCACTTACGAAGGTCCCATCAGGGCGAGCAGCTCTCCGGCCTTGACGATGCCATTGATGTCGGACAGAATGGTCTTGGGCTGCTGCGACTGGCGGTCCTTGACGGTGACTGAGACTCCCTTCCAGCCAAAGCTGCGAATATTGGTGTTGGTGAGCTGGGCGTAGTCGCCGCCGATCATCTTTTCGATGTCGGACATTTTGGCGTAGCTGCTGCGATGTGGGATCGCAGAATGGTTGGCGTGGGCCAGATTGAAGTTGGAAGTGGGGAGTCGCGCGGCAAAGGCTCGTAGGACGGCGGGTGGACTTCACCTGTTGGGCCGATGAAGTAGCACGTCGGACGCGTGAGAGCGTTGGACGACGGTCACGCAGCGAAAGTCGGCGGTCAGGCACAGACAACGGTTAGGGTGATTTGTCGAGCAGCGAGTGTGATGAAGTCAAGAGTAGTGGAGCGGCAACGACGTCGTGCGTGCCAGGCCAAAGACGCTCCGGTGCGTGTCGAAGAGTGAGCGGGCGAGCGACAGACGGTGGACGGGACGGTGAGTTGATGAGCAGGCAGGAGAGAAGAGAGTGACCAGGGCGTGGGCCGTGGCGTTGGCGTTGGCGTAGGCGTAGGCGTAGGCGTGGGCAGCCGGCAGCGGGAGATGATAATATCGATGCACGGAAGGAGCTCACGGGCGTGGTGGACGGCGGGGCCAGAGGGTGGTTTTGAAGCAGGAAGGAGAGACACACTCACGCACACCGAAACAGCAGGAGGGCGAAGGAGGAATCGGCCGACGAGACGAGACGACACGACACGACGCGCCGTCTGCTGCACCCGATCCGACCCAAATGGTGCCGGCGCGGCCATGGCTGCACCTGCACCAACACCCGCCAGCGAGACGAGACCCGTCGTCAAGTCGCACAGCGCGGGTCGAGATCAGGCGTCGCGCATCGCATCGCATCGCATCGCATCTCACATGTGGGCGACAAGTCGACAAGCGCGCCGTCCCTCTCAACCCTGCCTGCCCACCGCAAGCTTCCCTTCCACGCCCGCGCATTAGCTCCGTTTCATGCTTTGGTTCCTGCCCACTAAGCCCGTCCAGGCGCAGGTCTTGGCAGGTACGACGGGGCTCGAGAACTCAATTCGGACGCCAGACGCCAGACGCCAGACGCCACTGCCTACTGACTTGGCAGAACAAGATGCGCGTCGTCGCCAGGAGGTGGAGCTGGCCAGCACTGCCGCCTCTCGAAACATTGCTCGTCTCTCCAGACCGCCCATGCTGGCCATACCATCGTCATCACACGCAATATGAGGCCATGCGCGTGTCCGGCCTGTCAATGACGCCAGCCAGCAATCCCACGGCAACACGCACATGCGTCTCCACCGCCGCCCGCCCGCCCGCCTGCTGAGCCAGCAGGGAGAGCAACGCCCGACGACCGAGTTCGAGTTGACACGCCGTCGTGACGCTGGCTCATTTGCACGCCACCCACCCACACTCGCTCCGCCGCCCATCCGATCCGACCGCTCTCGAAGGCCCTGTGCCGATCGCCCTGTTTCATCCATGGGAGATTACCTTGCCGACGCGCGAGAGAAGGACTAGTTCTAATCCGCGGCCCTCCTGGTGGCTCAGCCGCTATGTACAGTATAGTGTGCAGCGCCGATAGAGTTAGCCTCGCCTCGCATCTTGTTCGTGGGCCAAGCAAGCCTTTGCCCTTCACGCTGCCGTTCGGGCATTATTTCATGATGCATGCACGCACAGAGAGGCGACGCTTACGGCTTGCATGTGCCTGCATCAAATCCCATCATCATGCTTTTGCTGTTGCACTCCTGACACTTTAGTGCATAGCCGTTGCAGATCAGTAGCCATGACAAACGCTCCTCACGATTGGACCACATAGCGCCGGCCAGCGACGTGATTGAGAAGACGCAAGACCCCTTTCCCGCCTGGGAACAGACAGCTCCAGCCGTCTACAGGCTTTCTTGCCGCCTTTGGTTGCTTGCTACATTTGTGACATGTGCGAGGCCTGCCCTGCCCAGTCGCGATGCGGATGCGCAACCATCCATGCCAGTGCATGCGGTGCTGCACAGGGGAAGGAAAGGCATTGCATGACTAGTCTGCTGCCGCCGCCGACTGCCGGGATACCTTGGGAATAATGCGGCTAAGCTTTCGATTGATGTATTCGCGTTTCGTGGTTGCGGGAAAGAGTGTGGCGCTCATCGAGCATGCCGGCTGCGAATCACTCCAAGATTCCCCAGGCCGCGGCTCACGGTGCAGGGGAAGCGCGGGTCTCCTGTAGTCAGGCGGGCATCTTGGAAACATCGTCTCTGGCCTGGGTGTGCTCATCAGGACAGTGGCTGCGAGCCTAAGCAGTTCTTAGTCAAACGCCGTCGACCGTCGCCAAGCTAAGCTTCCCAAAATGGATCCAGCGTGCACGGGCGCTGTCCGTTGGCGAGGACCGACATGCCAGAGTGCTCGTCGCCCAATTGGTCCACGGCCTCACACAGATATCTGACAGTACTGTACGTCTGCAGTGTTGCTCTGGCCCATGGCCTGCCCTGCCCTGCCCTGCCCTGCCCTGCCCGGTCCACTGATGTACCCCAGCACCTCGTCTGCATCTTACGCATCCACCCTCGTTCAATCCACATTCTCCATCTGCCTGCGTCAAACACCTTGCGGCGGCGTCACTACCTGCTTACTGCTGCACTGACCCCCCATCCGCCACTTGGACGGTGGTCCTTCACTTGTCGCTGGATGATGCATTTGCAGTAATCCCGTCGCTCTCAAGAACCCGCGTTGCATTGGAAATGGGATACACGGCAATGGATATACCGCCTCACCTCTTGGACGCCGTACAAGCAAACGATGCATCTTCACAACCACATCTCGATACCGACGGCTCCACGTCGCCGCAGAAGTCCCCTCTGACTCCCATCTTCCACGACAGTCTTTACCACCCGCACTCTTCGGCAGAGGACTTGTCGACCACGAGCGATTCTGGAAATGAACGCGACTATCAAACCGACTTCACCACACCGGAATCATCCGAGTCGTGCGCCGACGACATGCAGCCCGACGATGTTGAGGACTTCAGAGATCGCGAATATCCACAGCTGAAAGGCAAGACGTACTTGGATCACGGAGGCACAACAGTATGTCGAGTCTTCCGAATTCGCCTGTTGCATCTTGACCTCCCGCTAACCTTCCGGCAGCTCTACGCAAAGTCCTTGGTCGAAGAATTCTCCGCCGATCTGATATCGAACCTCTATGGCAATCCTCATTCGGCATCTACACCTTCTGCCATCGCTGGTCACCGCGTCGACACCGTTCGGGAACGTGCACTACGTTTCTTCAACGCCGATCCCGAGGACTTCGATCTTGTGTTCGTCGCCAATGCTACGGCAGCGATAAAGCTCGTGATCGATTGCTTCAAAGACCACGCTTCCGCGTCCAACACTCCAGTGTGGTACGGGTACCACCGCGATGCACACACGTCGCTAGTGGGAGTACGAGAGTCGACCAAGATGCATCGCTGTTTCACCAGCGACGAGGAAGTGGACATTTGGATTAACAGTGGCGGCTTAGGAGGTCCTCGGGCGAGACAGCTGGGTTTGTTTGCATACCCGGGACAGTCGAACATGACTGGAAGGCGACTTCCTTTGAGCTGGTGCGTTCATATGCGGTATGTCTCACATCGCAAGCCACTGCTAACTGTTACACAGGCCCGGACGCATCCGCAAATCGTTCCACAAGGCCGCAACCTACACACTCCTGGACGCTGCGGCGCTCGCCAGTACTGCACCGCTCGACTTGACTGACCCTGCGACAGCACCTGACTTCGTCGCCCTCTCCTTCTACAAGATTTTTGGATTTCCCAATATTGGCGCCCTCATCGTGCGCAAGGATTCCGCTCATGTGCTCGAAAGCCGAAGATACTTCGGCGGTGGCACAGTCGAGATGGTGGTGTCCATTAACGACACATGGCACGCTAAGAAGGACACATCGATACACGACAGATTAGAGGATGGAACCCTGCCATTTCATTCGATTTTTGCTCTCGACCACGCCATGAACGTTCACGAACGACTATACGGACCCAACCCGATGAAATTCATTTCTCATCATACCGCTCAACTCGGACGACGATTATTCGAAGGCCTTTCCGCGCTCAAGCACGCAAACGGATTACCTCTCGCTCGCATCTACAAGGACGACAACGCCATATATGGCGATCCTTCCGTGCAAGGTGCCACCATTGCGTTCAACGTGCAAAGGGCCGATGGTAACCTGGTCGGCTTTGAAGATGTCGAGGAAGCCGCCGATGAGAGGAACATATTCGTGCGGAGCGGCTCCTTGTGCAATCCTGGTGGCGTTGCAACGTACCTCCACTGGTCATCGACAGAGATGAAGGCGGCATTCGCTGCAGGCCATAGGTGTACCAACCCAACACAGATTATGCTGGGCAAGCCTACTGGTGTGGTGCGAGTCAGCCTGGGTGCCATGAGCACTGCCTCTGATGTCAATATTCTTCTGAGATTCCTGGAGGAAGTCTACGTGTCGACCGAACAGGCCGAAAGCATTAGCGCAACAGCAAATCCTTCCTTGACCGGAGTGGAGCCCTCGTATCTTGACGCGTCACGTCGACCGCCACCATTATTACCTACACTCGATACATCGCCAAGCCTCGACAGATCCAACACAACACCCAGCACAGCAGCGAGCAGCAGCGCTGACGACATCAAGACGTGGGAAGCCGGCCACTACGCGTTACCAACATCGACGTCACGGCCTCCTTTCGTCCCAGCAGACTACGTGAAAATGCGCAAACCTTGGGAGGAAGAAATGCGCAAGCACACAGCAAACTACGCCATGGAGATCAAAGTACGCGAGCTTGAAGACTCAAGCATGTTCTCCCGCAACAACGGCACGCCTAGTGTCAAAGCACGAAAGTTCGGTCGAAGCGTGGTCAACCTGCTTCGAACGAAGAGCCATGTCCCATCGACAGATCAAAGGTACGGATGAGCACTGAACATTAGCATCACTTGTCGTTGTTGTTGTTCTTCTTCTATCACTGCTCTGGAGATGTTCTGGACCTGACAGTGCGTTCTTCTCAACAGACCTCCTTTGCCTCCAGCTTCTCCACTGCCTCCGGAACCACATCGCCACAATCACGTCGGCGCCGGAATACGATCACGACGCCATAGCCAGGAACGACAAATCCAGAATGTCGTCCAGGCACTGGGAATGTGAAAAATCTTCATCCCTCACCATCAGATGACTAGACCAGGAACATCTTTTTTACTCGGCTTTGACGTTTGGGATTTACTGGACTCGTTTGTTTTTATGCTAGCATGGCGCTACGGCGGCGATTACGGTTCTGATGAGAAGAAGTCTCAGATATTTCTGCTCGGATCTCGTCTTTTATTTACTTGCTATTTTGTGATTTTGGTTGGGACTGATTTGATGATACCAGTGGTTTGGTTTTGGGAAAGCGCCGGGAGGGAGCGAACTCGGGCCAAAGAGGAGACAGATCTTTTACTACCAGTATTGTTTGATGGTACCACCACTACTACTATTATTATTCACTGTTGTTTATACAGGGGGGCAAGAAGAATTGGGTAGGACAAAGACGACGACGACGACACGCCCACACTACAGTCGATGTCCACCAGAAAGGGATAATTGCGCATGGCACGCGTCGATGTGGTTGTACATACAATATGTTTGCTAGGTTCATGAGAGAACGAACGACAAGAACGAAGAAAGAAAAGTCGAAGAAGTAATCTTACTGATGTTTCATCATACCTTTCCTTTCCTCCCCATCCCAGTGCCTGTCACTCAGCCTCCCTCTCGACACTTGCCGCTTGCCGCTTCAGCACGCGCCATCCATCCTCTCATGTTTCAGCCGATTGAGCTGTCAACGCAGCTTGCCGTCTGCACGTATGCGCCGCTTCGACAGCCGTGGCTTCGACGATGACCTCGGTGTGTTGTACAAGGAGGTGAGGTTTATCGGAAGGCGGCCACGAGGTTTGTCATTCATCCATCGACAGACTGACTGACCGATGACAGACTGTCTTTTACTGCTGCTGCAAGTTTCCATTTTGGTTCTGCGCCACCTTTTCTGCACGTCGCCGTTGACAGCTCATTATTACAGTAAGTGTATGTAGGCAGCCCTTTCGATATTTCTTTTCTTGATCCTTGTAATCCACAACGCTTTCTTTCCACGCCGTCTTGATGATGGGAAATTTTATCGGTTGCTGGGAAGGCCAAGCCAAGCCAAGCCAAGCACAGATTTACATACATATGGAGTACATGGGGCATCTTGGGTGCCGAGAGATTTTTTTGATGTGCTGTTTCGCATGCGTCTGCATTAGTCGGTGGATCACTTGTTTTTCACGTCCGCTAGTTAGTATGTCACACAACAAGCGAGGCCGAAGCCAGGGATTGTTTCTATGTACCTTTGCCGTTGGTTATCCTTGTTAGAACTAGTTGAACATCCCCACAAACAAATCGAATGATTCTCCGAGATCCGCGAGCCTGGATTTTGTGCGAGGTTTGCAAACTATCTCCCAAGATCCCTGCACGTTTGCGCCACGATCCACTTGGCAAGGACAAGGACAAGATCGCTCATCAAGATCTCGGATAATCATAATACAACGGATAGTGGTAGATGTGCGAGCAATCTTTATGTTTGTCGATCGCGAGTAATGTTTTTTTTTTTCAATTTCAGTTTCCTTTCCGTTTCAGATCGTATTCCTTCAAATTAGGCAAGTCCCAAGAAAGCCAGGCGCTACCGACCAAGAGTCCACATGAGGAATGCTGAAACACAAGTCTATCTACTGTTGTCCAAGTTTGTACGAAGTAGTCCGTTGGTGTCCGAGATGGGATGTGTCGCTAAAGAACCTCGACCGATCGTTCGTCACCTTTTGGCTTCATGTAAGGGTTGGGCCAGGGACAGCGGGCTTTCCAGGATGACCTGGCCGAGATGTCGCGACCCACCAAAGCGAGAATGGAGATGCTCGTTCGGTGGGAAATATGCTTGCGATGTGATGATCGTAGCTGACTGGCATAGTAGTGCCTATCGATATTATCGGCGTTCAGTCCTGGAATGACTTCGAGTCACAAAGGTGTATCCGAGTTGCATGAACGGGGTTTTATTATATCAAGATCCGCAAAATCGAAAGCCTCAATGTCGTGTTTCTGTAGCTACTGACTAATGCTCTGTAGGCTTCGGGCCATGAGTCGTAGCAGAGAGATCTATTTCTTCATTTGTATACATTAGCCGCTCCCTTCGAATACACGCTAGGTGGAGCTGTTCGAATTAAAGTATGCGAGAGGTCTGCGTTGATAAAGCAGCAGTACTTCTTGCATCATGTTCATGCTGCGTGTAACACCTATCTGTCGTGAGGGCCAGTCATTTAGAGACTTTCAATGTATTCTGCTGTCAGCATTCCTGGATGAACAACAATCCCTATGGGCGACGTCAGACCGATTGCATGGCTCGTTGCCCTTCATTCACTTACCCTCTGTTTGCGCGTCGACAGTCCCGTCGTAGTCATGTCCATTCGTTGGGTGAAGAACAGTGTAATTGGCAAAGCACGCGAATTGGTAGTTCGCGAGCTTCATATTCTCGTACTGGCTTGCGACGAACTTGTCCATCGGGCAAAGTCCGTCACTTCTTCCAGCGCACTGCCCTCCTCGAATGGTCTCGAGGGGAACAATCCCGCTGTTGAGGCGCATCTGCAACTCGTTAGCACATCTACTCTTTTGTGCCCGCTCCAACACATAGTCCAGACTCACCCTGATGAACTTGTAGGTGGCATTGGTTGCCGAGTAACCATACTGGCCAGGGGTGTACGAAACTCGGTGGTCATGTTGAACCACAGGATTCGAATCTGCGCAACCAATCACCTCTGTCACTAGACGTGCTCCGAAAGGCGTCAGGTGGGACAGAACAAAGTGACGGTCCGGCTTGGGAGGATATTGCTCAAGGCTGGGAGGGTCTCTGAAGTAATCAACGGACATCGAAGTCAGAAGCGAGATGATGATATCGTCGTGTGAAAAGTCCGCGTAGAATGGCCGTCCAAGCGGGAAATCTCGTTCGTTGTTCGTTATCGTGCTGTTGACGCTGGAGTTGCTGCTCGTAATGTATTGCTTTGTGAGACGCGCAAGCAGTTCTTGCTGATACCCGAGGCCTTGAGCACGTCCAGTAGGGTTTCCCCAGGCATAGTCATAGTAGTACTCAATGTCGAGCGTCTGCTCAAAGCCTGCCCATTCGTCCTCGGTGAACAATTTACAGAAATCACTTTGGCCTATGTAGGCATTTTCGTAAGCGCAGATGGACTGCATAGCATATGTGTCGTTGACATTGAGTGGAAAGCTTTCTGGTACGTATCGTTGGAGGCGTGCTGTGGCGTGCTTGAGATATTTTGGCACATATTGAAGGAGCAGGTCGTAGTCTCCCTCATAGGCAACGTCATCGAGCAAGTCAGCAAAGCAAGAGTCGTAGCTCGCAAGGGTGTTGTTCTCAGTGCCGCCCTCAGGAATGATCACAACGTCAAACAGTGAGGCATTTGTGAAGGCCTCGAGCGAAGGATCTTGACTAGGGTAGAAAGAAGGGCCAAAGAATCCGAGAGCCCAGTTGATCTGCGAGTTCTCGATACGACTCTGACCAGTTGTTCGAAGAACAGGCTTAGTTCGAGCTGTGCCATTTGTGTAGGAGGCATTGTATTGCAGCTGGCCAACCGTAGCATTGTACAGAATCCGACCATATCGGTTCCAGAACTGAAGACCTGAGGCAAACTCGGTACTGGCGCCAATGCCCGTCAAAAACGACTCGCCAATCGGATAGGTGTAGGTGTTCAAGAATGCTAGCGGTCCACTGAACTTGGCACCTGCGTGAGCCTGGGTGAAGTTATGAACTTTCTGGGCAAAGCGCTCGTCGTTGACGCCATCATCAAAGTAGCTAGTTGGAAATCGCTGGGCATGTCTTTGCAGAGTATGGGCCTGTTCTATCTGGCAGTGGTCTGGTAGTCCTACATCTTTGACACCAAACCCGCGATCGTCATTGTCCTTGTAGGGAGATAATTGGCCTAATGGCCGTCAGCATCTGGGCCTCACTGCGCTCCGCTTTCGAGTGCCAATGCCATACCCCAGGTCCCGTTCTCTCGTCCAAATATCGTGGCCCACTTTTTCTGAATATCTCTGCGCTTGCTTGAGATCTAGTAGGACACAGACCACAACCTCTGCACAGACAGATTTTGTATGTAAAGCCACGACATAGCCAGATATCCTGCACATCGCATTGTCCGTGCTCTAATGTGCGAGATATCATGGACGTGCACGCTCTTAGCCAACCGGATAGCCTGCAGTTCTCGGCTATTCACAGGTGGGCCACGATATTATGCTAAAACAGAACACACACCCATATATCGTGTAGTGTGGAGTCCTTTGCCAGGTCTCAGAAAGTCAAAAATTTCACGACATTTTGACGAGAGAACGGGACCCCAATACTGCCGAATGTCAGCGGGGGGTATGGTGTGTCGACGGCGCGGGATGTCTTACTTGCGAGATCTTTGTTATATCGACCAGCAACGACGAGCTGTCAGCAGTAGCAGACGCCGACGCCGACGCCAATGCCACGAGGGCTGTCAATGCCGCAGGACCAAGCATTGTGGTATGTGAGTTCCTGCAATCACGAGCGGGCTTGGCTCTTGTTAAGTTGTTCACATCATTACGGCGTTTGGCCGGCGGAATTGCCCATGGCCAGGACAGACTCCGGAGCCCGCAGGATGGGGGATGGGGGATGGGGGTGCAGATCAGGTATCCAGGGTTCCGTCACACACTCCTCCCCGCTGTTCGCGGGGTTTCTAGCCATACGTAAAATCGCCTTTTCCTAGTAGGCCACACGTAAAATTCGATATGGTAGTAGGTTCCAGTCCTATATAGATATCTAGGTGCATGTAGTATTAAATCGCGAGTCTAAATATTATATTAGCTAGTTTATCCGAGTATATAGTAGCTATAGGACCTTACTATCGCTATTTCTTATATAATCCTTAGTAGGCGCGTCTACCTTATTCTAAAGCATATATTCCTCGTGCTCCTCCTATTTCTTATATTCTACTCTACGGATCGTATATAAAACTTAGTATAGGGCGTAATAAGGGTAAAAAGGTAAAGAGGGCGCGAGCTAAGCGGTTAACTAAAGCGGAGAGGGCGGAGAGGGTAGTAGAACGCGTTGTTTCGAGGTACTACGAATTAGTAGCTAAATCGGATAATAAGAAGGTTAGTATTCGAGCGCTTTATAAGAGTAAGAAAGCAACTCGCCTATATTCTTATATCTACTAGCGGTTAAGAGGCTGTAGGTCGCTATTTAGTCGTCTATTAACTAACACTAAATTAGACGAGTCTTAAGAGATAGCGCTAGCGGATTATTGTCGAAAGAGGGACGAAATAGATATATTCTTACTAGTGCCGCTAATTACCGTTATAGCGATAGATATGCTAGTAAGCCTACTACTAGAAGGTATATCGAAGGATATAATACCGCCATTTAGTATAGATTAGGCGGACCGCTTTCTAAAGCGCTATAGACTTAGTAAGGTCAAGTTTAAACCGATTAAGGTATAGTAGAAGGAAGCTTACGACCCTTCTACGATAAGGAGCTAGTTTAACCGGTTTAAGGCGATAATAAAGCGACTAGATATAAAGCCGCGGAATGTATAGAATTTCGATAAAACTAGCTTCCGGATTGGAATTAGTAGTAACGAGTATATCGTTATAATAGATACGAAGTAGCGCGTCTAGACCGAATATAATAGCAACCGTACGTATATAACAGTCGTCGAGACCGTAAACGCGTTTAGTAAGGTAGTAGATTATTAGTTAATCGTTAAAGGTGTAATAGTCTAAGAACGGTAGGTACCGAAGGAAGGTAAGTCTATTACTGCTGCTATTGCTACTTCCGAGTCTAAGTCCACTTCCGAGGTAACGATACCTACTAACTATACTATTAGGCAAGGACAACTTCTTAATTACTGTTAACGAGTCTGGATATATAACCGACGATACTATAATATATTATATCCGCTAGTTTAAGCGAAAGACGAGGCCTAAAGATCTAAACGAGTAGAGGGTATTATTATACGACAATTACGGCTCCTACTACTTTAAGGAATTTGCAGCCTTTGCAAAGCGGTATAGGATTCAATTATAGGGCCTATAACTATATACTTTACACTTTATGCAGCCTTTAGATGTAGTCCTATTTTAGGTGTATAAGCTAAGGCATAGGCAAGCGGTACTAGAGGCTATATACCGTAGTGTTAGTAAATTCGGAATACCTAAGTTTGTTAAGGCACTCTTAGCTATTCGGGCTAAGACATTTACTTTATATAATATAAGGGCGGCATTCCGGAAGACAGGCATATTCCTAATTAATAGGGAGGTCCCTTATAAGTATATTCGAGATTAGTATAGGGCTACTAACTATAATTAGAACTAGCAAGCAATTAAGAGCGAGTTAGTATAGGAAGAAGCCCGGTATAATAAATCGCTAGTAATAGCCGATATAGCTTAGTAGGAGTATATCGTATCGGTTAAGCAATAACGTTCCGCGGAGCCTACTATTATCGATCTAGAAGGCTAGTCGTACGCTAATAGTCGCTACTACCTCGGGGATCTCGAAAACTTAATTACTTAGGGCATGCTATCGTTACTACCTCTACTACCTTAGCGAACGCCGACCCCCGAATTGCCGCAATAGCTCCTAGGTACTACTACTAGCCCTCGTACGATTAAGGCATCTCGTAGTGCTATACAAGCTCGTAAGGACTTCCGACGGTCTTATCTAAAACTAGCCCCGTATAGTATCGATCCTATATTACTATCGTTTAACCTATTTTCTTCGTTACCTATAAAGCGAGTAGAAGAGGCCTATAATATATTAGTTAACGCGGCTATCTATAAGGGTAAAGAATATAAGCGTAAATACTAATCTACGAGTATTGTTAAGCGAGCAAAGAAGCGGCAGAAGGAACAGCCTAATTGGCTTATTCGAGCAGGTGTGTTACAGATCTGATTAGTTAGAGTCCTTACATAATCTTAGAGCGACGCCAAGACTAGTAGGCTGAGCTGTCGCTCTATCTTACTAGGAGCGACAGGAGCGGTCGAGAGCGATAGCGTCGCTTACGTCGCTTACGACTATAGACAAGATGTCTCCTTTGTATTTAGGAACGCCGGAATGCCCTTATAGCTCGAGGCGTTCAACTCATATTACTTACTTACTGATTGGAATTACCTTTATACCAATTATTCTATCTCTGCCTCCCGCTTGTATTAGCCTCTCTAAAGAAGCCTCGGCTTGCACGTGATAAGAAGTCACTTAACGATCTGTCGCGAGTAACCGTAACACTTTAAACGCCCTTAGGATAAGTGCCTTATTATAAGTCGGAAGGGGAACTCCCGCCCCTAGCGAGACAGGCAGTACTCGACGTACTACCTCTAGTGCTAGTAATACACTCGGAACCTATACCGGAAACGATTCTCTCAAGATCGGAAAGCTAGACTTTTATTACGGCGACCGAGACAAGTTCGATACCTAGGTTAGCTAGATGGATATGTATTTCATATTCAACTAGGTTTAAGATAACTTAAAGCTAGTCTTCGTAACGACGTTTATGCGAGGCAGGGCTTAGCATTAGGTTAAACTATTTCTTAAGACCTATCTAGATAGCAACGGGACCGACAATTCGGATAGAATCTTCGCAAGCTACGAAAATCTTAAGCATACGATAAAGAAGGTCTTTAGATCTTCTAACGAAGTTGCTACCGCAGTTAGGGTTATCTAACATTTAACTTAGAAGGGGTTATATGCCGATTACGCCGCTAAATTTTAGGAATACGCCTAACTTACGGATTGGGACGACGAAGCTCTTATAATAATATATCGGCGAGGTCTTAAGGACAACGTTAAAGACGAGCTTATACGCGACGGTAGAAAAATGGATAATATAGGAACATTAGTTAAGGTTACGATCGATCTCGACGATAGGCTCTACGAACGAGCTTTAGAACGACGTTATAATTCTAAGACTTCTAGAAAAGCTAGTTATACTCCTAGATACGATAATAGACGAAACTATAGTACCTACGATAAACTAAAAGGGAACAACTACTACGGTACGCAACTAATAGAGCTAGACGCTACCTAGAAGGGTCGAGCAATTAAAGGAAGAAAAGGCAAGAGTTCGCCTAAGAAAGTAGGAAGATTAACTTACTATACGTATAGCAAGGAAGGCTACATAGTACGGAACTGCCGCGGCAAGAATATAGTGCGACGCGAACAGTTTAATATAATACAACGAAAGGACTCGGGTAGAGAAGGCCACCGAATAGTAGTAGAGCTATACTCTATTAATAACGCGCCGAGGACCTACGCAGAGGTCGTAAAGGAAGAGCTACGACAAATCTATATAATAGCATAACGATAAGAACCCGTATATAGAGCCCTTTACTAGAGATTCTATTACGACGACTAATGCTAAATTTATTATTCTGCTAAAGTAGAAGCAGGATTCTTCCCTTAGATTAGGCGACTTATACGAGAAGATGCGAAATCCTAGTTAGAAGAAGAAACGATTAATAAATCTTGCTTAGATACCGACGATAAAGAAAACCGAGATCCGGAAGCTTTATTCCCTCCCGGGGAGGAGTTGGGAGCTATCCTAGAAGTACCGGAGTCCCCTTAGCAAGAGGAGGAACAGCAAGAAGATTCAAAAGGAAGTCTAGATACCGAGGAAGAAACTACGAATAAAGAGAGTAAAGACGAATTCGGGATTAACGACGATACGATCCTTACATTTACAATAGATACACCTATAGCAGCGCGAACAATCGCCTTACATCTAGTACGCAAATACGAGGAAATATTTCCAAAGGTTAACGGACAACGGAAGGTCGATCCTATCTAATTTAATTATTTCTAGATAAGCTTACGGGCAAAATTCTAGAATTACCCCCAGATACCTATAGACTATACGTACTATAACTTCATTACGGAGCGAGTACCGATAGGAAGCACAATTACGCCC